ACTTTCGTAGGCGCTCACGAAATAGACCTCTGTGAATCTAGAACGAATGAGGCAACTGGGACAGTGTTAACAATGATAAAAGATAGGCGAAGCGATTTTTAAGATACGTTTAACATTCTTTTATTCTGTATTATTTTTATGAGACGTTTAAGATGCGTATGCTGCAGTTTTCTTGAAGAAATAATTTTATTTATTAAAAAAAATATATATATATGTATATATTATAGGATTTAATAGGAATAAAAATATTTTCTCAATATGTATGTAAAAATCCATCTGCCCTTCTCAGTCTTCTATTAAATTAAATCGATTAAATTTTACGATACTTACAATTTGATTCGCGACGTGAGTCACCAACAGGACACTCGAGCGATGTAGCAATTTAAGATCGTCGCCGAATTTCATAAACCTGGGCTGGAGAGACTGCGGATGAAATTTTTCGTGCACCAGAGTGGAAAGAAGCATCTTCGACGTTTCGAAGTGGTAAATAATGGAGGGTGACGAACGGAAGTATTGCTGCAGGCTGTTGCGATGGGAGAAGAGAGTAAGGGAGAAACGACGACGAGATGCGGCGGGGTTTATGAGACGACGGGTGGAGAAAAAGATCGAAAATTGCACGGTAAACTCGTGCCACGATTTCCACCTCGACGCGGTAAATTGAGAATAAACAGATGTAGAGAGAGAGTGAGACGAGGCCGATAGAGCTCCTATTTTGCGTCTTGTGACATTCGCGAAGAAATCCGGTGTTTGGTTTTGTTCCTTGTGAATGATCAATGCGAGAAAAGAGATATATTTCTCATATGACAATACTAATATAGTGAAAAGAAACTTCTTTTATATTTCAAGATAAATCGTATCATAACTGAATAATAAAAAAATACGCACACATATGTGTCCAGACTATTACAACTTGTTACATTCGTTCGCGGTCGTCAAATAAAATATTTTCATTTTCAAATGTAAATTTTTGCAAAGTACAAATTCAATTAGCAAAATGTTTTTTTAATTTTCAATATTTTCCGTCTTTGAGAAACGATCGCGATAGGACCTTTTTTTCTTATGTTAAGCTCGAATAAAATCTTACGTTTGCACGTGTTTACAAATTTTTCTTTCCAGACATGCGTATTACCCGCTATCTTGCTATCTTATTTCTTCCGGTACGGCAATATCGCGAGCTGAAAACGTTATATACGTTTCGAATTGCACGTGTTGCGTCCACGTCTTCTCTCTGGTCCTGGTATTGCACTGTCGGCGAAGTCTGCGTCCTCTCATCCATCACCGGGATCTAAGGTCGCCGGCAGCCAGGAAAAGACGATGGGAAAGGCCTGCAGGTCGACGGGAGCTTCTTCCGATATCTCGTTACGATTTGTCCGTGAACCGTGTTCCGTCATTCCAGGACAAAACTCCCATCGCGTCGCCCTCGACCAGGCATTCTGAGAAAAGTCGTAACTCGCTAACCCAGTTAATTTTTATATTTCCTCATGAAAGATTTAATCGTTCAATAATCTTCCGATATATTATTATATTATCGAGAACATCTGATTGCATTCTTATTGTTAATACAAATTATGTATCAACACGAGCGCATAATAAATAATTAAATTTATTATAGAATATCAATATGAAAAAAAACAACATTGACCGTTTTTCTCAATTATATAACAAAATTACAAAATTACTACCTTGTTTCTGGTAAATATTAATGAAGAATTTGAATATATTCTATCTAGAGAATCACAGTTGACCAGAATAAAGCGAGGTGAAACGAGCTTTCGCAACGTTTATGCGCTCATTGAGATACGATTCGCGCCAAAAAGGTGGAGAAGCTCGTTTTAACGCCCGGTAGAGAACTGCAAAGGGCGGTTATTATTAATTGCTTCCAGAAGGTTTTTACAACCGGGTGGGTTTAAAACCGCGACCTTTTTACGAGCATTGAACGGGCCGGGTTTGCCTACCTTTTCTACCGCACTGACATTCTCCGTCCTCTCTCGTTCTGTTGCAGACATTCGATCGGAAACTTCATTTACATCGGCAGCATCTATAAAACGGATTAATTGCAGCTGGCCATGCGACGAGTGCTGGCATGCACAGCCGAACGTTCGACGGATGGCATTTATCCCCGAGTGAGGTCTTCCTCGAAAAGTCAGCGAGACTTGATCAATGCGATCTCTATATATTCTTTATTCAATTTTTATTGTTTTATTAAAATAAACAAAAATTTATGCAATAAAATATAATTTAATCTACAATCTTACGTATTTTTGCAATATTTCAAACGTGGGGGCAATCTATATAAAGGATAAAGTTTATTTATATAAATATTCGCGCAAAAACTATATTCTTTACAGAGTGTTTGATAATAATTGTGTGCAGATAGAGTGGATTAAATCAAGTGGGAAAGTCTTTATGTTTAAATAAAATAAGAATAAGTTTCGTGAGATGCATTAATCGTCTAATAAGTAATTAATCTGTAATTTAAAATATTTATACAAAAAATTTAATATTTTGCGTATATACAGAATAATAAATAATTGCCGCACATTTTTAACTCGATTATTTTAATAATATTGATATATAAGTTAAAGATAATATTGATTTATTTAAGCCAGAGTTGGTCGTTCATTGGTTTTTACTTATTTAACTGCCTGGCGAACCAAAAGAAGTTTATCGTAAATAATATTAATTTATTAAACAAAGTAAAATTTAGTAGTAGTTAATATAAAAGAGGGAAACACTATTACAGGACAAGTCAACGAGTTTTAAATGGAAATTCGCAGGAAAATGGAAATACAAAAGTTGTGGATCATTTAACGAATTAACAATTATAATCCACGATTAGAATTCCTATCATTAGCATAAGCTCCGCGTCAGTGCGGCCGAAAAGTTTCCGGCGTTTGTTCGCCAGTGCCAAAATAACCAGAAGGGAAGGAGTAATTTTATGCGATCGCGCTCGGAGATTATGAGGGAAAAGTAGCCGGCGAAGTAGTTGAAGAATGTTAAGTCAGAGAACCTTGCTATCTTACCAAGATAAATCACGAAAGGATCGAGATTCTTGTTTAATCGTAGTAATTACAGTCGCAAGCTGAAAATTGAAATTAGATATAGTAAAACTTGCTTAGTGAATACCTGTGTTGATTTATACTCTACTATCAGTTAATATAAATAAAAGAATTAGTTGCATAATATGCAATTCTTACATTATTTAAAAACTTAAAAATTATAAAACTAGTTGACAATAGTATATAACATTCAGTTTTAATTAATAAATCAATAAAGCAAGAAAATTATACATAAAATTATATGTTATGTTATCTACAAAGTTTATGTACATTGTAGTTTATATTATCAACGGATCACCATATTGATCGTATAACACACGAGAAAATAAAGATAACTTTCATTCCTTTGCCTTATAAAATAATACAAAAAATTGTAAAAACAGTTTAAAATTTATCATCAGAATTATATTAAATAAAATATAAGAATATCCAATTTTAAATTAATCTTTATGTAATAGATTAGTATCTAATTTTTATTTATTTGTGCAGGTTCAAATAAATGCAAATATGGTAAATATGGTATTAAGCAAAAAAAGTCAAGATGATTGTTTTTAAATTTTTCTCTGGCATCAAGCACTCTGATTACCGAGCATTGGTTACTCGTATATCTTTCTGTGATATAAAATAGTCTCTAGTAGAAATCGATTTCTCAAATGGTAAGAGTATTATGACGATATACTGTCGACTGCGAGTACATTGAAATTAATTATCAAACCCCGACGATGTATCTTCCCTACGCAATATTGATTAAAAAATAAAGCTAACATTTGTTGAGCACAGAGAGAGATGTCGTTACCTACATGTATTTTTACTTATATTGTTTATATATAAATTAAATTATATCATATGTAAACGGTTTTATATTTGTGTATTTGTATAGTGAAAGAAAGAGAGAAAACATAACTATTCAATATAAATATAAAATGTTTTGAAAATACTTTTATATTTTCTTGTATTATCTAAATTTTATCTAAATATTTTAGTTTATATTCTATATATGTAAACTAAATTGCTTTATATATATATATATTTTTTTTTATATACTTTAAGATATAAACACAACAAGCACAAACCAATATACACGAAGTAAATATGTATATACATTTTTTCAGATTTAATACTGAAATTATTTTCAAATAAAAAAGTTACAAATAATTACAAAATATAGGCAAACTTGAATAAAAAGATCCTCAGTTTGCTAATAAAAAACATTGAAAAAACATGTGTCTCGACCTAACGTTAAGGTATATAATTGAGACGTCGTTAAAATTTGATAAAAATTAATAATCGTTGTTAATATTTAAAAAAATGAAAGAGCAGGCAAAATATAGGAAAACATGATTGAAATGATCCTCAGTTTAATAAAAAATGTTTTTAAATCACGTGTCCTGAGCTATCAATGATACGCAAATCGGTCCTAAATTTTGGAGGAAATTAATTATCACTTTAAAATATGCAAAAATAGACTTCAAAATATGAGAAAACATGAATGAAATAATTCATAGTTTGATAATAAATAATATTTATAAAATACATATTCGAACATAAAATTACGGTATATAATCAAGACCCTAAAATTTGAAAAAAATTAATTATCGTTTCTAATAACTAAAACAAATTCAAAAATGTAGTAGCTGGTTTCAATATATTGGAAAACATGAACAAAGAATATAACAACAACCAGAAGATCACATATTTATATTCAAAAACGCTATATTTCTTATTAAATAATTGTTTAAATATTTTTTAAATTATTTTTATTGTCATAACTCTTTGAATGAGCATTATACACGCCCAGAACTTTTCAAAAAAACGACTTCTAAAACTATTATTTTTATTTATATAAATACAATCTTCATAATGTAGAAGATACAAAATTCTCTTCTGAACATTTAGATAGTTTATAATAATTAATAAAAGATTACATTTTATTTTTTTTTTATTTTGTTCTTCAGGATTTTTTTGTTTATTTATCTTTATTTACTATACTTTTCTCTTGATAGCTATTTTCAATTCATTAAATGCATTTTGTATATTTGCATATACTTGATTCTCATAACACGTATTTGAATAAATATAATTTTGTATACCAATTTTGTTCTTAAGATTTCTGAGTTGGGGTTGGATTTTATGATACGCTTTTTCATATTTCAAACGGTAATTTTTTTCCATCATTAGATAGTCAGTTTTATTCTCTAAGATTGTTATTAAATTTTGATTGTGCTCAATCATAAAAGATAAATGTTTCTTTAATTTATCTGCGTTGTTCCATTTGACATGACTTTTTTTATTTATATTTTGCAATTTGCGGTTTCCATTATTTTTTCTTCTCGTTTTTTGTGCATGTATTGAACGTGATGTTTGTAAAATACAATCTTGTTGCATTTTCGATTGATGCTGAAACAGAGAAAGAATATACATAGATATGTTATACGCGACAAATAATATATAATAATAGTAAATTTTTAATCATTGATTGAAATGCAATTCTTTTTTTTGACTCACATTCTGATTTCTAGAAGCGCTGTTGTCTTTTAATGAACATTGAGATATTGCAGTTTTTGAAATCAAACGTTGCATAGAAACATGCTCGCAATTTGATAATCTTCTGTTCATTAATATTTTTTCCCATTTGCTTTTTCTTCTCTTTAGAATTTTGCGAATATTTTGCAATACATCGCTGGATACTTCATTATTTCTGAGATCAATTTGTGTAAGCACTGTGTTCATTTGCAAGAGCTCCAATACAATTTTTCCTCCAAGTTGAGTAATACCACAATATCGCAAACATAATGTTCGCAACCAGAAATCATTTTTCAGCATAGGTGTCAATTGTCGCAAGCCAATGTCGCTAAATTTATAATTTTTGTCGAGTATCAATACTCGTAGTCCTTTCGTCTGAAATATAAACATAACATAAATTATTTATGTAAATGTAAAATAATTTTTTCATAAAAACATATCGTTTTGATTGGAGCATTTTTCTTTTATACATACCACCGTTGTACAAATATTTTCTCGAGATAATGTTACTTCCTTTCTCACATTATGCAACAAATCTGTTTTTCTTTTTCTTAAGAACAGTGACAAGTACATAGCACTTTTATTAGTAAGGCAACATGACGATAAATTCAGAGTATGGAGATTTAAATTATGTTGCAAACTTTCTAACAATATGTAGCATCCTGTAAAGCAAAATAAAAATAAAAAGATAAATACATTGCTTTCTGTTTTTCTTCCTGTTTAGTTAAAATTTATAAAAAGGTTTGTGAATTATACTTGAAACACATAAATTTAACTTATTGTATTGGCCGGCAAATTACTTTATAATGACAAACCTGTATCACCTATTTGACATCTGGCAAACGACAAACTTCGCAGATTTCGATTATTTGTCAAACCATCATTGAGGATCCTTAGATAGTTGATCGTCAAAGGGATGCCATCTAATGTAAGACTGGTGATCATCATCGAGTTCCTCAGGCAGGCAGCAATAGAATGGACAAAGCACCGTAGCAGAAAATTTGTATACAAAACTGGCCGCTGTTGATTCCTTCGCCGGCATTTCCTGAACGTGCGAAAATGCTAGTCCATTTGCCATTTTGCCATTTGTAAATTTACGTATCATCGTTTAATGGCATTAATTTTAACTTTTCCTTAGATCGTCTTTTTGTTGCGTGTTATCTGAAAGCTTAAAACTTACTGAGAGTAGTATCCGAAAAAATATAATCATATTTATTTTGTTTTATAAATATTTTTATATATTTTACATGACACTTATTTTAGAACAACATCAAAATTGCTCAGGAAAAATATAATATTTTTATAATTTTTTAAAATAGTACTCTTCAATTAAATTAGACAACACAAGCGCGCGCATCATTATCTGATTTTATGTAATGTGTGGGTGATTTAACTTTTTAATAATTGTAATTTACAGATATGTCCTTCCTAATTGAATTAAATGATTTTTTATTTTTGCGAGAAAGTTTCCCGTTAGCGCTTTAAATCATTCTTTTATACTTATTAAATTAAGAGTTGTTATCTGTACGATAAAAATAGCTTATGATTTATAAAAAATTCTTTAAATTCTTTAAATTCCGTAAACTATTTTTAACATACACGTGACAAAGCGTACAATCAATTAAAGTAATACAAGTATTAAAAAAATCTCAAACTACTGATAATATTATAATAATCGAGAGAGAGCGAGAGAGAATCGCGCGAACTTATCTATTCATATTCGTGAAACTGCACATGCGAGAAAGTTTCTCGCTGGCATTTTAAATAATCCTTTTTTACTCATGAATCACGTGGTCATTCATTCAATTACTTACAATTTGTCACATGTACGTTAAAAATAGTTTACGATCTATAAAAAGAAATTCTTTAAATTATTTAAACTTCGTAAGCTATTTTTAGCATACGGAATTTTTAGCACGTGACAGATCGTAACCGTATTCAATGAATGAATGAACAACAAGCAACAAAAGCATTCAAAAAAACTTTCACTATATTACGGATAGAAACGACCGAAAGCAGAAGTAACTCTACCAAAAGAGTAATTTCTCAGAATATAAGTCCGTGCGGCGCCATTCTTTTTATTTTCATAATATAAATTCGACAAATTGAAATTATGTACATAATGAAAATTCGGGGATTAAAATTATGTACATAATATAAATTTAGAAATATATTTTAAAATATATTTCTTTACTTATATATTTGAAAGCAATTTTAGTAAAAATAATACATGTGCTAGTTATAATAATTTTTCTACACAAGTTTAATGTATGTATTTACCGTAATTTCATGAATTTTTCTTCTGTGTTCACTTTTTCATTAATTTTTTTGTAGTGACATCGACTGTATACACGAATTTTGGATAGACTTCGATCTTGTATTATACTATTTAACAGCGGCGACCAATTTTCCAAACTCACATGTTCGGCACAAAATTGCAAATAGTTTTTTGGCAGATACATTTGTATTATTAGCAGAGGCGTCATATTTTTCTCGCGACATAGTACCTTATTAATCAAAGTTTACAAGTTTCGTCAAAATAAATAAATAAGAAATTACAACGTTTAAATAAAAGTAATTCAGTAAAGTAATTTATTAATTTCTATTTTATTCATTTGGCGTTTCTTTATAAATTATTTTATATATGTATATTTTAATATTATTTTATTATCAAGAATTTTTATTCTCTAATAACAATTCTAGAGATACAATAGAATTGTAAAATAAATGCAATTAAATTGTAAAGTAGAGATTACGTATTCAAACAAATGTTATTGATAATAACAAACTTTATATGTCTGCTCAAACAGTCCACTATAATTTTTCTCTTTACAATTCTGCATAATATCACCTATAATTTTGCTTGATCATAAGATTCATGCCTTAATATCCTATTTTCGTCGGAATATATGTTTTCATATGAAAAATGTCAGATCACACGTTTTGAATATACTAACATAAGAGATCGATATAAAAATATCGAACATTTGAATGCATACTGTCGATAAAAAGATGTTTCAAATTTCATTCCGTACATTTTATTTAAACTCCTACCGATTTGATTAATCAATAAATTATAATATTTATGTAATAATATATTATTTAAAAATATAATGTATATTATACTTATAATAGATATACACAAAATAATAGATTTAAAAAAAATGCACATGGAAACAATGGAATTTATTTGTTTCTATGCATTTATTCTATATATTGAATAATTGTTGTTATATAGTACTTAATCATTCTTACAAGTGCACATAAATATTTCAAACTGAATAAACTAAAGGCAGGCATTAACATACAGATCGTGTTAAAAATAACGGATAAGAAGAAAAAGATGTACAAACTTACGATAAGCTCTTGTGTAAAGATAACTTACGTCACGGAAATTCTAAAACGGCCCTAAATAGTTGCCTTTTAAAACGGCGTTGTGTTAAGTGATTAAATTTACAGTGATAATGCCCTGGCCCCTCGTATTTGCTATTCGCAAATTCTATCTATGCTCTTTCCCCCTCTATTGTTGAATGTATCAAGTGTTCAAACACACGTGTATCTATATCGTACATAAATCTCTTTATTTTAATACTATATAAAATATATATATATATATATATATATATATGAAATTAATATATATGAAATTAATATATATGAAATTAATATATATGAAATTAATATATAAGTAATTAATATACATATATAAAATATATATGAATCTTTGTTTAATCAATAAATTAAAATTAATGACATTTGAGAAGACTTTGAACGAATGAAATACGCAGATTGTGAAGATGTCTGTGTTCGTCCTCGGGAAATCGCACAATTTAATCAGTGAGTTTGAGGCTACTGCGCTGACTATGTCTGCGCCTGTCTTCATTAAAATCTCGTGCACACCTCGAAGCCCCGTGTCGCTTAACAATAGAACGCTCGCGATTCAGTGAAATCGTCGTCATTGTTCATCGTGATTGTTATGTGATGTCGCAAAAGTTTACGTCGAAAAATTTTCGCTTTTATTTTATTATCCTCGTGTTAGCCGCCAAATTACTCCGTTTAGATACTAACGCCTGACTAATTGTTTGTTGAATCTACTTATATCTACTCATAAAGTATAAATGTGCAAATGTTTTAAAAGAAAAATCTCTTGCGTAGTGCAACATTGTAAAATTGATCTTGTCAAACGTAATCATTGCTTTTTCAGTGTAAAGATATATTTGAGTGATTTATGATCAAGAAATATCGACGCGTTCAGCAAACGTACGTAGAACATTGTGTTTGTTATCAGTTTCTTTATCTTAAAAAAAATTAACAGATTTATTCTTTTTTAACAAAGTGTTTAGGGATATTTTTATTTATCAAATAGGTCAATGTATATTGTACTTGTCATTGTAAAAATGTTTGAATTTTATGATTCAAATTAATTATTTCAAACTTAGAAAAGTAATATTTCTTTATAAAATATGTTATGTATTTATTATAGCTTTTATTTTATTTTTTTATAATATATGTAACAAGTATAGAAATGTATAATTATACATATATAAAAATTATATTCATAATTAACAAGGAGAGTAAAAATTTTTTTCTTCATATAGAAAATAGGCATAAAAAATCTTTCAGAACATTAAAAAAAATAAATTCTTTAAAAAGTCTTTTCTGTAAAATTTGTCTCTTCTTTAATTTAAAATTTTAATTTTTAAATGCCTGTCTGGATGTAGAAACTGTATGCTTGCATTACTACGAAAACAGTGTCTCCGATAATTATGCATACACAGCACTATTTGTCTGCTTCGTGCCCACACATCGCGTAATCGGACGAATTACATGAACGGCTATCTCGCGCAGAACGTCCTCCAATTGCGCACGCTGTGGATCGTGACTTCCAAGTGATACAGCTATTTGAGATGCGCCGCGAAACTTTTGAATTACATGTAAACACTTTCGGCGGGGAAGATAAGATAAAACAAGCTGAGAAAATTGCACTCCGAGACGCATGACCCCGTACATATGAAACCTTTGCCTCGGTCTTGATGTTCAATGGCGTTCAATGCCGAATTAATCGTCAACGATTACGGAGTTTTTGTGATTTTCACAAGCACTATCAAGCATCACAAACGTTTTATCTGACTCCTTAACAAGCAATTAATAGCAACTGCGTTTTGTGCCGACGTAATAAACAACATTGTGAGTGAAATTCTAGTGATTAAAATAATCCCTGTTGACTGGACGTAAAATTTTATTGGCACGTGCCGTGTGACAAATAACTAACTTTGAATAAATTAATTTAACAAATTGTTTTAAAGTTATTTAATTATAGCACAATCTTTTATATGCACTTTAATTAATATAAAATAGCTTGTCCGATCAATGTTTGGGTTATGCAAAATCAGTGCGCAGAGGATTGTTTCCTTCGGTCTCAAGATAAGCGAATTGATATGGTATAAGCATGAGCATGCATTTTTGCTTGGTAAGTACAGGTTCTATTTAATAAGAAGTTCTCATAATATCTCATTTTTCTAAATTTTATACAAGAAAAAAGATTATTTTCTTTCAATTTTATTTTAATAAAAAGTAACCTAACAATACTTGTCGTTACTGTCATTGATGCTCTTCAGAATCTAACCGGATACTTTTCGAAGTTTCCAATAATGCGAAAAAAGAAGTATTCGGCGAAGTGAAAACTCGTTTTAAAGATGGGATGCAAGTTTAGCATACTGGAGTGCATTAGAGGCAAAGTCGAGCAGGAGAAGAGCATATCATCAGAAACTAGGAGTTCTCTAGTTACAAGCGGTACGTTGCTTTCTTTTTTCTTTTTCTAATATATTTTTTCTTTTTGAATTTATTTATATTTTCAAATCTTAAACTTGGAAAGTATAAAGTAAAAGATGTAGATAAAATGAAATTGAAAAGATGTTTTAGCATAATAAAGTCTAGTTTTAGTATAAAGATGGATGTAAATTTTACATTGCATTTATGCAATTATAAATTAAAAATTTTTTTATTATCAAAAATATTGTAAAAATGATTGAGAAGATTGTATCTTTTATAGAATTATCATTTAATAATGTTTCGTTTATTTTATTTTATATAATTTATATTTATTACTTTATTTTATTTTTATATTTTTATTTATTTATATGTATACTCTCTCTTTAAATATTAATTATATTTCAATGAACGGCACTATGAATAAACTGTATGTAAATCGCATACGTCAATCTTTAGTTTTTTATGTAAAACTTTTTTCTGGCTGCATAATGTAATCAAATTTGCACATATTTGGCTCCCGGCACATGTGATACATGACTGGAGAATGTCAAACTTTAAAGCATAGCAATCTTCTCTTGAAGGTTGAATTTTTGGTAGTTCTTGTTCAGTATTTTTTCGTTGATTGGTTTAAAGCTATAGAAAGCAATCCGTCAAAAATTTGTTTAAATAACTATTTCTATCTTTCTTCTGCATTACATTAATTTAATTTATATTTGTATATATATATATATATATATATCTTGATATATAAAATTTATTATATATTGTATAATACATGCTTGATAATATAATTATGTTTATAATAGTATAATACTAATAATAAAAAACACGATGTCTTTTAAAATGCACTCTTGCAGTGAAAATTTTAAAGATTTTTGCTATATTGAATACAACAATTTTTGCTATATCAATTAAATCAATTAAATATGATTTTATTTTAATATTATTATTTTCAAATATTTATACATTAACTTGCAACTGATATAAAATAATTATTTATTAAATTAGAAATATAATTTATATAGAAAGATAACTATCTTCATCATTATATGTATATATATATATATATATATTGTGCATATAATTTTATTATTTAATGATAATAATTAGAATATGTCTACAATTGATTGTTATAATTATTAAGCAAGTTATATGATCAAACGTTACATCATATATCGAAAATTTTATTCCGTAATCAAAAGATATTTTTTATGCACAAACAAGATTTTATTACTAAACAGATATTATTTCTTTCTTTGACTTTCTAATCATAATATCAATTGATGTTAAAACTAAATAATAATCATAAAGATTAGAGTATAGCCGTGCGTCTGTCTATCTTTCATGAAAAAAAAGGAGAAGAAAGGAGATGTAAACCTCATACAGGTAACAGTCATTCTCCTTGACCTAGTCTACAACTGACCACACTGTGCGTGTACCGGTTGAGGTCATCGTTCGAGACGTGAATTAATCAGATGTATGAATCCAGATAGCAATGCGACATGTTTCTAATTTTTCGATTTAGGAGTCTGAACGACGCAATGTCGATGGAATCATGTAATATTTCATTCTCAAGGATCGACTCTAGAATAAAATTGATTGTTCTTCTTACATTGAATGATTTTTGTAATTCAATCTTTAGTTCTTTTATTTCTAATTCTATATTTATTCCACATCTATGTCAATAACTTTTAGTTTATGCGAGAATTACTCATCATATTATTATTAAACCTTTAAATCACTTTTATCTTTAGACATTTAATGAGTAAAATATTTATTTCTTATAACAACCATATCATCTTTTTTCCGGATAGTGATTCTCATGCGAAAAATTGAGTTTTATTAGATTTTAATTAAATTATTGTTTCCGATGTCGTGAGCTATTGTGCATGTTCTGCAAAGATTACATAAACAAGCGTTCTATTCGTTCCTCTTTATATGACCATCGTTGTGACGCAGCTTACAGATAAATATTCTACAGCCATATGCGCACAATTTCAGATATCAATTCAATGTTAGATTATCATTTAAATGCAGATTAGGTACTTGATCGAGCATCGATTCTTTCAATAGTTTATGAGAGGTTTTAAGTTATTAGTCTCTTTTTTTTGCTAGCGACAAGTATTTATATGTAGATATTATTTACAGATGCTACAGAGACCGACAGAGACGAAGAAAGTCCGTGTCTCGCGTTCGGTGTCAAGCGCCGCTTTGTCGCCGAAGAGGACGATCATAAAGTAGCGAAATGTTAGTTATAATTAATCATTATGTTAATATTATCCAACATCAAGTATAATCAAAAATCATGATACTTTTTCATAATGAAAGTGCCACATACATTTTACATAATCCACAAGATCGTTTTATATTTTATCATTATACAGGGTGTTATAAAAGTACCGGAACAGCAGAATAACTCGAAAAATATGAGTCCTAGAAAAAATGTTAAGTACTGGATTTTTATGATTTTTTTCCTGGCTATCTAAACGTCAGATAGCCAGGAAAAAATTATAAAAACCCAGTACTTAACATTTTTTCTAGGATTCATATTTTTCGAGTTATTCTGCTGTTCCGGTACTTTTATAACACCCTGTATTTATACGTGCGTATACCATATATTTTCCTTTCCAATTAACTAATTAAATTAACTTTATTAATATATTTTATATATATATAAAATAATGAATATAAAATATTGAATGATATAAAAACGACTTAATTAATACGACAATATATACGATATTTTTGCATTCATATAAGCAAGTACCGGTTTCTTGAATCTTTATCTTATCAAATTTGAGATTATTGATGTAATAAAGTAATTTAAATCAAATGCCTATGGCATTAATAATATACTATAATTCCCATTTTTAGCGAAATAATTTTCATATAATTGTTTTCCTCGATACTTACGTATTACTACATAATTATTTAATATCTTTTTCTCTTCCAAATTTAATAATCTACGATTATTTAATTTAAGACGCAATAGTTTTACATTGCTTCTTGTTGTAAATTTTTTAATTAATTTAATTTTAATAATATTGTTTTTTTTACGAATAGCGTTTTACTGTCTTCTTACTTCAAAATACAATTTTTTTAAACTTAATATTTGCAATATTTGCATAACGCGATACATTAATGTTCTATGCCCGTGTATCGTATTAAATCCATCTACAGTATCTCTGGTCTCCCCGACGACGCTATCACGTCGCTCCTCCGGGGCCAGTCACTCTCGAATAGAATTTTAACTTGGTCGATTCGGTACTCTCGGCCAGTCGCTGTCTTTGGGTCGCAAATGACACATCGTTCGGCATTGACATATACATATGCCGGTCTCGTGATTTCAACGACCGTAAACAGTGTCGGAACATAAGTATTTTAATTTCATTAACTGTGAAATCTTATAATCTTTTTGAGTGCACGTGTGTCGTGAATGGATTATCAAATATACTGTTCTCAAATGTAGTGTCAAAAAAACATTCAAATATTTGCAGAATATGAATTAAATTTTGATTTGAAGTAAATGCATGATATAATTAAGAATAATATGTGAGAAATTTTTTTATTTCAAAATTCTTTCAAGAAAAAAATTATAAAACTCTGAAAAAATTACTATTATAAAAATAGTCGTTATTATTTGCCCCAATCAAAAATAATTATATATGATTCTCTCAATTTTACATCATTTTTCAACAAAAATATTTTCAGAATAATTCTAAATTAAGATTATACACTTATATATATTGTATATACATATATATAATTTGATCTTTGGAACAAAGATAATCTTTCGACCGATTTAAATATATATATAAATCTAAGCAATTAACTCAACATTTCTAAAATAAAAAATCCCTTAAACTTTATTGATTATTTCTATTAATTAAAATTATATCGTTATTTAGCATGTCACAACTTGATTTGCTTAGATAAGCATGCTTAATTTGTGGCTATAAACAATTCTAAATATTTTATTAAAATAAATCTTTTTATAATAATTTTGTAATTAATATGCTTTATATGCATTTACATTTTAATTCTAAAGCATTTAATAATTTTTAGCTATTTATAAATTAGAACAAGTGAACTTTTTTTATAATGCTTTTACAAATTTATAACTCTTTTATTTTACATTATTAATAATCCAAGTTTTGATTTACTATATTTAGTGAATTATAATAAATATTATATTTTAATTTTAAATGTTTTTACATATTTTGTGACATATTGTATTATATTTTTATACAATTTTTATTAAAAGAAAATATTATTATACTAATATATAAGCAGAATTGCAAAATATTGATAAATTAAATATTAATCTGTTAGAGATTATTTACAGTAGTAATAATACCACATTTTTAATTTGTTATATTGAAAATTAATATATGTGTACTTGTATGACTATATAATATAAATTATATGATAAAAATGTTTAGTAATATATCTATTAAAATATTTAAAATGATTAAAGTTTATTTATTATAAACATAAAATAAATTAAAACTTATTTATTAATTAGCATGGGACTTTTTTAGAAGAAAAATTCAATAATAAGAGTTTAATATGTGTAAACAGTGAAAAATAATAACATAACACTATCAAGTGTGATGAAAACAGATGCGAAGAACAGTTTTATACAATATGAAATCACGTAACTCTGCATAACTCAATGATTGCAAGGTCGAAAACATAATTCATATGGCATCGCCGCCGAATGAGTATTTTTTTTCAAGCGAGGAAGACAATTTGGAAGATGAATTATTTCCAATTCATTTCTTTGGTGCGTAAATAAACATATTTGACTTTCCTATAAAATACAAGTACTCTCGATATATAATTTTTTTTTTAACATACATTATCCTATTAGAACGTATTTTTCTTTAACTTTAAAATAATTGCAGCAACTATTAATCTTCTTTGTCAATTAGATTCAATTGACTTTTAATTGCAATTAATGATACTGTGACCCATAAACCCCATAAGATACGCGTATTCAACAGACGACCGCATCCTTAATAAGCTTCGTCACTACAATTACTCAGGCATTGACAACTGAATTTCTATTAATTAATAGATTGAACGCAATTAGGAAAAAAGATGCGATATCTTAAATAGAGAGTCGCTTTTAAAGTTACGCAAAACTAAAGGTGGCTCTAGACTCGATAGACCTTCAATTGCAAAGCTATGGTCATGCTTAGCGACTACCTGTTGCCGAGAATTTTTGATTATTCGAAAAACATCTCTGAGCACTGGAACGTCATTATAATTAAATTCATGAATTTTCAATGGAATTGTTTCAGATAAGACGGATGTGCTTGTGGATAAAAAATACGAGAAACCACTTTTCGAGGACATCACGCTTGATGAGAATGGCGATTACTTGAGTATCGTAAGTTACATTATCATTTATTTATTTATTAGTTTTATTTTATATAATTAATTTTTATATAATTAACTTGCAATATTTATATATTGCGCCTTTTTCTGCAAATAAATTAAGAAACAATTTATTTTTTATGTTTTTAATTTATTTTTTGCTGATTAATTATATAGTAGATTAGCAATATGCTGATTATTGATATATTTGGAAAATTTTTAAATTTTTTTGTAAAAGAAATCTTTTAGTTATATAATATATTATTAATAAATTGTAATATTAGTTATAATATTTATAAATTATAATATTATTATAACTTATAGTTATAATATTATTATAATATTTAATATTATTATAATAAATATATTATAATAAATAATTTTTAATTTTAAATTAATATATTAAAAAAATTCTACGAATACTTTCTATAATTATTTTTTTCGACAAAACAAAAGATAATATCTTGTTGGACTTTTCGAGAAAACGAACTTTTAATTTATCTATTAGCAAGCACGATGAAAAGCGATTAAAGACAATGTATATTGACGATACGTGACGTGACGTGTGACGTAAACGTGCGTTATCACGTTTCTATTAATCAAACCTGCGCTATCTAGACTCCTTCACATTTATAACCAACGATAAGAATCGCATAGGCATTGCTATTTTGCATGTTTCTGAATGCGGATAACAAACAGATTGGATTTTATAATATCGTGTAGCGGTTTCTTCTCTTTTAACATGATTGGTATTTAAAAACACATTGATATTTTAATTATGTTACGTAAATGGAATGAGTACCTATTTAAAAAATTTTCTCGCATTATGTATATTTTTCTATATTTTATTATTGTTTTAGTGTTTAATATTTTAAAGATTATAAACATTTACACGCAAATAAACATTTATAGTATAAAATCTACATTTAAATATTCTACCTAAGTGTCAGTTTAAATTTGCTAATTTTAAATACGCAAATTAAGCGCTGTCTCATCATAATTCTCTCTTTTATTTCCAAGTTTATCGTTCTGTATTATTTTTCTGCTTTAATTATATAATACTATTTGTCTATAAAATATTGCCATTCAATTTCTATATAAAGAATTATTAATTTGTAAAGAAAATCGAAAATGATATAAAATAATGTAACAAAAGAAGAAAAAAGTCATACGGAAGTGCGCGCATAAATAGATCGAAAAGGGAAGCGAATTTCCTTTACGGAGAATGTTTGATTAGGGGTACGTAACGAAAAAAAGAAAAGACAAGAAAAAAAAGTGAGGAATAATGTAGCGAAGGGTGGCTTTCGCCGTCAGCCCTCTCCGTTCTCACAGGACTTCATTATAAAACCCGCAATCAAATCCCTCCTTCCCGCGATTTATATGACAAAAACTACTCGAGCATCGATTCTAAATATAAATTGCGTTTTCTGCGTATCGCTGACGCGGTCTTTCATCGAGAGACCAGCCCTTTCAATAATTCGCGGCGTTTATCGCAAAGTTTCTCACGGGGATGGTAAAAGGGGTGATGCTCGATCGACTCGATAGTTTCCCGTCCCACGGCCCGATTAAATATGTAAATCGCTGTGCGCGCTTCTCCAAGTCGCGAGCATAAGCGTCGCTTGAATAATTGATTCGCGACGCGCAATCGCGGTAGCGCGATTTCTCTCATTCGGTTGCTTCTCCTCAATCAGACAAGATCTGGTCGCTCGCGAGCTCCGTCTATAGACTGGTGTCTATAGACTGTCTATAGATACTCTTATATCTCTAGACAAGTACAAGAGACAATCGAATGGAAAACGGGAGTTGAAACCGACGAGATTCTCGCGATCGAGATATGCGGATGTATCATACGCGATTGTCATTATTTCGGGCTGTCCGAAAAATGTCAGATAAGAGAAGGTACTCGTGTCCGGTTTCACACGTGTCGCGGAGAAACGGCAGAGCAAGAAAATCAATGACTTACATACGTCGCGTGTCTTCAAAGTGTAAAGCCGCTTTGTCATACAATTTTCTCTTATTTCCGACGAGAGCAATAAACGGCTTCTGATCTCTTGCGTGGATGAACACGAGCTATAGTTCCCTTGAATCCGAAAAAGAAGTGATTAAGCAAAAGTTTCAAACACGATGTGATGTTGATCTCTTATTTTCTTCATTATACTGTCGCTCCCCTTCGTGCTAATCGTTGTTATCTAAGTGTGCTTGGGGCTTATACTCTCTATAGCCGAGCAATCGAGTTCAGACAAAGTGAAACGTAATCGGAGTTGACGTACGACAATTATTCTGATTGAATTAGCAGAGAGTGGATTTGATGTTTCGGGAAAGTTTGATGCTATAAGCTCAGAAGCGAACATGTTTTGTCAAGTTTAATGCTAAACGAGTAATTTGCGAAACTACCTGTTGACAGGGACCTCCGCGAATTTTCGCACTGCTTCTCAGTGATATAAGTTTCTACTTATTATTTTTTATACATCTATTGTTTCTTCCTGGTTTCTTACATATAATTTAATAAGATAGCAGAAAATAATTGTCGCCTATATATTTACTGTTACATTTATTTCGACGTAAAACGGTGATTAAAGTGACTGGCGATAAATCGATAAAACGACGATGACTAACAGTTTTATCACAAAACATTTTCCTCGGTCGCAGAACTTTTTCTACCTAAACACGAATGAACTTCTCTACCCTTACTGTAGATTATCGTCCAGCAATTAAAAAAAACGAATATGAGTGACATATGCTCTCCAGCCTAACATCATTTTTTTGAATTAACAATAGTCTGTCCGAAGCACGAAAAAAAGTTTGATAGAACTTATGTTTTAAACCGTCTAAAATAGACTCGCAGTTCATATAGGCGGACTATAGAATTCTTCTATCTAATTTTACACGTTATGTAGTGAATCACGACAATATCCAGAGACAATCAGCTATAATAACTCAAATAACGTTTATGTTTGTAAATTGTTCGTAAATGATTATTCCTTAAACGTAAAAATTTATTTAAATAAAAATTATAATATTTATGTGTGCATTATGCATATAAAGTTTAGTATAATATAAATTTAGTATAAAAATCAATGAATAATTTTAAATAGTTTTTTGGAATTGAAACTAAATTATAAATTTCTTTTTATGCAATCAGAGAAAAATGCATATAAAAATGTAGAAAATAAATTATTTTTTCTTCTAGAATAATAGTAAGAAAACGCACGCGTGATATCACATTATTCATTACATTACAAATATGTATATATGTACATATATTATTTGAAGCGTAGGATAGAAATGACAGTATCTCTTATTTATAAATGTTTTTCCATAAGATATAATCTTATCCTACATTTTTAATATCATTATAGGAACTCTAATGCGCCGATATGCAGACATCTTATCACAGATAGATTTCTGTTACTGATATATCGAACGAATAATCTCATTATCCCACAATCGATGATCAGTATCGCAATAATTGTCCCCTCAAACGTAACGTATCGTAATAAGAGTATTACAGTAGTTCGATAAAGTTCAGGATTAATGTTAAAATGTGAGACATTTATTTTAAATTGATTTAGAAAAATTGCAAAAAATATACATGATCAAAATATAACATTAATTTATTAATTAGGCTATAAATGCTTAATGAAATAATTAATAAACTTCAAGCTGCTAATGTGCAGCGTAATGCATCGTTATCTATGCAGTTACTCTTTTAGCTCTATTGCCTCGTGCTAATAAGGCAAACATGACCAGACAACCGACTCTACCGATGCTTTACGTCTGCGGTGAGACAGATAATAATGTTAATAAAAAGGAATCGCGGGCATGGTATAGTGAGATTTTTAGTATCATGTGCGGGCATATGCAAAAGAAATGGTGCGCTAAAAATAGAATGCAAGTGGCTGAGTTAACTCCACAACTCATAATACACAATAGGGTACGGATTTAGCATTAAATATCATTTCTCAAATGTGTGCAATAATCATAATTCTCTAAAAAGATTATAGTAGAATAAGTTAATTTTCTTTCTCCATAAATTATATGAAATATATATAGCGCATTTGTAACATGATATATAAAAAATGTATATTTTCGATAAAGATAATTAAGGCTGCAATCTATCAGTGATTGACTACATGCTTCGAAATCGGTCTTTATTATTTTGAAGTATGCATACAATCACGCCAATCTCGATGTTTGGTTATCGTCACATGTTTAGTTTTTATATAAGTTATAATAAGACCTCTCAATCTATTAATTTACTACAAATGAAAGATCAAGTTAAGATCCGATTTGAAAATGTTAAAAATATGGAAAAATGTCCACGCGCGCGTCGTCGAGCGAAAATTAACAAATCACTTGAATCCACATTCTTAGATAAAGAGGAACCAGTACGTATTATAAACATACATACTTACATACGTAAATTATAATAACTTATAATTTCCTTCTCAACTATTCCATTTTCTACGTTATATTATACATTTATTATTAAAAAAATAAAAAACGTAGATATTTGAGAATCGCCAGACAGAATTAAAAGAAAAACGGTAAGACTCTTCTCTTGACCGTACTGGCAAATATTATTTATTAAATCACAACGTTTCGACCCTTCTTTGAGTCCTTATCAAGTGATTTGTGAAAATAAAAATAAAATTATAATTTTAAGGATCGAAACGTTGTGATTTAATAAATAATATTTGCCAGTACGGTCGAGAGAAGAGTCTTACCTTTTTTTTTATTTATTATTTAACTATAAATTAATTTGTGCTGTTTACAGAAGGGTCCTCAAGATCTCAGTAATTATTTGTTGACAGCCACTGTTCCCAGTATCGTGAAAGTAAGTATCGCGATATTTTTATAACAAAATTGTAATAAGAAATTTGGCTTTATAGCATCTCACCGACGTACAAATAATTTTTTTTGTCAATTTATCTAAATTATGCGACTTCTACATTGTGCAGATACTATTAGTCTTTAGTAAAGATGACCAGCAAATGGGTATACTTGCTACTGCTGCAAGAAGATTAGGTTGGAGTGTGTCGGTGGCAAAAGATGCGGAAAAAGCGATAGAACATTTTCAAAATCGCGCTCACGAATTAGTGATTATTGATCGTAGAGGACATCACGCGGCTGAAGGCGATGTTATTTGTAGGTATGTGTAGTAGATTATTTAAATATAATATATATAATAGAAAAGTATGTGTAAATAAAATATACGAAAAAAAATTATGCAGGAATTTTATAGATCTCACGTTATATTATTTGCACATAAAATAAATTGATTTTATTGAGGAAAATTGTATCATTCTTCACATAACGATAGATTATTTAGATACTTTTTATAACTTTATTTTTTATACTTTTGTATATTTTATTATATATTAATTTCAGAGCAATCAGATCAAGTCCGATATACCACAATTCTATCATAATAGCGCTCGTGAAAAAATCGTAAGTTTTACAATAATTAATCTTTTTTGTATTATTTAAGTTAATCTTACGTGTCTCTTATAGATACTTCATGCTCGACGAGAAAGACCATATTGTGGCATTAAACTTGTTAGAAACAGGCTTTAGTAGAGTAAGCATTTAAACAAATAAAAAAGTTTTAGGAAAATATAGTAAAAATTTAGACAAATTTGATATTTTTAATTTATTTATATATTTTAGGCACTGATGGAATGTTCACATGAAGGTATATTAATAAACGAATTAGTAGGAATATATACTAGCTCATTATTGCCGAGAACACAGCTCTCAGCAGCGCATGCCTTGTATTTGGCACTTGACAGATGTCGCGATATGGTGCATGTGACTAATGATAAAAACATTATACAGGTATTATAAATAATAAATTGAAATTTATCTAATTTATCAATATATATAATTTATCTTTTTTTATATTTTCAATTAAAATAAAAAAATTTTATATTTGGTTGCATGTATTGTTATTTGCACAAGATTCTAATTTCATTCAATACGAATATATGTATATACATTATAATTTCACGTAATTTTTCAGTTTTTAAATAAAGTCAGCGAAAAATTGTTAGGATATAAAACAGAAGAAATGATGGGGAGAAATCTTTCGGAGATAATCTATTACGAAAATTTTTCTCTCATGGAACAGCAATTGAGTAAAGGCCACGAATTCGAAGGAAATATGAATTGCAGGAGAAAAAATAATCAAATGATTATGATTAATTGCAGGATAATTCCATTTTGTACTACGTTAAAGTACGTTATTGTATTAATCGAAATATATTATATTTTTTTGTAAATAAAATATTTAATAATAATTTATAGATTTTGATAAAAGTTTTCCATACGTCCACGTTTTTAACATTTTTGTCAATTCTTAATACATAAATTATTTGCATAAAGTATTATTATATTCTTAAAATCTTATTTATTCGCTATTTTTTATATATCAACGATTTTATTATTTGTCTCATCAATTATTATATTTATCTATAGAAAACCGACTCATTACGTATACGTGTATGATACTACGTATCTGTCGGACAATTCAGCGCCGATAAGTCCTATTGGTAGTCCATCACATCCTCCGTTCAGAGCAAGTGTATTATCAAATGCCCGAAAATCCTCAGACGTTAAATCCGGTATAAGTGAAGGTAAAATATTTGTACAAATTATTAAATAATTATTAAATGTCATTGGTATTAATCAACCGGAGCAACAATTAGAAGAATCAATCATCCAATCGATATGAATAATTATTACTTTAGTTTATTAATATAATATTACAATATTGTTTAATATAAAAACAAGTAATACTTAGAAATGCGAGTTAGGTCATCAGCAATTTTATAATGCACTTTGCTTAACATGTGTTTATGTTAGAAAGTTATTGTGTGCATGATATCAATGTTATATATTACTATCGTAAACGTGTCAAGAAATTTTTAATAGTGCAATGTAAACCTGAAACATCTGTTATATAGATATCGGATAATAGGAAAAAAAACTTTATGTCTATCGTATTAATTTGCATCGTTGATCTATTGAACGGTTAAGCATTCTATTAATATATTACATGATTATTTTAATATTTTTACATAATGACATTTTAATACACATAATCTTAATTGATATTAAAATGAGAAATTGCGTAACAATTTTATAATTCTATATTATATTAATCGACCTTTTAATATAAAAGATCGCACTTTTGTCACAGGTCGCAGACGGTCCAGTTTGCAAAAATTGCATACCTTGCAACTAGAAGCTCCTATTACAAAAGTCATTACATTACTTTCAAATGCAGTAACTGATACTAGTCCAGAAACGGCAGCGCAGATCGGTAAAGTACGTAATTAATTACTGCTCATATGTCACCCTATAATTATGTTCATTTAATCAAATGTATGCTATACATTGTTATAAGCCATCTGCGTCTTTCAGGCAATCGATATTTTAAAGACGACAGAACTTTACATCCCGCATCTTAAGGAGGATAGAGCGACATATAGTGATCCAGTTGCGACAGACCTCGTTGGCGCGTTACTTGCTGTAAGAATTTTACTGTTTTCATAAACCTTCTCACAAAATAAGTCATAAATGTAAATTTTTAGAATGCAAAATTCTTCTTTTATTTTTTCTAATATGTCGATATTTATTGTTAAATTAACAGTCTCCGCGCACAGCATGGGAGTCTAGAAGGTCATCGTCAGATTCCGCGAGATTATCCACTATCAAAGCTATCACGAGTCCAGTCAATTCGCGCGTACAAATGAAGAATTTCCGGGGACCACAAGAAATTGCAGAGATACTTGACAAGAGCCTCGATTGGAACTTTGAGATATTTAAACTTGAAGTGCTAACGGAGAAAAGGTAAACTATTAATATGTCTTTTCTCATGATATATTGTAACAGTCTTCTAATTATTAATTTGCACCACACATCATTATTTTTGATGAGATATTTCATTCTCTTTAAATATATCGTACTATTATATCTATTTAAATAAATGATTTTTTCGCGTTTCTTTTTTGCATATAGATGTATACTACTGCCTGAAGTGATTATGCTATTTTTATAAATGTTATAGGCCGCTTGTCTTTTTGGGATTAACAATCATGAATTTGTATCAAGTACCCGCAAAATTAAATTGTGACGAGAAAACTTTGCAAAATTGGTTAACTATTATCGAGCACAATTATAGCATGGATAATAGTTATCATAATTCAACGCATGCGGCCGACGTTTTGCAAGCAACTGCGAGATTCATGCAATCGAGGAGGCTCAAGGACATTTTGGAGCCTTTAGATGAAGTTGCTGCTTTAATCGCGGCAGCTGCGCACGATATTGATCATCCTGGACGGTCCAGGTAACCTACGTTCGAAAGAAAATATATTAGCACAAAAAAACATTAAAATTTCTAATAAAATAGTTAAATATTTTTTATATTCTATTTTAATTTTTTATTCTATATAACATATTTGAAAATTATTAAAAATTTTTTAACTAATTTTTAAAAATTTTCTTAGCAAAAATTTAATTAATATATATCACTAAAAACTTTCAATCTTGAAATTGAATATATTGATCAGATTTTGAATTTAAATTCTCTTTCAGTCAATTTCTTTGCAATGCCAATAATCGCTTGGCAATACTCTACAATGATCTGTCAGTTCTCGAATCACATCACGCAGCTTTAACATTTAAACTGTCATTATCCGACGATAGTGTAAATATCTTTAAGGTAAATTTCTCAGTACATCTTGTATCATAAATTCGACAGTTAACATGTAAAATAATCCAGATATTATATTGAGTTAAATGTCTGCTTTAGAATCTGGAGCAAGACGCGTACAAACTGTTGCGACAAAATGTCATTGACATGATTTTAGCGACCGAAATGACGAAGCATTTTGAGCATCTGGCGAAGTTCATGAATGTTTGCAGCGCGAGAATTGGCGACGGACAAGAGGTAAATATATTAAGTATATATAAATTATTAAATACATTATCATAAATTTCTATTAAACCAAAATTTCTAGTATATATTCCTACGCTAATTCCATTTTCTATTCTTTTTAAAATTGATAATTATATAAATAATCTGAGATATATACAAAAGAAAAAATAATATCTGATTAATTATTACATTAAAAAATTGTTTGTAGACTTATTCAGATTCTCTAGATATGTCCGTGGTATTGCAGCCAGATAATGTAATATTGGTTAAAAGAATGATGATCAAATGCGCGGACGTATCTAATCCAACGCGACCGCTAAAGTGTTGCGTCGAATGGGCGAGACGAATCGCTGAGGAATATTTTAGTCAGGTACATATTTCATTAATAATCAAAAAGGATTGTTTATTTTAAAGAAGATAATTTATTCTTTGCATGTGCGTTTACGCCAATTATCGATAATTTTTAGACCGATGAAGAGAAAAGATTAAAGATGCCAGTAGTAATGCCCATGTTTGATAGACTGACGTGTTCAATACCGAAATCGCAAATCGGCTTCGTTGATTATATTATCAACGATATGATCGAGGCTTGGGATGGTTTGTTCCTCCTAATTTTTGCAAATTTTATTAAAATAGATATTCGAATTTTTATTATTAATATTAATGTTATTTACTTTACAGTATTTATCGACATGCCGGAGATGGTGGGCTATATGCGGCACAACTATGAGAAATGGAAAGAATATAATGTAAGATATCAGCTTTCAATTTTATCTTTAATTTAAATACTTTAAAATATAATTAATTCAATAACATACATTAGAATTTTAATAATATTTTTTTTTAGTTTTTAATATTATATTCTATAATGTAAAAAATAAAACATCTAACAATATTTTAATATTTAAATATATCATACTTTTGATCTCTGTTGGTTTAATTTTATATTTATATATTTTATGTTCTACTAATCTATTTTGTTTTAAATTGTATGTTTTATAGGAACAGGGTATATCTACTTTGCAGGATGTTGAGAAGCTGCAACAACACCCCGAAATGCACATACCGCGAGCCTCTTAATGGAAAGCGCATCGTTTAGTTTTGCTTTTCATTATTAATGCTACTATTATTGCAAAAAAACATGTGTATAGATACATTTACATATTTAAAGATAGAATAGCGACATGTCATATATACGCTTTCAAATAATTTCTATAAAAACATGTGTAATTCATCGTTTCTCTCAAACATATTTTTCTCACCCAACATTCTTTTTATTTATATATAACTTCATTTTCTTCAATGTGTGTGTGAGATACTTGTCCTATTTTAAACACATGTGACGCACATTTAGTAAGATATATATAGTATATATAAAAAAAGAAATACCTTTGCACGTAGCTTCTGCGAATGTATTACTTCGAATAAGATCTTTGCTACGTTTGATGCATGCTGGTCATTAAATTGTACATCTGGAAGCAGCTAGCAAATAAATAAGAATTCTCAAGGACATTGGCATTTACGATTTTTTTCAACCAGAACCTTAATTCCTCCTCTAATTTCACTGTTAAATTTCGATAGTGGCTACTTAGAAGGATTGGTATAATTTGAATTAAAAAAAGATTTACACATTAATATATGTCGGATTCCACTTTATTGTTTCTCTCTTAGCCAAGAAATGGTATCGGGCCTATTTCTACACGCTGCATGAATACAGAATTAAGTAAAATCAGATATAAAATAGGTATATAAGCCGCGTATCAGAATCAAATCTTGCGCATTTTTGTCAACGAATCATATGTGATTTCGGCAAATTACAAATTTTTTATTTCATGTTAACAGAAAATACGCATTCGCTCTCTCAATCTAAAACTGTTCTGACATAATATTTTTGCATCTAAAAATAATTTGATTAATGTTGTTACAAACCGAGAAGAATCGATATAATAACATCAATAGTCCATCGAGTTACAAGCATCGGACTAACGGATGATTACTATATGTATCCATCTTAAAGACTTATGTATGCTGATATATTGTACATATACATACGCTTTATTTATCATAACATACTTTCTACGGGACACGCACGAATAATCATGGTCGTTTTATCCAGTATCAATATATTTAGTTTTTATCCCTAGAGACAATCAGAGTATCGAGTCATTTTTTAGAGTTTTTATCTGAAGTCTGTGACACGTAAACATGAAACATTTCACGACAATATCTCGGAATAAAGATAGAGAGATAAGAGAATCTCTTAAGGTATTATATTATAAGATTTCTGTCTGGAATTATCGATTAATTATTATTGTTCGTTGAATGTGGTATCGAGTGACAAATAGTATCGCGCGGTAAGTAATACCGCGCGTTATATAAGTAGATAAAGTAATAACTTAATTACAAGCTTATATATATGTATGTATTATTACTACTATAATAATGCCACATAATATGATTCGTCCGAAGAGCTAAGAATTACGCTTAAAATTAGATTACTTGCGTTTTCTCCCGATACACTCGCCACAAGTGCTTTTCGTTAAATTTATATAAATTTGCGATTCACTTTTACATGTCTCTCGATCGAATAAATAATTTTTCTGAAAACCAAAATGTACCCATCGATAAATTTCTGTTCTGAGGTCTGAAATTCGTTTGCTTTTTCGTCAGTGAGATATTGCAAAAATGATTATCCAGGTGGGCTATTTCGTTAGAGATATTTTGGATTGCATGACTTAAATGCGAATGTATATTTTTAGACGAAACGTGGATCAGGAGCTATTTTCAGTATTCAAGATTGTTTCATTAGCACTTGCCGCTAGTAGATGGAATTTGCGGAGTAACGAAGTAATTTAGTATGCAAACATCTTTATATCTAAATATATTATTCTTAGCATTAATAGTACATACACGTAAGTTTTACATATTTTTTTGGCGACGTGCACGTCATTTTTTAATAATTGTTTTATAGTTGATTTTATGCCTTTCCTCTATAAAGGAGGGTTTATCAATCAAGCTTATACATAATCCGCGTAGCAATCCGCTTAAATCGCCGTCTCTAAAGATTGTGATTCATTGTTCAGAATTATCTCGCGAAGCGATGCACGCAAAACTCATCTAACTTTTGTGCGGACGAAATGTGCTCACGCAATTATTGAGACCGAAATGAATTAAATCTGAAAAATCCAAAAGTGCTGACGGCTCGACGAGATCTACACAAGAATCTACGTCGCTAATTAACGCGCAAAGCTAATGTCAGGACCATTAATTATACAACATTCCGCATACATGCATATATGTATATCTATATATTAAACGAGAAAGAAGCAAATCGAAGGAAATGTGTAGCTTTAAAAAATGCGTATAATCCAATATCCTAAAATAGCACACTTTGGGGGTAGCCCACACTTAAAAAATGTACTTTTAGCACTTTCCGTGTTTTTTTTTCTACATTTCTGGTAATTGTCGATCTAAATATTTCCTCGTGAGATCAAAATGTTTCTCATCTATGCTCGGATCTCAGTTTTATTTGCGACACTCGAAAAAATATCTCCAGTATTTGTTACGATTTGGGAATAAGCCAACTTTCAAGCTGATCGTTTCGACTGATCGAAAATTTTTATCTCAGTCAAGTTCTCTATTTTTCGTGATTTTGCCCAGCAAGATACGGTCGGAGCGAAAAACTTTAATTCATTAATACCAGTTCATTAATGTCTCGTTTGGTGATGCAACGTCAGTTCTTTAATTCGCTACAATGTTAAAGATGCAACATCTCATTTCGACAACGAAATTACGCGTTCTAATTCTTTCTTGGAATTTCCAGACTGTTTTTAAAACACAGCTGTCTAAAATTGATATCGCTCACTATTACGTCATCCCGCTATCGCAATAATTCAGAAGAGGTAGCAAATTCGATGTCACAAAAATAGAAAGATTCGACAACATATCGACGATGTGTGCTTAGACGATCAGAGATAATGTCACTATCACAGACGAATTATATCGAGTCTATTTCTTGCACATCGTCGATTCACACGTCAGATATTTCAGTTTAGATGGTGAGATGCAACACCTTGTAGCAATCGCGAGATGACGAATCAATGCAGGAATACGGTGAAGATCGAAATATGTAATTGTCACGAGAAACAGCGAGAATGTACAAAGCTCGAGTTAATTATGAACTAACCGTAAGTATTACGGAGTCAGTTTCGATAGCCAAAAGCTTGTAGCGCGCGTAGGAAGTATTCTTGAATGTATTCTTGGAGAAGACAGTCAGTGAACGTCACGTGACATTGTAAGAGCACGCCTCCGCATCGCGGCTTTATTTAAGATAGATCCGCGATTCGCGCCCGAATCAGAGAGAAGTCGACTCCGGAATTGTTTGGTGACCTTCAAGTTGACCGATCGGCTCTTCACGTTCCACGTAAAGTACGATAGTACTATGCTCGTTTTTTACGTTACACGTTTTTCTCTTCGCGAATGTGTGTACTACTGGAATACTTTCTTTACCTCACGTCCTTACTAGCCCACTAACAGCTTGTAAGTCTAAGTCGCTTAGCGTATAACTTACGGTAATCTTAGAATTATTTACTTAAAAGTAACGTTATTCGTCTACGTCTCTATATTTTTGTTTCGTCTTTTAGATCAGGATGTGAGCTTATCGGTACGTTTTGTGCGAAATAATCTTAAGCTAACGGTCCTTATATCCTCATCTGTGAAAATCTCCCCCACTGAATTACCATCGCGAACGGACATCAAGGATACGTATCCTTAGTCGAAGGAGAAAGAAAAGGTGATTATGAAGAATTTTAGCGCGAGATCTTTAGTCGTTAATTTGATTGTGTTCGGTGATCGTAAATCGCGTGTTTGGATGCGTGTATGATCCTTAGTAACGTTTAATAGTGGGGGCGTGTGACTTTAAACTAGTACCTGCGCTATCTGATTAGTCATCGTTGTTCCATCGCGTAGTTGGTCGATACTTAAATCCCGATAATCCATCGTCTTGAGATTTCGAGTTTAAACTCCCTATACGTAATCTTACGCGAACGGACTAGCTTTGCTGTGTTTCGGTCGAGCTCTCGCTGTCTTATGGCTTATGACTACAGTTTAAACTTTATTGAATTTTTTGTATTTTTCCGAGTATCCGTCGTGAGAAACCGGTTTCTATTCGATTTACTAATAATCTCCCTTTCGTTTACTAGATGTTGCCTTTAATTCTGTCAATGCGAGGATTCTATTGCCATGCGAGAGAGAAGTCGTATTCTCCGAGGTATTAAGTATCATCTGCAGTACTGTATTGCATTGAAGGATTCGTCTATTGCCCGTGAATGGCAAGAATTTCAGTGAGAGTGAAGAACTTCCCGTACGTGTTACGTTTAACGAAGGGAGAGTGTCGTTTTGATGTCGATTTTTATTTTTTTTTTTTTTGTTTTACGTACAGTACGTGGTTCACGTGTCGGCTAACGCGTTCTTACGTTCCCCTAAAAACTATCACTTAACCAACGAGTAGTCTAGAGTAATTATAATTACGACATATGCGGTCGAGAAAACGAGACTCTCTTATTGTGACCTTTACTTATAAATGCGTATGGCATCGTCGCCGTCTTATATTCGTCCATTCCGGAATGGATGACGCGGATTTCGATAAGTCTTTTTTTTTTTTAAATCGAGGTGTACTTCGGCCGACGTGTAGAATCGTGACATTGGTTTTTCTTATTCTAAGATCGCGTGTGCCTGTCTATGTGCTCGTACATTAATAGTGTTCCAAGTAAGTTCGAGAGATTAATTATACACTTAACGATAGTCCTAGAAACATCATCCGATGAATTAAACACGAGAACTAATGATTTTATCGCCTTTGTGCAGTCTAGCTTAATTCTTAATATCTATACGTAGAATTAATAGTGCATATATATATACATATAATACATATATGCATGTATATGTATGTATATATGCTATAGTTGTGATATTTAACCGCCAAACTTCATTCACGCGTATTTCTCGCCCGGGACGTCTATATTGTATTCTTTCGTATTTCTATAAAATTGTATATTTCTCTTTGTTGTTCGAGCACCGATCGGTCATTATTGATTGTTCGATTGTGATTCGCAGATGTCGATTGTGCCGATGGTTTTCCGCGATTGGTGGGACGATATCGATCGTCCCGTCTCGCGACTTTTGGATCAACACTTCGGCACTGGCCTCCTTCGAGATGATCTGATCTCGAATTTCACCGGTCTTGGTCTCAATCGAGCCCCTTTACGCTCGATTATCGGAAACACGTACTATCGACCATGGAGGAACGTGGCGCGTCAGAATTCAAGCGGATCTAGCACTATCCAGTTGGACAATGATACTTTCCAGGTTGGTATTTAAAACGATTTCGCGCACAGAAGTGAAATAGAATGTCGCGTGATGCGATCAGATCGAAAGTGAAGTTGCATACTGTTTTTCTTTATGAATATCTATGAGCAAAAGAGAATTTTTATGTGCAACTTGTCTTCTGCCTTTGTCAAGGGATCAGCGAAATAATACGTCTAAAGTCTAAAGTATCTATTTTCAAATTTGTCTGCTCATTGAAATTTTGAATAATTTTATTAATCATATTTTACTGGATTATTTTACTCGACTGAGATGTGTCAAAATATCTGTTTATTTCTGTTGTCGTAATATGCAATTTTATTCAAAAAGATGTTGCCAAGGAACTATTTTTTGTATCACTTGCTGTGTTCGAATTAATACTTTCTAATTATATTTTTATATTTATTTCCGTTTGCTAATTATTATTAATTATTATTAAAAATTTATACAGTTTATTGCTTCGAAAAATTCTCATAGAACCAACGTGGAAATTTTTCAATGAACTTTTTAAAGAAATATATCTCTTTTTTGTGCTCGTACATATTACGTGACGTTACTGTAAAACGATTTTGTGTTATTTACATCACCAAACGACTTTTTGCTTTGTCTTTACATTTATGATAAAACACAAATGATGGCCTAACATTAAAAGATTTGCTTTCTAAAAATAGTTTTGCTTTTGCTGGTATTTTAATTGCTAGGATTTGTCATTGTGTCCATAATTATTGGTTTAGAATGTGCATTTATGCGCATTACATGATGTTTAGTTTAGTTGCGCTCAAGTCTTGCGATCAAATGGGCTTATTGAAATGACATCTTTTTGCTAAAATTAATTTGCAAAAAATGCCTCATAAATTTTATCCTGTATACGTCAGTTCAAGATATCAGCTAATGATTCAGTTTAATCCCCCGGATCCTCTATTCGTATAGTCATTAATGCGATAGCATTTTTTGTCAGGAAAGTGTTAAAAGCTTGCTTATACTTAAAAATACATTATAGGGCGGAAGTACTGCTGCGATGGTCCAATTCCGTCTTTCGCAGAATCCTGCCGAAGCTGGCAGGATTTTGCGAAAGAAAGGAATTGGCCAGAAATTATTTAAAACGCAATAAGAAGTTCAAAGATCAAATCTATCTTTCTTACGCAATAACCGACTCAATAATAATAATCGATAACACAAATCGACGATAAAAAGCGATTATCACCACTCAATTAAATTTGCAATTCAAATCTCACCGCTAATTTCACCTCGAGAATATTTTTATTCTAAATTGCTTATAATTTCTGAAGCCGCTTTTGCGTAGATACGAGTTTTTGCAAAATTTCTGGAAGCAATTTGATATTGTGCGATCTCAAAATGTGTCAGACGGAAAACTCTCTATTTAAGATATTTTCTTGTCACATGTGCGTTCGCTCGTTCGATTTTTGGTTTCAGAGTGCGGCAAGAAAACGCAAAGGAGCAACGCGCGTTAAAATTATCACGGAATGTCCCGAATGCGAGTGAGCCAGTATATTATTTTTAGACGTGTTTAGAGCGTACTTTTATTCGTTATGAGTGAGAACGCAGAATCGCCCACGGCTATCGCGCAATTTTCCATAGTCCAAGGAAAATTACGCGATAGCCGTCGCGATTCTGACACGACTGTTCAGAAGTGCGATTTACAGATCGAGTCGGAGCAAAAATTTACAAGAATTCGCGATTCGGGATGATATGCACGCGATTAATATCTAGAATTAACACGCGCTGCGAATATACCGATTATCTTACGCTGCAGTTATTCTAAAACACACAAGATATAAGTCAAGAATCCCAAGAACCTCAATCGAATGCTCTGTTGTCGCGTTCGCGAGTATCGATTTAGATCAAGCCTAGATCAATTTGCGAAAGGCACTCCCCTCTTTCCCTCAAAAAGATTTCCACGAGGATAAAGGGCTGTCTCGTTGATTATTCGACGTTCTTTAAAAATCTTCGATTATATTCTCATAAATTCAAACTGGATAAAACGCCCGCAAAGTCGTTAATTTTCGATCCCCTTAGATCTTCTCAACTATATTTGCCTCAGATTTTTAATGTAACTTAGTAACTCGACAGTATCGATCGTTAATTTGCAATTATGCTCACAAAAGTCGCCAAACTAGTTTCGAATTCATAAATGCGCGCTGGAAATACGTTTTATTCGCCGTGAAAGTGTCGTGACACGTCTAAATTCATGAATTCGCAAAAGAGAGAGTTATCGGCCTGTTATAAACGTTATTTATCTTATCTCGTGGAAGTTCGATGATACACCAGCGAGTGAAAAATAACCGGTTTATTGTTTTCCTCTTTTTTTTATTTTTGCGATAACAACTTAATCACGGTCTGAAGCGGCGATCACTCTTTTTTTCTATAGTGGTGGTCATCTATGTCAAATACAAAATGTATAACTCGCCTAAACGTTTCCTAAACTCATGAATTCGCACGTCGTCGGTACGTCGAAATGAGATTTATCGCGATTTTGTTGTGGATAAAAGACCGGACAGTTCTAAATTCATGAATTCAAGATTACTCTGATCCAATGCGTTACAATTACATTTCCGTTGAGGAAGTTTGATGATACAACAGCGAAATGTGATCGGTTTGCGCGTTTATAACTTAGGCTGAGACACGACTTAAACTGACGATCTCTTTAGTAATTCTTTTTTTGGTGTTTACAATTTGAGCGCGATTTGTATCGGACGCAAAACAAATTTTGCATCAAATACAAAGAGTCTCGAAAGTGGTATATTCTATAAAAAAAATACGATATATATAATAAGTGTAAACTCTTTTCGTGTTTCCTTTTCTATCGAAAAAACAAGTAGCGGCGAATCGTAGTTAGATTTCGAAATCTAGAAAAGTCGCTGGAGAAAAATGACAAGATATGACGGGAGTAGATGACGAAGGGGGATGACGAAGAGACGCATTCGTAAGAGGGAGAATAAAAGAATAAGGGAAAGGGAAAGGGAGAAGGGTTAACGGGAAGAGGAATGGGTTAACAGAAAAGATTAAAACGTTGCAAACGGAGGTTCTGTCTAATGGGACTCGAATATTACTTTCAAAGGGATTGACAAATCGGCCACGTGGCCATTAAAATAATTGAAAAAAAAATTAAACTCAAATTACACGAGGGGATTCAAACGCAAGGAACGAGAGAAACTCAACGCCTGCTAGAATAACTAAAAAAACGAACGAAAAATCCGGAACACCAGAAGGCCCAGAAAGCTCTGATGGCTGCATCTGCTGATGCTGCCGCTGTCTCTATCACAATGCATGCACATTATATTTAATCATGTGAATGCGACGCGAAGTCGACCGAAGCGGCAGCTCGGTAATTTTTTGACAGGATGATTCGAGTGTTCGATCGAGATTATTTTCGCTCGGGGTAGGATAAGTGGATATTTTTTTAATAATCCTTCCCCTCGACGAGAGAAAGTATACGAATAAAAATCGGATCGGAGAGACGACTTTTCCGTACTTTTTCCGGATAAGCTGTTTTTGTCTACTTTTTTCTTTCTTTTCTGTCTTCGAGAGACGCTGTTATCCTCCTCGTTCGCCAAAATGTGTTCTACGAAAGATACGTATCAAAAGAGGATGATCGCGCTGCGCGATCTCCGATCAGTCGCGCTAATGTCTCAAAATCTCTATGAAATCACAGTTTTACCACCATAGTTTTCTCGTTTTATATACCCCCGTCTCTTCAATCTTTTCTTTTTTTTTTTTTGTTATTTTAGCTCTTTCTGCGATATTTTTTCCTCGCGCGATCGCGCGCACGGTTTGCCTGCCGCAGCTCTGAAATGATCCTCCGTTCCGCTGTACTTTCTACGCTCTTGGTTCAAAGTCGCACGCGAGAAATCGCGCGCAGCAGCCACGGAATAAAATATGCAACCGAAAGAGTGGATTGTATCGTTATATATTATCGTGTCGCGCTTAATCAGTCTTGTTCATTGAAAGAACCGAGACTCGCGGCGTCGTTCCGACGAGCGGACGCGCCCCCTTTTTCGAAGGGGGCGCCGCTCACGCGAACGAGACCTCAGGCCCCGATCCTTCTGGCTATAATCTCTATACAAAAATAAATGCTTTTTTGGAATACCCTCAACAAGATAGAATAATCGTACAAAATTTGACGTTTGTTTTTTTTCTCTTACTCGGAACCCTTTTTTACTTTTTTATTTGTACAAAATATGTCGCTCTGCGCGCAGCACTCGAGTCGACCGTTTACAGATCAGTGTTACTCCGTATAACTTCTTTTATCTTTCTCTTCTATTCTTTTTTTTTTTTGGTACTATTTTCGAAATGCACAGCCAATCATCCTCCACCTAACTTACTTTGCGTTCACGCTCACCGAGCTTCAGGATCACGCAGGGGATCACCTGGAGAAACTCGGTTCACCTATTTTTACTACTGTCGGTTGTTGAAGCTTCCTGCTTTATACCGTTACCTGTCTGATATATTTTTTTTATTTTTGTATTTTTTTTGCAATTTTTCTCCCGTCAAAGAGCGAACCGCTCGGCCATGAAAAGGATCGGCCACCGCGGTCGCGACCGATCGCTCCCGGGGCACGACCGCACAGCACTCGCGATCGGTACAAAGATATATAATCACCTACTTGTATGTGTGTATGCTCGTTTTTTGGTTGTCAAAAAAAAAAGGAACAATCTCACACAAGTAGGTGCGCTGACAGCTACATCTTCCCGGTTTGCTTTTGTACCATTTAACGCGCTTTAACGCGCGATAATCTAATGAGAGACGCGGCGGGATTACATATAAAAGAGAGTTACGCGAGAAATCGAAAAAAAAAAAAGATAGAAAATACCTTTTGCGACGCGCTTATTTGACGGTCAAGACGAATCTAAAAAGTTGGTCGAATTGACATTTTCTTTTCTCGTAGCAGAAACTTCAACAACCGGGCCTAATCGGCGGGATCGCCCCGGCCGGCTCCCTAAACGCGGAAATATGGAATAACAAATACAAATTAAATGAAATGCTGGTCCAAATAGTTTGCCGAAACGATTGTGCGCAAGCTAATTTTATGTTAATACGATTTATAATGTACGCATGGCGTTTGAGAACGAAAACTCTTCCAGAGAAGAATTTTTGCTCCAAAAGAGAAACCCAAAATATAAGTGCTAATTTGTCAGACAAGAACAAAATTAAATGGGCCTCGTTGTTTAAAATTCGATCATAATTTTCGGAGTAAGTTTTAGGGAAGAAATAATACTTGCGCTCTATGGATGCATAGTCAGAACGATGTGCGTTTGCGTTTTGCTCTCGGAAGAATGCAAAATTTCAGTTTCTTGATGACGCTCTTGGAAAGAAGATCCTGAACGAAGCTAATAATTCCTGGGGGGGCCTTTTCACGGGGCCGCGCTCTCTGATCCGCAGGTAATACTGGACGTGCAACAATTCTCACCGGACGAGATCTCGGTGAAGACGGTCGACAACCACGTTATTGTCGAGGCCAAGCACGAGGAGAAGCAAGACGAGCACGGCTACATCAGCAGGCACTTTATACGCAGATACGTCCTGCCGCCATCTCACGACCTCGTCAATGTCACCTCGACTCTCTCCTCGGATGGTGTACTAACTGTCACGGCACCCAAAAAGGTACGCTCGACCGAGCCGAGACCCACGTTAACATCCGCCCTGCCCTTTCATTCGCGGACTCGACCGCGAACGAATAGAGCCTCTTTCTCTCCTCTCACTTTCCCTTATTAGCCCCTTCTCTCGCTCTTTCTCCCTCTCTCGTCTTTGTTATAGCTGGTGCGGCTTACGTTACATGTTTGAATTTTTTGCTTTTCGATTCCAACGTTCCCAATGCTGTGCCTCAGTGTGCGGTATTAGAGAAGGCAGATGATGCCGACGGTTTTGGATCAAACTACGAGTCTGCTCTAAACTACAAAACAGAATATGTCTCGTTAACGTACGAAATTTAACACGCGACGTCTGGACAAGGCACATTTTGTTAAATTAGTGTACGTCGATTTTAAAGGAAATTATACATATATTCAAATTCGATGATACTATACGAATCTGTCGCAATAGAATGATAAGAATATTTTATAGCGTTTTTATGTATACTTAATATTCTTATGTTTAAAAAAACAATTGCATTTTTAATGAGTTTCGAAAATCAAATTCTATTAAAATCGATGACACTTATTATTAATATTTAGAAATGACATTTTTGTATTTTTTTTTTTTTTACTTTTATCATTTCGCTTATTAATTATACCCTCAAAATTTGAGATTGGATTTCAAGTACATTTAAATATAGAGAATCAATTTTAATTTAACCATACTAAAGTTTTGATTATATAAATTAATAATATATAATTATAATTTTTTTATAATGCTTCTAATATAAAAAGTTAACTTTAGAAAATCGTTTTTTCTATACAATAGACATAAAAATAGTTCAACGCCATACTTATTATTATACGGCTTGTTAAGCTATAGCTCGCATTGATTTTAATCATCATATTTTTAGCCCTCCTAGTTCATTATCCATAAGCATAATCCTATTATAACTTAATGAATGATACATTATCTAGTGTCTAGACCTTATACGTACTCACCTATATCTCGAAGTTCTCTTCTCATATTTGTTCAAAGTGTGAAGGTATTTCAAACTCTAATTCACGCCTGTTATCGTCGTGTACGGATTGTTCAAGCACCGACCCCGTAGGGTGCACTAAAAAACAAAACATTAACTATTACAATTCGCTTATTTTAATTTCTAACGATATTTTACCGGGCATTTTTTTCAGAACATAACGCCGGCTGGGTCGGAAAGAGTCATCAATGTTATTCAAACGGGAGTACCAGCTGTCAAGCCGGTTCCCGTCGAAACAACAACTACAACCACTTCCACCACTACCACCGACTAAAAAATATATCGTCTGAAACTTTCATTCCGGCATTCATTTTGCTTTACTTTTTCGATTTTACCATTGATGTAATAAAACAGTTTTATAAAACAATATAATAATTGTGCCATAATTTTTACACAAGTTTTTCACTAATAATTATCTTTAATACATCTTAAAAATATAATTTTTAGCATGTTATAAAATAATATTTTGTTATATCATATAAAATGTATGATTGCGCAATGTTATTTTCTTTCAATGTTTAATAAAAATACTCGAGTTATTGCTTTTAAAGTTGATTTGAATTTATATATAATAAATTAATTCTTTTCTCTTGTTTCTTTCAAATCATAATTTAGAAAGGAGGATAAATAATCTAAATTTCTAAGAGAAATATATACTATTTAGCCTCTTTTCTAAAAGATAGTTAAATAACAGTAAAATTTAATTGACATTATATTGAAAATCAGTCTAATGATCAAAAACATATATGTATATAAATAGAATTAAGAGAAGATTGTTAATTATAAAATAAAGATTTCAAAATAATTCAGCTTCTTTCATTACTTCTTCAATACTTTAAACAGTTATATAGCAAACGAATCATTTCCAATTATCCTTTAAATTCTCATCACAAGATGATCAAGGTCAAGCGTGACGTCAACCATATTCGTCACTGGGTTACGATGGAAGCGTCTACTAAATCTACTCCAACTAGACTAGTAGTAGGTCAAAACAAATCTCATATTAAACTTTCTGCAAATTCTAAAATAAGGGAAACCCAATTAAGGGATACCTACGGTAAACTGTCGCGCTCCGCACCTAGTGCCCGCTCGCCTACATTTTCCCGTGCCGGCGGTCTCGACGAAATAAGAAGCCCAAGTGTGTTACACTGATGGTGAAGGGTGAGGGGGTCTTCGGGTGTTCTCTGCGTCCGAACTGAACCAGGGTTTGTTTACGAATGCGCCGAGGCGGGCCGGCCGGCTGCCTTATATAGGCGCGCGCGCCTTGCCGCGTCGCGTCGCAGCGCCGTGGAAGCTTCGAGACCACCGCACCGACCTCACACATAATGCGCAATTGCATGCAAACGATCGTTTCGGGCCCAGGACGGGCCCGGGGACGTTCGCGATCACGATCTTCAGCTTCGCCAGGTCGAAATCTGTCGACCGGAACGTGCGCCGGGATGTTTTTTCCACGGCGTGGCTGCGAAATCAACAAATACCAAGTATTGATCGGCCCAAAGAGAGACGACGGGGTTTCTGGCATGTTCGCTCCGACCGGGCCCCACCATACCACCCAACTCACACCACGATGGTACTCCGCCGCCTCCGCGCGCTCCACCATTAACACGGTCAACCGGTATATGATATAATGCTGATGCCTGTGTAACTTAATGTAACCTTCCCGCTGGTCGATGCCTGTGTGTATCTCGTTTGTTTTGTATCTCGAAGAAAGAATCTGTATATGTGTGAGGATCGAGTAAAAAAAGAAGTGATTATCTTGGAGCCTATTGCGTAGCAGAGTTACTGCGCAGAGATTCCCTTTATATAGATGCAATCTTCAAAAACAACCTTGATTCGCCCTAGTTCTAGGCTTTTATTTTTTTTTCTTTGGGAGTAGTTGTGTCTACGTTCAGGCAGACTGATTTATAGACTAGAAGATATACATTCCTAGACCTAGACACACACACACACACAGACATACATGATAAAATTCGTATACACTTTGCAACGTCTGCGATATAAAGATTCTGTGTTATTGCCAAGAGATAAGGTCGGTTTTATTAGTAAACAGATTAGAATAGAATTGTTTTTGTTAATACTTGATGAAGCGGTGCTAAAAATTGAGGGAAGGGGCCGGCACGTTGTGATATAATATTGCGTCACATCGCATGCGTGTTCCACGTCGAAATGTTAAAACGCAATTTCTTCGGCCAGAAACGTTCGCGGTGGGATTTCCGTACTGCGCAGGCAGCTCGGTGTGACCTTCAAGCCGTTCCGGCGTGGTTTTTTTATCAGCTCTCGAACGAATGACAGCTATTTTTACGTGATTTTGAGGCGCGGTTGGGGCCTGGCAGGCCACGCGACTCCACGTATTTACAAATACACGAGTTGAATAACGTGTGATACGATGATAATATGCGAATGACCAATTGACATACAAATGTAACATCGCTGACGACAATTGGAGATAGAAACATATCACCAAGTATCGCTGAGGCATCGGTCGAAGATGATTTTCGCTTGCAAAAAACAAGCAGAATCAAGCGGAAAAAATGAATCTGCTCTCATTCATTAAAAATCGGAACGTCTTCATGTTGCGAGCACCGAGCTACGACATAATAGCAAGGATACAACCGGATTGCATAATATTACGTTCGTTCCTCTTTCGGTGTATCATGTACCGCTCTATCGATTTCCTTTTCATATCGCTCGTTAGACCGACTAACACAAACGTATCTCAACTATGAAGGTCGGTCTTCTCTCTTTAGGCAGACGCAATTAATGCAATTTTATTCAGGAGTATATAAGGGTCGCGCGCGCCAGATACTTATCTCTCCCTGCGAGATCGCCTTTTTGTAGGTCGCTAACAACGGCTGGCGGATTAAGCTCGACGGAAGGGTGAACGAAACTACTTCATACAAATATGCACAATGTGCGTTGCGATACCTCGTTACATTCAGGTGTCATTCAGAACGACGTAATGAAATGCGAAAGTTAGACGGTTGCCAACTATGTTGCATTGAACTGCGTGATGATCTGTGGGAACTTTCTCAACGACGTCTCTCTTGTTCCGATTTCAATTAGTTGGAGCTAAGATAATGAGTGGATTAAAAACATCACTTAGCACAATCATTTGAAATTAATCAATCTTCTCGGAGATATACCTTTTTTTCAATCTCAGTGGATCACTCGGTCAAATCGATTTATATAGTTAGAGAAGATTATAATAACATTTTTTTTCTTATCTCAAGAGAGAAATAATATATACCTCGGATATTATAATCTAAGTTTCTTGTTTATATCGCAGATAAATTTAGAATGCATGGTACAAACATTAAGCGTATTGTGATGTTGTTTATGCATTCGGATTGTTTGATTTATAAATATTATATAATTTCTCAAGAGACGAATAACATTATTATCAGCGAATAAATAAGTTTCATCACAAACATAATATATACATTTCCATATATATATATATATATATATATATATATATATATATATTATATTTGCGCGATTCATTAATATTAATAATAATTACTTCTTTTTATAAATAGATAAATTTGTGTTGGATATCAATAAATATCTGTAAGCGAATTTGGTTTATAAGCGCAGACATTGCAGTTTAGAATATTCCAGTGAGAGCATTCGAGGTACAGCTGCAGCAACTAATCGATAGATGCATGAAGTGAATTATAGATATAATATATATAAAGTGCGCGAGTATATTCGCTGTCTCCAATCAACAAAATAAACACGTCCATTATATCTCCAGCGCATCTATTATTTCTCTTCACAATTGTCTCTTGCGATAAAAATGGAAATTAAAATAGCAAGAAAGAGCTTAATCATTCTGCTGTATCATAAATTATAAAATGCTGCATTTTAATCTCTGCAACTGATATTAATACTTTCAATCCAGATATAACAATTTTACATAATAATACGAGAACATAAATTCCGTTTTTATAATGCACGGTATATTTTTCTAATGTGGCAAAAAACTATAACTGCGTAAAGTTAGAATGTTTCCCTCACGTCCCGTTTATATTAAACTCAAGCAGTTGTTTATACTTCGTATCGCAGGCAAGCTAATATCTCCATACAAGGACAAACAACTATTACGCAATAGGAACGAAAATGCCCCACCCTATAATCAGACGCGCGCGCGCGCGCGAACTTTACTCTGCGAGAGAGAAAAAGTACTACGTCGCAAATATTCTCCCTCCGATCGTTGCTGTAAAATTTTCTTTGCTACCCAGAGGCATCGCGAGTTATCCCTTCATCAACTCGCTATATATTATAAATAACGAACACTCAACCTGGATGGCTTCGTGCTTCCCCGAGCACACGATATAACCTGCCCTGCCCGTTGGACTAATTTTAGTTACCTCGCCGGTAAAGCGCGCGACCTTGAACTCGAGTCACAGTCACGCCGGGTTGATGTTGCAGTCGGGGCGGGATACGATATACACGCCAGACAGTTCTCGCAAATCTCAAATTCCGGTCGCGCGAACCGGATCAGTTGACAGGCAAAGCCGGATCGCATCGATCCGTCTGTGACACTTGCGACGTAACAATGTGCCTGGAAAGTACGCATTATCGCAGGGTGTAGCAGGATAGATTCGAACCCAGGGTGTATACGCAGGTGTGGATGTGGTCCGGCGCGCGTTCTCGAAACGTCCGTGAAACGCCCTGCTATCGATCGCATTCATGACCAGGTCCTAGCCACCGAGAGTGTGTCGCTGGGTGAAGGTTGATGAACTCGTTGTAACGTAATGTTTGCCCGATCGATGCATATCCCGTGCATCGGATAAATCGCAGTAGGATTGTGCGAGCTGTAATCTTGTAAGATTATGCATTAGGAATGTCGCGCATACACCCTGCTTCGAACCCAGGGTGTATACGCAATGCTGCGTATACACCCTGGGTTCGAATCGTGAACATCTTTGTGCAGATCTAAATATATATTGTATTGTTTTCTATAGCGCAGTTAGGAACATGTATTTCATCAATTTCATATTATGTGTCTCTGATCAATATATCAATTATTTGTAGAAAAATTGATTATTGCTGTAATCCTTTTATCACTACTTTTATAAATACTTTGTTCACTGGATAAATATATTCCAGAACAAAATTAACGAGATAATATAAGGATAACTTATTTGAAAGAAATCTGGATTAATTTGTGACATTATTGTAAAGATTAATAATGAAATTTATGTTAAATATGTGTGTGCAATTCATTGCAATCGCATATATAGAAATCTATATAAGAATTATAATGTAGACATAAAGATATACATATTTATATATTAAATATAATTATATATTAAAAAAGAAAATTAAACATAATATAATAATAAAATGGAAAATGTATAATATTTATATCTATGCACATACAAGTTTACATATACACAACACATAATACACACAAATATACACATTGAGAAGAAGAGTACATCTAAAAGTAAAGAAATAAAAATAATACTCAGCGTGGGTTCTCTCAACGTCCTGGAAATTTCCAAGAGATGCACTTCTACCGTATTAGATCTCATTCACGATGACGTTTTATTTTGGAATAGAGGAAAGTTGAATCTTTTTCAATATAAAAAAATATAATATAAAAAAAGAGAATATATAAAGAATATAATATTAAGAAAAACAAACTAAAAAAATTAACTTTTAAAAATTATATATATGTGTACATGTAGGTATTTATATGTACAATTATGTTATATTATATTTTGTGTACAAGGCGTCTTAGAATCATATGCTAATGGCAGATTTTTAATGAGATAATTTAGTGATGATTGATGATTTTTCCTCAGTGAAACAACAGGTATCAATAATTGTCGAGCTATAAGCGATTTAAAAGAAGAATTTTTTGCAAACTAAACTTTTATAGAATAAAAATTACCCTAAAATTACATTCTTCAGTTAATTTCACGCAGAATTAATTTTAATAGAATTTTAATTTAAGGTTTAAGTAGGTATAAAGATATATGATTGCAAAAATTGAACACTAGTAAAAAATAATGACCTCTTTCGATATTTTCGTTGAGAAAAATTTGTCTCTAAATGATCTGTTATTAATAATGTGATTCTACGATATCCTGTGTGTATTTATGTGCGTATTTGTGTATGTATGTATTTGCGTGTGAGCGTGTATATATGTATATGTATGTAATATATATGCAGATTAGATAAACAGATCTGCGCCATGCAAAGGTACGCGATGTTCTTTTATATGTATATTATGATGTACATATACACATTGTAATATATTTATAAATATTATACATATGTACGTTAATATATATATATATATATATATATATATATATATATATATATATGTGTATAGAGATATAAGGAATATCGTGCATCCTTGCGCAGATCAATTTTGCTTGCAGTGGATCCACAACTTATCAGTTGAGAAAATGTATTATTGTAATATTCATGCACTCTTTATTACAAAAAAATTAATATTATTAATTTTATAACTAAATTCTAGTTTAAATTAAATAATATTGATAGATTATATATATATTTATTTATTTATATAACTTTAATTATTAATAAAAATTATTGAAAAGAAATTGATTCAATAGATTTAAGTATCTATAAATAATTATTCTATTTTCAATTTTTATATAAAATAAACATTAAAAAAAAAGAGAAATTGTTATTGCAAGTGACCATCATGATGTTACATCCGCCATCTACTAAAGCTTAAAGTTACTGTAGAGAAACCTGACCAATAGATGATAATTTAAAGCAAATATTTTGTATGATGTATAATTGAGTATTATGTAATATATGTAGATAACATCATAAATGTGTAGAACTGAAAAATTAATCAAACTAAAATTGTTAATTATATTAATTTACGCAGAACATAAAATTGTTGAAGTTAATATTTACTTATATTGTACAGATTATTCGATTGTGACAAGACGTTAAACGATTTTTCATCAATAAAATCAATAGATTCCTTTTTGCTTAGTTGCTTTTCTGCAAACAACACTTGATAAGTATACGTTCCAAGTAAAGCTCCTAAGATAGGACCAAGCCAATAAATCTAAGAAGAAGAAAATCAATCATTTAATAAAGGAAATCAACAATTTAATAAAAGTTTAATAAAAATAAAATAAAAATTAAAATATATTATTTTTACAGCATATTAAAAGTACTCTTAGAAAGGAAATACATATATATATATTTTGTTCCTATATAAATATTTATTGCTTAATCGCATAAAATTGCAGAAGACTGCGATTGGTATTGAATTAAAAAGATTTCTGATATATGACGTTTAAATAAATTGATAAATATGATTTGATTTGATCAGCATTACGTTCAAGTGACTTATATATTCTTATCACGTGAACAATATCCAATGTTATAAAAATTATAACTAATTAAAAGGAAATTAACGTAATAGGATTTCTGCATATCTTGTATATAATTTAAACTTATATATTATATAACAATGAAACGAATATTAAAGCAAATGTAATTTATGTAATCTGTGATACAATAGTATCGTTTAAACTTGGAACTAATAGCGTTGCTAACATGTAAGAGTTTTGTCATTAACATAATACGAAACAATAACTGTTGTGATATTATCGTTTCTTGATTGCGATTTTTCTCTGTGCACATTTTCTTATATATTTCTCGTGTCTCTTTTCTCGCTTATATGAAAATATTAAAATTTTTATTTTTAACTTACCTACTGATCCTTCCAAGCATTATTCCATAATGCGGGACTGAAACTCCGTGCTGGATTCATACTACATCCGGTATAAGGACTCTGAAGAAATAGAAAAGAATAAATTATTAATTATTTTCTTTTATACATTATGTATACAAAAATTATGTATGTATAAATAGTTTTATTTTTAAGTTTAATAGATGATAAAAAGACGTTTTGAAATAATAATAAAATGTTAATAAAATAATATTAATATTGTTAAATTAATAATAGCGTTAATAAAAAAACAAAATATAAAAATAGTTGAGAAGAAAAGAAGTTTTACCGCAGCAAAAGAAATAGTAGCGACTGAGAGACCGAATTTAAGGGCAGTCGAATCAGTAGTATGAGCGCATCGAGGATCCCACGTAGCGCAAGCCGCACAAAGTATACAGCTCGTACAAAACACCTCGATTAATATAGCTTGAACACTGTTGATCCCTGGATAAACCATCGTGACGCAGAGACCCATAGAATTCGCATTTCCATCATTAAATAATTCTGCTGGAGTTATCATCTAGCGAGAATAATATAGATTATTGTAGATCATTGTTTATAATATTCGATATAATGATAGTAAAAATAGAAATAAAAACACTTTTAAAAGCCCATATCCCACTACAGCGCCGATAAACTGGCCCAGAATGTAAACTGCACCGGTTGGAATCGATTTCAGACCCATACTACCGATCTACTCAGGTCCCATGCTACCGATACAACCCATACAACCGAGAAATAAAAGAATGCCCGTACCGACAATCTCTGCCGCAAACATCGTCATTGTGTTCTCTTGCATCTTCCACATTACACCTGTAAAATCGCACACGCGTATTTTGATTTTGACCTTCTAGATCCCAATAAAAAAACATTTACTATTTTGATCGTTTTGCATGATGAAATAATGCTAACACAATAGATGAGTTTACTGTTGTTACTACTGAATCTTATATTATTAGCTTAATGATTTGCGCTAATCACTACAAATCAAGAAAGAATACGGAATATCTTATCGGTAGATACGTCAAGTGTTTGCCTGAATTCACTGCTTACGTATTATATAAATTCGAAAAATTCTTATTTCCACGATACAGCACCATTTTAGTAAATTCCTAAATCCAATAAATAAATGAAATATTCTCAACTTGTCGATTTACGATTATACTTACATTCTGGATGATCGTACTCTGAAGAATACTCCGCACTTTCAGATGACGTGTGGAAGAATAAAGCTCTGACTCAAAGAGTTCAAAGCCTTTGTTATAACGGCGCATGCGTTACTCTTGAAATCGCAATGCGTTTTTACCTCATTCAAAGTCGTTAAAAGTTGTAACAATTTCAGCAGATTGCCCGAAGAAAATTGTAGGGACGCAAACTTTGCACGCAGGCGCTCGAGGTCTTGATTTTCGCAGGACATGTTCATGTCTGTCAGTCATCGTGGATGTACGTGTAGCGCGATAAAACAAATATAAGAGCTAAAAATTTCTACCAATGTTGGAGCAAAGTGATGGCACGCTATTTCGTAATAATAATTACAGATCCGATACCGAGTATGTGATAAAAGTGGCCAAGACCCTATTAACGCCCATCGGCATCTGGCCACTTTATCGAGGCACCTCCAGGTCTGACAAGATCAAGAATTTCCTGCAAACGGGAATAATATTCTGCCTGATGTGCTTCTTGCTTATCCCGCACGTCATATATACCTTCTTCGACGCAGAGGACCTGGCCAAATACATGAAGGTCATAGCCGCTCAGGTGTTTAGCCTGCTCGCTATTATCAAGTTTTGGACAGTAATCATCAATAGAGAAGGGATTAGATACTGCTTACAACAAATGGAGATTCAATACAGGGACGTAGAATGCGAGGAAGATCGACTTGTAATGACGAAGAGCGCTAAGATCGGTAGACTTTTCACGGTGACGTACTTAGGATTATCGTACGGTGGTGCCTTACCCTATCATATAATTATGCCATTGTTGGAGGAGAGAATCATCAAAGAGGACAATACGACACAGATACCTCTACCATATCTCAGCAATATATCTTCTTCGTGGTAGAAAATTCACCATTCTACGAAATGCTCTTTGTCTCACAAATTCTAATCAGCAGTATCATTCTCTCTACAAACTGTGGCGTTTACAGTTTAATTGCCACCTGTGTGATGCACAGCTGCTGTTTATTCGAAGTCGTTCGTAGGCAGATGGAAACGATCCTTAGTAATGGCACCGATAATCTCCATAAGCGGCTCGGTCAAATAATCCAACACCACATGCAAGCCATTAGGTAAGAAAGAATTACAATATATATCTTGTGCTTTTATAAATTATTATATCAATTTTTAAATTAAATTATCTATACGATAAAGTAAACAACTAGGACGGAAAAAAGAAAATGCGTTTATCATATCTCAATAATTTTCATTGTATTTCTAAGTGTGACAAAATACATTCCAGATTCGCAGAGATGATTGAAAAATCATTAAATATTGTTTTTTTATGCGAAATGGTTGGATGCACTATTATTATATGTTTCTTGGAATTTGGAGTTCTTAAGGTAAATTAAACGTTAATAGTACAAAATTAGGTTCTTTACTAATCCTACGTTTTTATACAAACATTTTATATTCCTAAAAAATTATTTTAGGAATGGGAAGACGGAAAGATCTTAAACATGGGCACATATTTTGTTTTAATGACATCAATATTTGTAAACGTTTATATTATATCAGCTATCGGTGATCGTCTTAAAGAAGAGGTAAAGCAGAATAATTTTAAATTTAATTTCAATCCATAACATAACATATAATATATATTTATCTCGCATATAACAATTGAAAAAAATATACTAATTTAATATAATACATAATCGTACTTTAATTTTTCGAAATAATGTAACACTAATTAATAAAATAATGAATATTTATTTCTTACTTATGAAGAGTGAAAAGGTAGGAGAATCATCATATTTTATCGAATGGTATAATTTGCCAACAAAAATCGTGGGCAATTTAATTTTGGTAATGATCAGATCAGGCCGCCCGTCAACCTTAACTGCTGCGAAAATATTTGATCTCTCCCTTGGAGGATTCTGCGAAGTATTCTTTATAAAAAATTTATTTTAAAAAATTAATAATTAATATCTGCTACATATATCATGTCTATTCTTACAGGTTTGCAAAACATCGGCAGCATATTTCAATTTTATACGAGCAATGACTACATAAATTTACAAATATTATCACATGATTATCGGCCATCTTATATAAGAAAGATATGTTAAGCTATTATCTATATCATCACTTCATCAGATATATATATCTCTCACTTAATGTAAGCAAGACGAATCTCTCTGTCGAACAATAAATTGCTTACCAGTGTAACCTGAATAATGTTATATATCATGTAATTTCTATACGTAATATCTTTATCCATATATCCCCTTTTCTTGGAAAAAAAATTTTATTCAAATTACAATTATGAGTTATGTGTCTAACTTAGCAAGCGCGTAATACATATTCTTTATTTCAAACTTTATTGCAACATTATTATGTTCCCCTTTTCAAAATTTCTGCTTTTCTTTGAATCCTATCTAAGGGTTTATAAAACATAAATTGCGAATAATCAGAAACTGTGTTCTATAATAATGCAATTAAATTGCAAAGAGCAGTTTACTTACCCAAGAACGTATTTTAATAAAATAATTTACCGATGCAAATGATATAATGCTTTTAAAAATGTAAAATATAGATATAATAAAGAAATCGCAATTGTTTAAATTATTATTATAATACATACTTGAATCACTTGTACAACGATAAAATTCTGTCAGAATTCTACTTTTGCATAAATCAGAAAAATATAACTCGTTCTTCATGTCAGTGTATGCTAATTTCATTAATCTACAAATAATATATGTAATAATATATCTTTAAAAACACACACGCACTAAAAATATTTTATTATTAACTTCACTTTGATTTTCTGAGTAGCAGACATATATCACATTGTGAATACTGTACGTTTTTGCTCTTGACAGCACGACAAAGCAAATCTCCCATTTTTTATCTTACAGCGCTTGCGTAATCATTGAAATTATGCACATTTTCCTTCCCATTCGAAGTTGCGACGATTCTCAGAAGATAGCCCCTACACAAAGTTGCTACGGCAAGGGAACTTTTTACACGCAAGCGCTCATACGGTCAACTCCCATGCAACTCTTCTGATTGTAATAGTTTGAAATCAAAACGCAATCGAGCAATTATAAAAAATGGCAGACATGTTACCAACCGACGCCAGCCACACACTGTTTCGAAACATAAATTATAGGTCCGACATGGAATACGTGATGAAAGTCGCAAAAATCTTGTTAACACCCGTTGGTGTCTGGCCTCTTTACAAGACTGATTCCACGTTTGAGAAGATAAGATACGTTTTCTGGACGAGCTTCATATTTAGTTTGATGTGTTTTTACTTGTTCCACATGTCATATATACCTTCTTCGATGCGGAGGACTTGACAAGATACATGAAAGTGATAGCCGCTCAAGTATTCAGTCTTCTGGGTATCGTCAAATTCTGGACGATGATCATCAACAAAGATGACATCAAGTATTGTCTGAAAGAAATGGAGATTCAAATAAGGGACGTGGAAAGTGAGGAGGATCGATTAGTGATGGTGAAATACGCCAAATTGGGAAGACAATTAACGATTATGTACATAGGATTATTATATGGTGGTGCGTTGCCTTACCACATAATTATGCCGTTGGTGGCGGATAAGATTGTCAGAGAGGATAATACGACACAATTGCCTCTGCCATATCTCAGCGACTACATCTTTTTCGTGGTGGAGAGTTCGCCGTTTTACGAGATCCTCTTCGTCACACAGATCATCTTCAGTACTCTCATTTTATCAACAAACTGTGGCGTTTACAGCTTGATTGCTACCTGCATAATGCACGCCTGCTGTCTGTTCGAGATCAGCCGCAGACACATCGAAACCTTTTTGAACAACGAAACTGATGATCTTCACAAACGATTTGGTCAGATAGTCGTACATCATATGCGAGCTCTCAGGTTGGCAAAGAATGTGCAAACATTTTATCAAATGTGTCATTAACAATATCAATATATGTTAATTTAATCACGAAAATTATTTTTATTATTAATATAATTGAGATTCACACGCAACACGTACACTCATATATACTTATCGGGATTTAAATATATAAGTTATTTTTGATATATGTATATTTATATATCAGAATTTATTTTTACTATCTTCTATATTATACATTCTAAATAAATTTGATTTTTATTTCATATTATCTGAAGTAAATAATGTTTCTTGTGCAATATAGCTATTGAGTTAACTTATTTTTACTTTTATTTGTAATAATTGTTATTTCAAAACAATTTTTATTTGAAATATTATATTTATCTATTACAGATTTACTGAGATGATCGAAAAATCATTCAACTTTGTCTTTTTATCCGAAATGGTTGGATGCACTATTATCATATGTTTTCTTGAATATGGCGTTCTCAAGGTATTTTAAAATATTTCTCGCATTGTCGATTAATTCTTGTAGAATTTAATATTAAATTTTTATACATAATATTTATATATATATCTAAACATACATACACATATATGTATATACAACATATATATTGCTTTTACGAATAAATTTATTTTAGGAATGGGAAGACAATCAAATATTTGGTACAATTATATATTTTATTTTAGTAATTTCAATTTTAGTAAACGTCTTTACCTTATCATCTATCGGTGATCGTCTTAAAGAGGAGGTAGATCTGGCAAATAATTATTTTAATAAATATCAAAGAATGTGACCATATTAATATAACACTTTCGATATTTACACTTAATTTTGTCATCAACAAGAGCATAAAAATCGGAGAGGCGTCGTATTGTATCAACTGGTATGCATTTCCTGCGAAGAATGTGAATGGTTTAGTCATGGTGATGATCAGATCAAATCGTCCATCAACATTGACAGCTGGTAAAATATTTGATATCTCTCTTCAAGGTTTTTGCGATGTAAGTAATTTATATCGTTACTCATTAATTTGAATTTTATTCAAACTGCTCGATTATTTCGCGAATGTTTACAGGTATGCAAAACATCAGCGGCGTATCTTAATTTCATTCGAATGGTTGCGGCGTAAAACGTGATTATCCTAAATATCATTCGCTGCAATATTGACTATCTTACTCGAGATATATATCAAATTCTTATTTTCACCCTTTCACATTATATATAACACTTACTCGCATTTATCATTTAGCATCAAACGACATTAAGGAATTAAACAACCAATAAAATATATTATTACTAACTATTAGTTTAAATAACATTTAATATATAATATTTAATATATACTATGTGAACACTTTTAGCTACGGTTTTTTTCCACAGTAAGAAAGAAAACTACAATTCTATGATAGAATCGACAAAACAACTTTGAGACCGTAGAATGCTCCCTCCGTTTTTAAAGTTTCTAGGAACATCAATAGTATCCCCTCGCTCTGACCACAGTTGTACTTTTCTCTCAAACTCTCAACTTCACTGAAACATTCTATATATAACGTGCAAGTCACGAATGACGGGGGATCGTTTTCATCATTTTGATCATAAAACTGTCAAGCGCATCTCGCGCATGCTTACCGACAACCCTTTATGTCTCTGAGTTTGAGTGTCAGTCGTCGCTGAATTGTCATTAAGATTGTACTCGAGATTGCGAACGCTGAATTTATAACAGAATCCAATTCCTATGGAAAACGAGAAATGGCTTTTGGATTTTCACTATGCTGCACAAATCAGCATCTGGTTGTTAAAGCCGATCGGTGCCTGGCCGTTGAAACAGCAAGCTACCAAAATGGAAATTATATATAACTTATCAATTGTTATCGCTATGTTTTTTCAACTCTTCTTGATCATTCCGTGGATCTTATGTATAATTACTGCAAAATGGAGTATTTACGAAATTCTCAGGACTGCGTGTCCGTTGATATTTACAATTACCGTTTTTCTGAGATACTTACTGTTATTATTTCATCGTAACGAGATCAGATCGTGTATCGATCGTATTATTGAAGACTGGCGTAACGTGGCGATAATCGAAGATCGCAAAATCATGCTAGCGAACGCCAGAACGGGACGCTTCTTTGGCATTGTCTCCGTGGCATTTATGTTTGGCAGTGGTATACCTTATGCCTTTATGCCTTTATTGTTGCCACCTGTCGTTACAGAAGACAACGTGACGATTAGATCACTGCCCGATCCCTCTGAGTTGATCTTCTTAGACGTCCAGGTCAATCCAATGTACGACGTTAAATTCTTTCATTCAAAGACTCGAAAGACACATTATGTTTTTTAATTATTCAGATTTTTCTTCTTCCTTTTCTCCTTTTTGTTTTATTATAAGAAAAATATCCAGATCTAGAAAATTAAAAAAATTCTTTTTCAACGATTCATTTCTAAAAATTTATTTGTTCAAGAAATATGATGTTAATGTGCTGCAATTAATAAAATCTTTAGCGTAAAAATAATTATATATAATTAGCAAATTATAATTATTTTAGCAATTTCGTATTTTTTTAATTATCACGTACAGGTCACTCCAATTTATGAAGTCGTATATGCATTGGAAACTATATCGTGTTGTACTATGTATACCGTATTTTGTGGCATTTGTAGTTTAACAGCTAAATTCGTTACTCACGCGTGCGGTCAGTGCGAAATCTTAATATATTTTTTCGAAGAGTTGATCGATGGTGGCGATCGAAACAAAGGCACTATCGACCAAAGGATCAGTACCGTTGTAACACAGCATCTCCGAATACTCAGGTGAGTAACGACATAATTGATTTGACTTGATTGTCATTTACTTTCCATTTTTCGGTTTTCTGCAAGTATTGTATTAAATTTCAGATTCGTTTCTGACATAGAGAAAATATTGAACGAGATATGTTTAGCGGAATTTATAAATGCTTCGTGTAATATATGTTTACTTGGTTATTATGTTATTGTGGTATGTTGATTAATTTGTAATAAGATTTAAAATTTTAATATTTTATATTATCCACTAAAATAATGTAAATATATACTAATTATATTACAAATATCTATCTACATAATGTATTAGTTGCGCATTTTTAATCTTATTACATGTAGGATTGGAACAATCAAGAATCGATGCTACAAATTTTCGTGTATTTCGTTGCTTTTATATCAATCACTTTTAATATATACATATTTTGCTACATTGGCGAACAGCTTGTGGATCATTGTCGGAAAATAGGTACTAAATGTTATATGATAGAATGGTATCGTTTACCACGAAATAAGGCGCGCGACTTAATTTTCCCGATGCTTATGTCAAATTATCCGGTCGAGCTTACTGCCGGAAAAATGGTGACAATGACTATAAGCAGTTTTTCTGACGTGAGTTTGCTAAATTTCACCATTATTGAAAATGTCTCGAATTATAAATATCATAAATATTGATGCCATATATTATGCTTTAGATTTTGAAAACGTCGATGGCGTACTTCAATTTACTTCGCGAAGTTGTCACACGAGAAAATACATAAATGTGCAACGATGACAGAGAGAATTTTTAAAGTACTTAGAAATATAAAATATTGCGCAAAGATTATTAATATTTTTAGAAATATCCGAACAATCTGCTAGGTAATATATGTAGTTGAGTTTGTAAGATCTCGCGTGGGACATAAGAATAATGCGAAGCACAGAATTATGTAAAAAAAAACTTTTACGCGTAATACACGTAAAGTTTTTCGAGAAAAATATCAGAAAATATCAGAATTACATGTTAGTAACTTTGCGATTATCCTTGGACGTAAGTTTCCACCGATGCTACATCATCGCGGTAAACTCTGTTCAACCCTTCCTGATTTATTCCACAACCGCAGCTGTTGTTTCCCTATAAACTGACAACATTAAAAAATGCAAATTACGAGTTATCAAAGTCACGACTTTTACTTGGGAATCGGAGAGGTTCATCGAACGGGCCGCGCATGCTTCGTAGGAGAAAATACGCGTTGAATTTTTACTCCGCGATAGTAAAGATCGAGCTGGCAGGAACGTTACATCGAATAAAAATGGTTGCTCGAAAATCAAAGAACGGCTTTACAAACACGCTCACCGTCGACGTAATGAAACAGAATCAGTCTTACGTCTCGGACTTTTACTATGCCATTCAAGTAAGCATCAGCCTGCTGAAGCCGATCGGTGCCTGGCCTCTGCGACAGCAAGCTACTATACAAGAAATTATCATTCACGGTGTATCGATCAGCATCGCCATGTTTCTTCAACTCTTCACGATCATCTCGTGGACCTTATGTATAATTACCACGAAATGGAGCTACTACGAGATCCTCAGAACCGCATGTCCGCTGATATTTACAGTTACCGTTTTTCTGAGGTATCTGCTGCTGCTGTCCCATCGGGATGAGATCAAATCGTGCATCGATCGCATTGCTGAAGACTGGCGAAACGTGACGATAGCCGAGGATCGCCAGATCATGTTAGCTAACGCCAAGTCGGGACGCTTCTTTGGAATGATCTCCACGGCGTTCATGTTCGGCAGCGGTATACCTTACACCTGCATGCCTTTAGTGTTGCCACCCATCATTACGGAGGACAACGTGACGATTAGATCGTTCCCCAATCCCTGTGAGCTGGTATTCGTGAACGTCCAGGTGAATGCAACGTACGACGTTAAGTTCTTTACAGACTAAACAGTTAGAATTATATTATATGTTTTCAATTTTACAATTATAGCATTTTCGTTCTTTCATTTTTACATTATAAAAAAGACATTTAGACAATTTTTAAAAAGCTTTTTTATATAATAAGTTAATTATATATATTTTTTTCTTTAGCAATAGATGCTCAAATATATTGTGTTAATATTATATATTAATAAGAATTCTTAACTTAAAAATAATTATGTATAATTAAGGAATTATGAATTTTTAGCAATTTCGTGTTCTTTTAATTACCAGTATAGGTCAGTCCAGTTTATGAAATTGCATATGTATTGGTTGCTTTAGCGTGTCTCACTGCATATACCGTATTTTGCGGCATTTGTAGTTTAACAGCCAAATTCGTTACTCATATATGCGGCCAATGCGAAATCCTGATGTGTATTTTCGAAGAATTGATCGACGGTGGCAATCGAAATCGAGGGACTGTCGATCAAAGGATCAGTACCGCTATAATATATCATCTTCGAATACTCAAGTGAGTGGATTAATTAAGTTCATAATTGATTTGATTTTGTTGTCATTTATTTTCCATTTGCAGTTTTCTGCGAGTATTATATTGAATTTCAGATTCGTCTCTGACGTAGATAAGGTATTGAACGAGATATGTTTAGCGGAATTTATAAATGCTTCATGTAACATATGTTTACTTGGTTACTACGTTATTATGGTACATCAATATTATTGCAGTTTTATTTCGACATTTTGCTACTTTAGTTTATCAGATAAAATACATATTTATTATTATATTTATAAAGACAAACGTATTATTAAATATGAATATAGTTTAAGTATGTTATATTTATTATTTGTATTTCTAACATATTAGGATTGGAATAACCAGGCATCGATGCTACAAATTTCCGTATATTTCATCGCCTTTATATCAATTACGTTTAACATATACATATTTTGCTACATCGGCGAACAGCTCGTAGATCGATGCCAAAAAGTAGGCATTAAGTGCTACATGATTGAATGGTATCGTTTACCAGAAAACAAGGCACGCAACTTGATGTTTCCGATTATTATGTCGAGTTATCCGGTCGAGCTTACTGCCGGAAAAATGGTGAAACTGACTATGAGTAGTTTTTCTAATGTGAGTACGCAAAATTTCATTATTCAGAACAATTTTAATTTTTCACATAAGTGTTTTGATAATGTCATATTATTCTCTAGATTCTACAAACGTCAATGGCATATCTTAATTTACTTCGCGAAGTTTCCTCGCGAGATATGTAAATGTACATAAGTTTCCGATCATTTTTGATGAAGTAATTAAGAAAAATGAAATATCGCGTGAATAAGATTATATAAATATTTTCAGAAATATGTTTAAATAAAATCCTTGTTATATAAAAATCAAATCGAAACATATTAAAGTAATGTATAACACAGAGTTGTATAGAAAAACTTTCACGTATTGTAGAGTTTTCTGACGAAAATATGAGAAAATATCAGAATTATTGTCAATAACTTTGCAGCTATTATCCTCAAACAAGAGTTATTCTATCCCAGTATACCGCATCATTGCATTAAACAATCGTCCGTATACTTACCCTTTTCCGATTTATTTCAATCGCAGCTGCGCTGTTTCCCTCGTAAACTCAACCAAGTACATTATAAAATGCAAATTGCCAGTCATCAAAGTAACAAAGATCGCAGGAGTTCATCGAACGGATCGCGCGCATGCTTTCTAGCAGAAATCCGCGAAATTCTGACGATCCAGATAGAACAGATCGAGCGGACAGCGCCTTTACATCATGAAAATGATCAACCAGAAGCAACTAGCAAACGCGCTTGACGACAGTGTAACAGCGAAACAAAATGAATCACACATTTCGGATTTTTATTACGCCGTCCAAATAAGCATCTGCCTGTTGAAGCCAATCGGTGCATGGCCGTTGGACGACACTTCGAGACTTAAAATAGCTTTACACAAGCTACACATGGCCACCGGCATGTTCCTCATATTGTTCACCATCGTGCCGATGATCGTACAAATGATCAAGGAGAAGTGGAGTGCCTTTCTGATACTCCGCATGATCTGCCCGTTACTCTTCACGATGGCGATCTTCGCGAGATACATTTTACTGTTATGGCATCAAGACCGACTCAAGTCCTGCATCGAGCACGTAACCGATGACTGGCGATCCACGATAATCGCCGAGGATCGAGACATCATGCTGGCGAATGCCAAAACGGGTCGAACATTTGGCATCGTTTCTGTAGCTTTCATGTTTAGCTGCGGCGCATTGTATTATATGTTACCTATGGTCTTGCCGAATGCGATCAATGAGGATAACGTTACCGTGAGAGTGCATCCATCACCCTGCGAGTTTCTCGTGTTTGATTCCAAGGTAAACCTCGAAATGCAGGGTAAGTCGTAACATTAACGTTGATGTTAAATTTTTTATTTTAATTGTATTAAAACAAGTTTTAATCTTCTTGTGCATTTTCCTTTTAATGGTAAATTCTTTTTGGCAAAATTTTCAAATTACAAACAATTAAAAGAGATAAGTTTTTCACGCATTAAATTTTAAGTAGCTAAATAGATTATAAAATTATATGTTTAAATAAGTTTAGGTAAATTTCAATAAAATTTTAATTCAAAATTGATTTATAAAAACGCCAATAAAAATTAGAAAATTTTAATGAGTGATGATCCTTTTCGATTTTCGCTAAGAACGACGAGACTCAATATTGAGAATTAAAAAATAATTTACTAGAAAATGGAACGCATTCTATATATATTTATATTATATTCGCAAATAAATTATCGTATCGTCGCATAGGCTAGTCCTGCGTATGAAATCGTGTACTTCTTTCAACTTCTGTCCGGTTGCACTGCCTATAGCGCATTCTGCGGCATTTGCAGTCTGATGGCTCATTTCGTCACGCATGTGTGCGGTCAATGTGACGTGTTAACAGCATTTTTTCAAGATATTGTGAACGATGGTAAACACAATAACGGTTCCATCGAAAACCGAATAGCTACCGCGGTAACTCGGCATTTGCGTTTGCTAAGGTAATAAGTCGATTATTGATCCGCGATGGAAATTACAGCAACGTTTTCAATTTTTATGGACACGTGCTTTGCAATTTTTTAGATTGGTTTCTGATATAAGCAATTTATTTACCGAGATATGTCTCGTGGAATTTATAAACGCTTCATGTAACATATGTTTGCTTGGCTACTACATCATAACCGTACGTTGCGCAATCTTAGAAATTTTAAGCAAAAATATAGATGATTTAGATTTATTAAGATAAATTTTAAAATTTTATGTTTATTAAACATTAGTAATTTCTTCTCCTTTCAGGACTTAAATAATAACGAGTCGTTCATTCAGATTTCAATGTATATCTTCGGACTCGCTTCCGTCATTTTCAACGTGTTTTTGGTCTGTTATATCGGCGATTTACTCAAAGAACGCTGCCAGAATGTGGGTACCGCTTGCTATGAAATTGAATGGTATCAAATTCCTTCGAAAAAAGCAATTGAATTAATTATGCCGATTTTGATGTCCCGATATTCTACGACGCTCACTGCCGGAAAAATGGTAGCGATGACTTTGACGACATTCTCTGACGTAAGTAACATTGCTTTGCGTTTTAAGACACAATATATAATTAAGACTTAAATGTATCATAATGATTTTGAGTTTTGTACCAATTTCACGGATTATAAACTACAGATAATTGACATTAAATGTCATTGACTGGCAGATTTATATATTTAATAAATCTCAATAAAACATGTATCTAAAAAGTGTTAGCACTTTCTAATTTCTGTATTAAAAATAAGATATTATGTACCGTAGATCTTAAAGACTTCAATGGCGTATTTCAATTTGCTTCGTGAATTTTCTTCACGAGATTAACATACATACTTGATGATATTTCAAAAAAAGTTTTTAGAATATCTATAGCAAATAATTATTTTTTAATTATTGAATTAAATAATTATTTGTTGAATTAAACAAATAATGCACATGTTAGTACAACATTTACGAACTAATAAATTATCTCTCTTTAAAAATTAATTTTTATTAATTATTATAAAAATTAAAACTGATAAAAAATATAAGCAAGGAGAAGGAATAACAAATATTCTAAAATATTTCATTACCTGTATAGTAAAATATAAACAATCTCACTGATAAAGATAATTTTAAAAAATACACATTTATCAATAAAACTTGATATTATTAACAAAATATCTCGATAAAGTCAAAGTATAAAGTTCCCTTATTTTCTTGAAAGTAAATGCTCTCAAAGTTCAAGTTACAAAGTCAAAGTTCTCATGCGATACACAACTATATGTTCAGAGAAATCACATCGCGTGCAAAATCAATCGTAAAAACTGTTTTCAATGACTACCTTGCTTCCTCTACGTGGCTCTTTAATTTTTAATGTACGCAGGCGCAAGTGAAATGCTAGTCTACGATATACATAAATCGAAACGCGGCTTAGCAGAATCGAATTATGAATCTAACAAATGACATTTTTCATTCTAACTACAGTGGTCAACTAAGAATTTCGGTTCTGGCTACTCATATATTCTTTATATCTCGCGATCATAGAATTTTGTGTGTACTGTTCTTATATTATTTCAAAGAGCTGTCATTTTCTGACTTTTATATAAGCATAGAAATTGTAATTATCAGAATGATTCACAATCAACATTATAAAAAGGACGTGAAATATGTCGTCGAGCAAAGCCACGTTGTACTTCGCATGCTTGGTATTTGGCCATTGACTGACAGACGACCAAACACAATCGAGAAAGTTACAAATATCTTCCTTGTGATTATTTGTTATTTTCTCCTCCATTGCGATATGGTACCAGGTGTTTTATATTACATGTTTGTCGATGATGGAGCGCGCGAACGAATGAAGATGATGCCACCGATCCTGTACTCAATCATGGCGATCGCCAAGTACAGTAATCTTATTGTCCACGAGTGCAATATCAGACGTTGTCTGCGACATATCGAGGAAGATTGGAGGACGATGATGGTCAGCGATGCGCGAGAAATGATGCAGGACAAAGCCAATACCGGAAGACGACTGTTCACCTTGTGTTGCACTTTCATGTATTGCGGCGGACTGTCTTACAACACGATAATGCCTCTATCGAAAGGAAGTATCGTTACTGATCAAAACGTCACGATCCGGCCGCTATCCTGCCCCGGTTACTACGTTTTTTTCAATCCGCAAAATAGTCCTGCCTACGAAATCGTGTTTCTCCTGCAGTGCCTCTGTGGTTTCGTCATGTACACAATCACGGTAGCGATTTGCGGCCTTGCTGCAGTCTTCGTGATGCATGCGTGCGCGCAGATGGAGATCCTGATGCGTTTGATGGAGGATCTCGTCAACAAGGACGAATGTGAACAGCAGAATATCGTTGCTAAACTGGCAATCATAATCGAACATCAGATAAGAATACGAAAGTAAGTCCTTGGTTTTATCACGGCACGTTACTTTTCACATTGACACATATATAAATGCTAAAAATTAAATACTAAAAATATACGAACACTCTGAAAGCATTTATAATTTTCTAATTACAGATATTGACATTAAATTTCATTTTTTACGATTATCGGAGTTAATTGATTTTGTGAAGTTTTATATATTTATATTTTTAAATAATAATTTCAACAATATTATATATTTTTATTTTTTCACGTTCCTTAATGCTGAATCCCAAATATATTTGATAATTGCATTTTAGTTTCTTGCAACTGGTGGAGAATACTTTGCGCTATAGTAGCTTAGTCGAAATAGTAGGGTGTACCACGATCATATGTCTTACGGGATATTGTATAATAGGGGTAAAGAGAAAAATAAAATGCAAATAAATGCATTGTATTTCTACGAATACGTTGCAAGTCACGAATACACATTAATTTTATTCCCAGGAATGGGAAGATAAAAACATAGCGGCTCTGTGTTCCTACGTAGCAGCTCTTACGTCTGTTATCATTAATATTTTTATTTTATGTTATATTGGAGAATACATAACGACACAGGTAGTTTTACAAATATAATTAATAGACTTTATTTAACATTTTTTACATGCAAAATTATTACGATTATCCGTGGCAGGCAGAAGAAATAAGCTTAACTTCTTGCACGCTCGACTGGTATCGTCTTCCGACAAATATGGCGCAAGATTTAGTTTTAGTAACAGCTTTTTCGAATGTGCCACCACGAATGACAGCTGGAAAATTTATTGATCTGTCTTTTAAGACATTCGGTGATGTGAGCAATAGAATATTTGAAATATGAACAAATATTTCAATACAATACTTTATCTAAATAATATTAATTTAACTCTAATGTTTTATTATTGACTAATAAGACTAATTGCTTAAAGATTATAAATATTATTTCAGGTAATTAAATCTGCTGCGGTCTATTTGAACTTGCTTCGACAACTTACTGAATAAATAGCAAAAAGAATTGGAATTGATGATAAATTTTTATTTAAGACATTCTATATATTTTAATATTGTTGAAAGATTTATTATTGACAATAGAAATAAATAATATATATATATATATATATATATATATATATGTATGTATATATAATTAAATCTCATCTATTTTATATATTCTCTACATATTTTTTACAGAAAATTACAGAATTCAAGACATGTGTATCTCTTTCATTCATTGTTTTCACGAGAAAACTTACTTTCCAGATGTTAACTTTTTCGTAGTTTCCGGGAAAAGCTTTCCTTCAATATGGTAAATAAAAACAAGCTCGTGCGCAATATCCCTTTCAAAGTTTCTACGCACGCAATATCAGCGATTTATCTTTTACGTGGTTTTTGCTTCAACACGCAAGCGCACACGAATCGCGAGTTTTCTTGAATCGTATAAAACTGATCAACTATGATCAGTGGCGAGTAAACGCGCGTCGTTTCACCACCGTGATAGATCAGGGGTTCAAGATATTTGCAAATAAAAATTATATGAACGCGACATAAATTATATTCTGTTCGTGTTTTGTCTGTTAAATTTGTTAAACATGAAATCTTCGTTTCCAAAAACGTTCGAAATTGTCGATAATTTTTCTTATGTGTTACTCTGATCTGCGAATTAATCTTTACATAAAACTTCAAGTAATAGTCATCATATTATTCACTGTTATGGCCAAATTAATTACTGCTCAACGAGAAGTTCAAGTGAGAGATTTGTCTTGTGCAAATGGAGGATTCACGAGACCCAGCCAATTCAAGCAATTACAACATCACGATCCAGAACTGACAGATGTTCGTTCGTATAATATGTAATATATTTATATATTTTATTAAAAATTTTTTTTCAAATGAGCACGTTACCTCGGACAAATATTTTTACCAATTAAAAATATCCGATAATATATAAATGTAAATATACCTGATCTTATGATTCAAGAATTCACTGTAGTTGGACTGTGTTTGACTTTCGTTTGATACGCAGGTCATTCTCGCTAATAAAAAAAATTGTATTTTTCATGCAGTTCTTCTCAAGATTCATCAAGTACATAATCATGATATGCGGGCCTCTTCATGATATATTTGCACAGCTGGACATATTAATGATCTTAATAAAGGATTTGATAAATGAGCTTAAAAAGCTCAATAAGAGATTGGTGATCATCGTAAAAATTCTTCAAATTAAAATGCGTAAGTAAATCAATCTTTAAAGTATCTTAGGCAAATTTTTCAATTTTGTAGTTGAACATATTTTATTGTAGTTCGATAATTTCAATGCGTTTAAAATAATATTGCACATATATGTACATATACATAAAATAATAATGAATATAATATGGATATAATATATACATAATTATACATATAATCATATTTCGAAAAAATTATATTCTCTTTTGTATTATAATTTAATTTCTTGAAAATAATGCAGAATATTATACAACATACAAGTTCTGAAATCCATTATAATTGAATGTATTCTAAAATATTTTATTATTATCGTGTACAAAATTAATTGTATAGCAATAATTAGAGTGGCATGAGATTTAATAAAACGTATAACATGTTGTGCATCTCATAATAACAATTTAATAAAAACAAAATCTCAAAATTATGTTAAAAAAATAAATATAACTATTAAATTTACAGAAGTAAGAAAGGCAATTATTCTGCAACGTACACTATCTCATTGGATTCATATGGATTACTTTCAACATAATATATATTTTTTGTTTATCACCAAACAAGGTAAGGTAAAGTACGTTGAATTTGGTGAAGATATATTTAATCATCACAATAATTATTATCCATCTTTTATTAATGCAATTAATGAAATAAGAACTTTGTCACATTTAATTTATTATTTCTAATAAACTAAGAAGAATAAATAAAATTAACAATATGCACATTGAAATAACATTGATTTTTTAAAGCGAAAGCATAAACATTAATTATAATTATGTCCAGTTTATCGGCAAAGTTTAAAAATAAAAAGTTTAATTATTTTTCCTTTAAAACAATTGACAACATAAGTAATAATTAAAAATTAACATTAAAAAGAAATTAGAAAAAATAAATCTTTTTATACAAATTTATTTTAGATTGTTAAAACAGCCGATCTTTTCCAATCATTTTTATTTATCAAAATTTTAAATTTATCCATAAATATATAAATACCTCATTAAACAAATAATATTGAAATAAAAATAATAAATTTTAGACAGAGTTTAAGTAAAAATTTTTTTCTTAAAATATTTTCGTAGAAAACAAGAGAAAATCCATGTGCGTATGAGAAAAAAAAACATTTACTAACATTTATATACATAATGTAATGCAATCAAACTTTTACTTACCTTTCAACATCGCTTCCAAGAACGCAAAAGTTACAATAGAAATATCAGAGTCAAATAAAATATGTAATTAGAAAACTTGATAAACGTTAGCATAATCAAAATATTTTTCAGAGAAACAATTCGTTGCTTTTAATTTCTATTGCTCACGCAACTACAAATTCAATAAGTTTACTTTACTTTTCCGAGTACTTGTCAATAAAACATCACTCTATATAAATATAATACACCTATATAAGTGTATAATTGCACATTTATATAATGTATATCATCATGTAAATATCAATTCATATTTATTTAATCCACTGTATGACGTTACGTAAAAATAATGATATTTTTCTTTTACTTCTATGTACAATATCTAAATATACTTTATCATGTAAATGAAACTATTATGTGTCGGTCAACGCTCTGATAAATCCAATCCCGAGTTTTCATACAAAAAGAAACAAAGTTAGCCAATTATGTATATTACAGTTTATTTGAAAAAAAATACACATTACAAACAGAAATAACAGACTTTCCATGGAAAGCAACCCCTTGCTGGTGAACAAGTTGGCTCTGACAATAACTCTTTTCCAAACTCTTCCGCAATATGAATCTTTAAAACGCGCAAACGCAAGAGGACAGCGAATTTACTTTATCGATGACTTTTTTTCCCAACAATCAGTCGTGATCCGATTTACATATAGACCTCACACACAAAATTAACAGAAAGATGTTGCATAACGAACATTATCAAGATGATATTATGTATATTACACAATTAACGCGTAATGTTTTAAGTTTACTCGGTGTCTGGCCATCTATCAACAGAAAAAGATCAATCGGCCAAAGAGCTTGGAAATTTCTGTTAATCTCACTTTCTTATATTCTTCTCTACTGCGTCTTGATTCCCGGTCTCCTTTTCTGGTTGATCGAGAAGAGAACGCGCGTCCGAGTCCAAACAATTCCTCTTATTTTTTACGGCTTTATGGCTACAGGTAAATACAGCATTTTGGTGTTTAGCGAGAGACGTATCAGACGTTGCTTAAAACATATCGAGGAGGATTGGAAAATCCTTATCAACATGGACGCGCGAGATACGATGATTGAATCCGCAAAGATTGGCAGACGTCTGGTGACACTTTGCGCAGCTTTCATGTACGGTAGTGGACTCTCCTTTCGATCAATTTTGCCATTCGCCAAAGGAAAGATCGTGACCGCACAGAATGTCACAATCAAACCTTTACCCTGCCCAGCTTATTTCTTTTCTTTCGATATACAAGTTAGTCCTATTTACGAAACGGTTTTCGCGATTCAGTTTTTGTCCGGCATAGTTACTTATTCTATTACGATCGGTGTATGTGGGCTTGCGGCTGTCTTTGTGATGCACGCTTGTGGTCAACTGAAAATTTTAGTGACTCTGATGAGAAATCTCGTCGAGATACAATGGGACGAGACTCAAGAATTGGATAGGAAACTTGCTGCAATGGTCGAGCATCAAATAAGGATACGGAAGTAAGTGTTTTTAAATTGTAGGTGATTTTTTCTTAATTTGATTGTATATAATTGAAAATTATTAATAATTTACTAATAAATAAACATAACTTAAACATTTACTAATAATAATTATTGTTAATAATTATTGTTAAATTTTTATTGATATTCTGCATCGTAATTGATAGTTATTGCTAAATCTATATTTACATTTAGCATATTTTATATACAGATAATTAATAATATTATTTATTCGTTATTATTTTACTCTTTGAAAATCTTGATTTAACATCAAAGACATTTCAGCTTTTTGCGATTGGTAGAACATACTATGCAACAAGCATGTCTGATAGAATTAATGGGTTGCACGATGATTGTTTGCCTTTTGGGATATTTTATAATAATGGTTTGTAACGCTTATATTTCCGCGAATTAGATGTTTTCAATAAAATAAAACAAAAAACAAAAAGACATAAAACATTTACATTTACAGGAATGGGAAAATAGTAATTCAATAGCTATGTGCTCTTACTTTATTACAGTTACATCTCTGATGATAAATATGTTCATGTTTTGTTATACTGGAGAACAGCTTACTGTTCAGGTATATTCGTCAACTAATTAGATTTTTCTAACAAACGTCATTACGTTATATAATAATGTATAATAATTATACACACACACACACACACTCATATGTCATAATATAATACAATATGTTATGCATAATAATGTTACATTTACGTGTGTTCGATCACCGAAAGTTGTACTTTACCTCTCATAAAAAAATATGTTTAAAAATATTTATAAAATATTATTGTAATATCATTTTCCGTTTCATACTACATATCAAGATTTCTTGCACAAACAATGAAAATATTTAGATAAAATGCACATCATAAAATTCATCCACAAATATAAGAAAATAAATATTAATTAGTTATTTAACTATACGTGAAAAATAAAGTTAGAATAAAAAATGTTATTGAAAATATTTTTCAATTATTATAAAATTATTATAAAATATTATTAAAATATAAAAATGCTTATTAAATGTCAATAACAGGCGGAGAGAGTAGCTAGTACATCGTGCGAACTCGAATGGTATCGTCTTCCGGATAAAAAGGCACGTGGAATTGTACTAGTGATGATTATGTCGAATTTACCTACCAAAGTCACCGCTGGAAAAATCATGGATTTATCATTCAAGACATACGGTGATGTAAGAACATATATACAAAAGTACTCACTTATTTTTTCACAAACTTGCAATTTAACATAATAGCTATTCATATCATTAAATATTATTTATGTAATATAAATAAATATAAATATAAAAATATTTGTACATAAATGATTAGGAAAGAGAATAACTATAAAATATTTTTATATTTGGCATTAACCATATATACATTTTCATATGTATAATTATCATAATTATTTATAATTACAACTTATATAACTTCAATTAATATCCATCTCAAATTAACATGAATAAATCATTTTTTACTTTTATTGAATAATTTTTTTCACTTAATGAAATAAAATCACGATAAAATAAATTATTACGGAATGTTTTAGGTCGTTAAAACAGCTGTGACGTATTTCAATATGCTTTTAAACGTAACTGATTGAATCTATTTCTTCATAATAATTTTATTTTTATCGTTGAAACTATGAATACGGATACAAAACGATCAACAATATTAATTAAATATTACATAAACTTATGATATAAATGTGTCAAACATATATATAATGTACATAAATGTATATATTATATACACCACACATATGCAGTGTACCCCAATATAAATATATTTCTTCTATAGAAGAATACATATGTACAAAAAGTTTTCTAAAATATGTAGCACAAAATGCACATTAAATTTTTTTAAACCTATAGAAGAGTAAATACAGAAAATTTTCTGAAATATGTAACACAGATGCACATTAATTTTTTTTTCAATTCGATTTGATATTAAGTCAATCGTTAAACTTACACACTTATAAATTAATACAATTGTCGCTCGTATATTGAAAACAAAGTGATAAATATAAGGCCAACTTATCGAGCTGAATATTCGAGATGTTCAGTCAACTACCATTTATTACATGTATAAATTATAAAACTACAGTCATTATATTAAAACTAACGCAAATTACAATCATTCTATAAACGTTTCGACCGCACGCGGTCTTCTTCAGTATAATTATTGAAATATAAATTCTTACAATTCACATAATATCGAAATTTAATTATAGTTATTCAGAATCAAGAGTTTTTGAGTAATTAACGCGTGTTTCAATCCGTCCTGTCCAACAATGTTCGCCTCGATATGATCCCTGATTTTGTTCAGATCTCGGATAGTTTCATCGTTAATATGCGAGAAATTAACCCGTTCCGTAGGCGCTATCATCGTTCTTCTTGATAATTTTGCTACTTATTAACAGTTATTAAGGATGACACATAACAAACCCTGTTTTTATTAAAGGGTTTGTTATGTGTCATCCTTAATAACTGTTAATAAGTAGCAAAATTATCAAGAAGAACGATGATAGCGCCTACGGAACGGGTTAATTTCTCGCATATTAACGATGAAACTATCCGAGATCTGAACAAAATCAGGGATCATATCGAGGCGAACATTGTTGGACAGGACGGATTGAAACACGCGTTAATTACTCAAAAACTCTTGATTCTGAATAACTATAATTAAATTTCGATATTATGTGAATTGTAAGAATTTATATTTCAATAATTATACTGAAGAAGACCGCGTGCGGTCGAAACGTTTATAGAATGATTGTAATTTGCGTTAGTTTTAATATAATGACTGTAGTTTTATAATTTATACATGTAATAAATGGTAGTTGACTGAACATCTCGAATATTCAGCTCGATAAGTTGGCCTTATATTTATCACTTTGTTTACACACTTATTTCCGCAGGAGGGTTAGAGGGTTATCGGAATTAAATCTCAAGTATGAGATTATTTCAAATTTTAAGTTTTGGAAGTATACCGAGAATGATACGTGCCTTGTGCACGGTTTATTTCCAACGAAAACTTAATTTTCGTTGAAAATGTACGCAACAACATCCGCGTATGGCTCTTTAGACTTTTCTTATTTGTGATTTATATTTAATATATTACAGAGTCGTGATTTAATCTTAATTGTTTAACTTACACAATTATTATGTTATCTTTTTATATATAAACCACATTTGCTTTATTTTAAAATAAATAACAATTAAAAAATAACTGACAATAAATAAGATTTACTAAAATTGTACTAAAAAGATACTAATACTGTGCTATACATTTTATATACGAAATTATTGCAAAAGAGACAAAAAGAATTATTATTAGTGGTCAATGTTCAATACAATCGCAGATTTAAATATAGAAAAGAATAAAGTCGCAAAGCCAATTGTATTAATAGTTGAATACACGTTGACGAACAGAAATTCTATTCATGGAAAGCAATCACAACCCTCGGTGAGCAAGTTGACTTGGAAACTTTTCTGCTTTCAAAATATCTTCCTCACGCAACCATTTAAATCTTTAAAGCGCGCAAGCGTAAGTGAACGGCGAATTTACTTCATTGACCGTTCTTTACGCAGCGATCAGTCGTGATTCAGCTCGCATTTAAGTTTCACATTAACTTGTAGTATCTTGCACAACTGCAATCCAAGAGGAATTTTCTAGAGAAAAAAAATCGCAAACGTTCTTCACAATTTCCCCAAAAAGATGTCGAGTAACAAACAGTATCAAGAAGATATGATGTTTATCACGCAATTTACGCGTAACATTCTAAGTGTACTCGGAGTCTGGCCGTCGTCCAGCAAAGAAAGAACTTTAATTAAACGAATTCATAAATATCTATTAATTTTTATATCAAACATCCTTCTTTATGCCGTTTTATTACCCGGTTTTCTCTTCTGGCTTTTCGAAAAGAGAACGCATGTCAAAATTCAGGTATTACCTCTACTTATCTTCGGCTACATGGCTATAAGTAAATATGGTTATTTAGTATTCTACCAAAGACAAATCAAACGCTGTTTAAAGCACATTGAAGAAGATTGGAGAAATGCCAATGTGAGTTCACGAAACATGATGATCGACTCCGCGAAAACCGGAAGACGCCTAGTTGCACTTTGTGGAGCTTTTATGTACAGTAGCGGATTATCTTTTCGATTAATTTTACCATTTGCTAAGGGAAAAATAGTTAACGCGCAAAATGTCACGATTAGACCTTTGCCATGTCCAGGTTATTATTTTTTCTTAAATACACAAGCCAGTCCTACTTACGAAGTGGTTTTTGCGGTGCAGTTCTTATCGGGTTTAGTTACCTTTTCTATTACGACGGGCGTATGTGGTCTCGCTGCCATATGCGTAATGCACGCTTGTGGCCAATTGAAAATTCTGATAAACTTAATGAAACATCTTGTTGAAGAGCAGAGGCAAGAAAAACATGAAGTGGATAAGAAGTTAGCCGCAATAGTCGAACATCAAATGAGAATACGAAAGTGAGTGCTGTCATCGATTTAATATTAAATCTACATTAGTACTAAATAAAAAATAATTATCTGTTTTATTTCCCAACAAATTTGGATTGGCTATCATGCATAAATAATAGTTCTTATTGTGAATTTTCTTATTTCCCAAAAATGAAAATGTCGAGTTGATATTATCAATACATTTCAGTTTTTTGCAATTAGTGGAAAATACAATGCAACAGATGTGTTTAATAGAATTAACGGGATGTACAACAATCGTATGCATTCTTGGATATTGCATAATAGTGGTTTGTGATTTTTGTATTACTTTTAATTATTTCACAAAATTGTTGCTTAATAATTTTATAGTAATAAGATAAGCATAGCTTTTGTTTATGTATTCAATAAAAATTTTCAAATTATAAATATATTCAGATACAATTCAGATGATTTATGATTTTAATGCAACTTATAATTGGTTTCATGTTTTCCTATATATAAAAATACATAAATATTAGTTACATCAAAGTATTACATTTATAGGAATGGGAGAAAAGTAATACAATAGCTACATGTTCTTACTTTATGTCGGTTACGTCTATGATGATAAATATGTTTCTGTTTTGTTACACCGGTGAACAGCTTACCGCTCAAGTATGTGTGTTTGCTTATAATCTGTTTGATCTCTTATTTCCATTACATTATCACGCATATATATTATATATAATAGTGTCAATGTTATATTTTTTAATAAGATTAATATCATTATATTTGTATTTAATATATGGATATATGCAGAAGCAAAATAATTTTTATCTTAAAAAAATAATTGGAATTATTTCATATATTTAGTATTACATATCTATTACTAACATGTTGTTACGTATATGTGTAATAATATTTATATTAGGCAGAAAAGGTAGCTATTAAATCGTGTGACCTCGAATGGTATCGCCTTCCGAACAAAAAAGCACGTGGAATCGTGCTGGTGATGATCATTTCTAATTTGCCTACCAAGATCACCGCTGGAAAACTCATGGATCTATCATTCAAAACATATGGTGATGTAAGAAAATATTTTTATAAATATCCATATAATTTAATTCATTTTAAAAAATCACCACAGTTACAGATATGTTATATATTTATGTGAATGTATGTATATATGTGTATATGAGCATAAGTGTATGTATAAATGTGTATAATATTTTATTATTTTCTATATATATATATATATATATGTTTAATTATATATGTACTATATGTATATTATAATTGTATATACATTGTGCCTTATGCGACTATTTCGATCGATTTTGTTTTAGGTTGTAAAAACAGCTGTGACATATTTCAATATGCTTCGAAATTTCGTTGAATAAATATTTTTTTCTAATCATCTGAGCATCATATCATAATAGTAACATCATTTTGTGTCAAGTATACTTTCATAATATAGATATATCAGACATAATATTTTGTATGATATATGTATATATATGATTTATTTATTCTCGTCTCTTAAATATATTTCTTCTATAGAAGAATGCGCATACATAAAGTTGTTGTTTCACAAAATACAGACGGATGCAATTAAATTTTTATGAGCAATTAAGATATAAAAAAAACCTGCAATTACTACATTATATTTTATATTTCCATATAAATCTCTATATATTTCTATTTTATTATACTAAAAAATAAATAACAACAGATAAGAATTTAAAAAAGTAAGCACAGATTTAAATATAATTTTTACATTATCGTACATAAAAACGTACTAAAATGATATTGCACTTTATACACTAACAGACTTTTGCACACACATACAAGTATAGTGAAATATCAGGAATCAACAACCCCATCTTACGTGGTTATTATCAAATAAGTTTCTTTGCACAGCATTAATTCTCTTTTGACTTCCAGCAGGAGTACTATCTCTCACTATAAAAAAATTATGAATAGATCTGCGAGCAACCCCTACAAAAGTTTCAATATAGTATACGCGATGTTAGCCATCTGCTTGACGTGGCTTTTCAGTCTCTTTACGCAAGCGCACGCGAACTATAAATTATGCTTTTGTCCAACAAAGGATATGCTGCGGTCAGTGGCGAACAAACACGCCTTGTTTCAGCATTGCACATTATAGAAATGTTGCGTGCAACATTATTACATAGCATCGTGCTACGAAATTGAGATATTATTTAAAGATATTATAAGTTATATAGTATCCATTCCAACATGATTGCCAACAAGTTTTATGAAAACGATATAAAGTATACCTTTGAGATAAATCGCTTCTTTTTTCGTGTATTAGGAATCTGGCCGTTCGCGCGCAAAAATTCCTTTCTTCCCGACATAGTGCAGACAGTTCCGATATTTATCACGTGTTTTGCTCTTCTTCTTTTTGAATTAGTGCCGACCACGATCTACATATTAGTAGTCCTGAAAGATATTCGTCTAAGACTTAAAGTTTTGGGTAGTATGCTATTCACATTAGTGACGACTGTCAAGTATAGTTACATGTTGTTTTACAAGAATGAAATTAAAAATTGTTTGAAGCTAGTTGACGAGGACTGGCGAAATATAGTCGATCCGAGCTCTCGCATTTCGATGATCGACTCAGTAAAAATTGGTAGACGTTTAATTATAATGTGCGCCGTATTTGTGTATTTAAATGGAGTAGCTATACGAGTTATCATGCCTCTGTCAGTTGGGAAGATTGTCACTCCTCAGAATATCACGATTAAACCTCTGCCAACCGTGGCGCATTTTGTTTTCTTCGATGTGCAACAAAGTCCCGCTTACGAAATTATTTTTTTTCTACAATCTTTTTCGGGAATTATAAGGTACACAGTGACGGTGACAACTTTTGGCTTCATAACTCTCTGTGTAACGCACTTTTGCGCGCAGTTAGATATACTAGTTACATTAATAAATAATTTTGTAAATGAGCACCAAGAAGAATATTTAAACAAGAGATTGGCCATTCTCGTGGAACATCAAATCAAGACACGGAAGTGAGTTTGTCTTTATATTTATATAATTTTTAATAATTTTGCTAATTATTTCTAAAATTTATTTATTTATTAGAAAGAAAGAAAAAGAGGAAGAAAAAATATGTATTCTATAATTTAAATCATGACAACATATATATATATATATATAAATTGATGGATATGAGAAAGTGTTTATAAAAATATGATTAATATCTTTCGTTTAAATTTAATATTTGCGTATTTCTTTCGTGTTCATTTCAGTTTTTTACGCTTGGTACAGACTGCTACTCAATACCCAAGTTTAATAGAAATTCTAAGTTCTAGTATACTCATATGCTTCGCAGGATATTACATTTTGATGGTGCGCAAACGTTTATGTAATAGCGAATTTTAAGAAAATTTAGATCAATATGGTACGATATTTGATAGAAAACTTAATATATTTTGAAAAATAATAAGACATGTCTGTTTGATTTACAGGAATGGGAAAATCATAATACTATACGTTTATGCTCATACGTTATTGGATTGTCGATGCTTTTATTCAACGTAGTTATTTATTGTTACATGGGCGAACAAGTCATCGAACAGGTATGCATTTTCGAGTCCTAATTTTATTATAGTTGAAAAAAATAATCGTAAAGTATTTAACAGATAAGAAACGGAATATGTGCCACATATTATTTTTTTTCAATTTTATTTCTGACGCATATAACTAATTAATAAAATTAGGAAAAGAAAGTAGCATTAACAGTGTGCACATTAGAATGGTATCGTCTTCCGAATGAAAAAGCGAAAACATTGATTTTAATCATGGCCATCTCGCACACTTCACATACACTGAAAGCAGGAAAATTTATCGATCTTTCTCTCAAAACATTTGGCAATGTAAGTAACAATCTTTTTAAAAAATATAATGGATACTGTTATCATTATTAATGATAAAGATATTTTTTTGGAAAAGAAAAAAAGGAAAAACGCGATTAATATACATATATAGAAATATATTTATTTTAGGTTGTTAAGATGTCAGTGACATATTTAAATCTTCTACGATCATTCGAATGAGACTTAAGAATTAGTTATGTATACATAGAATAGCAATAAAAAATGTATTTTAAATAAAAGTAGTAATATAAAAAGAATACTCATATAATGCAATTAATGACTCTCTACTTTATATATCTATTTTAGATAAAATATTAAATGCATTTAGAGACATTTAAATCATATTTAAAGTTCAATGTATAATTTTATACACAAATATATTGCGTGTGTAACAAATTTCAAGAAGTTAAATGATTTGTTACTCACTCGTGTAAATAATAAATAAATATCATTTTCTCTTTCTTACCATATAATATCAAGATTTTTTCTCAAATGATGAAAATGTTTAGATAAAATGCACATCATAAAATTCATCCACTAATGTAAGAAAATAAATATTAATTAGCTATCTAACTATACGTAAAAATAAAGTTCACATTTCTTGATAATCTAAAAAATATTTACTGCTCTTTATGTGCTATTCAATTTTATTTAAATATTATATGTACATATAAACAATTTCCTATTTGATAACTTAAAAACATATTATTCCTATATCAAAGATATATGATAATATTTAAAAAGAAATTAGACGCAATTGTTTTCCTGTTGCAAAGTTGAAGTATGTATGAAAACTGAAAATACCTTCCGTAGAAAAAAAACAATCTCAGTTCTTGATCATTTCACTTGCAAACTTTATGACTATTTCTCTACTTCACATATCATTTGAATTCTTAAAGAGCGCAAGCGCAGCTCGATGACAAGTTTACTTCGACGTCAGTCTTTCTTTTAACAATCAATCGTAATTCAGCTATCGGCTATATTTCACAGTATCCGCAGAAATTTACTTGACAGTTGATAGTTAAATAATTTTCAAAAATAATAATTGTGCGAGACCAAACTCCACTGAAAAAATGTCGTGTAACGAACATTATAAAGATGATATTGTATACATCACGCAATTAACACGTAATGTTCTAAGCGTGCTCGGGGTCTGGCCGTCTTCCAACAGAGCAAGATCTGCTGGCGAAAAAATTGTGAAGTTTCTGTTAATCTGTGTTTCCTACGCTCTTCTTTATTGCGTGCTGATCCCGGGTATCCTCTTTTGGTTAATGGAGAAAAGAACGCGTATCAGAATACAAACATTTCCTATGCTTCTCTATTGTTTCATGGCAACGAGTAAATACGGTAATTTAATATTTCGCGAGAATCAAGTCAAACGGTGCTTGAAACATATCGAGGAAGATTGGAAGATTGTTACTAGCGCAGATGCGCGAGATACAATGATCGAATCAGCGAGAACGGGAAGACGTTTGGTTGCACTTTGCGGAGCCTTTATGTATGGCAGCGGACTCTCCTTCCGATCGATCTTACCATTCGCTAAAGGAAAAATAATTAACGCGCAGAATATTACAATTAAACCCTTGCCTTGTCCGGGTTACTTTTTTTCCTTCAATTCACAAACCAGTCCTACTTACGAAATGATTTTTGCAATGCAGTTCTTATCAGGTTTAGTTACTTATTCGATCACAACGGGCGCATGTGGTCTTGCAGCCGTGTTCGTGATGCATGCCTGCGGTCAGCTGAGAATTTTGATAGACTTGATGCGACGTCTTGTCGAGGACCAATGGCAAGAAAAGCAAGAGGTGGATAGAAGACTTGCTGAAGTGGTAGAGCACCAAATAAGAATACGAAAGTAAGTTCTTAATTTGTAATCTTATTAAATATGTATTACATTATAAAAATAATTGATCGCTGATTAATAAATAAAATCGCATTTAATATGTGGGATACAATTTTTAATTCTATTCGATTATTTTATAAAAATATCAATTTAATACAGAATATCAATATATTTCACAGTTTCTTGCGATTAGTGGAGCATACTCTGCAACAAATATGTTTGATAGAATTGATGGGCTGTACGATAATTGTTTGCAATTTAGGGTATTGCATAATAGTGGTTTGTAATTTATTCTACTCCCTTCAATAACAAAATAAAAACGCATTTTTTAATCTATTTAATAAAATGTAAAAATAAAAATTGTAAAAGTGTTGAAACAATTGATTGAAATAGTGATTGTTCTTTTATAGTTTTTATATAAAGAAACATTTATATAAAAAGTGCTGTATTTATAGGAATGGGAGAGAAGCAATACAATAGCTACATGTTCTTATTTTATGTCGCTTACGTCTATGCTAATAAATGTGTTTATGTTTTGTTATACCGGTGAACAACTTACGACTCAGGTATATTCGCATTATATGTTTAAATCAGGTCATCTTTTCATTAAATACGCAATCTATACCTTTTTATTTAATTTACCATATGATAATTATGTATAATAATATTATTTTCGTTATTTTATAAATTATATTTTTATATATTATAAAAATAATTATCACAACTTTATCGTAAAAATATAACAAAAATATTTTAATTTTCGAAATAATTCTTAAGTACGTGAAATATGTTATACATAACACGTACAATAAATTAAATATTATATATGATCATGAATTCGATTATTTATTATATAAGATATATATCTATATAATTATCTATAATATTTTATATCTATAACAGGCGGAGAAAGTGGCTCATACATCGTGCGAACTTGAGTGGTATCGTCTTCCGGATAAAAAAGCACGCGGAATTGTATTAGTGATGATTATGTCTAACTTGCCTACAAAAATCACCGCTGGAAAGATTATGGACCTATCACTTAAAACATTTGGTGATGTACGAATATATATTGAAACAAACTTATTAACTTGTCATGTGTGTATATGTGTTTTTATGTGTGTATATACTATATTTTTTGTATTATTTGTTATAATTATATTTTTCGTTCTGTTAAACTTAAGCGCGAATGGACAATTGATTTGTTTTAGGTTGTTAAAACAGCTGTGACATATTTTAACATGCTTCGAAATGTAACTGATTGAATATTTCAATTCTAATCATTGAAATAATTTAAGCTACACATCGTGTCAACATTATCGTATTGTATACTATATGTAAAATTATAATAATTAGAGCCAATGTACATACACACAAGATAAATGTTTTTAGTTTTGAATATATTCTTGTATAATTATAATTGTAATAATTATTTTCGTAAAAAATTGAATAATTTTCCGATAATATCTACGAACAAAAATAAGTTGTATAATAGCATCATATCTTGCTTTAAAACATTAAAAGTTTATTTTATAATCGCAGTGTTTAAATCATCGAAGCATTGTATCAATTCATTATTATTCCTTATTGATCATTATAAAAAAACTATTTTAACATTCTAAATATTTTGATTACAAAATTACAACGATTGTGTAGTCATAGAAAATATTTTTTTATCTGTTCAGGATATAATCATGAGACAAGCATAATTGCTTTGGATATTTTATTATCAACAATCATATTATGTTCACACTGATATCATTTCAACAAGTTTCTTCAAAGAATATCAATTTTTTTGACTTTAAACAAGAGAACTTTCTCTCCCTATGATAAAGCACATTCATAAATAGATCTGCGTGCAACTCCTTTCGATTCCTTTTAAAGTTTTGCACGTACAATATTAGCTATTCATTTGACGTGGCTTTTCAGTCTTTGTAACACGTAAGCACATGTGATGAGTTAGTCCCTTTTATATCCGACAAAGAAAAAAATATTTATTAATAATATTATTAACTCTTTTCAAACTATTAAAATATGCGATTTCAATGATAACAATTTCTTATGAAATAAGCATAACAAAAGAATTAGATAACATATCGCGTTAATAAATAAAAATAATAATCTCAAATAATTAACAGATTTACATTATATATATATATATAATGTACTTTATAAATAAATTTTAACATATTTCAAGTTAATTATGTTGACAATGCATGATGAATTGGTAATAACATAAATAATTATGGTCAATTGATTAATGTTGCAGTTAAAATTAAGAAATTTATAAAAATAAAATTTATGAACATAGCTCTTTCTAAGAAACATATAAAAGTATTCTCATAAAATATAATCAAAATTGTTATTTTTTGATCAATGAGTACAATCACGGACAAGATATAGAAAGGAGGAAAATTAAATATTATAATTTTCTGAATCGCGCGCGGTCAAAAGTCAATAAACGTAGATGAGTAAGAATACTTTTCATAGAAAACCATCTCGTCCCTTGGCGAGTAACTTTATTTATGAACTTTACTTTTCCATTTCTCTTCCTCACGCAACGTTTAAATGTTTCAAACGCGCAAGCGCATGCGAGAATTGAGTTGACTTTATGATCAGATTTGTCCTGCAACGATCAGTCGTGATTCCGCTCGCGTCCAGGTTTCGTGTTAATAGTGTTTGCGCATCGGATAAAGAGTCCGAAAGTACAGCACATTTCAAATTAATCGAAAGAAATGCCACAAAACAAACATTATCAGGACGATATTTTATATATCACACAACCAACTCGTAACATTTTGCTCATACTTGGAGCCTGGCCATCTATCGATCAAAAAAGATCTGTATTTCCACAAGCTTGCAACTTCTTGTTAATTAGTATCACTTACACACTTCTTTTCTCCGAGCTTATACCTGGTATCCTTTACTGGCTGATGGAGAAATCAACGCGCATTCGACTCCAAATAATTCCTCTTCTTCTCTATGACATCATGTCTGTCAGTCAATATGGTATTTTTATATTTCGCCGTGATCAACTCAGACAATGTTTCAAGTATATCGAGGAAGATTGGGAAGACATTAGTGCAAACACGCGCAATATTATGCTGAAATCCGCGAAGATGGGCAAACGCCTGGCTACAATTTGCGCAGTTTTCATGTACAGTGGTGCCTTTACTTTTCGAACTATCTTACCATTATCCCAAGGGAAAATCGTAACTGATCAAAACATTACAATAAAACCCTTTGCTTGCCCGGGTTACTTTTTTTCTCTCGACGTGTACGTCAGTCCTATTTATGAGATACTCTTTACAATCCAATGTGTAACAGGTATACTTATGGTTTCGATCGTGATAAGTGCATCCGGCCTTACAGCGATTTTCGTGATGCATGCTCGTGGCCAGCTGAAAATCTTGATCGATTTGATGAGAAGTTTCGTGCAGGAACCGTGCCAAGAAGAGCGTACAGTGGATACGAAGTTAGCTCAAATAGTCAAACATCAAATAAAAGTGCGCAAGTAAGTCTGCAATTTGTTTTTATATGTTATTTGTGCCTCTTTATTTATTTTGCCTTTTAATTAGTTAATTCAAAATATATATCTATCTATCAAAAAATATATATCTGTCAAAAAAATTTTCTAGCTTTGATTATTATTCTCTTTATTCATTGATGCGGATAATATTAATTTTTTATGGCAATTGTATTTCAGTTTTTTACGATTGGTACAGCATACTCTACATGAAATATATTTGATAGAACTTACGGTGAATACAATAAGCATCTGTCTTTTATTATATTTTATGATAGTGGTTCGTAAGTTTATTTATATGATGAAATAATTTTAACAAAAAAGTAAATTAAATATTTGAGTATATATAATACAAATAAAACAATGAATAACAAAAATTCAATCATAATATAAATTTTGATTTACTCTTATAATTTCAAATTTTTATATGACGATGCATGTTTCAAAAACAAAGTTATTTTAAAATTTTTAATTAATCAATAATCAATTCGTTATATGTATATGTATAACATTTATATTTGTAGGATTGGCAAAGTAGGAATATAGCAGTTTTATGCACTTATTTGTTAAGCATTACGAACGTGGTAACTCATATATTTTTATTTTGTTATACCGGTGAACAACTTACCAGTCAGGTACGTTTTATTAACATCTTAACTTTTAAAATAGACAATCATAATAAATTGAAAATACAAAAAATCTCAATGTTCTACAATTAAAAATAATTTATTTATTATAAATAAAGTTGCACTTTAAATTTTGAGACAATATTCCATTAAAAATTATTCTATTATATAATATCTTAAAATATTACATTTTTGTGAAAATGTTTTATTAAATATGAAGAAAATACAATATATAAAGAAAATATAAAAAATGTATATTACACTATCTTAGAAATATTTGTATGACCATTGCTATATATGTATAATAAATTAACAATAGGCGGAAAAAGTGGCCATTACATCCTGCGGACTCGAATGGTATCGTCTTCCGAACAGGAAAGCACGTAGCGTCATATTATTAATGATTATGTCTAATACGCCAACTAAAATCTCCGCTGGAAATATTGTCGATCTGTCACTCAAGACATTTGGTGATGTAAGTAAAAAAATTAAAATTTTCAAAAATTATGTATGTGTATATGTTCAATTTGTTAAAGTTTGCCAAAAATTAAAATCTTAATCAATCGTCATACCGTTTAATCATACAAATATTAAATAATAGATTATTTTATATTCATAAATACATATAAATGTTAGCTGAAATTTTCTTTTAGTATGATTTTTTTATATTAATAATGAGAATTGATCAAAACAATAAGCAGTTAAATATGTTTTAGGTCATGAAAACATCTGGAGCATATTTTAATATGCTCCGAAATGTAATCGAGTAATGTAATAAATATTTAAATTCTTATAATCTCGAGATTATGACGAAAATGATATATACTTGATATATTAATTATATATTGTGTGAATCAGTAATATACATAAATTAAATAGAAAATTTAAATTATTTTATGTAAAACTATATACATATATAATATACTCTTATTATACACACATTTAAATATACATATTTTATCGAACAATTTATTATTTATTTTTTAACATGTATTTTTATTTATATTAGAAATAAATAATACATCTTACTTTTGTTATAAAGTTCAAGAAATATATATAATCAAAATTATTATTTCGCAATCGGAATTGAGATTTCTATAAAAAGTTATACAAATTATATAGGAAGAGATAAACATATAATTATTTTCCTAGTTGTTATAAAGGACGATAAAAGCGATCGCGTACAGATAAAAATACTTTTCATGACATGGCAGATAGTCTCTCCCTCGAACAATTGCATTTACTAACTTTATCGCTACTATCTCTCTTCCTCACACAACATTTGAATTTTTTATGCGCGCAAGCGCAAGTAAGCTTACTTTATGATCAACTTTCCTCTCTTCGACGATCAGTCGAGATTCAGTTCGCCAATAGATACCGCATTACTCGTAGGAAACTACGTATCGAATGAAGTCCAAGAATATCGTGAAGCATTCTGCAAAATACATAGAAAAATGTCAGGTAAAGAGGATTGCTATCACAATATCATGTACATCACGCAACCAACTCGCAACATTATGCAGGCGCTCGGTGTCTGGCCTTCCATCGATAGAGAAAAATCTATTTGCAAGAAGATTTATAAGCTTCTGCTAATCTCCTTCTCTTACATTCTTCTTTCTTGCGATCTAATACCCGCTATCTTTTATTGGATAATGGAGAAAACGACGCGTGTTCGACTTCAGATAATCCCTGTTCTCCTCTATAACTTCATGGCCGCTGGTCAATACGGCATCTTCATACTTCGCGATCATCAGATCAGACAATGCTTGAAGCACGTCGAAGACGATTGGAGAAACGTTATTAATGCTGATGCGCGCAGCATGATGCTCACGTCCGCCAGGACCGGAAGACGACTGGTCGCGTTTTGCGGTGTCCTGATGTACGGCGGTGCTCTCACCTTTCGAACGATTCTGCCGTTGTCTCAGGGAAAGTTCGTTACCGATGACAATATCACAATCAGATTATTGGCATGTCCGGGTTATTATTTTTCGCTCGACGTGCAAGTTAGTCCCACTTACGAGATTTTGTTCGCGATCCAGTGCCTATCCGGCTTAGTTTCAGCCTCAATCGCGACAGGCGCATGTGGCTTCACAGCTATCTTTGTGGTGCACGCTTGTGGTCAATTAAAGATCCTGATAGAGTTGATGAAGAAACTCGTTGAGAAGCAATGGCGCACGGAATACGAGGTGGATGACAAATTAGCTGAGGTAGTTGAACATCAAATAAGAGTACGCAAGTGAGTTTGTGTTTTTTTATCGTTTTTTTCAATATTATATATTTTATTTATTTATTTTTTGCGACCAGTTTTATTTTTCTGTATTGTCACAATGTTTATTTGGTACTATCAATATTTCAGTTTTTTGCGTTTGGTGCAGCAGACTCTGCACCATGTATGTTTGATGGAAATAATGGCAAACACAATAACCATCTGCGTTCTAGTATATCTCATGTTAATGGTTTGTAAGTTTATAAATTCATAAAAAAAGCGAATTGATGGCTAAATAATTCTATCTTCACACTCTACATAAGTCACATTTTAAACATAAAATGCATTCTTTTATAAATAAAAGACTATAAATTTCGCGATTAAGTGATGATACTTGTTACGTACAAATATTTTATTTGTAGGAATGGCAAAGTAATAATACAGCAGCTGTATGTATTTATTTGTTATGTCTTACAAACGTAACAATTCACGTGTTTATGTTTTGTTATACCGGCGAACAACTTACTTTACAGGTATATATTGATCTGTATTAATATCTTTACCATTTATGCTGGACAATATAATATGCTTAATAACGAGATATAAAGAATTAAATATGTATACATATATGTTCCACAAATGATACGTATATAATTTGTTTCTCTAAAATTGATCTTTTCAAATGCTGAAAATAAATTTTATTCCATGAAAAAATTGAAATTTTGCACTATTTTTATTAAAACATTTTAATAGTTTTGTTCGTTATTCAATATTAATGATAGGCGGAGCAAGTAGCTACTACATCCTGCGAACTCGAATGGTATCGTCTTCCGGATAGAAAAGCACGCAGTATCGTGCTGTTGATGATCATGTCTAATGCGCCGACCAAAATTTCCGCTGGAAAACTCATAGATTTATCACTCAAAACATTTGGTCACGTAAGTTAATTTTCAACGTATTCTTCTCAACGTAATTTTTCATATATTTCATATGTTTGCAAAAATTATTATAGAATTGTTATGCACACATTATATATTTGCAAATATCGTTTTTTTAAATTTACATAGAAAACAATTTGCATAGAATACATAATTATTCGTTCTATAAGATTTATTTATAAATAAATATATACATTATACATATATATATATATATATATATCACTTTTTTCAAACATTTTATGAAATATTTATCTATTTGCACTTTATTAATGTTTTTCTCATAAAAATAAATTAGGAGAATAAACAATAAATCTTTTAGGTAATGAAAACAGCTGGTGCATATTTTAATATGCTACGAAGTATAACCGAATAAATATTTAGTTATCAAAATTATAATGTAGGCTCTATATGTGTAAAATCATATTTTGAAAATTAATAATATATACGTATCAAATATTGAAAATTTAATATGTGCCATGTATAAATAATATTATATAATCCATATAGAACTTTATATTCTACAATAATATTGATTAATAACAAAATGATAAAAAACTTTCCCTGGAAAATATAATATTATAACTCTGAATAGTAAGAGTCACAATATAAAAGAAAGGACAAAATTACATATGAACATTTCGATTTATTACAGTTTATTACACAGATCAATAAATGTTGACGGATAAAAAACATACATTTTTATTTAAACTAAATATTTATCAAATAAAAGTCTCATAATTAAAATATAACTTATTATTTTCTGGCAAAAGAATAATATATATAATTATATTATAAAGGAATATTTAAAAAATATTTAAAAATTATTATAAATTACACTTGGTTTCCAGAATGTATTATAAATATTCTTACTAAATGCAAGAATATTAATATTGAATTTACATACAAATTTGTCTATACAAAATATACAAAATTAAAACAAAAATACATATAATATAAAATATCTTCCCTAATTCAAACATACTTCTCTTAATGATACTGTAAGTCAATAAAGATATACACGCAAGGACTTGTACAAAATTGCTATCGTATCAACAAATCAAAGACTTTATAATGCCTTATTCGTATGGCTGATACTTTCCCGCAGAACATCGAGAATATTTTCCAATGTTTCTTCTAGGGAGAAGAGTGCTCTATTTGTGAAGCACACACACACACACATAATTACATTAGCAGTAGTTAAAGTCGATGAACCCTGCACATATATAAGAATAAATTTCACGGAAATGTCTCGATACTCATTATTCACTTCATTTTAAAACTTTGCTATGCTTTCGATTTTCCTCAAGAGTTCTAAACGCGCATTAACATTCATTCGATTGACGTGACTTGTCAACCACTCGTAACGCAAGCGCACTTACGCACCGAGTTATACTCACAATCAGCCTAAACGATAGCTCCCTGAAGTCAGTGATGAAAAAGAACGCGTTTTGTCATTACATGCATCCTGTCACGCATATCGAGTTGTTTCAAACGATAAAATCTCGCTATTCAATAACATCGTGCTCACAAAATTATTTAATAAAAAATTAAAAATGTATGCGAATAAACATTATGAAAATGATATAAAATATAGCATGCAGTTAAATCGTTTTGCTTGTCGTTTATTGGGCATCTGGCCGTCCATAGAGACAGAGTCATCGAATTTCGAAAATCTCAGGAGAATCTTGCTCATCCTAGTTTGCTATTTTCTCCTCGCCTGCGAGTTAATTCCAACTATCCTGTACGTAATTATCGTCGAAAAACGTACTCGTGTCAAATTAAAACTCATATCGTCCGTGATGTTCACGACATTAGCAGTGCTCAAGTATAGCAGCCTGGTGTTCACTCAAAGCAAAGTGAGAAACTGTTTGATGCGAGTGAGAGACGATTGGCAAAACGTCGCAAACGCCAAAGCTCGTGAATCTATGATTGACAGAGCCAGGACCGCAAGACGTTTGCTCCTCTTATGCAGTTTATTTATGTACACTTCCGGTTTGTACTTCCGTACGGTCGTACCATTGAGCAAAGGAAAGTCTGTTAACAATCGGAACATTACAATCAGATTTTTACCCTGTCCGAGCTACTTCATTTTCTTCGACGGACAGATCAGTCCTGCCTACGAAATCATGTTCTTCATACAGTTTCTTTCCGGATTTATTAAATACACTATCACAGTGGCCATCTGCAGTCTCGCTGCGCTTTTTGCTATGCATCTATGCGCGCAATTAGAAATATTAATGTCGTTAATAAATGATTTCATAAACGAACCTGAAGAAAAGAATCTAGCTAAGAGGCTGGCCGCGACTGTCAAATATCATACCGAAATGCGAAAGTAAGTTTTGTTGTAGTATCTATCTCATTTATTTATCTACATTCTTCTCTCTTGTTTATTCGTATATTGAAATCCATAAAGTTTTCTTAATCGAATAAAATTTCTACGAAATTAAAACGTAACATTAATTTTTGTTTTATTAGCTTTTTATAATATTTTCCAATGTGTTAAGTCCCGATAAAAATCTATACCTTGCGCTTATAGTTTCTTTCAATTGGTGCAGAAAACTCTGGAACACACAAGCCTGTTAGAAGTGATGGGGTGTACGATGATTGTATGTCTTCTAGGACACGATATTCTTACGGTGAGCCTAAATAACTACATAAAAAGCAAGATTTTACGTTTTTTTATTATTTGCATTAAAATTTATACATAACTATTGATCTTCCAGGAGTGGGAAGATCAAAATGTTATAGCTATGTTTTCATATCTTGTTCTATTGACGTCGATTGGATTCAATATTTTCATTTTTTGTTTTATCGGTGAACAACTCTCTGAAGAGGTATGTTTATTATATTACCATTTTATAAGCAGTACAAATCCATTAAAATATTTGACGTAAAAAGAGTAATGTCAACCTATCGAAACTTTTCTTATTATTATCTTATTATTTGACGTATATCTTACTAATAAAACTAGGGAGAAAAATTATCATTAACAGTGTGTACATTGGCTTGGTATCGTCTTCCGAATGCGAAAGCACGAGCACTGATTTTAATTATAGCCATGTCAAATATCCCAACTAAACTTAAAGCCGGAAAATTTTTCGATCTTTCTATCAAAACGTTTGGTGATGTAAGTAATATAGGTTTATTAGTAAAAGATAATTATCAAATATGTATGTAACATATATCTCACAGAAGCTCTTTATATAAGCTCAATCAATAAAAAAAATCTTGTACCTTTTTTATAAAATGTCGATCTATAAAAATTCGACACTATTTTTTATAAATAACTAAACCTTTTTTAAAAAAAGTTAATTTTATACAAGAAACTTACAATACACATATTATATTTTAGGTTGTTAAAACGGCTGTTACATACTTGAATCTTATTCGAAAAGTAATGGAATAAGTAATTCATGTCATATTTATATTATACATAATTATGTGTACAAAGTATTAGATGCATATTTCTTTTAATTGTAGATCATTATTCAGTAGAACCATTAATAATCTAATAGAAATAAAAGTAGTAAAAATGTTATATAAAATGTAAACAATTTTTTTATTGCAAATGCATATCCTTGAATATTTTTCACAAAATATAAAACGTCTTTTCGCGAATTGAAATATATTCTTTTTGAGAATAATATATTAAATATCATATATACAATTATATATAACTTTTTATTTGCTTGGTACGTAAGAAACAGAGAAATTAAATATATTAATTAATATAATTATCACACAATTTATTATTATGTTAGTTTCAAAAAAATATAATAATTATGGGAATACTTGAACGATATAAGGAAGAATAAAATTAAAGCCATGATTTGAGAAATTAAAATATAACTGCGAGAGAAGCATAAAGACTAATACAAAATTGCAAAATGTCGACTGAACGAAAACTTTCCCTGCCATACACAATATTACAATTCTGAATAATAAGAGTTACAATAAAATAAAGAAAGACCAAAATTACGTATGATATCTTTCGGTTTATTAAATGTTGACGGATAAAAAACATAGATTTTTATTTAAACTGAATATCTATCGAATAAATGTCTTACAATCAAAATATAATTTATTATTTTCTAGCAAAATAGTAATTATTTTATAAAGGAATATTAAAGGAATATCATGATAAATTACATTTGATTTCTTGAATGTATATAAAAATTTTTATTAAATGCAAGAACATTAATTTTAAATTTACATAAAAATACATCTATACAAAATATAAGAAATTAAAACAAAAAAATACATACAATATAAAATATCTTCGTTAATTCAAATATACTTCTCTTAATGATACTGTATGTCAATAAAAATATACACGCAAAGACTTATACAAAATTGTGTTATCGTATCAAACAAATCAACAACTTATAATACCTCATTCGTATGGCTATACTTTTCTGCAGAACATCGAGAATATTTTCCAATGCATCTTCTAGAGAGAAGAGTGTTCTATTTCTGAAACATAATTACATGAGCAGTAGCTACGAAAGTCGATGAACCCTGCACAGATGAAAATCAATTTCACGGAAACGTCTCGATTCTTATTAATTCACTTCATTTTCAAACTTTACTATGCTCTCTCAAAAGTTCTAAATACACATTAACATTCATTCGCTTGACGTGATTTGTCAATCATTCTGAACGCAAGCGCACTTACGCACCGAGTTGTGCTCAGACTAAACGATAGCTCGCTTGAGTCAGTAATAAAAAAGCACGCGTTTTGTTATTACATACATCCTGTCACGCATATCGAGTTGTTTCAAACGATAAAATCTCGCTATTCAATAACGTCGTGCTCACAAAATTATTAAATAAAAAATTAAAAATGTATGCGAATAAACATTATGAAAATGATATAAAATATACGATGCAATTAAATCGTATTATTGGTCGCTTATTGGGTGTCTGGCCGTCCATGGATACCAAGTCATCAAATTTCAAAAATCTCAGCAGGATCTTGCACATCCTGACCTGCTATTTTCTCCTTGCCTGCGAGTTAATTCCAACTATCCTGTACGTGATTGTCATCGAAAAACGTCCTTCTGTCAAATTAAAACTCGCATCGTCCGCAATGTTTACGACAACAGCGGTGCTCAAGTATAGCATCCTGGTATTTACTCAAAACCAAATAAGAAACTGTTTGATGCGAGTGAGAGACGATTGGCAAAACGTCGCAAGCCCCCGTGCTCGTCAATTTATGATTGACAAAGTCAGGACCGCGAGACGTTTGATTCTCTTATGCGGTTTATTTATGTACTCTGCCGGCTTGTACTTTCGTACGTTCGTGCCATTGACGAAGGGAAAGTCCATTAACGATCGGAACATTACGATCAGATTCTTGCCCTGTCCGAGCTACTTCATTTACTTCGACGGACAGATCAGTCCTGCCTACGAAATTATGTTCACTATGCAGTTTCTTTCCGGATTTATTAAATACACTATCACAGTGACCATCTGCAGTCTCGCCGCACTTTTTGCTATGCATCTATGCGCGCAATTGGAAATATTAATGTCGTTAATAAACGATTATGTAAACGAATCCGATGAAAAGAAGCTAACTAAAAGACTAGCCACGGCTGTGAAATACCAAACCGATATGCGAACGTAAGTTTTGCAGTTTCTATCTCATTTATTTATCTATACTCTTCTATCAGATTTATTCGTATATTGAAATCCATGAAGTTTCTTTAATCGATACATTTTTTTATGATGGTGAAATATAACATTGATCTTTTTTTTTTATTAGCTTTTATGATCTTTTCTAATATGTTAGGTAAACAAAGTTTCCTGATAAAAATCTATACCTTGCGCGCATCCCTTTATAGTTTCTTTCAATTGGTGCAGAATACTCTAGGAAACACGAACCTGTTAGAAGTGATGGGATGTACGTTGCTAGTATGTCTTCTAGGACATAATATTATTACGGTGCGCCTATATAACTACATAAATAGTTTGCAATATTTTACATTATTTTATTATTTGCATTAAAATTTATACACATATAACTATATTAATCTTCCAGGAGTGGGAAGATCAAGATGTTATAGCTCTGTTTTTATATCTTGTTTTATTGACGTCAATTGGATTCAACATTTTCATTTTTTGTTTTATCGGTGAACAACTCTCTGAAGAGGTATGTTTATTATATTATGAACCCATTAAAATAACATTTGACGTAAAATGAATAATGTTAATCTATCAAAGCTTTTTTTATTTTTATCTTATTTAATTTTAATGAATAACTTGCTAATAAAACTAGGGAGAAAAATTATCATTAACAGTGTGTACATTGGCTTGGTATCGCCTTCCGGACATGAATAAAGCACGATCACTGGTTTTAATTATAGCTATGTCAAATATCCCAACTAAACTTAAAGCCGGAAAATTTATCGATCTTTCTATCAAAACGTTTGGTGATGTAAGTAATAAGTTTATTAGTAAAAGATAATTATCAAATATGAATGTATATATACCTCACAGAAGCTCTTTATAAATTCAATCATTTAAAAAAAAAACTCTTGTACATTTTTTTATAAAATGTCGATTTATAAAAATTCGACACTTTTTATAAAAGGACTAAATCTTTTTTAAAAAAGTTAACTTTGTACCAGTAGCTTGCAATACACATTATATTTTAGGTTGTTAAAACGGCTGTTACATACTTGAACATTATTCGAAGAGTAATGGAATAAGTAATTCATGTCATATTTCTACATGATTATGTGTACAAGATATGTGTATGCATATTTCTTTTTAATTGTAGTTATTCAGTAGAACCATTAATAATGTAATAGAAATAAAAGTAGTAATAATATTATATAAAATGTAAATAATTTTTTTGTTGCGCAAATGCATATCCTTGAATATTTTTCGCAAAGAATGAAATGTCTTTTCGCGAATTTGAATATATTCTTTTTAGAGAATAATATATTAGATATCATTTATATGTACGTATATATACAATTATATAACTTTTTATTTGCTTGATACGTAAGAAACCAAGAAATTAAATATATTAATTAATATAAATTTTTACATATTATTTTATTATCTTAGTTTTAAAATAATATATTAATTATGACTTATCGTTTCATTAGTTCCATATCTTTGATTTTTGTTATATGATCCTGTACTTCTTAACTATGACGGTAAAATAGTCATTGAATATGCGCAGGACGGTTGAACATACAATACTGTCATCAAATGATCAATACATTATCTGCCATTTGTCCCTGCTTGCTATTTTTTCTCTCTATTTTCTCGCATTTGCTGCTTTCTAAAGTTGAAACTTCCTCGAAGTCTAGACTTTCTATTATGTTTCCTTCCTCGAATAAAGACATCCCCAACGTTTGCAATTTTTCCACGACTTACAAGCGAAAACAATTACTGTTTGCTACCGATCCCTTTCTATTTCCGTTTTCGTCAAAGACGCAAGCGCATCGCCGCTTGACTTTTCCGTTTCATGACGATGCGATCAGTTTATCAGCAACGTTGCGATGAAATGGATCGTCAAGTCACATGCGTAAATACTTTTCATCGCGACGACATCAAACGTACCGTGCAAGTGACGCGCGGTGTCTTAAATTTAATTGGTGTGTGGCCATCGCGCACAACTCCATCCACGTTCAAGATCATAAAAACAAAGTTGATCAGAATTTTGTGCCAAACTCTGCTATATGTTGTTTTTGTGTCAGGCGGGCTGAAGATATCTCTTAAAGAATTGAATATGTATCGTCGCCTCAAAGTGCTCGGACCAATGTGTAACATACTGATGGCCATACTCAAGCATATTGCACTGATCTATCAAGGCGAACGACTTAAGGCCTGCATTAGATACATCGAAGAAGACTGGAGGAAAGTAAGTCCGACAGAAGATCGCAGAATTATGATGGACAATTCGAAGATAGGCCGCAGCCTGGCGATCCTTTGCGTGGCTTTCATGTATGGTAGCGGATTCTCGTATCGCACGATTCTACCATTATCACGCGGAGTCATCGTCACGCCACAGAACGTGACAATTAGACCATTGCCATTCGATGGCTACTATCTGTTCATCGACCCGCAAAAGACTCCGGCTTACGAAATTATCTTCATCATTCAGCTTCTCTCCGGATTCGTGCAGTACTCGGTGACCAGCGGTACTTGCAGTTTAGTGGCTCTTTTAGTGTTACATGCCTGTGGCCAATTACAAATTCTTATCACCATGATGGAAGATCTCACACAGATCGAATATTTCCCCAATAAAAACGTCAATCGGAAATTGGCAGCTATCATAAAGCAACATATCAGGATTAAGAGGTAATACAATGCATTATTGCAATTACTTATGTCAATTAAATTGTAAGTGAGAAATTTATATAACGTTCTGGTTTGCGAATAGAAATAAAAAATAACTGATGTTGAAATATTTTTGCATTATATTTATGTTGTTTTAGCTTTTTAAGAGAGGTAGAAGAAAGTTTGCAATACACATGTTTGATAGAAGTAATTGGATCCACATTTGTTTTGTGTATTCTCGGTTATTATATAATAGTGGTACATGTCAACTATTTTAAATATAATTGATATAAATCACATATATATAGGGCATTCCATACCAAATCGCCCACTTTTTTACCCGAACATTTTTTATTTGCTTCATTTTTTTTATGTTTTTGCACTTATTGAAAGTAGTTTCTATGATTTTTTTTAGATTTTTATTTCTATCTATACTCGAGTTATGAATTAAAAAAGGAAATTAATAAAAAAAATTTCAAATAGCTATTACTTTAAGAAGAATATAGATATTGGCATTCATCTGGTGGTCACTTTCTTTGTTTTTGAATGTATTTTTCGAAAAAATATTAAAAAAAATTTTTTAAATAATTTGACAATGTTTTAGTCAATTTTAAGCAAAATTATTTTTTTCCCTCAATAAGACCCCTTCGATTTTTTTCTAAAAAATTAATAAAATTTTAGGCTTAAATACAAAATTTGTGAGCCATAAGCAAAGAGGGGATTCAAACTCCGATTTTTAAGACTATTTTTTTGCATTTTTTTTTTTTAAATTACCTTTTTTAATTTTATATATGACTTCGATAAAAAAAAGAGTTTACAAAAATAATAATACTTATTCTTAAAAGTTAAAACTAGAGAAAAATAATTTTAATATTTTTTAAGACTATTTTTTCGTTGTTTTTCTCGAAAATAATGTTTATTAAATTCTTCGATTTGGTATGGAATGGCCCATATATATATACACATATTTCATTAATGATATATTAATGTACATTTTATAGGAATGGGGAGAAAATGGTATGACGCCAATTATAATTTATACTACAGTTCTTTTAACATTCACCTTTAATATTTTCATATTGTGTTTTATCGGTCAGCTTCTTACGGATCAGGTATTCACTAATCATTTGATAAGAATGATAATAATCATTAATCTGTAATTGCATAAATTACAGAACACAAAAATGTATATTACTTCCTGTACTCTTGATTGGTATCGCATTCCTCACAAAACTGCTCAAGGTCTTATTTTGATAATCGCGGTGTCTAGTGTGCCTGTTAAAATTACCGCAGGAAAATTTATGGATCTATCTCTCTATAGCTTTGGTGCCGTAAGTGTTTCCATTTTACATACTTCTTCTACTCACATAATTTATTCGTTTGAAATATTGCAAAAAAATTCGAATGTTTTAACAATTTAATATTTTGAATCGTTATCGAAATATACAATTACGTGATTTTTAGATCGTAAGAACATCAGTTGCATATCTAAATCTATTACGTACGACCGGCGTTTAAGGCTGAAAACTTAATTAGAACAAAATGAGTTTTATTCATTGGAATTTTATTTATAGAAAATTTAAAATTTTTACGGAATGTAAATAGCACTATTTGCAAATGGCACTAATTGACGTAAGCATGAATATCATTATGTTTATATTGCTACTAGAAATATATTAGAAATTCTATATAAATTCATCTCTTTACATTCGTATGCTATTTTATATTTACATACATTGTTATCATGTTGTATAATTCATTAAACGAGATACACTTTTATATTAGAACAAAACAAATTTCTTAACAATCAATAATAAATCATACTTAATATTTATTAATTATTTATGAAATTCACAAGAATACTCGTACATACATACATACTTGTATACTATATGTATATACATACGCCATTAGCAACTTGTTAACTTCAAACCTGTATAATTCAAAAAGTACTTAATGAAAAAATGTTTTATTATAGTGTTTTGGAAAGCTCTCGAGATAAGCTGTAAGAATATGTAATAAATGTAGAGGGTTTTATTTACAAAAATTAGGTTGACCTTGAAATGATCTTGAAGGACATGGTCAAGGTCAAAGTCAAAGTCATCATCTTACTTCCCGCTTGAAACCATATAACTTTGCTATTGGACATTTTCTCCAAAATGCATTCTAACTGAAGATATTAGGGGAGTCCGATACTTTTCGATGACTCGGTATATATACAAGGTGTCCCATAATTCGCAAATCACCTTTCATGGGCAGATAGAGCGTGTTAAACTGAATAGAAAATTCATTTATCATTTTGCGATATTCGCAATAATTATTCAGTTATTTATTAAAATATCTAAACGAATAAGCAGGTAGAAAGCATTATTTGATCGAGATGCAGCGTCATGCAGCGAGCGGCGACCAATGTAGTGGCGCCGAAAAGTAAGATGATACTTTTGATACTAAGCGGCATGTAACAAATAAGTCATCCGACATGCACACCGAGTCTGGCCTACCGCTTTCTACCCGCTCATTCGTTTAGATATTTTAGTTAATAACTCAATAATTATTGCAAATATCGCAAAATGATACAGGACTTTTCTATTCAGTTTAACACGCTCTATCTGCCCATGAAAGGTGATTCGCGAATTATGAGACACCCTGTATATGTAGTGCAATTAATATTAACAGATAAGACAAAAAATATATCTGACATATACATTTTTTGATTTTTAATTCTTATAATAGAATTTAGAAATGTTTTATACAAACTTTGGGGAATATGTACAAATTGTTTACTTACATGTTTCTTTATAGATATAAATATAATTGTCTCGATATCATAAAATATTAATTATTTAATATAAAAATAAAAACATTAAAGAGTGTAAAAATGTTACTTAAGATACAATTTTTTTATAAACTCTTATTCGTAAAACAAGATACTTAAATTATCTCATTCATCATTATTTCTTTACCTTAGTATCTGAAGAAAATTGTTATTTATGAATTATCATATATCACGCAATCACTGTATATATGCTCTCTTTATTTCGATCCGATATTCTTTACTTAACCGGTTATACTAAAGTAGTCATCGAGCTGTCACAGAGCACGTGTATCGTCATCAAACGATCAATACATTTTTTTCCACCGTGCTATTTTTTCTCTCTATTTTCCCGTACTTACTGCTTTCTAAAGTCGCTCCATTTCCGTAACTTTGCGAATCCCCTTTTTCAAACATCCTCAACTTTTCCGTGATTTATAAAAGAGAAGAAAGATCGTGGGTAATAATTGCTACCTAGAACTGATCCCACTTCTCTTCCGCTTTCATCAAAGACGCAAGCGCATTGACATTACGTTTCCCGTTCTATGCCGATGCGTTGATCAGTTCTTTAGCAACGTTTAGATCAAATGGATCATCAAACAAATAATTTCCATCGCAATGACATCAGACGTACCGTACAAGTGGCACGCTGTGTTTTAAACTTGATTGGCATATGGCCACCGCGAAACGATTCGTCGGCATTCAAAACTATCGGAATAAAGATGCTCAGAATCCTGTGCCAGATTTTACTGTATTTCATCTTTGTGCCGGGAATGCTGAAAATATTTCTCAAGGAGACGAACACGCGTCGTCGTCTCAAAATGATCGGGCCTATGTGCAACTGTCTGATGACCTTGCTGAAGCATGCAATGCTAATTTGTCAGAGCGACCGCATCAAGGAGTGCATCAGGCATATCGAAGAAGACTGGAGGAAGCTGACCTTAACGAAGGACCGCAAGATCATGACGGGCAATTCCAGAATAAGCCGCAACCTCGCGATCTTCTGTGTAGCCTTCGTGTATAGCAGCGGATTTTCGTATCGCGTTATCATGCCCTTGTCACGCGGGGTCATTATCACACCGCAAAACGTAACAATAAGACCGACAATGGGATCCGAAGGTTATTACGTGTTCGTAGATCCGCAGAAAACACCTGCTTACGAAATCATCTCCACAATTCAGTTTGTTTCCGGATTCGTGCAATACGCGGTAGTTAGTGGCACTTGCAGTCTGGCAGCTCTTCTGGTGCTGCATGCCTGTGGTCAATTGAAAATTCTTATCACCAGAATGGAAGATCTCACGCAGACCAAACACTTTAATGACGACAACCGAAAATTAGCGGCCGTTGTAAGACAACATATCAGAATTAAGAGGTAATTAATGTACAATACATTATGCGTTCGTTATCAATCAAATCAATTGAATTGTATACTGGAAATTTTGTATGACATACTGCTTTACGATTATAAATGAAAAATTAATAAAACTAAAATAGTTTTAATAATATAATCTTAGATATTTAAGCAAAGTAGAAGAAACTTTGCAATACACCTGTCTGATAGAAGTACTTGGATGCACATTAATCTTGTGCCTTCTTGGATATTATATAATAATGGTAAGGAAAATTTATTTTGAATAAGTATGATATAAAAAGTCAAAAATATAATTATTAGTATAAAAATATTTCTAATGCGCGTTTTATAGGAGTGGGAAGATAAAAATACTGTGTCTATGACGACATACGCTATACTTCTTTTATCATTCAGTTTTAATATTTTCATATTGTGCTTCATCGGCGACCTTCTTACGGACCAAGTATCGAGCAATAATAATTACTTAACAAAAATAGTAAAAAATCAATTGATTGATTTAATATGTTTATAGAGTATAAAAATGTATATTACTTCCTGCACTCTCGAGTGGTATCGCATCCCTCACAAAACTGCTCGCAGTCTCGTTTTGATAATCGCAGTGTCTAGTAAACCTGTTAAAATCACCGCGGGAAAATTTATGGATCTATCTCTCAATAGTTTTGGTGCCGTAAGTGTTTCCATTTCATAAACTTCTCATATTTATATATATAATTTCAAACATCACGGATAAAGCTTGTTTTGTAAATCATAATGAATCACGAATTATTCAATCAAATATATAATTATGTGTTATTTTAGATTATGCGGACATCAGTGGCATATCTAAATGTATTACGTACAACCAGCATTTAAATAGTAAAGTTATTAATTAAACAAAAAGGTAAAATCTATTTGTAGAAAATCTAAACAGAAATCTATAGATTTTTGTGAATAGCACAATTCGTAGCATTAATTAACGCAGTTACAAAAATATTCGAATTTTTTATATTCTGATTTATATTACAAATTATGCGAGAGTTGAATCAAATCTGTATTTTCTTTTTTCCAAGAAAGGATAATGAGCAGGTTTTTTGGACAATGGAGATTTCTGTTTTGATGTGCTGAAAACATCAGTTTGATGCTGAAGCGATTGTACAGCTATAAGTACACTTCTTGCAACTACGGAACGATTTTTGACGACAAAAAATGAAAATGCAACCGATATCTATAATTAATTAACAGAAGTTTATGGAAAAAATACATGAATATTTAAATGGTCCATGTTATCAGTAGCAATAACAAGCTTTCCACTCTGCTGTTCGTCAAACAGATCTGTTCCGCTTCCGAAAATCTTGAGCGCCAACGACGCATCATCTAAATACTCATGCATTTTTTTCATAAACTTCTGTTAATAGACGATGGATATCCGTTGCACTTTCATTTTTTGCAATAAAAAATCGAATAATGGATTATTAATCTAATGATTATATTAAATACCCCCGTATCTCGCAGTTGGACACGATAAAAATAATCGATCCATATAGTTTCAAGAAGCGTATTGATAACTATAAAATTGCTTCCGTACTAAACTGTACCAATATTTTCAGCGCATCCAAATAAAAGTTTCTGACGCACTAAAGTCCAGCTAATTGACATTTTTTGGAAGAAAAATACAGAAACTTCCTTTTCGACTAACCACGTACAAACGTAATTACTTTTACTTTTGTATATCTTTCTATATTACGATATAATCCCGTTTATAATCTTTAATTAAATAACAATATCAGCATAATAAATTTCTTGATTATCAGTAATAAACCATAAAATTTTACTTACATGATATTCTGCTTACGTATATGGCATAATATGCGTTCAAACTATGAAAACCACCACATGGTGTAACGAAACACGGTCTTTCTTTTTGCTCGTCCACATTGCATTTGACCGGAAGTATGCGGCATGCTAAATTTGCAATCTCTTTCTCTTATGACCTTTCATTACGCGCAGTCGTTTCGTACACGCAAGCGCATTATACGTGGTTCTTACCAGAAAGAAAGAACCGATCTATCATTCCACACCTGTACAGTTATGCTCGAGCTTCTAGCCCCGCCTGACCATCTGTTATTCGTAAACCGAAATGCAATAACATTATTGACGAAAATTCGTAACAATAAAAAAAACGTGGTTGACGCGAATTTCGCGATCAAGCCCACTGCGTGTAAAATTTCAGCTTAACGAATATTAAAATACTGTCAGAAATGAAACTAATTACTAGGGAACGTTCGTCAAAAACGATTCTAGCAAATAAAAACGATTTTAATTACGCGGTGCAAGTGACTCGCGTTATTCTGCGAATGGTTGGCGCATGGCCGATCCCGAGATTCGGGTCCAACGCGGAAAGAATCGTGATTCGTTTGCAGAACGTTGTTTGCTTTTTCTTATGTGCGTTTATTCTTGTACCGGGTCTTCTATTAATATTCCTAAAAGTACGCGATGTCAAACGAAGAATCAGATTAGCGGGGCCGCTTTTGAACTGTTCGATGGGTTGCATAAAATACAGTCTATTCCTTTATTATGGAAAACAAATCCAATCGTGCCTAGAACAGGCACAGCAGGATTGGCAAAACACAACCAACTCGAGCGATCGAAAAATTATGCTGTCTAAAGCGAAAACGGGCCGAAAGTTCGCAATATTCTCCGCCGCATTTATGTACATCGGCGGACTGAGTTATCGTACCATCGTACCCCTTTCAAAAGGACGAATATTGACGCCGATGAATACTACAATAAGAATTCTCTCATGTCCAAGTTACTTTGTTATTTTCGATGAGCAAGAGTCGCCGGCATACGAGATTGTCCTTATCGTGCAATTCTTTGCTGGATTACTTACTTATTCGATGACGTGTGGTGCAGCCGGATTAGCGGCATTCTTCATTATGCACATTTGCGGACAGCTAAGCGTTTTAATCGGTAAACTGAAGCATCTCAGTGACATGACAGAACCCAAGGATCGAGCTGTCGCAACTTTGCTGGCTGATATTGTGGAACATCAAATAAGAGCGAAAAAGTGAGTAAAACAAAATGATCAAATGAGGGAGTATACATTTTTTCCTATTTTTTAAGTAAAAGGACAGTCATAAAAAATAAAATTAATATATATAAATTCATATATCATAAAAAATATAATTAATTAAATTGTAATTATAGATACAATTAATTAATTATAGAATTTGTAAGACTTATGTCTGCATGAAAAACTGCAATAATTTTTCCTTTAAATTATTATTATAAAAAATGTTACGGCAAAATTTTTAAATATAGTATATCAAATTAAATAAGAGATTACACATAATTTTTATGATTTTTAGCTTTATTAATTATATACCTTAGTATTGTAATTGTAATGTTATAAATATAAAATTCCACAAACACACATTAGCAACTTTTAATTTTTAATTAGACTGTTAGATAAACTGTTCATTTACAGTTTTTTGACACAAGTGGAGAACACTATGCGATTCATATGGTTAGTGGAAATAGTAGGAAGTACTTTACTCCTATGTCTCACAGGATATTATGTTATTATGGTAATAAAAAAAAAACTCTTTACAAGAATTTACATAACCAATTTGATGCTGATAATTATCATCAAAAAAGGATTGTTAATAAAATATTCATGGATTATTATATATTATTATTAGCATTATAATTCTATAAAATCAAATTTATTTATTAAATAGTATTAATTTTATAGGAATGGGAGAATAGCGATTCTACAGCCATGTTAACTATGTTTGTAATACTTACGTCTTTCACTATTTCTCTTTTTACTAATTGTTATGTCGGTCAACTTTTGACAGATCAGGTATCGAGCAATATTGCATTTCCTGCGAAAATTTTCTCAAGTGCAGTACTTAAAAATGTATAATCGATAATTTTGACAGAGCATCAAGGTTGGATTAACAACATCCACGATGAAATGGCATCATCTTCCAAATAGATGGGCTCGTACTTTAATCCTGGTAATAGCAGTTTCCAATATTCCAGCAAAAATCACCGCAGGCAGAATGATAGAAATGTCGCTACCCACATTCGGTAACGTGAGTAGAAGTATAAAAGTTTGATATTTTCAAAGTTTCTCTTTTCCATAAATCACGCAATTTCTTTCGTTACTTCATAGATTATCAAAACATCGATGGCATACTTTAATCTGCTTCGAAAATTCATTATGTAATTTCATATCTTCAATGAACCTTCCATAATTTAGTAACCATAACGATATAAGATAATTAAACATTTAATGTAAAATTGTCATTATTTTTGACATAAATGAACAAGGTTTGCCAACAAATATTTCTTCATCTTCTAATTCTATTTTTCTATTTTTATCAATAAGAAATTGTATAAGAGCAGAAAAAGATGCAAAGCTTTTTAATTAATAATAAGAATATTTTTAAGTCAGCTCTTTAATTTTTAAACCACAATCTACACTTCATTTCTCTTGACTAAAGAGCCAAACGCGATGTTATTGCAACAAATTAAGATAGAAAAAAATTTTAATTAAATTATTTATAAACCTAATTTTAAGATTAGATATTGCACAAGTTTTTAGCCGTTTACTTCATTCACAATTCCCGTAGATTTTAGTTTAGCATAGGCCCTGTACTATCCGTGATTTGATACAAAATAATAAATGCACCAAAGAAGATTGTCCTATGTGATTTTATAATTACTCACGGCAATAAATCATGCACCGTAATACCGAACTTTTAAACTACACCAAACCATTATAGTTCCAAAGGTGATTGACTAAAATGTTTGTTAATAAATATTAAATAAATAATATAAAATATACAATGCAATTAAAATTTATTTTGTTGTCTTTACATGTACTAAATAACAATATCGGCATAACAAATTTCTTAATAAATCGTAATATTTTACTTACATGACTATAATATGACAACATACATAAATGTGTCAAATTTTGGGAATTACCACCTGGTGCTACAAATGACTGTCTTCATTTTTATTCGACAATATCACATATAGCCGACAGTTTGGCATGCTAAATTTACAATCACTTACTTTTTCATATGCCTCTATGTTACGTGCAGCCGTTTCGTGCACGCAAGCGCACTGTACATTGTTCTTACCAGAAAGAAACAGACCATCTATCATTATACACACCTGTTCAGTTATGCTTAAGCTTCTAGTCCCGCCTCACCATCTGGTATTCGTAAACCGAAATGTAATAACATTGTTGACGAAATTAACGAATATTCTCAACAGTTAAAAAAACGTGGCGCATGCAAATTTCGCAACTCATTGCATGTAAAATTTCAACTTAACGAATATTAAAATACCGTCAGAAATGAAGTTAACTACTATGGATCGTTCGTCGAAAACGATTTTAAAAGATGAAAACGATTTTAATTACGCGATACAAATAACTCGCATCATTCTGCGGATCCTCGGCCTATGGCCGATCCCAAGTTTTGCGTCGATTGCGGAAAGAATCGCGATCCGCTTGCAGAACATTGTTTGCTACACTTTACTAGCGTTTTTCCTCGTGCCAGGTCTTCTATTAATATTCTTAAAGGAAGACGACTTCAAACGAAAGGTCAAATTATTAGGACCACTTTTCAACACCTGTATGGCTGTGGTGAAGTACAGCCTATTGATTTATTACGCGCAAGAAATCGAATCATGCTTGGAACAGGCACGGCAGGACTGGCAGAGCACGATCAATTGGAATAATCGAAAAATAATGCTGTCTAAGGCGAAAACGGGCCGAAATTTCGCGTTTTTCTCCGCCGCCTTCATTTACGTCGGCGGGCTGTCTCATCGTGTCATTGTACCACTCTCGAAAGGGCGAATATTAACGCCAATGAATACTACGATAAGAGCTCTCGCGGTTCCTTGCTACTTTGTCAAATTCGACGAGCAGGAATCGCCGGCATATGAGATCGTTTTTCTTCTGCAATTTCTCGCCGGATTTATCACCTATTCGTTGGTGTGTGGACCGGCCGGGCTAGCGGCATTCTTTATCATGCACGTTTGCGGTCAGCTGAATATTTTGATTGACAAACTGCAGGGTCTCAATGACCTCACGGAGCCTGAAGATCGAGTTGTCGCGACTTTGCTAGCTGACATTGTGGAACATCAAATAAGAGTGAAAATGTGAGTAAATAAAATGATTAAATGATAAAGAAGAAGAGATTTTCATATAAATGTCTGCTTTTTGTTATTTAAAAAGTTTTAAAAAAGTTAGAGTTAAAAGTATAATTATAAAGATATAATTATAAATATATAATTAATTGTAAAATTTGTGCGACTGTGTTTGCATGAAAAACTGCAATAATTTCTTTTAAATTATAAATATTATGATAATATATATATATATATTTTTTTTTTTTTGACAAAATGTTTAACATACCAAATATAACATAAGTCACGCGTCAAGCGAGTAAAGATTTTTTCTTATCCCAGTTTTGATTAAAAATGCTTAAAAGCATCTGTAATGTCTCTTTGAATGCAACGATTATTTAGATGGATATTTAAAACACACTTTTCTAAATAAAACTCTCTAAAGAAATTTCAAACGTAATTTTGTCATTCTTTATTGTAGACTTGTTTTGACTTTATTAATTCATTCTCTAGAAATGGGGCGTGACTTATAAAACAAACTTCATATTGCAAATCAAATAAGAGACTATGAATAATATTTATGATTTTTATTGTTAGTATTAAAATAATATTTAGTATTAGAATAATATTTATGATTTTTAGCATTTTATGAATTATATATCATTATTGTGATAATAGTATAAGTAAAAAATTTCAAAAATATTAGCAGTTTCTAATTATTAATTAAACTGTTAGATAAATTCTTTGTTTACACAGATTCTTAACACAAGTGGAGGAAGCTATGCGATTCATATGGTTAGTGGAATTAGTAGGCTCTACTGTACTCTTATGTTTCGCAGGATATTATATTATTATGGTAATCACTTTTATGAAAAAAATACTTTCCACAAGAGTTTACATAATCAATTTGAAGTTAATAATTATCAAATATAAAAGGATAATTAATATAATTATTATTCATAGATTATTATAGTGTATTATTAAAATTACAATAGTAATTAAAATTAATGGTAATTCATAATAAAATGTTTATATAATATAATATAACTTAATGCATTATATATATAATAAAATTTATTTATTATAATGTCATCTTTATAGGAATGGGAAAGTAGCGGTACTACAGCTATCCTATCTGCTTCTTTAATGCTCACATCTTTCATTATTTCCATTTTTACTAATTGTTATGTCGGTCAACTTTTGACAGATCAGGTATCGAACAATATTTGGATTACTTTTTCTATGAAAATTAGATATTTACATTCTCACACACAAGAGCACCATTTAAAAATATATAATCAATAATTCGGACAGAGCAACAAAGTTGGATTGACAACATCTACAATGAATTGGTATCTTCTTCCGCATAAAAAAGCCCGTAGTTTAATCCTAATAATGTCGGTTTCCAATATTCCAGCGAAAATCTCCGCAGGCAGTATGATAGAAATGTCGCTACCTACATTCAGTAACGTGAGTAAAAGTATAAAAGTTTGACATTTTCAAAGTTTGTCAGCTATAAATCACGCAATTTATTTCGTTACTTCGTAGATTATCAAAACATCGATGGCGTACTTTAATCTCCTCCGAAAATTTATCACGTAGTTTCATATCTTCAATGAACCTCCTATAACTTAGATATCAAACTAATATAAAAAACTTAAATATTTAATCTGTAATTGTCATTATCTTTGACACAAATGAACAAATGTTCGCTAACAAATATTTCTTTTTCTTCAAATTCTATTTTTCTATTTTTATCAATAAGAAATTGTATAAGAACAAAAAAAACGTAAAGTACAAAGAAATATATATCAAGGCTCTGTAATATTAAATAATAAATACAAATAAGAAAGGCCTAAGAGTCATACGCGGATGTTTCTTGCAAACATGTCCAACCAAAAATAATTTTTCGTTGGAAATAAACGAAATGTGCACAAGTCACATATTATTCTTGGTTTACTACCAAGACTTTAAATATGAAATATTTCATACTTGAGATTTAATTTCATAAACTTCTATACTCCCTATATCTTTACAAGCAGACAAAAATATAGAATCGAAGGGTCTACATAGCTCAAGTGGAAGAGCAGTCGCCTGACAAGTGGAAGGTCTCGAATTCAATTCCCGATTCAGAGACTTTCGGATCTATATTTTTCTCTCGCGGTTATTTCTATAAGTCTTTAGGGGGATATAAGGATTTATGAAATTAAATCTCAAGTATGAGATATTTCATATTAAAAGTCTTGGTAGTAAACCAAGATTAATATGTGACTTGTGCACATTTTGTTTATTTCCAACAAAAAATTAATTTTCGTTGGAGATGTACGCAAGAAACATCCGCGTATGGCTCTTAGGCCTTCCTTATTTGTATTTATTAAAAACGTAAAGCTTCATAATTAATTGATTTTAAAACCTAATTTTCAAAATTAGATATTGCACAAGTTTGGCCGTTTACTTCATTAAAATTCACGTAGAGTTCGCTATTAGATTAGCATAGTCCCTGTAATATCCGTGATTTGATACAAAATAGTAAATGCACCAAAAGAGATTGTCCTATGTGAATCGATCCTGTAATTATTCACGGCAATAAATCGCGTACCCTAGTACCAAACTTTTAAACTACACCAAACCATCGTAGTTCCGAAGGTGATTCGAAAAAAATGTTTGCGAATAAACATTTTATAAAAACCTTATAAAGTATACTACTCAATTCAAATTGTTAAATTGATTGTCTATTGTATATGTAAATAACAATATCGGCATAACAAATTTCTTAATGAATCGTAATATTTTACTTACATGACTATAATATGACATCCTACATGATATGAGAGTGTGTCAAACTTTGGGAATTACCACCTGGTGCTACGAATGACGTTCTTCCTTATTGTTTGACAATATCATATTTAACGGGAAGTTTGGCTTGCTAAATTTACAACCACTTTTCATATGCCTCTTTATTACGTGCAGCTGTTTCGTGCACGCAAGCGCACTGTACACTGTTCCTATCAGAATAAAACAGACCATCTACCATTACACATCTATTCAGTTATACTGAAGCATCTAGTCTCGCTTCACCATCTGGTATTCGTAAACCAAAATATAATAACATTGTTGTCGAAATTAACGAATATTCTCAGCAGTTAAAAAAACGTGGCTGACGCGAATGTCGCGGTCAAAAACTCATTGCGTGTAAAATTTCAACTTAACGAATATTAAAATACCGTCAGAAATGAAGTTAACTACTATGGAACGTTCGTCGAAAATGATTGTAAAAGATGAAAACGGTTTTAATTACGCGATACAAATAACTCGCATCATTCTGCGAATGCTCGGTCTATGGCCGATTTCAAGTTTAGCGTCGAACGCAGAAAGAATCGCGATCCGCTTGCAGAACATTGTTTGCTACATTTTACTAGCGTTTTTCCTCGTGCCGGTCCTTTTATTAATATTCTTAAAGGAAAACGACTTCAAACGAAAGGTCAAATTATTAGGACCACTTTTCAACACCAGTATGGCTGTCATGAAGTACAGTCTATTGATTTATTACGCGCAAGAAATCGAATCATGCTTGGAACAGGCACGGCAGGACTGGCAGAGCACGATCAATTGGAATAATCGAAAAATAATGCTGTCTAAGGCTAAAACGGGCCGAGAGTTTGCGTTTTTTGCCGCCGCCTTCATTTACGTCGGCGGGCTGTCTTATCGTGTCATTGTACCACTCTCGAAAGGGCGAATATTAACGCCAATGAATACTACGATAAGAGCTCTCGCGGTTCCTTGCTACTTTGTCAAATTCGACGAGCAGGAATCGCCGGCATATGAGATCGTTTTTTTTCTGCAATTCCTCGCCGGATTTGTCACCTATTCGTTGGTGTGTGGTCCGGCCGGGTTAGCGGCATTCTTCATCATGCACGTTTGCGGTCAGCTGAATATTTTGATTGACAAACTACAGGGCCTCAATGACCTCACGAAGCCTAAAGATCGAGTTGTCGCGACTTTGCTAGCTGACATTGTGGAACATCATATAAGAGTGAGAATGTGAGTAAATAAAATGATTAAATAATAAAGAAGAAGAGATTTTCATATAAATGTTTCTTTTTTGTTAAAAAAATTAAAAAAAATTAGATTTAAAAGTATAATTATAAAGATGTAATTATAAATATGTAATTAAATGTAGAATTTGTATGAAAAACTGCAATAATTTCTTTTAAATTATAAATATTATAATAATATGTATATATATTTTAACAGAATTTTTAACATACCAAATATAACATAAGTCACGCGTCAAGCCCTATATCTGGAATGAATAGATGAAGTCAAAATAAGTCGAAAATAAAGTATGATAAAATTACGTTTGAGTCTTTTTTAAACAGTTATAATCAAATAATCGAAAAAAGTAAATTCTATTACTTTTTTTTTAATTAAATGTTTTTTAATTATTTTAATAATAATAAATTAAAAACTATAATTTTAATTAATAAATAGACAATATAAGATTAAAATTGCAAAAAATTTTCAAATAATTTGGCATCATTGTGTGTGATAAAGGTTGTGATGTGGTAGATATACTAGAAGTGCTTCAAAGCGTTTAATTGATGAATTAATATGGGTGTGTAAAAAGAGTAAAGATTTTTTCTTATCCCAGTTTTGGTTAATAATGCTTAAAAGCATCTGTAATATCTCTCTGAATGCAACGAGAATTTAGATAAATTTTTGAAACACATTATTCTGATTAAAACTCTAAACAAATCTCAAACGTAATTTTGTCATTCTTTATTGAAAACTTGTTTTGGCTTTATTAATTCATTCTCTAGAAATAGGGCGTGACTTATAAAACAAACTTTATATTGCAAATCAAATAAGAGATTATAAGTAATATTTATGATTTTTAGTATTTTATGAATTGTATACCATTATTGTAATAATAGTATAAGTAGAAAATTTCAAAAATATTAGCTGTTTCTAACTATTAATTAAACAGTTAGATAAATTCTTCGTTTACACAGATTCTTGGAACAAGTGGAGAAAGCTATGCGATTCATATGGTTAGTGGAATTAGTAGGCTCTACTGTACTCTTATGTTTCGCAGGATATTATATTATTATGGTAATCACTTTCATGAAAAAAATACTTTCCACAAGAGTTTACATAATCAATATGAAGTTAATAATTATTAAATATAAAAAGATAATTGATATATATATATATATATATATATATATATAAAATAAAATTTATTTATTATAATATCATCTTGATAGGAGTGGGAAAGTAGCGATACTACAGGCATCCTAACTTCTTTTATGATGCTCACATCTTTCATTATTTCCATTTTTATTAATTGTTATGTTGGTCAACTTTTGACAGATCAGGTATTGAAGAATATTTGTATTACTTTTTCTATAAAAATTAGATATTAACATTCTCACAAGAGCACCGTTTAAAAATATATAATCAATAATTCGGACAGAGCAACAAAGTTGGATTGACAACATCTACAATGAATTGGTATCTTCTTCCGCATAAAAAGGCCCGTAGTTTAATCCTAATAATGTCAGTTTCCAATATTCCAGCAAAAATCTCCGCAGGCAGTATGATAGAAATGTCGCTACCTACATTCAGTAACGTGAGTAAAAGTATAAGAGTTTGACATTTAAGTTTGTCAGCCATAAAGTCATGCAATTTATTTCGTTACTTCGTAGATTATCAAAACATCACTGGCGTACTTTAATCTTCTCCGAAAATTTATCACATAGTTTCACATCTTCAAGAAACCTCCTATAACTTAGATATCATAATGATATATAATACTTAAATATTTTATCTGTAGTTGTTATCTTTGACACAAATGAACAAGGTTTGCACCAACTAACATATTTCTTTTTCTTCTAATTCTATTTTTCTATTTTTATCAATAAGAAATTATATAAGAGCAAAGGAAAACGTAAAGCTTTTTAAGTAATTTATTTATAAACCTAATTTTTAAGATTAGATATAGCACAAGTTTAGCCATTTACTTCATTAAGAGTTCACTATTGAATTAGCATAGTCCCTGTAATATCCGTGATTTGATACAAAATAGTAAATGCACCAAAAGATATTGTCCTATGTGAATCGATCCTGTAATTATTCACGGCGTACCATAGTACCAAACTTTTAAACTACACCAAACCATCGTGGTTCCGAAGGTGATTCGAAAAAAATGTTTGCGAATAAACATTTTATAAAAACTTTATAAAGTATACTACGCAATTCAAATTGTTAAATTGATTGTCTATTGTATATGTAAATAACAATATCGGCATAACAAATTTCTTAATGAATCGTAATATTTTACTTACATGACTATAATATGACATCCTACATGATATGAGAGTGTGTCAAACTTTGGGAATTACCACCTGGTGCTACGAATGACGTTCTTCCTTTTTGTTTGACAATATCATATTTAACGGGAAGTTTGGCATGCTAAATTCGCAATCACTTTTTATATGCCTCTTTATTATGTGCAGCCGTTTTGTGCACGCAAGCGCACTGTACCTACCGCCCATTGTTCCTACCAGAATGAAACAGACCACTTACCATTACACATCTATTCAGTTATACTGAAGCTTCTAGTCCCGCCTGACTATCTAATATTCGTAAACCAAAAATGCAATAACATTGTTGGTGAATTTAACTGATATTCTCAACAGTTAAAAAAACTGACGCGAATTTTACGATTAAACTCATTTCCTGTAAAATTTCAACTTATAACAAATATTAAAATATCGTCAGAAATGAAACTAATGACTATGAAATTAAAAACGACTCTAGATACCGAAAGCGATTTTTATTACGCAGTACAAGTAACTCGCATCATTTTGCGAATCATCGGCCTATGGCCGATACCGAGATTCGCGTCCAACGCAAATAGAATTGCGATTCGCTTGCAAAACGTTGTTTGCTATTTTTTATTTGCATTTATTCTCGTACCGGGTCTACTATTAATATTCCTAAAGGAACGCGATGTCAAACGAAGAATCAGATTAGTGGGGCCGCTTTTGAACTGTTCGGTGGGTTGCATAAAATACAGTCTATTCCTTTATTATGGAAAACAAATCCAATCGTGCCTAGAACAGGCACAGCAGGATTGGCAAAAGACAACCAACTCGAGCGATCGAAAAATTATGCTGTCTAAGGCGAAAACGGGCCGAAAATTCGCTATCTTTTCCGCCGCCTTCATTTACGTCGGCGGACTATCTTTTCGTACCATTCTACCGCTCTCGAAAGGACGAATATTGACATCAATGAATACTACGATAAGAGTTCTCTCATGCCCCAGTTATTTTGTCAAGTTCGACGAGCAGGAATCCCCTGCATACGAAATCGTGTTTATCTTGCAATTCTTTGCTGGATTTCTCACTTATTCGATGACGTGCAGTGTAGCTGGACTAGTGGCATTCTTCATCATGCACGTTTGCGGACAGCTGAGTATTTTGATCGGTAAACTGCAGCATCTCAACGACATGACGCAACCAGAGGATCAAGCCGTCGCGACTTTGTTAGCTGATGTTGTGGAACATCAAATAAGGGTGAAAAAGTGAGTAAATAAAAATTATATACATACCTATATATATATATATATATATATATATATATATATAAATGAGAGAGAAAATTTCATGTAAATGTCTTCTTTTAAATTTTTGTTAAATAAGAGTCTGGTCTTAAAAAATATAATTAACATAAATAATTATAAAAAATAATAATATATATTAATTGTAGAATTTGTGTGAATGTTTCTGTATGAAAAACTACAGCAATCCGCTTTAAATTATAATTATTATGAAAAATATTCTAACACATTTTTTAATACATATATTTCAAATCAAATTTGTGGAAGACTACATATGACTTTATGATTTTTATTTTTAACAATATGAATATATATACCAGTATTATAATAATATTACATAAACAGAAAATTCAGTAAATATTAATACAATTTTTAACTATTAATTTAGTTCTTAGTCATACTGTTTATTTTCAGTTTTTTGGCACAAGTAGAAGAAGTTATGCGATTCATGTGGTTAGTGGAAATATTAGGGTCTATTGTAATGTTATGTCTTACAGGATATTATATTATTACGGTAATCATTAAAATATTTTCCAAAAGAGTTTGTATATAATCAATTTAATGCTAATTATTATCAAATAGGAAAGAATAATTAAATATAAGTAATATTAATGGAATATTATAGTTTTATTATTCGAATTATAATTGTACATAATAAAATTTATATAATTATAATATACTATTACGTAATATTTATACAATAAAATTCATTTATTATAATATTAACTTTATAGGAATGGCAGAGTAGCAATTCTACGGCCACGTTAACTTATTCTGTGATGCTCACATCTTTTACTATTTCTATTTTTATTTATTGTTATGTCGGCCAGCTTTTGACAGATCAGGTAGTGAACAATATTTGCATTAATTTTACTGTCAAAATTAGATACCAACGTTTTCTCAAGAGCACAGCTTAAAAATATATAATTAATAATTCTGACAGAGCATCGAGCTTGGATTGACAACATCTACAATAAGTTGGTATCGTCTTCCGCATAAAAGGGCTCGTACTTTAATCCTGATAATAGCGGTTTCCAATATTCCGGCAAATATCTCTGCAGGCAAAATAATAGAAATGTCGTTATCCACATTTAGTAATGTGAGTATGGATGGCAGTCATCATATTTTAAAGTTTATCAGTCGCAAACACATGCAATTTGTTTTGTTACTCCATAGATTATCAAAACATCAGTAGCGTACTTTAATATGCTTCGAAAATTTGTCACGTAATTTCATATCTTCAATGATCTTTCTGTGACTTAGATACTATAATATATGAACACTTCAACATATAATCTGTAATCTTCTTTGTCACAAATGAATAAGGTTTGCCAACAAATATTTTTTCTTCTTCTTCTAATACCATTTTTCTATTTCTAACAATTTCTAGTTTTATAAGTCAGAGAAAGACGCAGAGCTTTTTAATTAATTTATTTCATAAACAATAATTTTAAGATTAGATATTGCATAAGTTTTTTTGCCGTTTACTTCATAAGCAATTCACGTAGAGTTCATTATTAGTTTGGCATAGCCCCTGTTTCTAAGATCCATGATCTGACACAAAATAATAAATGCATCAAAGAAGTTGTGAATCCATTCTGTAAAAACTCGGGGCAAAAACTCGCGCACACACAACCCATAGTACCAAACTTTTAAACTACGCTGAACTACAGTGGCTGCAAAGATGATTCACTACAATGTTTGAAAATGTTATAAAACCATTAAATTAAATTGTTTTGTCGCTTATTGGATATCTGGCCGTCTATGGAAATCGAGCCATCACTTTTCGAAAATCTCACAATTTTTTAATAAACCGTAATATTTTACTTACATGACATAATATAACATCCTGTTTTAATTATATGATATAATATGAGAATGAGTCAAACTTCGGAAATTACCATCTGGTTCCACGAATAGCAACCATACTTTTTACTTGTCAATATTGCTTATACCCAAAGTTTAGCATGCTAAATTCGCAATCTCTTTCTCATAGTACGTGTAGGTTTTTTTTTATTACGTACACCTATTTCGTGCACGCAAGCGCACTTTATATTGTTCTTACCAGAAAGAAACAGACCATCGAACATCACGCACACCTATTCAGTTAAGCTCGAGCTTCTAGCGTGGTCTGACCATCTGTTATTCGTAATCCGAAATGTGATAACATTGTTGACAAAATTAATAGAAATACTCAATATTTAAAAACAACGTGGCTAGCGCAAATTTCGCAAACACATTGCGTGTAAAATTTCAGCTTACCAAATATTAAAATACTGTTAGAAATGAACCTAATTACTACGGAACGTTCATCAAAAACTATTCTAAAGAACGAAAACGATTTTAATTACGCGGTGCAAGTGAGTCGCGTTATTCTGCGAATGCTCGGCCTATGGCCCATCCCGAGATTCGCGTCTAACGCGGAAAGAATCGCGATTCGCTTGCAAAACGTTGCTTGTTACTTTTTATTAACGTTTGTTCTCGTGCCGGGTGTTCTATTAATATTCTTGAAGGAACGCGACTTCAAACGAAAAGTCAAATTAATAGGACCGCTTTTCAACACTTGGATGGCTGTCATGAAGTACAGTCTATTGATTTATTATGCGAAAGAAATCCAATCATGCTTGGAACAGGCACGTAAGGATTGGCAGAGCACGATTAATTGGAATGATCGAAAAACGATGCTGTTTAAGGCGAAAACGGGCCGAAAGTTCGCGATTTTCTCCGCCGCCTTCATTTACGTCGGCGGACTGTCTCATCGTATCATCGTACCGATCTCAAAAGGACGAATATTGACACCGATGAATACTACCATAAGAGTTCTCGCGTGCCCCGGTTACTTTGTCAAATTCGACGAGCAAGAATCACCGGCATACGAGATCGTTTTTATCCTGCAATTCTTCGCTGGATTTATCACCTATTCGTTAACATGCGGTCCGGCCGGGCTAGCGGCATTCTTCATCATGCACGTTTGCGGTCAGCTGAGTGTTTTGATTGACAAACTGCAGCGTCTCAACGACCTGGCGGAGCCTGAAGATCGAGCTGTCGCGACTTTGCTGGCTGACATTGTGGAACATCAAATAAGAGTAAAAATGTGAGTAAATAGAAATTATTATATGAGAAAGAAGAAGAGATTTTCATGTAAATGTTTTTTATCTTTTGTTATTTAAGAGGTTTTAAAGATATTACTTAGTATATGTGTGATTATAAAAATATAATTATAAATATATTATTAATTGTAGAATTTGAATGACTGTATCTGCATGAAAAGCTGCAATGTGATTTCTTTTAAATGATAAATGTTATGAGAAAAAATATTATAGCAGAATTTCTAACACGCAGAATGTATCATAACGTTCAATCTTTGGAATAAATTGATAGAATCAAAATAAATCGAAAATAAAGAATAATAAAATTACATTTGAGCTTTGTTAAAACAGTTTAAAAAACTATGTGAAAAATTTATGTAGATTTTATTATTTTCGTTTGAATTATACGTTTTGTAATTACTTTGATAATAAATTAAGAATCATCATTTTAATTAATTAATAAATAGACAGTGAAATTGAAATTACAAGTGTTAAAATAATTATCAACATTTTGTGTGATAGAAATAGTGATATGCTAGAAATTCTTCCAAACGTTTAATTGATCAATTAAAATATGTGTGTGACAAGAGTAAAAATTGTTTCTTTTCCTAATTAATTAATAATGCTTCAAAGCATTTATAATATCTTCCTGACAGCAACGAGAATTTTCAGATAAATATTTAAAACACTAATTTGATTATAACTCTTTAAAGAAATCTCGAACGTAATTTTGTCATTCATTATTTTTGACTTGTTTTGTCATTTTATTCTTTAAAGATAAAAACGTGACTTATAAAACAACCTTTATATATTGCAAATCGAGTAAGAGACTACAAATAAAATTTACGATTTTTAACATTTTATGAATTATATATCCACTAGTATTATGATAATGTTATTATATAAATAAAAAAGTCCACAAATATTAGCTGTTTCTACCTATTAATTAAACTGTCAGATAAATTGATAATTTACAGATTTTTGACACAAGTGGAGGAAGCTATGCGATTCATATGGTTAGTCGAAATAGTAGGATCTACTTTACTCTTATGTTTCGCAGGATATTATATTATTATGGTAATCACATATATGAAAAAAATATTTTCCACAAGAGTTTACATAATCAATTTGAAGCTAATAATTATCAAATATTAGATAATAATTATATATATATATATATATATATATATATATAATATTCATAGATTTAGTTTATTATTAGAATTACAATGGTAATTATAATAAATGGTAATTAATAATAAAATTTTCATATATTATAATATAATATAACGTAATAAATATTTATATATTAAAATTTATTTATTGAATAGTATTATCTTTATAGGAATGGGAGAGTAGTGATTCTACAGCCATGCTAACTTTTTCTGTGATGCTCACATCTTTCATTATTTCCATTTTTACTAACTGTTATGTCGGTCAACTTTTAACCGATCAGGTATCGAGCAGTATTTGCATTACTTTTACTGTGAAAATTAGATATTAACGTTCTCAAGAGCACTGCTTAAAAATATATAAACAATAATTTAAACAGAGCAACAAAGTTGGATTGAAAACATCTACGATGAATTGGTATCGTCTTCCGCATAAAAGGGCCCGTAGTTTAATCCTAATAATGGCAGTTTCCAATATTCCAGCAAAAATCTCTGCAGGCAGTATGATAGAAATGTCGCTACCCACATTCAGTAACGTGAGTATAAGTATAAGTTTGACATTTTGAAAGTTTGGCAGCCGTAAATCATGCAATTTATTTCGTTACTTCGTAGATTATCAAAACATCGATGGCGTACTTTAATCTGCTTCGAAAATTCATCGCGTAGTTTTATATCTTTAATGAATCTCCTATAACTTAGATATCATAACGATATAAAATATTTAAATATTTAATCTGTAATTGTTATTATCTTTGAGATTAATGAATATGGTTTATCAACAAATATTTCTTGTCCTTTTAATTTCATTTTTCTATTTTTATCAAAAAGAAATTTTATATAAGTTCATATATTTATTAAAATATAATTTAAAGATTAGATTTTAATAAATAAATTAATTAAAAACTGCATTTTAATCAACTTTTAACTGTGCCGAACTGTCGTGACTGCGAAGATGATTCATCTATGCAGATATTGCACAAGTTTAACCGTTTACTTCGTTGACAATTCCTGTAAATTTCAGTAGTAGTTTAGCATAGCCCCTGTTCTCATAAGATCCATGATATGATATAAAATGCGCCTAAGAGATTGCCCCATGTGAATCGCTTCTGTAATTAATCGTGGCAAAAAACGCGCACACGCTATCCATAGTTCTGAACTTTTTATTGCGCCGAGCCACTGTAATTGCCGAAGGTAATTTATTTACGCAGTTGCAAAAGTTACATAATGCAGCCGATAAGTTTCGTCATAGTTTTGCCTATATCGTGATCGTGCTATAATAAAGATATTTTATTAATTTAAACAAAATATTCTAGTAGGAGAAATGTGTTTTATCGAGATTATTAGAAGTACTTTAATATTGTGTTTGCTAGAATATTATGTGATAACGGTATACAAAATAGTAGTAACATTTGTTAACAATCAATTTTTTACATTGCAAGCAGATCTTTTAATATAATTATAATAAATATAGAACACATATATTTTTGTAATTCAAATTTTCAAATGCATTTATCTAATTTTGCTTTTAACTTCTAAAGATTTTTACTATACTAAAACATTGATATATATCCGTCCATATAAAAAAATCATGATTCATGCTGAAATATTTATCAAAAAAATTTCTGATGAAATAATTACACGTTATACTGTAATATCCAGAATATTTTTAAGCACAATTTTTTTTACAACTCATTCCGCAAATTATTTCGGAGCATAATTCGAAGAGACATTTTTTCTTCTGTTATTTACACGTTATAGAAATCAAGACACATCATCAGCTTGTGATATCTTTTTTGTTTATAATACCGTCTACACAATTTTCTGAAATAAGTACCAGTGAAAAGTATAATATTCCTTTCTCGTGTCAATAATTATTATAAAATGTATCTGAAGAAAATAACTTGGTCTCTCTCAGGTAAGAAACGCATGAGTATATGAGATACACGAATCATAAAAAGATATTGATATGGATGCCAATTCGGTTATCTCGGTTAATAATTATCTATGGCGATTTCATGTATGGCGATACTCTGTTATGTTTTATTATGTCACAGTACACCTTTGCATTGGACCAGATCGAAAAAACAATAGGAAATTGACATATGGTGTGAAGGATGATATTTGACGCAGTTTTGTTAACAAGATTTTCTATTTCGTCTATCTACTGTTCGACTTCCTCGCTGAATGTCTTCTAGATGAATTATTTGATCGATTGTCAGGAGAGCATTAACGATACCATGGACAAAGACTGTAAGTGGCATTCAGCTGCATGTATGTATATGTATACACCTTGAAGTAAGTCCAATTTTGAAATATTTCAGAAATGTATATTGTTTGTCAAAGTTAACAATGCCAATTTAATTATGCCATTGTTTTATATCAATAATAAAATAAATTTAGTAAATGTGAGATAAATAATTTTTTAGTGTTTTGATTAAAAAAAGAATATTACGTCACACAAATAAATACTTTGTTTTTGAAAAAAAAAAAAAGATATTTGCTTATTTTCTGCGTTTTAGATTTATAATACTAACCGAGAACGTTATTACATATGATATAACTTTGTTGATTTTAGAATGAATATGATTTCATGATGAATATAGTATATTTCCTTATATTTATATATTATTGTAGATATTGTAAAATAATACATATACATATATATTATTTTTATCTCACATATTCTTTAAAAATTTTATTAAATAATAAATTATATAAAATGCATGCAACATGTTATATTTTAAAACATGAGAGATAAATTCATATTTCTTACATTTAAGAAACATTATAATCATAATATATTCCTACATATATAAATATTTTTAATATATTATATAATATATGCATGCACATTAATATATGAATTTATATACATGGAAACGTATAATATTGTATAATACCTTATAAAAAAAGAAATATTTGTGATCCTTCAATACTTTCGTGCGCTCATAATACAAGAGCAGAAAGAAACAATATGTAATATGCGAAAAAGGTATTGAACCCTCTTCCGGAAATGAAGGAGCGCATTTATATAGAAACTTTACTGAAACTCTACTTATATCCTAGCGATCATTGAATTATTCTTTTTTCCTGGATTTTTTCTTTACGTGGAACAGCGCAGACGCGACTTGACTGCGCGACTCAAGCTTTCACGCAGTCCCATCAATAGCCGCTGAACCCTCGCGCTTGGACGATGCACGGAACTCTTATGCAGAAGACGAATCCCATCGCGACCGTTTACGATCATGAAAAAGATATACGGCTGAGCATTCAGCTGAATCGTTGGATACTGAAACCGATCGGCGCCTGGCCAAGATCAGCAGAAACTTCATGGATAGAAAAATACGTTTATATACTAGTAAACGTGATTTGTACCAGTCTCATCGGCTTCCTGTTCATACCTTGCGTTGCCTACATGGCGCTCGAGGTAGAAGACACGTATAATACCTTGAAGCTTTCTGGACCGCTGAGTTTCTGTTTGATGGCCATCATTAAATATTCTTCGTTGATCTTCCGCGAAAAAGATATCCGTAAAGGTATCGAGCATATCGAGAACGATTGGATAAATACGGAGCATTATGAAGATCGAATCATCATGATTAGAAACGCAAAGTTTGGCCGTCGTCTCGTAGCAATATGCGCACTCTTCATGTATGGAGGTGCCGTATTTTATTATCTCGCCATGCCATTTAGCAATGGAAAGGTCACGGAAGATGACGGAAATTTGACGTATCGGCCTCTGGTGTTTCCGGTGGCCAGAGCGATTATCGACGCGCGATACAGTCCCATCAGTGAGATCTTCTTCTGGGTGCAGTGTCTATCGGGCTTCATTGCGCATTCTATCACCGCCGGTGCATGTAGCGTAGCCGCAGTATTCGCAATGCATGCTTACGGCCGTTTGGAGGTTCTTATGCAATGGATCGAGCATTTGGTGGATGGAAGGGAAGATTTTCACAGCAACTTGGACAGGAGATTGTCAATGATTGTGCAACAGCACGTTCGAATTTTACAGTAAGTTATTTGGTAACTAAGAGAGTGATTCGCTTATATATTTAATCCTTGAAAACAAAGAGTACTTAATAATAAAGTGATCTATCACATATAATAAACATAGAAACAGTTTCGAATTTTACTTTGCACATATCAGCATAAAAACATGTCATGCTACATTGTATTTAATATTTTTATTCTACTTTACAATGTTAAATACTTTTCTTTTATACAAGATCTTATTAGTAATTGAAATGAAAAGAAAATATTTTTAGAAAACAGATAAACGATATCTTCAAAATACTATACAATTCATGTATAAAATATTTATTTAATTACATTTTAAATATACTGCATATTAATTATATTTTAAATTATATTTGTACAATTTGAAAATATGAGTCATGAGTGATTTAATGTTCACTGGCCAGAGTTAAAAATTTACTTATTAATTAATAATCTTTAAAATAATCATACTTTGTTATCAAACATTGTCTTATGCGATAGTGTGTTTAATTTCAGTTTTATATCACTAACGGATAAAGTACTGCGTGAAATATCTGTCGTGGAAATTGTAGGATGTACATTAAACATGTGCTTTCTTGGATATTATACTATCACGGTATGCATATCGTACAAAAAGTACGTACCGCAAAGCGCACTAATATCAAAGGTTATTTGCAATAATATAGTTTATTCAAATACATTACAGGAGTGGAGTAGTAAAGAACCTGCACGTTATATAACATACGTTGTCCTGCTTATATCTCTTACGTTCAATATTTTCATATTTTGTTACATTGGTGAACTTGTTGCTGAACAGGTATAATTGTGTTATCCTTAAAGTATTTCTCTCTACAATTTTGATAAACTTAATAACAAACCTTTTAATTATATCTTGACAATATATTTATGTAACAAAAAAATATTATAGTATTTATATAATAAGTAAAATTTATATAAAAGCGCATATTTTTACTTTTTAAAGAAAACAAATTTATCGATAAATCTAATAAAAAAATTAAAAAAAAATAAAATAAAAAATTAATCCTATGCAAACAGTGTAAAAAAATCGGTGAGGTTTCGTACATGATCGATTGGTATCGTCTACCAGAAAGAAAAGGTCTCGCCCTCGTGCTAATAATCGCTATGTCCAACTCGTCTGTCAAATTTACTGCCGGAAATTTGTTCGAGTTGTCTCTCAGTACCTTCGGTGATGTAAGTAATGTCAATACATTGTCAATACTTATTAAATTTTCCGTGAATAATGTAAAATATCATTTATCCAATCTATAGGTGGTTAAGACATCCGTCGCCTATTTAAATATGCTTCGTACATTAACTTCATAAAACCTCTTACATGTACAGAAAGCATTGCAATTGTTTGGCTTTAAATAAATGTTAATTTATTATCCAATCTCTTCAAGAAAACAAAAGAAATAAAATATATATGAACACCATTGTAATAAATAGAAAACTTAGGTATCTATACGTAAATACTCAGATATATTTACTTAAAAAATATAATGTGCTTTTCTTAATGTATATCTTTTTATTAAATTTCTTTCTATCAAAATTTTTATTGCTGTTAAGCATTTTATTACATAAATATAAATTACATCGCGTGACTTAATGGAGAGAGAAAATAATTATAATCTTCAAATTTTATCTTTTGTTTTCAATGGTTAATTAGTCAGAAGTCAATGACCGTTTCGGTAGTGAAAAATTTGTAAAAAATGTGTCATTGTGTTTTAGAGCTTTTATATAATTATATTTTCTATATATATTATTTTATATTATATTTTATACCTTCTATATTATATTACATTCTTTGAAAAAAAACACATATGTATTTACCATATTACGTATATTCACAAATTATATATACACAAATAACGCTTTATGGACGCGTATAATACTTTAGAGAAAGAAAATCTTCAGTCTTTACTGTTCACGGAAGATAATTACGGAAAATGTAAGCCTCACTATAAAATTAATGAATAGTAGCAAACATAGTTCGAGAGGAAAAGTCCCCTTTTATGATCTTACGATAGTCAATACAACTATAAAATGCACCCCCTTCATTGTCCTGATGTGACTGATCGCTTGACTATTTCTTGTTCGGAAGGGAAGGATGCAAAAGAGCGCAGCCGTATTCGCGTCGGCGTGTATCCCGCGCTTGTATCTTTGCGCAATCCTCTCAGTAGCGATCAACTTCCCGTCCTATAACGATGTACGGAAACTCTACGCAGAAATCAAACGATGTCGCGACTGTCTACGACTATGAGAAAGACATGCGATTCAGCATTCAACTGAATCGTTGGATATTAAAACCAATTGGAGTCTGGCCGAAATCAGCCGGGGTTTCATGCGGAGAAAAATACGTTTCTGTATTAATAAACATAAGTTGCATCAGTCTCATCGCCTTTCTGTTCATACCCTGCGCAACTTTCGTCACGCTCGAACTCGAAGACACATATGATACCATAAGGCTCTTCGGACCATTGAATTTCTGTGTAATGGGCGTCGTCAAGTATTCCTCGCTGATCATCCGCGAGGGTGATATCTACAAAGGTATCGAATACGTCGAAAATGACTGGACAAATACTCAATATTACGACGATCAAATCATCATGATGAGAAATGCAAAGTTCGGTCATCGTCTTGTGGCGATATGTGTATTCTTTATGTATGGAGGTGTCGTGTTTTACTATCTTGCCTTGCCATTCAGTAGCGGCAAGATCACAGAGGAAGACGGAAACTTGACGTATCGACCTCTGATGTTTCCGGTCGCCAGAGTGATCGTCGACGCGCGATACAGTCCCATCAGTGAAATTTTCTTCTGGATACAGTGTTTATCGGGTTTTATTCTTCATTCTATCACTGCCTGTGCTTGCAGTTTGGCCGCCGTATTCGCGATACATGCTTACGGCCGCTTAGAAGTTTTAATTCAATGGATCGAACACTTGGTGGACGGAAGGGAAGACTTCTGTGATAGTGTGGACGAAAGATTGGCAATGATTGTGCGACAGCACGTCCGAATTTTAAAGTGAGTTTTATGTCTTGACAAAAGTAGTCATTAAATTTTATATTTTATACATGTATACATATGTATAAAATACTTGAATTAATTATTTACAAACATTTGAAAATAGATTATATTATTAAAACATTTATAATCAAAATTTCAAATTTCAAATTAAAAGATTATTTCAATAAAATATTTTATACACGATAATGTTGCTCGTTATCTTTAGTTTCATATCCCTAACCGACAAAATATTGCGTGAAATATCTATGGTAGAAGTTCTAGGATGCACATTAAGCATGTGTCTTCTTGGATATTCTATTGTCACGGTATGCATTCATATTTTCCAAAATGTATATGTCGCGAATCTTTTTTTTTTCAAGTAATATCAGAGATAAATGTATACAGTTTATATCATATAATGTGATATATAATATGTGTTCGGATATAAGAATCTTCACTTTGCAGGAATGGCAGAGTAATGAACCTGCAAGTAATATTGTAACTTATTGTATTCTTCTCATGTCTCTTACGTTCAATATTTTCATATTTTGTTACATCGGCGAACTTGTTGCCGAACAGGTATAGTTTGCACTATCGAAGCATTTTTTTGCATCCTAAATATCTTTCAGATATATATATATATATATATATATATATATATATATATCTACGTATATTTATATAATAATTTATATACTAAATAAAATTCTGAATATGTATTGTTTCTTTTTTTAAATAACTTTTATTCATGTAAGTATAGACATACATATCGTAGAAAAGAAATAAGAAGAAAGTATTCCTGTAAACAGTGCAAAAAAGTCGGCGAGATGTCATATATGATCGATTGGTATCGTCTACCAGGAAGAAAAAGTCTTGCTCTTATATTGATAATTGCCATGTCAAATTCGTCTGTCAAACTTACTGCCGGAAATCTCTTCGAGCTGTCTCTCAGTACTTTCGGTGACGTAAGTAATACGCAATGTTTATTATATTTTTTCATAAATAAACATGATTAACATATAGTTCCATCCAACCGATAGGTAGTCAAGACAGCGGTTGCTTACTTAAATATGTTGCGTACTTTAACTGCATAAAACTCATCCAAATAGAAATTATTAGATGTAACATGCTAATGCATTCTCATATCGAAAAAAATCTCATATCAAACCAAAAAAAATGTTAATAAATAGACAATTTATGTGTGTAGACTGAAAAATACTTGTTCAAAAATTTCAATATACATTTCACATCTTTTCCTCTAAAATCTATCTTAACACTATGTTCTTATATATTTGTGAACACGATACAAAATTTGAAAACTTTAATCAGAAATAATGCACACTTTTTTTCAAGAAAGTATTAAAGAAATAATATATAAAAATATATTTTATATAAGAAATTGGGTACAGCAACATGTTTCACGCAGATCATTTCCCAATTAATTGCATGCAAAATATATAACGACAATAATTTAATTAACAATATAAGAAGCACTTATATTTGTCGATTATTTTTACATCTTCACATCTTTATCATTCGAAAAAATTACATAATTATATTATGATTTTATTTTTTAATAAGTGATATTAATATTATTCTATATAAATAATGTTTTCGTATTTTTTATTAATATATATACTATATACAAAATATGTTGCAATATGATACTATTTACAAAAACAACTTAAAACATTTTTTTATTATAATTAATGAAGCATTATACATATATATATATATATATATATATATATATATATATATGCACATATATATATATTATAATTTAATACTTCAAAGAGGAAACATTCTTTAAAAAAAGAAAATCCTGTTTGTAAAAAATAACTGTACACGTTATACGCATATAATGCACGAATAGCAAACGATATAGCTAGAAAGAATATCCTCTCTTATCCCCCTAATAACACTTGATAACTAGAAAATACACCCTAGAATGTCATATGACATACTTATTACTGGACTGTGTTTATCCTGGAAAGAAAGTTATATCGGAGGGGAAGTAACTTTTCCTTCAATATCGTATTTGATTTCCTGCACTTGTGTTTACGCAAAATCCCTTCAATAACTTCCGAATTTTCACGTTTTAATAATATATAAAATCTACAAACAAAAATCGAAATCTGTTATAATCATTTATAATTATGAAAAAGACACATAAACTGATCAATATTTATAATTCCTAATTACACATAATATTTTGTGCGAAAATGTATTCTCGAGTTCCAAATAAGTTGTTTTACATGAATAATCCATTCTGCATTTCAGCTAATTTCTAATTAAAATGTAATTATTAAATTCGTATTCAAAATTGAAATTTTATTTTGAGTATTCTTATCTGTACTGTTCGAATATTTAAAAATATGCAAAAGAAAAAATATATTTTCTTTAACGAGAAAATCATTACGAACAAACAATTCATCATATTTTCATATAACGTATACGTAATTAATAATTGACAACATATTTATTCAATTGTTTTCTACCTTCATTTATTACTATTATTCTTATACTGTATATTATCCCCAGTTTCCACATATCAACTGCAAAATTGATTTCGCAATCAATCATCTATAAAATGTCTTTTCTATGTCAAAAATAAACTATCTGGCTGCTCGAGCGCTGTCTTAACTACTGATCGACGCGACGCGATGTTGCGGCGCGCAATCAGTAGTAAAGACTAGTATTGACGCGCCGTTCGCGGATTACGCGATGCGTTTCTCTCGTCAAATCCAAGGTAGATATTTATAAGCAAGATAACGATTATCTTTACTTAAATCGTTGAATCTTGAAGTCGCTAAATGTTTGACCTGAATCACTCGATTGTCAAAGAGATTTTATATAAAATTCTAAGCATAAAGAAGTGAAATTTATGATTAATTTATTATTGTATATATTTATAACTTTTAAATGCATGCAGAAAATTGCTATTTAAAGGCTTCTGAAAATTTGAAATGTAAAGATTCAAATCATAAAAAATAAGAAAATTTTTAAAAATCCTAGAAATATTAAAAGCGTACATTCAACAAAGACATTGTGCCAAATTGAAAATTTCACACAAAAATCTAATATTTAAGTTTAATCATCATAAAATAAGTACTTTCAATAAAAAATATTCACATAAAATATTTATTTTTTTCTGAAAATATATAATTACTGTTATCAACATGAGATTTTTTTCGCGCAAAAATAATTATGCGCCAAGTTTGTCTTGTGGAATTTATATGACAAAGTAAAATACTTATTACTTTTTGAAATGCTATAAAGTTGCATACGGCAACTTGTTTCAGAAATATTACACGTTTCAAGTGATATGTGACATGAAAAGTACAAACACTTTAATAACGTATTATTTTTCATATGTACATTTATGATGTTTAACACCTTCATATTTTGCTATTACAGATTTGCTACAGAATAAGTACTTATATTTGTTACTATATATTTATCTTGCAATTTTTTACCGTTCTTTTACTTATAATATTAAATAATATTATCAAAATTACTGCTGGAAAAAGATTTCATATTTCAATCGCAACCTTCTGATGATATTCTAAAAAATATTTATATGTAACTTTTCAGCTTATTAAATTAATTATCTTTCGAATAATATATCTACTTAGAACTTTAATTATATAAATATTATCTTAACCATGCACATAATACAAAATATGAGATTTAATATTTAATAGATAATAAATATTTTGCATACAAAATTATAAAATAACATAAAAAATTGTGCATTATATTTACTTTAAAATGGATTTTTATGGTGTTAAATTATGTCTCTTTTACCATATTTTACTTATACACCTAACATGATTTCTATTTGACATAAATAAAAGTAATCTTTTTTATTTCTACACGAGTAAAATAGTTTTGTATAACATAAGCAAATTCTTTTGAATATATGTGAATCAAGTACCGTATATTCCACAATTCTGCACGATCGCTTATAAAATATAATGCATTGCACACGCTGCACACAACGTGCTATGTTAACTATGTCTGTGATAATATTTTTCATTATTTCAATTTTTACTAATTCTTATGTCGAACAACTTTTAACAGATCAGGTATAGAGCAATATTTACATTACTTTTATTATGTTAAAATTAGATATTAATTTAAAGTGTAAGACAGGCAATAAGAGCCAAATTGCGGATAACAGTGCGTTATCCCAACAAAACTAAAATTTTTTCCGTTAGAATTAAATACCTGTGCACAAGGCACCAAATTTTACTTAGTCGAAAGAGATTTAATTCCATATATCCCCTCTTCCCCCCTAAGGAAATAAATGCGAGAGAAAAATATAGATCCGAAAGTCGTTGAATCGAGAATCGAACGTTAGATATTAACGTTCTCAATAGCACTGCTTAAAAATATACAATCGATAATTCTGACAGAGCATTAAGGCTGGATTGACAACATCTACGATAAATTGGCATTGTCTTCTGTATAAAAAACCGGTACATTCTCACAATGGCGGTTTCAAATATTCCAGAAAAAATCTCCGCAAGCAGAATGATAAAAATATCGCTACCTACATTCAGTAACATAAGTATAGAAGCTTATCATTTTTAAAGTTTGTCCGTGAATCATGCAATTTGTTTTGTTACTTCATATAGATTATCAAAACATCGATGGCGCACTTTAATATGCTACAAAAATTTATAACATAATTTTATATCTTCAATGAACCTTCTATGACTGATATCATAACAATATGAAATACTTAAATTTTATTTAATCTGTAATCATCATTATCTTTGACACGAATGAACAAATATTTCTTCTTCATCTAATTTCATTTTTCACTTTTATAAGAACTTTATAAGAAGTCAAAGAAAGATGCAGAGCCTTTTAATTAATTTATTTTTTGAAATCTAATTTTAAGATTAGATATTACACAAATTTGACTGTTTATTCTATTAGCAATTCACGTAGAGTTCACAATTCGTTTAACATAAGTTTTTTTAATAAGATCCACGATGTAATGCAAAATAATAAAAACACTAAAGAAGATTGTCCCATGTGAATCGATTCTGTGTTTATACGTCGCAAAAAATTGCGCACACGCAAACGATAGTACTAAACTTTTTACTGCGCCGAACCACCATGGTTGGGAAAGTGATTCATCTACGCAGTCGCAACAGTGTACATAATGCAGCCGACAAGTTTCGTCATAGTTTCGTCTATATCAGTCGTGATCGTGCAATCGTCTCGCGAACAAATATCGGGAGAAAATTTATTTTTCCTTGCCGGTCCGTCATGTCCGAATCCGCGGATCTACGCAATTCTAACTACGAGAACGACATAAGATATACCATGCAAGTACACAGAATAATCCTGGGATTGATCGGCGTGTGGCCAATTTTGGAAAAGCCGCGGCTTCATAAAAGACTTTTGAAAGGACTCCTTCGAACGGTGTGCTGCTTTTTGCTGTCCTTCAATCTGATACCGTGGACTTTATATATGATTCTGATCTTGGATACGTTCAAGAGCAGACTGAGGATGATCGGCGCGTTCTGTTTTTACGTTATGGTGCCCGCCGTGTATTTCACGCTTATGTTACGGGAGAACAGCATTAGAGAATGCGTGAAACACATAGAGAAGGATTGGCAAAATGTCCGAAACGCGAACGATCGTAGAATTATGTTGAATCGGGCGAAAGCCGGGCGTTTCATCGTCATTAGTACCACAATATTCCTGTTTACCAGCGGCTTTACTTACCGTCTGATACAACCGATAGTCCGTGGCAAGATCGTCATCAATGAAAACGTCACTGTTAGACCGCTGGTGCAAGGCAATTACTACATCTTCTTTGATCCACAGCAGAGTCCCGCCTACGAAATCGTGTTTTCGATACATTTACTTACCGGTATCGTTGTATATGTTGTTACTACGAGTGTTTGTGGCGTCACCGCGTTGTTTACTATGCACGCTTGCGGACAACTCGAGATGCTGGCCACTTGGTTGGAGAATCTACCAAATGAAGCTCTGTGGTCCAAAAAGAGTCACGCTGTTGCTCGAAGATTGGCAACAATCATCATGCATCACATGAGGATACGTAGGTGAGCGACTAAAATCATTGTATTGCAAGTCTCTTTATTGAATATTTAACTCGTTGTCAATTGTCAGAAATATTGACAATTATCGGATTGTTTATTGATTTTACACAATTCTAGATTTACGAAAAATGTTTTTTAAAGTAATATTTAATTAATAAAAATAAGTATTATCAATAAAAAGATTTTAATAACTCGTTAAACAAAATTTTAACGTACGTATAATATTAGAGATTATCTGGTACGATATTTATTTCTAGATTTTTACATCGCATACAGCATCTAGTAGAAGAAATGTGTTTTATCGAGATTATTGGCAGCACTTTAATATTGTGTTTGCTAGGATATTACGTGATAACGGTATGCAAAATAGTAGTAACATATGTTAGTAATCGATTTTTTTTACATCGCACGCAGATCTTTAAATTTTTTAAAATAAAATACGTTTTAGGGATGGGAACGAAACGATGCACTCTCCTTTTTAACATATGCCATAATGCTTACATCTTTTACTTTCAATATTTTTATATTGTGTTATATTGGGGAAATTTTAAATACTCAGGTAGGATATATATAAAATATATATATATAAAACAGATAAAATTGTATACAGATACATCAAATATATTTATAATCAGAAAAAAATAGATCAAAATAAAAAACTAAATACCAATAAGAAAATTAACAAAGAATATGCACAGTATAAACAAAAATTATAGTGAGATAAGAAATATATATAACTAATAAAATGCACTCTTTACACTTTGCACAGGGGAGTAAAGTATACATAACTTGCTGCACGATCGATTGGTATTGTCTACCTAGTAAACAAGCTCGTTATCTTATCTTAGTGATTGCTATGGCCAATTATCCTACTAAGCTTACAGCGGGTAAAGTGATGGATCTTTCATTCAGCAGTTTCGGCGCTGTAAGCTATTTTATCTTTTCTTTTATAATTAAAAAATATGTAAATTTATTTTCTATATACATATATGTATATTATTAAACATGTGCGCAAATTTGTTTTTCTTTATAAATATATTTTTTTATGTACGAGATATATATTTATATATTTTATGCATATAAGTTTTATTTAATTCTTTTAGGTTATTAGAACCGCTATGGCTTATTTAAACTTGTTGCGGACAGTCACTATATAATCACACAATATTACGTATTATATGTGAGAAGTCGTGTTTATATAATTATATTATGATATATAGGACATATTTGTAATTCAAATTTTTAAATGCATTAATCTAAATTTGCTTTTAGCTTCCGAAGATTTTTACTGTACTAAAAAATTGATATATTTATCCACACCAAATAAATGATGATTCATGCTTTAATTATTTATTAAAAAATTATTAAGGAAATAATTACATGTTATAAATTATCCAGGATAATTTTAAGCATCATTTTCACACAATCTATTCCGCAAATTATTTCGAAGTATAATTTGAAGAGAGATTGTTTATAATACCTCCCTGCGCAATTTTCAGAAATAGAACCAATCAAAAATATGATATTCCTTTCTCGTGTCAATATCATAACAATTATAAAATTTATCTTATAGAAACTAGCTCTGTCCTATCTCTCTCAGGTAAGAGACATGGATAAATGGATAAGTGCAGAGCATTATTAAGATTGGATCATCATGATTAGAAACGCAAAATCGTCTTGTGGCGATATGCGTGCTCTTCATGTATAGAAGTGCTGTTTTATTACTTCGCCATATCATTTAGTAATGCCAAGGTCACAGAGGATGACGGAAATTTGACGTATCGGTTTCTAGTGTATCCGGTCGCCAGAGTAAATCATCGACGCGCGATACAGTAAAATTTTCTTCTAGCTACAGTATTTATCGGATTTTATTCTTCATTCCATCAGTGCTTGCAGTTTGGTCGCCGTATTCGCGATGCATACTTACGGCCGTAGGAGGTTCTTATGCAATGGATCAAGCATTTGGTGGATGGAAGGGAAGATTTTCACGGCAACGTGGACAAGAAATTGTCGATGATTATGCAACAGCATGTTCGAATTTTACAGTAAGTTATTTTGTGACTGAAATGTTTCTCTTATATATTTTATCCTTGAAAATAATGAGTACACAGAGTGATCATTGCACAAATTATAAACACAAACAATTTCGAATTTCGCTTTGCACATATCAGCATAAACGTTCATATTACATTTTATTTAATATTTTTATTCTACTTTACAATGTTAAATATTTTATTTCTATGCTATTAGTAGAAAGTGAAAAGAAAAGAGAAGATATTTTTAGAAAATAGATAAACGATATCTTCATGAAATTCTACACATTTTATTGTATGTGTAAAATATTTGTAGTGTGTTTATATATTTTAATTTACTTGCAGAACAGAGTAGTAACACAACAGTAATAGCACGTAACGAAAATTAAAAATATACATATGATAAACATAAAAGTTTCAGAGAATAGATCAAATGTAAAACTTTGTTGAACTTATAATGTAACTATGTTTAACTGATTTTTCATCATATCAATAAGCATGTCTTTCATTTATCAATGTTGTCGCACAATATGTTTGTTTCATATTTTATGTTATAATTGAAAAATCTATATATGTAAAACAAAACAGTTGTACCATTTATAAATGTCATTTAACATAACTAATATGAAAAACATTAGCTCATTAAACAAAAGCATTAGTAACTTCAAATTTTATTCACTGTCTTATCAAGTTAAAAAACTGTGTCTAGACTTACTCTATTGCTCATGTAATGTGTTGTTTTACGGTTATGCTGATTTCGTGGAACAAGTTGAAGGGACTATAAGTATCGATTACGTTCTCTTAGTCGGCGCACTAATTTTTTTCGCACTGTTCGATGTATGTGCGCGCAAGCGCTTGCGTACTTCACTGAAAAACAATCAGTAGTAGTGATCAGTAGTAGTTCGTCTTCCGCGAGTCAACCATGAAGCTTGCTTCTAGCGAGTCTGTCATAGAAGTTTACAAACGAGATAACGATTATAGTCTTCAATTCAATCGTTGGTTCTTGAAATTAATAGGAGCTTGGCCGGAAGTATCAACAAATTCGATGATTAAAAACATTTTGACCAAAATTCTTCAATTAACGTGTCACTCTTTAATAGCTTTCATCGTAATACCTGCTACATTATATATTCTTTTCGAGGAAAAAGACATCCGCCTAAAGCTCAAGGCTATAGGACCAACGAGTCACTGTCTCATGGGCGGTATCAATTACTGTTCGCTTTTGCATCATAGCGACCAGATATGGAAATCTGTCAAACATATGGAGGCTGATTGGCGTATGGCGAAGAAAGAACACGATCGGGAAGTGATGCTGAGAAATGCGAGAGTAGGTCGTGTGATAGCGGGCGTTTGCGCGCTGATCATGCAGGGTGGGGTTCTTTGTTATAACTTCGCGAGAGGAATGTCACATATAGACTTAACCATCGGCAACGAGACAATTACAACAGGTCGCCTACCATGTCCGACTTTCAACAAAATCGTGGATACCAGAATCAGTCCGATATACGAGGTCGTACTCGTCCTGCAATGTCTCTCCACTTTCGTGGTAAATAACGTCACGATCGCTGCGTGTGGTCTCGCCGCTGTCTTCGCGATGCACGGTTCTGGTCAACTTGATGTGGCAATGTTACGTCTCGAAGAACTTGTCGATGAAAAACAAGAGCTTCTGCAGCTAAGACTAGCAAATGTTGTGAAGCATCATTTGCGAGCATTGAAGTAAGATAAATATTTAAATTATATATACATATTATTTTTTTAATTATCTACTAAGTGGCACAATTATATTTTGAATTTTTAGTGACATTCAAATAATCTTGTTAAAATTGGTTTCCCATAAAATGTAATTTTTGTTAATTTAAAAATGTCAAAAAACTATAAAATATATTGGAGACATTACTGCATTTTTTACAAACGTAACATTTTATATTATAAATGTTTGCAAAATAAACAATCTAAGAATTAAAAAATAAAGTTAAAAATATGAAGAATATTTTGCTAGCTATTGTAAATATATCAATTACAGATTTCTTTCACGTATGGAGCAAATTTTGCGACAGATATGTTTTGTGGAATTAGTCGGATGCACATTTAATTTATGTATGTTAGGATATTACACAATTACGGTACGCTAAAAAAATTTGAGAAAGGAAAACAGTGACAAAGTGCATATCCTTTTTTTATTTCTTTAGTGTTATTCTATTTGCTATCAAAGTTTGCTATTATTTTCAGGAATGGCATGAAGAAAGTTTGAACACTATAATAACATATATCATGTTAATTACATCGATGATGTTTAATATTTTTATATTTTGCTTTATTGGTGAACTTGTAACGGGCCAGGTAAAATAATCATTTTGATGACAGTTTTCTCATTAATTTGTCTGTAATTAAAATATATTTTATTCATAATTCGATCAAATTTTGCGACAGTGCAAAAAAGTCGGCGAAGCAGCTTACATGACTAATTGGTATCAATTGCCAAATAAAACTATCCTTGGTCTAATTTTAATAATTTTACGATCAAGAACTGTAATCAAAATTACAGCTGGAAAAATATTTCATATGTCTATCGCAACTTTTGGCGTTGTAAGCATGACATCTTTCTACATATAAAGAAAATAATCTTTATATGTATGTTACAAATAATACACAAAATAATATATAATAAACATTTATATAAATTATAATATTTTTAAAAAAATTTATCAAAATATGAATTTATTATACATTAAACATTTCAGGTAATTAAAACATCTGTTGGATATCTAAATATGCTACGAACTTTAACTGTATAATTATTTCGTGAGAAAATTATTTATTTTGTAATATATTCTATACATATATTGTAGATAACATATAGATATATAAATATATATATGTGCATATTATATATATACATATATTATAATATAATACTTTAAAGAGGAAACATTCTTTAAAAAAGAAAAGCCTGTTCGTAAAAAATAACTGTACAAGTTATACGCATATAATGCACAAATAGCAAACGATATAGTTAGAAAGAATATCCTCTCTTATCCCCTTATAACACTTAATAACTATAAAATGCACCCTAGAATGTCATATGATATACATACCTTATTACTGGACTGTGTTTATCCTGGAAAGAAAGTTATATCGAAGGGGAAGTAACTTTTCCTTCAATATCGCATTTGATTTCCTGCACTTGTGTTTACGTAAAATCCCTTCAATAACTTCCGAATTTTCACGTTTTAATAATATATAAAATCTACAAACAAAAATCGAAATCTGTTATAATCATTTATAATTATGAAAAAGACACATAAACTGATCAATATTTATAATTCCTAATTACACATAATATTTTGTGCGAAAATGTATTCTCGAGTTCCAAATAAGTTGTTTTACATGAATAATCCATTCTGCATTTCAGCTAATTTCTAATTAAAATGTAATTATTAAATTCGTATTCAAAATTGAAATTTTATTTTGAGTATTCTTATCTGTACTGTTCGAATATTTAAAAATATGCAAAAGAAAAAATATATTTTCTTTAACGAGAAAATCATTACGAACAAACAATTCATCATATTTTCATATAACGTATACGTAATTAATAATTGACAACATATTTATTCAATTGTTTTCTACCTTCATTTATTACTATTATTCTTATACTGTATATTATCCCCAGTTTCCACATATCAACTGCAAAATTGATTTCGCAATCAATCATCTATAAAATGTCTTTTCTATGTCAAAAATAAACTATCTGGCTGCTCGAGCGCTGTCTTAACTACTGATCGACGCGACGCGATGTTGCGGCGCGCAATCAGTAGTAAAGACTAGTATTGACGCGCCGTTCGCGGATTACGCGATGCGTTTCTCTCGTCAAATCCAAGGTAGATATTTATAAGCAAGATAACGATTATCTTTACTTAAATCGTTGAATCTTGAAGTCGCTAAATGTTTGACCTGAATCACTCGATTGTCAAAGAGATTTTATATAAAATTCTAAGCATAAAGAAGTGAGATTTATGATTAATTTATTATTGTATATATTTATAACTTTTAAATGCATGCAGAAAATTGCTATTTAAAGACTGTCTTAACTACTGATCGACGCGACGCGACGTTGCGACACGAAATCAGTAGTAAAGACTAGTATTGACGCGCCTTTCGCGGATTAAGAGATGCGTTTCTAGTAATCTTTTTTATTTCTACATGAATAAATTAGTTTTGTATACCTTAAGCAAATCTTTTTGAATATGTATGTAAATCAAGTGTGGTATATTCTTCACAATTCTGCACTATCGCTTATAAAATATAATGCATTGCACACACTGCACGCAGTTTGTAAGATGTATCTATAGTTGCAAGTGGCGGTGCAACAAGTAGTGATTATCGATTAGCACAACGTCCCACCTCTCGGAATATGGAAACCTCTCTGTAAAGAAGAATCTGCGCAATCGCTACATTAACTATTCCGCTTACTGGTTCGCTGAAAGATACGATATCAAAAAACGTTCAGTATTTCGTGCGCTTTCGAAGAATTATGACGACATCACTGCCTGATAAGTCGATGTCGCTTTCGCATCATAATAATGAGCACGATTATAGTATCCAGCTGAATCGCTGGTTCCTGAAACCAATTGGCGCCTGGCCGGAATCGCGTGCCACCACCACATCTGAAAAACTCCTATCGAGGATCATTCAGATAACGTGTTACGTTCTCATAGCCTTCACAATAGTGCCTTGCATGCTGTACTTCTACCTCGAGGAGCAGGAGCTTGACGTTAAGATGAACTCAGTAGGTCCCGTGAGCCACTGGATTATGAATGGGATAAATTATTCTTCGTTGCTGTTGCGCGGCAAGGATATACGTCGTTGCATCGAGCACATGGAAAACGATTGGTGCGCGATGAATAGAATCGAGGATCGCACGGTGATGTTGAAATACGCCAGGTTCGGCCGATCCGTAGCCACCTTCTGCGCCGTCTTCATGCACTGTGGCGTATTCTCATACAGCGTCGTAAATAGTCTGTCGCCGATGATCACCATAATTGATAATCAGACCGTCATAACGCGACGATTACCTTGTCCATTCTACAGCAAGCTTCTGGACATCAATCGCGCTCCGATAAACGAGATCGTATTGGCGACGCAATTTTTATCCGGTTTCATAGCAAACTCTATCACGGTTGGTGCGTGCAGTCTTGCCGCGGTTCTCGCGACACACGCGTGCGGTCAATTTGCCGTACTTTACTCATGGTTGAGCGAACTGGTTGACGAAGAGAAGGAGAAACGATATATTGAATGCAAATTGGCTAACATAGTTGAGCAACATCTGCGTATATTAAAGTAAAGTATTATTCTTGTCGCCTTTATTACGAATTAATTTATTAAATAAAAAAAAAGTAACATTTATTAAATAAAAGAAAGGATAATGAAATCTACAATAATTAAAATAATTTTAGTTTCTTGTCACGCTTCGAAAAAATTATGAATCAAATATGTCTCGTGGAAGTAGTCGGATGCACGTTGAATTTATGCTTGCTTGGTTATTGTTCGCTTAAGGTATAATAAAAAATATTATTATATATTTTTATATTATTTTAAGAATCTTGGCTTCTCCCTCAAAATTAAAATTCTTGAATTCGAGAAAGATCATATAAATTTTTTTCTTATAAAATATAATAATATATAAAATATAATAAAGAATTAGTCTTTTTTTATTTGTCATTACTCGTACATAGAAAAATAATGGTGAAATAAAATTAGCAACATAAACCAAAGACTTTCTAGTACTTCTAATTTAGACTGCATTTTCTAATTTAGAATAAAATCCAGTTTTCTAATAAGTAATATACGAAAAAAAAAAAAATTAATTTTCTACACAAGCAAAAAGATCCACATAATTACTGTTTTTAATTTAATATGACTAGAATAAAAAAAGAAAACTCTTAAAATTTTTCATTAATATGAAATATGTGTATTATTTTGTTAAATATGATGAAATAGTATGTATAGTCGTAAGATACTTTATATTTCAGGAATGGAATGCGAGAAATACGAAGACTATAGCAACGTATGGTATTTTGTTCGTATCCATGACCTTTAATATCTTTATATTTTGTTACATAGGCGAACTAATCACAGAACAGGTAATGCCCATATAAGCAGAGTGCATATCTCTTTTTTAAGATAAAATTTTGTTAATAAAATTTTATAAATATTTATGCAATTCACACAAGATATCTCTTTATTATCTTATAATTATATGATTAATTTCAGTGCAAGAAAGTAGGTGAAATGGCTTATTTTACTGATTGGTATCGTTTACCTCATAAGACTGCTCTAGGCATGGTACTGATAATATCAAGATCTAGTGCCGTGATCAAAATCACTGCCGGAAAATTAATTCAACTCTCTTTAATAACGTTTGGCGATGTGAGTATATTTCCATAACATCAAGTATCACATTTTCATCTAAAAATAAAATTTTATTATTTCGTATATTACATTCCTGCACATTTAGCACACTGGTTTATCTGATTCATGGGAAAGTTTGGAATAAATAATATCAAGCATATCAAATTAAAACCTTTTCTGCAGAACTTATTTAATTTAATCTACTTACAGGTGATTAAAACATCTGCAGCATATCTGAATATACTTCGTACCTTAATTATGTAACTATAATATATGTAAAAAAATAGGAGTAAATTAATTCACATGCAATAAGAAATTATTTAAGAATCATTAGTTTTTAATAATATCATTTCCTTATTGATATATAACATGTATAATAAATCCTTAGAATATCAAGATTAACATAATATATTGTAGAAAGAATTAAAGTACACATAAATAATATTCTACATATATAAATATATATATATATATATATATATATATATATATAAATGGAAATGCTTATTTGTTACACGCACTTGAAAGATCAGGTATCAAAATTGCTATTTTAGCCTCTCCTCTTTTTTACGATCTGCTTTTGACGCTTAGACACGAAGCAGCGCCAAAGATGCAACAAGTTGCACTAAACGATCGATCAGTGTAAAGGTCTGCCTATTTGTTGCAATGTGCTCTATTCTGCAACCAGCGCAAGCGCGGTAACACATTTTCGCTGCGCGAATATATCTCACGCACTTTCGCAAATGGAGAGAGTTACGGACTAAGCAAATATTAATTAGTTTATATTATGCAGCATTATTTGCTCATGCTAAAATAGTGAAAAATTCGTGAATATTAATAACATTTATATTGCATAAATAATGTTATATTTATAAATAATTAAAAATATTTTTGATTAATAAGATAACTGTTATTATATGTTGGCATTTTTATATCAAGTAAATCATACATCAAAAATGTCTCATTGTATTAGTCAAATAAAATCTTCGATTTTAATATTTGACGATTACAGTGAAAAAAATATTGTCAAGATTATATTTGTATGTATTATGTATCTATGTGTGAAAGAAGATGGAACTTAATATTATTATATATTATATATATATATATATATATATAGAGAGAGAGAGAGTTATTGTGTGTGCTAATATTTTAATGCTCAATGAAAAATCTAATTAGTTTTCATTTTCATTGAGCATTAAAGCAATTGCTAAAAAATAAGCATTTCAATAAATATTAATCATCAAAAAATTATTATAATGTATTTTGATCTTTCAGGAATGGATTATCAAAGATATAAAAATATCATTTACGATATTCTGTTGTCTATATTGATGACTTATTGGTTGACTTTATATTTATTATCGACGAGTTTTTTTATCAATCAAAAATAGATAATGCGCAAATTTGCATAAAATTTATTAATATGTGTAATGACATTTATAAAGATGTTTGCGATATTTTACTATTAACTTATTTCATTATTGGTTATTTAATTTTTTCTAGAATAAGATATCTTCAAGAAAAATATATTAATTTAATTTAATATAAATTTGTACAATTTTCTACACAAATTAACGATGTTATATATGGTCTATATTTTCTGCAAACAATAATTTATTTCAGATAACTTTTTTTAAACATCTTATTTAATCATTCCTTATATTATCACTATAAAAAATGCACATATTTACCATATACATAACTCTTAAAATATTATTAATCAGAAGAATCTAAAACGTCAATATAAAAAAAATTATATGTTCTTACGTATTATCAATTTATCCCAAAAAATGAGCCTTCAAATTAATATAATTCTGCAATGTTTCGATAAAATGCTTCATGTGTCGCATACAATAATCGTAGAACTCTGATCAAACTACTGACTTGTATATGCATTCGCAACATTTACCGAAGCAACAAGTTCGATAGCTTTCAATCGATCGGATTGTTTTCGTAGTAGACTTTCTTTTCGCGCAGACGCTACAACGACCATTGCTATAATAGTCATATTAGTAGTCGTCGTGCCATCGCGTAGTCACAATGTGTCGGTCGGTGACTAAAGATTTGCACGATCACAGCATACAACTGAATCGGTGGTTTCTAAAGCCGATAGGCGCGTGGCCGCGATCTACCACAACTTCGAGCAGCGAAAAAGCTGTGTCTCGCGTTCTAATATTCGTCTGTTATTTTTTAATAGCCTTCACTGTGGTGCCGTGCGCGTTAAACATCTTCTTCGAGGAAAAGGACATCGAGCTGAAACTCCGTGCAATCGGTCCTCTAAGCCATTGGCTTATGGGCGGAATGAATTATTGTTCCCTCTTGCTGCGTAGCGCCGATATACGTCGATGCGTGCGACATATGGAAATGGACTGGCAGATCATCAAGCGATCGAGGCATCGCGAGATCATGGCAAAGAATGCAAGATTAGGCAGATTCGTGGCAGGTTTCTGCGCGATATTCATGCACGGCGGTGTTTTCTCCTACAGCATCGTGTCCGGGATGACGACGGTGATAGTGCCGATCGACAACAATCTTAGTGTCCCGATGCTACAGCTACCTTGTCCCTCGTACAGCAAGTTCGTGGATGCCCGATTCAGCCCGGCTAACGAAATCGTGCTAATAATGCAGATGTTTTCATGTTTCATAGTAAACTCTACCACTGTCGGAGCTTGCAGTCTTGCTGCTGTTTTCGCTATGCATGCGTGCGGTCAGCTCGATATTTTGACCTTGCGTCTAGACAAACTCGTCGAAGGTGAAGATGTGAAGGAAAATGATTCGGCCCAGCGGAGACTAGCCGATATCGTGGACCATCATTTGCGTGTTTTAAGGTAATATTGTATATACGTGTATACTCACAAAAATTATATTTAAAGATAAATAATAATAAATATTTAAGAATATAATTTTAAAGATGTAATCGTAATTGTTAAACTATTTACTTAATTTAATATACAATTTTTTTATTAATAAAAATCGTTCGTTTTATTAATAAAAAATTATTACTCCTTCTATTTATGCAAGCGAATTTAAATTTACATTTTAATGACTAAATTTAATTTTAATATTAAAAACTTATATATATATACAGGGTGTCCCATAATTCGCGAATCACCTTTCATGGGCAGATAGAGCGTGTTAAACTGAATAGAAAATTCATGTATCATTTTGCGATATTTGCAATAATAATTGAGTTATTTATTAAAATATTTAAATGAATAAGCAAGTAGAAAGCATTATTTGATCGAGAGGCGGCGTCATGCAGCGAGCGGCTACCAATGTAATGGCGCCGAAAAGTAAGATGATACTTTTGATACTTAGCGGCATATAACAAATAAGTCATCCGACATGCACACCGAGTCCGGCCTACCGCTTTCTACCCGCTCATTCGTTTAGATATTTTAGTTAATAACTCAATAATTATTGCAAATATCGCAAAATGATACAGGACTTTTCTATTCAGTTTAACACGCTCTATCTACCCATGAAAGGTGATTCGCGAATTATGGGACAGCTTGTATATATATATATAACTTTTATTCCTACTCACTTTTCTCCTTAGAAGTTATCGAAACGAGGTTTTGAAAGCTATACTTTCTTCTACTTCATCAAAAAAAAGTAATTTTAAAGCAATATTCAAAATAAATTAATAAAAGAATTAATGAAAGAATATTATTTTGTTTTATTTATAAATTTTAAAATTTTGCAAAACAAAGTTCTTCTCTTGTACAAAATTTTATAATTACAAATTATTTAAACTTTAATATATTATAATGTATAATAAGACGAACAAAACAATTTATATCAGTAAATAGAAATAATTTCGATACAATGTTGTAAAATATCAAACGATAAAATTTATTTAACATTTTTTAAAATTTGATTTTAGGTTTATATCGAGCATCGAAAATGTTATGCATCAAATATGTCTGGTAGAACTAGTTGGATGTACTTTTAACTTATGTATGCTTGGATATTATTCAATTACGGTATGCTAATCATCTTAAAAGGTGAATATGTATATAATCACAATCACTTTGATAACACTGACAATAACACAACCTTTCAGTAAAATGTTAACAATTTTTATCTTAAAAAAAATCTCACTTTGTTATGATTTTTTTAGTGGTGGAATAAAATTGATACAAAAGGCATAATAGCATATATTATTGTATATATATCCATGAGTTTCAATATTTTTATATTTTGCTACATAGGTGAAATTTTAACTCAACAGGTAAAAAAACCGTTGAATATCGACTAACAAAAATATTAACGCATATGTTTTTAACAGCCACCTTTATTAATATATTTATTAGTGCAAGAAAGTTGGTGAAACAGCATACATGACCGATTGGTATCGCTTACCTCGTAAAACAGCTCTTGGATTGATCTTGATTATATCCAGATCGAGTGTCGTGATCAAAATAACTGCGGGAAAATTGATTCAACTTTCCATTGCAACTTTCAGTGACGTGAGTATCAACAGTTTCTTTTTAGAAACATTTTCAGTAAGTTATCAATCATGATTCCAGGTTATTAAAACGTCCCTCGTATATCTGAATATGTTACGAACTGTTACAACGTAAGCATAAATGCGATCGTAGAGATTTTCGATAATATTCTTATCTTCTTTATTTGTGTAACATTTTTAAAAGGCATACAAACACAATATTATTTATTTTTAATTAAAAAATACAATGTAAAATTAAAATGTAAAAAACTGCTAATTACTATATCTTTTATATTGCATTATTTAGAAAATATCCAAAACTTTCTACATTACATTTATTAATAGTAATATGCATAAATATCAAGATCACATAAAATATTATGCTACATTAAAACTCACATACATCAAATATATTTAAAAAATTCTCTTCATAATCAGCACTTTACAATACATTTCCGCGAGCAGTTATTGATTAGACATGCGTTCTCTCAGAAAGACAACTCACCGTGCGTTTATTAAACAGCTCTAAAGATTCGCGCAGGCGCTCGCTTGACAAACATAACTTCAGCCAGTGCATTTCTGACTACCTCTTACACCTGTCAGTACATCGTGCGCTTTCACGAAGTGATCATGACGTACTCCAAACGTATGTCAACGAGCGTCCAACTCACGTCCAAAAATCATAATGAGTACAGTCTACAAGTGGCTCGTTGGTTTCTAATGCCAATCGGTATTTGGTCGCAAATAAATACGGCAACAAAAATTAAGAGATTTTCTTCATACGTACATATTCTCGTCTCTACGTTCTTAATAGCAATTGTTACGGTGCCTTTTTTGTTATACGTGTCATTGGAAGAGGAAGATATCGAGCTAAAATTGAATTTGATTGGTCCACTGAGTCACTGGATTATGGGTATAATTAATTACTGTTTGCTCCTTGCACGCAGTAACGATATCAGAGAATGCATGCGACACATGGAAATGGATTGGAGACTGATTAAAAAATTCGAGGATCGACAAGTAATGTTGCAACAAGCCAAGATCGGCCGTTTTGTCTGCGGAATCTGCGCGATATTCATGCAGAGTGGTACATTTATCTTTGTTATAACCAAATCGCTAACTACCGCGATCGTCATCGTCGGCAATGAGACCATTTCGATGCATTTGATGGTTTGTCCGATTTATAGCAAGTTTATCGATACGAGATTCAGTCCCGCAAACGAGATCATGCAAATTGTAGAAATGATATCAACATTTATAGTTAATTCTGTTACGGTAGGCGTTTGCAGTCTCGATATGATCTTCGCTATGCATGCGTATGCTCAGCTGAGCGTGTTATTTTCGTGGTTAAATAAACTTATAGTGGATAAAGACGATGAAAACGATTGCGTTGAACAAAGACTGGCCATTATAGTGAAACATCATTTGAGAGTACTAAGGTATTTTATTTAAGTATCTATGTTTGCACTGCGTATGATTTTATCGATAAAAGGTAAATTGATTGAGTAAATTGATTTTTATTAAATAGCAACACATCTATCTTTAAAAAAAAAGATGTATATCACGTATTACAATTGCATGCATATACTCATTTCAGTTTTATATCGCGTATGGAGTCTATTATGCAAAGTATCTGTCTCGTGCAATTGCTGGGATGTACAATGAACATGTGTTTACTTGCATATTATTTTATTACGGTATGCTAAAAATAAGAAAGGTGAATACATGTTATAAAAGTATTTTATAAATTTTTTAAATATAGAAATTGTCAGCTTAATGGGTGTTTATATATGTATATCTGGTGTATGTGTGTATATAAAATGTATAAATATAAAAAATAAGAAATTAATTTTTGGATATTTTTTAATTAATTAATTTCTGTCTTCACAGAATTTGAATACATTTGATGTGGTAAAATTGGCATCATTTGTCATCATATACTTATCTATGGCTTTCAATGTGTTTATATTTTGTTACATTGGTGAGACCCTCACAGAACAGGTAATAATTTGAATTCAAATAAAAAATAATTAGACTATTCAGAAAATCTAGAAGATAACTTTTAATTTGTAAATAAATTCTGTTTTTTACTATGTTGTTTGTGAATATTTTTATAGTTTTAATCACAAAAAACTAATAAAAAATTAAGAAAATTTAAATTTATTAGTGCAAAAACGTCGGTGAGAAGGCGTATATGATCAATTGGTATGAATTACCACGCGAAACTGCTCTTGGGCTTATTTTGATAATAGCACGGTCGAATAATGTTATCAGACTAACTGCTGGAAAATTATTTCAATTATCTGTTGCAACTTTTGGTGATGTAAGTACCACACATACATCGCACTTATAATGAACATTAATAAAAATTTAATATATTATATAATTACTTTTTATATATTTCTTTCTATTATAAATTATTATTGCAACATTTTTATATACCGGTTACATTTTCTAATTTTGGTACATCTTTTAAAAATAAATTTTAAAACTTCCAAAATGATCAATCTGCATTCTATAAGGTAGAGACGTTACTGTTTCAGATAATTAAGACTTCCATGGTATATTTAAATATGTTACGAACGATGAATCCTTCATGAACAATGTTAACTATTAAAAAACAATAAATATATATTTTGTATAGAACATAGATAAATGATAGTATAATATATAGAAAAAATATTCAGTAAATAGAATAAATTCTGTTGCAATAAAATTTTTATAACCAAGCTACTTAAAAGCATAATTGATTTACATGTAATAGATTTCTATATATTCAAAAAATATATTTCCTAAAATTAAACATTAACATTTATTATATAACCAAATTTCAATTATAATCAACAAAATTTGTAATTTCAAGTTTTTTTTCTAATATGTCTTACGCATCATATTACAAATGTATTTACACACAACTATAAAAGAAAAAATTGACTTACCCTAATCGCCATATGTTTCCTACATATGTGTTCTCCACTCTTAAAGACAACATGTCACATTTCCGCGAGCAATAATTATTGATCAGACATGCGTCTCTGTCGGAAAGCACAACCCTAAGCGTTCACCAAAAATTCGCGCAGGCGCTCGTTCGGACATAGCTTCAGCCAGTGCACCATCCATCAGTCAGTGCATCGTACGCCTCCGTGAAACAATCATGACGTGCTCCGAACGTGTACCAGCGAGCACCAAATTTACACATAAAACCAATAATGATTACAGTCTTCAACTGACATGTTGGTTTCTGACGCCAATCGCGGCTTGGCCACGAGCAAGAACATCGATGACGGAGAGAGTTTCTTTGCAGGCGCATATTCTTGCTTGCTTATTCCTGATAGCGATCGTCATGGTGCCGTATTTATTATATGTATCGCTGGAGGAGAAAGACATGCAGATAAAATTGAGCGTTATGGGACCGCTGAGACATTGGATCATGGGAACAATTAATTACTGGTTGCTTCTTACGCGCAGCGACGACATCTGCGAATGCGTGCGACACATGGAGACGGATTGGAAATTAATTCGGAGACTCGATGAATCTGGAAGTGATGATGCGATACGCCAAGATCGGTCGTTTTGTCGCCGGAATCTGCGCGGTGTTTATGCAAAGCGGAACATTTCTCTTTGTCGTAGCCAAAGCGATGACATCTGTTACTGTTCTTGTAGGCAACGTAACGACATCGATGCATCCGATGACTTGTCCGATTTATAACAAATTTATTGATACGAGATTCAGTCCCGCGAACGAGATCATGCTGGCTGTGGAGCTAGTATCATGTTTTATAATGAATTCAATTACAGTTGGCGCTTGCAGTCTCGCTGCAGTTTTCGCGATGCACGCTTACGGTCAACTTAGCATGCTATTCTCATGGTTAAATAATCTTGTTTCGGACGAGGATAAGGAAAACGAGTACGCTGAACAAAAATTGGCTGCTATCGTGGAGCATCATGTAAGAGTACTGAGGTACTTTATTCAAATATCAAGATTCCATTATGTTTGCGCGTTTGTCGTATTTTTATAGGTAAAAATTCTATTGTATAATCATCATCTGGCTAAATATTTCTGTATCAAATAAAATAGTATGTCTAACTCTATATTTTATATAAAAAATATATATGTATATGATTATGAAAAAGTAAAATACAGATATTTCTTTTACAAAAAAATCGTGTTCAATTTAATATATATACATTTCAGTTTTATATCATGCATGGAAAATATTATGCAACATATCTGTCTCGTGGAATTGGTGGGATGCACATTGAATATGTGTTTACTTGCATATTATTCTATTACGGTATGCTAAATACTTAAAAAGGTGAATATATGTTACAATAGCATTTTGTCTGTTTATGTATAAAATGTTAAATATAATTTCTGATTTCTTAGAATTGAAGTGATTTTGATGCTGCAAAAATAATGTCATATATTATTGTATACGTATCTATGGCTTTCAATATTTTTATATTTTGTTACATTGGTGAAATTCTCACAGAACAGGTATCTTGAATTTATAATAAATTTTTAAACATTAAGGTTATTATATACATATATTGCAATTATTATATAATTAGCTAATGTTTAAGAGATTACTGATTCCATTTAAATTTTGTGTATCTTTTAATATTTCTTATTTTTCCATTTTTTAAATGTAGAACAATGTTTATAAAAAGCTTATTTAAATTTTTGTTTATTTTATAGTGCAAAAATGTTGGCGAAAAAGCTTACATGACCAATTGGTATAATTTACCGCACAAAACTGCCCTTGGTCTCATTTTGATAATAGCGCGATCGAGTAATGTTATTAAGATAACTGTTGGAAAATTATTTCAATTGTCTATTGCAACTTTTGGTGATGTAAGTAAAATCTATATATACTTGCACTTACAATGGAATATTGTATTAATAAAAGTTTAATACATTTTTTTATATTTTATATTTATAAATTATTATATGATATTCCTCCATATCTTTATCTACATTTATTGTTTCTGAGTAATATATAATTCGCGAATCACCTTTTATGGGCAGATAGAGCGTGTTAAACTGAATAGAAAATTCATGTATCATTTTGCGATATTCGCAATAATTATTGAGTTATTTATTAAAATATCTAAACGAATAAGCAGGTAGAAAGCATTATTTGATCGAGAGGCGGCGTCATGCAGCGAGCGGCGACCAATGTAGTGGCGCCGAAAAGTAAGATGATACTTTTAATACTAAGCGGCATATAACAAATAAGTCATTCAACATGCACACCGAGTTTGGCCTACCGCTTTCTACCCGCTCATTCGTTTAGATATTTTAGTTAATAACTCAATAATTATTGCAAATATCGCAAAATGATACAGGACTTTTCTATTCAGTTTAACACGCTCTATCTACCCATGAAAGGTGATTCGCGAATTATGGGACAGCCTGTATATATATATATATAACTTTTATTCCTACTCACTTTTCTCCTTAGAAGTTATCGAAACGAGGTTTTGAAAGCTATACTTTCTTCTACTTCATCAAAAAAAAGTAATTTTAAAGCAATATTCAAAATAAATTAATAAAAGAATTAATGAAAGAATATTATTTTGTTTTATTTGAAAATTTTAAAATTTTGCAAAACAAAGTTCTTCTCTCTTGTACAAAATTTTATAATTACAAATTATTTAAACTTTAATATATTATAATGTATAATAAGACGAACAAAACAATTTATATCAGTAAATAGAAATAGTTTCGATACAATGTTGTAAAATATCAAACGATAAAATTTATTTAACATTTTTTAAAATTTGATTTTAGGTTTATATCGAGCATCGAAAATGTTATGCATCAAATATGTCTGGTAGAACTAGTTGGATGTACTTTTAATTTATGTATGCTTGGATATTATTCAATTACGGTATGCCAATCATCTTAAAAGGTGAATATGTATATAATCACAATCACTTTGATAACACTGACAATAACACAACCTTTCAGTAAAATGTTAACAATTTTTATCTTAAAAAAAATCTCACTTTGTTATGATTTTTTTAGTGGTGGAATAAAATTGATACAAAAGGCATAATAGCATATATTATTGTATATATATCCATGAGTTTCAATATTTTTATATTTTGCTACATAGGTGAAATTTTAACTCAACAGGTAAAAAAACCGTTGAATATCGACTAACAAAAATATTAACACATATGTTCTTAACAGCCACCTCTATTAATATATTTATTAGTGCAAGAAAGTCGGTGAAACAGCATACATGACCGATTGGTATCGCTTACCTCGTAAAACAGCTCTTAGATTGATCTTGATTATATCCAGATCGAGTGTCGTAATCAAAATAACTGCGGGAATATTAATTCAACTTTCCATTGCAACTTTCAGTGACGTGAGTATCAACAGTTTCTTTTTAGAAACATTTTCAGTAAGTTATCAATCATGATTCCAGGTTATTAAAACGTCCCTCGTATATCTGAATATGTTACGAACTGTTACAACGTAAGCATAAATGCGATCGTAGAGATTTTCGATAATATTCTTATCTTCTTTATTTGTGTAACATTTTTAAAAGGCATACAAACACAATATTATTTAATTTTAATTAAAAAATACAATGTAAAATTAAAATGTAAAAAACTGCTAATTACTATATCTTTTATATTGCATTATTTAGGAAATATCCAAAACTTTTTACATTACATTTATTAATAGTAATATGCATAAATATCAAGATCACATAAAATATTATGCTACATTAACACTCACATGCATCAAAATATATTTAAAAAATTCTCTTCATTATCAGCACTTTACAATACATTTCCGCGAGCAGTTATTGATTAGACATGCGTTCTCTCAGAAAGACAACTCGCCGTGCGTTTATTAAACAGCTCTAAAGATTCGCGCAGGCGCTCGCTCAAACATAACGCCAGGGTACTCCTTGTGACTATTTGTCACACTCATTGTCAGTACATCGTGCGCTTCCATGAAGCAATCATGACGTACTCGAAGCGGGTGTCAACAAGCATCAAACTCACGTCCAATACCGATTACAGTCTACAATTGGCTCGTTGGTTTCTACTGCCAATCGGCATTTGGCCGCGAATGAATACGGCAACGAAATTCGAGAAATTTTCTTCATGCGTGCATATTCTCATCTGCATATTCTTAATAGCAATTGTTGCAGTGCCGTGTTTCTTATACGTGTCATTGGAAGAAAAAGATATCGAGATAAAATTGAGCACGATAGGTCCGCTAAGTCACTGGATTATGGGCCTGATTAATTACTGTTTGCTTCTTTCACGAAAAAACAATATCCGTGAATGCATGCGACATATGGAAATGGATTGGAGACTAATACAAAAATTCGAGGATCGACAGGTGATGTTGCAACAGGCCAAGTTTGGCCGTTTTGTCGCTGGAATTTGCGCGATATTCATGCAGAGCGGCGTCTTTCTCTTCTTTATAAGCAAATCGCTAACTACTACGATTGTCATCATTGGCAATGAAACCATGTCAATGCATCTACTAGCTTGGCCGATTTACAGCAAGTTTATCGATACAAGATTCAGTCCTGCGAACGAAATCATGCAGATTATAGAAATGTTATCGACTTTTATAGTTAATTCTGTTACGGTAGGCGCTTGCAGTCTTGATGCAATTTTTGCAATGCACGCGTGCGCTCAGCTGAGTGTGTTATTTTCGTGGTTAAACAAACTCATCGTGGACAAAAATAATAATAACGATTGCGCTAAACAAAGACTCGGTATTATAGTGAAACATCACTTGAGAGTGCTGAGGTATTTTATTTAAATATCATGTTTGCACTAGTTATAATTTAATCGCATTAAACGAGTATGCATTTGCATGAATAAATTAACGTATGTATGCATGATTAAATTAACGTATATTAAAGAAATATTTTTTCTTTAAAAAAATTACACGATAGAATTATATATATATACATATATATATATATATATATATATATATATATATATATATATATATATGTTTTAGTTTTATATCACGTATGGAATCTATTATGCGAAATATCTGCCTCGTTGAATTGTTGGGATGTACAATGAATATGTGTTTACTTTCATATTATTTAATTACGGTATGCTAATCATCTTAAAAGGTGAATATATATATAATCACAATCACTTTGATAACACACTTTTCAGTGAAATTTCAATAATTTTTATTTTAAAAACATTTTAATTTGTTATGATTATTATAGTGGTGGAATAAAATTGATGCGAACAGTTTAATATCATATACTATTGTATACATATCCATGAGTTTCAATATTTTTATATTTTGCTACATAGGTGAAATTTTAACGCAACAGGTAAAGAAAATGGGAATATTGATAACAACAAATATTAACATATATTTTTATAAAAATCATATTTGTTAGTGTAAAAAAGTTGGTGAAACAGCGTACATGATCGATTGGTATCGCTTACCTCATAGAACAGCTCTTGGATTGATCTTAATTATATCCAGATCGAGTGCTGCAATCAAAATAACTGCTGGAAAATTTATTCAACTTTCCATTGCGACTTACAGTGACGTGAGTATAAACAAATTCTTTTTAGTTAGCAGTTTTAATTAATTATCAATCATTCCAGGTTATGAAAACGTCTTTTGTCTATCTGAATATGTTACGAACTGTCACAGTGTAAGCATGAATGCGATCGTAGAGATTTTCGATACTCTTATTTGTATAACATTTTTAAAATAAAAGCACAACATCTGTAATAAAAAATACAATTTAAAACTATAATTTAAAAGATTGTTTAAAAATTCAGATTATCATAATTATAATACCATTTATATTGTATTATTTACAATTATAACTTATTATTACAAATATCTTAAAGAATTTTCTGATTGATTTATTAATTAGCAATGCACGGATCATATACAATATTATGTCAGATTTACACTTATATGTATCAAAGCATATTAATACTTCCACAAAATTTTCTTTACAATCAATCCTACATTTCCGCGAGCAGTTATTGATTATATACGTTCTCTCGGAACGCATAGCCCTATGCGTTTATCAGCACTAAAGATTCGCGCAGGCGCTCGCTTGACAAACATAACTTCAGCCAGTGCATTTGTGACTACCTCTTACACCTGTCAGTACATTGTGCGCTTCCACGAAGTGATCATGACGTACTCCAAACGTAAGTCAACGAGCGTTCAATTCACGTCCAAAAATTATAATGAATACAGTCTACAAGTGGCTCGTTGGTTTCTAATGCCAATCGGTATTTGGTCGCAAATAAATACGGCAACAAAAATTAAGAGGTTTTTTTCATACGTACATATTTTCGTCTCTACGTTCATAACAGCAATTGTTACGGTGCCTTTTTTGTTATACGTGTTATTGGAAGAGGAAGATAACGAGATAAAATTGAATGCAATTGGTCCGCTGAGTCACTGGATTATGGGTATGATTAATTACTGTTTGCTCCTTGCATGCAGTAGCGATATCAGAGAATGCATGCGACACATGGAAATGGATTGGAGACTGATTAAAAAATTCGAGGATCGACAAGTAATGTTGCAACAAGCCAAAATCGGCCGTTTTGTCTGCGGAATCTGCGCGATATTCATGCAGAGCGGTACATTTATCTTTGTTATAACCAAATCGCTAACTACCGCGATCGTCATCGTCGGCAATGAGACCATTTCGATGCATTTGATGGTTTGTCCGATTTATAGCAAGTTTATCGATACGAGATTCAGTCCCGCAAACGAGATCATGCAAGTTGTAGAAATGATATCAACATTTATAGTTAATTCTGTTACGGTAGGCATTTGCAGTCTCGATACGATCTTCGCTATGCATGCGTATGCTCAGCTGAGCGTGTTATTTTCGTGGTTAAATAAACTTATAGTGGATAAAGATGATAAAAACTATTGCGTTGAACAAAGACTGGCCATTATAGTGAAACATCATTTGAGAGTACTAAGGTATTTTATTTAAGTATCTATGTTTGCACTGCGTGTAATTTTATCGATAAAAGGTAAATTGATTGAGTAGATTGACTTTTATTAAATAGCAACACATCTATCTTTAAGAAAAAAAGATGTATATCACGTATTACAATTACATGCATATACTCATTTCAGTTTTATATCGCGTATGGAGTCTATTATGCAAAGTATCTGTCTCGTGGAATTGCTGGGATGTACAATGAACATGTGTTTACCTGCATATTATTTTATTACGGTATGCTAAAAATAAGAAAGGTGAATACATGTTATAAAAGTATTTTATACATTCTTTAAATTTATAAACTGTCAGCTTAATGAGTGTTTATATATGTATATCTGGTGTATGTGTGTATATAAAATGTATAAATATAAAAAATAAGAAATTAATTTTTGGTTACTCTTTAATTAATTAATTTCTGTCTTCACAGAATTTGAATACATTTGATGCGATAAAATTGGCATCATTTGTCATCATATACTTAGCTATGGCTTTCAATGTGTTTGTATTTTGTTACATTGGTGAGATCCTCACAGAACAGGTAATAATTTGAATTCAAATAAAAAATAATTAGACTATTCAGAAAATCTAGAAGATAACTTGTAATTTGTATATAAATTCTGTTTTTTACTATGTTGTTTGTGAATATTTTTATATTTTTAATCACAAAAAACTAATAAAAAATTAAGAAAACTTAAATTTATTAGTGCAAAAATGTCGGTGAGAAGGCGTATATGATCAATTGGTATGAATTACCACACGAAACTGCTCTTGGGCTTATTTTGATAATAGCACGATCGAATAATGTTATCAGACTAACTGCTGGAAAATTATTTCAATTATCTGTTGCAACTTTTGGTGATGTAAGTACGACACATACATCGCACTTATAAAGAACATTAATAAAAATTTAATATATTATATATTTACTTTTTATATATTTCTTTCTATTATAAATTATTATTGCAACATTTTTATATACCGGTTACATTTTCTAATTTTGGTACATCTTTTAAAAATAAACTTTAAAACTTCCAAAATGATCAATCTGCATTCTATAAGGTAGAGACGTTACTGTTTCAGATAATTAAGACTTCCATGGTATATTTAAATATGTTACGAACGATGAATCCTTCATGAACAATGTTAACTATTAGAAAACAATAAATATATATTTTGTATAGAACATAGATAAATGATAGTATAATATATAGAAGAAATATTCAGTAAATAGAATAAATTCAAAATTTTTATAATCAAGCTACTTAAAAGCATAATTGATTTACATGTAATAGATTTCTATATATTCAAAAAATATATTTTCTAAAGTTAAATATTAACATTTATTATATAACCAAATTTCAATTATAATCAACAAAATTTGTAATTTCAAGTTATTTTTTTTTTAATATGTCTTACGCATCATATTACAAATGTATTTACACACAACTATAAAAGAGAAAATTGACTTACCCTATTCGCCATATGTTTCCTACATATGTGTTCTCCACTCTTAAAGACAACATGTCACATTTCCGCGAGCAATAATTATTGATCAGACATGCGTCTCTGTCGGAAAGCACAACCCTAAGCGTTCACCAAAGATTCGCGCAGGCGCTCGTTCGAACATAGCTTTAGCCAGTGCACCACCCATCAGTCAGTGCATCGTACGCCTCCGTGAAACAATCATGACGTGCTCCGAACGTTTACCAACGAGCACCAAATTTACACATAAAACCAATAATGATTACAGTCTTCAACTGACACGTTGGTTTCTGACGCCAATCGCGGCTTGGCCACGAGCAAAAACATCGATGACGGAGAGAGTTTCTTTGCAGGCGCATATTCTTGCTTGCTTATTCCTGATAGCGATCGTCATGGTGCCGTGTTTATTATATGTATCGCTGGAGGAGAAAGACATGCAGATAAAATTGAGCGTTATGGGTCCGCTGAGCCATTGGATCATGGGTACAATTAATTACTGGTTGCTTCTTACGCGCAGCGACGACATCCGCGAATGCGTGCGACACATGGAGACGGATTGGAAATTAATTCGGAGACTCGATGATCAGGAAGTGATGATGCGATACGCCAAGATCGGTCGTTTCGTCGCCGGATTCTGCGCGGTGTTTATGCAAAGCGGAACATTTCTCTTTGTCGTAGCCAAAGCGATGACATCTGTTACTGTTCTTGTAGGCAACGTAACGACATCGATGCATCCGATGACTTGTCCGATTTATAGCAAATTTATTGATACGAGATTCAGTCCCGCGAACGAGATCATGCTGGCTGTGGAGCTAGTATCATGTTTTATAGTGAATTCAATTACAGTTGGCGCTTGCAGTCTCGCTGCAGTTTTCGCGATGCACGCTTACGGTCAACTCAGCATGCTATTCTCATGGTTAAATAATCTTGTTTCGGACGAGGATAACGAAAACGAGTATGCTGAACAAAAATTGGCTGCTATCGTAGAGCATCATTTAAGAGTGCTGAGGTACTTTATTCAAATATCAAGATTCCATTATGTTTGCGCGTTTGTCGTATTTTTATAGGTAAAAATTCTATTGTATAATCACCATCTGGCTAAATATTTCTGTATCAGATAAAATAGTATGTCTAACTCTATATTTTATATAAAAAATATATATGTATATATTTATGAAAAAGTAAAATACAGATATTTCTTTTACAAAAAAATCGTGTTCAATTTAATATATAAATACATTTCAGTTTTATATCACGCATGGAAAATATTATGCAACATATCTGCCTCGTGGAATTGGTGGGATGCACATTGAATATGTGTTTACTTGCATATTATTCTATTACGGTATGCTAAATACTTAAAAAGGTGAATATATGTTACAATAGCATTTTGTCTGTTTATGTATAAAATGTTAAATATAATTTCTGATTTCTTAGAATTGGAGTGATTTTGATGCTGCAAAAATAATGTCATATATTATTGTATACGTATCTATGGCTTTCAATATTTTTATATTTTGTTACATTGGTGAGATTCTCACAGAACAGGTATCTTGAATTTATAATAAATTTTTAAATATTAAGGTTATTATATACATATATTGCAATTATTATATAATTAGCTAATGTTTAAGAGATTACTGATTACATTTAAATTTTGTGTATCTTTTAATATTTCTTATTTTTCCATTTTTTAAATGTAGAACAATGTTTATAAAAAGCTTATTTAAATTTTTGTTTATTTATTAGTGCAAAAATGTTGGCGAAAAAGCTTACATGACCAATTGGTATAATTTACCGCACAAAACTGCCCTTGGTCTCATTTTGATAATAGCGCGATCGAGTAATGTTATTAAGATAACTGCTGGAAAATTATTTCAATTGTCTATTGCAACTTTTGGTGATGTAAGTAAAACGTATATATACTTGCACTTACAATGGAATATTGTATTAATAAAAGTTTAATACATTTTTTATATTTTATATTTATAAATTATTATATGATATTCCTCCATAACTTTATCTACGTTTATTGTTTCTGAGTAACATATATATATATATATATATATATATATATATATATATGATTATTGATTTTGAATCCTAATGCTCATATCTTAATGCCAAAGTTTTGGAAATCGATAACTTATATCGTAATAGAAAGGAAGAGCTTCTTGTTTCAGGTAATTAAGACTTCTGTGGTATATTTGAATATTTTAAGAACGATGACTCCCACGTAAATATAAAATTTAGAACGATGACTCTCACGACAATATAAAATTTAGAAAACAAATATATTTTGTATAGAATATGATTTGTGACATAAAAAATAGAATAAATATTTAATAAATAAAATAAATTACATTATATTATATTTTAGTAGTAAAATTATAATAAATTTTTTCAATGATAACATTGAAACAACAGTGCTGCATTTTGCAATGTTAAAAGAAGATTAATTTGGAATTGAAAATATTAAAATTTCTTACAAGATTTTGTAGCTTTGTTGAAATTACAGAGACTAGCTATTATATTATACAAGAAAATATTGTCTTTAAATATTTCTACAGAACAATAAAATTTATATATCTATCTAAATTTTATATATAAAATATACAATAATAATCTCTTATATTTACTTTAAACAACAATAAATTATTTTTTAAATAATTTCAAATTATTTTTAAAATACTTTTGTACATGCACTATTTAATCTGTAAAATATAATATAAGTCTCACGATCTTTTGACAATTCGAAGTACTGACCGATTGTCAAAATACATCCAAAACTATTATGTGTGTGACGTATTATCCAAAAGTAAAAACTTTTCGCTGGAGCAGGTGTTAGAGATTTAGAGAGTTACATTCTTTAATATAATAATCTTTAATGAGTTTTGACTTCTGAAATCGATTGGGTAAACTTACACAACCAGTTATAACAACAATGAGAGAAAAACTTTCAAAGATACCGATATTTATTTACTATTCTTCGATATTTTATATAGTCAATAACAAATGATAAAAAAAGATCTCTGCAAAATAAATAAAATCGTCAATTAATTATCCTTAATGAATTAATATGCATTCGCGACGTAATAAAAGTATTATTATAAATTACTATTTATCGATATAACTTTTATATAACATATTTATATCTTGCTACATAGCTCACATTTTCTATATAACAGATAATATATCATGAGAAAGAAAATTGTTTAGACACATTTGACAAGTTTTCTGGTTTAATATAAAATACATTATCTTAAAACATTATCTTATTATATCATCTCTCTTTCAATTTCTATATGTTTATGTTTTAAATTATTATGTCAACTTATTCAAACATCTTTTAATTATCATAATGTTAAAAAAAGCGAAATAATTATAATAAATTCATATTATATATTTATATTATATATCAAAAATTTTCAAACATTTAAAAATATTTAAATGTATTTTTTGGTTTATTTATTAGTATGTAAAAATGTTGAGAAAATAGCAAATATGTATCGACTAGAATAATTATCTCAAAAATGCATTCTCTATTGATAATCATGCGATTGAGTTACAACAAAAAAAAGAACAATTTCAATTTTCTGTCGTATACTAATAACTTATGACAATGCAAGTAATCACGTTATAATGAAATTCCATTGAATAAAATTTTAACTTCTTTTTTTAATCATAAATTATTTATTATAACAATTCTATAATAATTATTCAATACAATTTCAATTCCATAACAATTTGCAATAATGTGTTTCAACAAATATTAAATTGTAAGAAATAACAAATTATTATTAAATGATATGTCATTAATTATACTTATTAAAAGAATCAATTAATGGAGATAACAATTATATTAAATAATTAAAATTTTATAGCATATTTGAACATTTTGCAAACCATGATTATATAAAATATAAATCAAAATGTTACAAAATACAATATAAACATTGTCTAAATAAAATAGATGTTTAATAAATAAAATTTATATACATCATATATATATACATATGTTATACATATTGTATAGACTTAACTTACCGGATTTTCTGCGATAAAATTCTGTTTGAAGAGACATTCTCGACAATCTTTTTCCACAATTAAGTGATCGAAGCACTTTATAAAATTTGCACTCATCTACAAAATGTTATGTGTTCCTTCCTGTACACGGCCTTTTACAAAACTGAGACAAAACATCTGCTGGAAACGATTATCGATCTGGCATGCATGTAACGCTTAAATAAAAAAATGGATCAATGCAAGCGTTCATCAAACGTCTCCAAAAGTTGACGCAGGCGCTTTATTTGAATACAACTCTTGTCAGAAGCACTGTTGTGACAGTACAATAGAAGCCTTCGTGAATCAAACATGACTCATCCGAAACGTGATTTAAAAAATATTAATTTTAAGACCATCAACAATTATAGTTTGCAAATAAATCGATGGTGCCTCAAAGTACTTGCTGCTTGGCCAATAACAAATACATTAATAGAGAAAATTATTTCTTTCGTAATGATTATCTTTTGGTCAGTTGCACTAGCAATCGTTTTGATACCATGCATTTTTTACGTATTATTGGAAGACAGTGACTTTGCGACGAAAATAGGCATTTTCGGGCCATTATTTAACAGAATTGTAGGCGTGATAAGTTATTGGACACTGCTGAAACGTCGTCGCGACATTCGTAACTGTATACGACACATGGAGACAGATTGGCAGCTCATACGTAGAATCGAAGATCGCGAAATAATGCTACAATACGCCAAATTTGGACGTTTTATTGCCGGATTCAGCGCGGCGTTTACACAGGGTGGTCAACTTCTATACAGTATAGCCAAATCGTTAAGAACTACGACCATTATTGTTAATAATCAAACTTTCATAACGCATCCGATGACATGTCCAGCATACAGCAGAATCATCGATACGAGATTCAGTCCTATAAATGAGATCATGATAGTTATACAATTTTTGACATCGTGTGCAGTGAATTGCGCCATAATGAGTGTTTGCAGTCTCACCGGTGTCCTCGCAATGCATGCTTGTGGTCAACTGCGTATAATGTGCGTATGGCTAAACAAATTCGTCGAGGACTACAAAAAGGTGAAAACTAATTCGGTTGAATTGAAATTGACTACTATCATAGAACATCATTTGAGAGTTCTAAGGTATTTTATTTTGCATGTTGAGCTTTAAGTGAATCTCATATAAATTTATTTAATAAATATGATGCTATTCTTTTTGAATTAAATATACATTTCTACTACATTTAAAAGAATATGTAAAATAATTCTGATCAAATCCTACAAAACGAATATCATCATACTTAAAAGCATAACAATCATGCAAACATATTACAGTTTTATAGCAAATATTGAAAACATTATGCATAAAATCTGCCTTGTGATATTGAGTGGATGTACAATAAATATGTGTTTACTTGGATATTATGCCATTATGGTATGCTAAAAAAATATTATGCTAAAGTTCTTCTTTTTGGTTGCAAAAATTAAATATAATCTTTAATAACAAACTCAATGTCGTTTAAGTGATTAAAAAAAGCAATCATTTCACTCTTACATTGAATTAATTTGTCAAATTGACTTTCCAGAACGGGAGTGCATTTGATACAGCAAAGGTAATATCATATGTCACTGTATATACAGCGATGGGTTTTAATATATTTATATTTTGCTACATCGGTGAAATTTTGACAGAACAGGTAAAACTTAAATACATAAAATTTACAATTTTTCTTTAAATCTCATTATCAAAGAATTTTCTTGAAATTTCTCATTCCCTCTCAGAATTTTGCAAATTTTAAACTAAATCAGTCATTATATACAATATATATGTATACAGTGTGTTCCATAATTCGTGAATCACCTTTCATGGACAGATAGGGCGTGTTAAACTGAATAGAAAAGTCCTGTATCATTTTGCGATATTCGCAATAATTATTGAGTTATTAACTAAAATATCTAAACGAATGAGCGGGTAGAAAGCGGTAGGCCGGACTCGGTGTGCATGTCGGATGACTTATTTGTTATATGCCGCTTAGTATCAAAAGTATCATCTTACTTTTCGGCGCCATTACATTGGTCGCCGCTCGCTGCATGACGCCGCCTCTCGATTAAATAATGCTTTCTACCTGCTTATTCGTTTAGATATTTTAATAAATAACTCAATAATTATTGCGAATATCGCAAAATGATACATGAATTTTCTATTCAGTTTAACACGCTCTATCTGCCCATGAAAGATGATTCGCGAATTATGGGACACCCTGTATATATGTATATAAAATTAATTTATATTACACACATCATATAAATATCATATTATCTCATTTAATTACAAAAACTTATTCAATTGGTATACTATTTTTAAGGAACAATTTGTTTAAATATTACATTTTTTCTTGAATCTCATCTTTACATTTTTAACCACATCTAAAAATTTAAAAAAATATATTTTTTAATTTATTAGTCCAAAAATGTCGGAGAAATGGCGTATATGATTAACTGGTATCAATTACCGCACAAAACAGCACTTTGTTTCATTTTAATAATTATACGTTCAAATAATGTAATTAAAATAACTGCAGGAAAGTTAATTTATTTGTCTATCGCAACTTTTGGTGATGTAAGTAACACTTTGAATAATTAAAATAAAATTTATTACTCTCTTTTTGTATAATAGTCTAAATAATAAATTAATAAATTTTTAATCCAAATTTTGCTTATAATTATTAATTATACTCGACTAAAATATTTCACCGAAAATTTTATTATCAATATTATATTATCAATAGAAACAAGAATTTTACTATTTCAGGTAATTAAAACTTCCATGGCATACTTGAATATTTTGCGGACATTAACTATATGAAATCTAATCATTTTTATTTCAAAAAGTAGTTAAGTATAAATGTAGTAGATTTAAAAAAATTAGAAAACATTTTTATATAGAATAGATATTTTTCAAGCAAAATCGGAGTATTATGTAGATATAATAATAATTTCTATGATTGCAATTTTAAATTAATAACATTGAGGAATAAAATAGAACTGTCAGCAATAATGCAGAAAATTTTTATTACATTCTTTTAAATAAAAATGCGAAAAATAAAGCACAAAAATTATTCCATAAAAACACCAAACACCAACAAAACAGTGAACGAATTGCGTGACCCAGCTGTTATTGCGTGCAACCAGCTGTCTCTCGCGCACGTAATAAACTCACTACTACTTCAATTCACTCTTACCGAAATATCGATTCTCCAAGAGACGTATATTAAAGGAAAAAGTATAGTCGACAAAATGCGCAAGCGTTACTACTCTATGACTATCACCCATTGTTTTTTTTCGAATAATTATTCACTCAATCGAATCCGTGCGGTTGTAAAGCGAACATGAAGAGTCCCCTTCAGAATGATCGAATCATATTCAACTACATAGAGGATAATGAATATAGCATACAACCAATTCGTTGGCTCTTGAGGCCCATAAGCATCTGGCCAGTATCATCAGTGAAGCAGAAGATTCTATCGAAGATGTTACTGGTATTGTGCATTTTTCTCATCATCAGTGTTTTAATACCTTCTGCGTTGGCCATCTTCCTAGACGAAACCAAAGATGTAGAGGCAAAGCTACGCGATTTCGGACCTCTCAGCAATTGGCTGCTTGCAAGTTTTAAATATTGCTCATTGCTGATGCATGTAGACGACATACGTCAATGTCTCGAATATGTCAAATCAGATTGGCGAGCCGTCACGAAGATCGAAGAACGAGAAGTGATGTTGAAAAATGCCAGGATCGGTCGCTTCATCGCGATATTCTCCGCAACTTTCATACACAGTGGAGTGTTCTCCTACAGTATCTTCCAGGCAATGTCATTGGACGAGTCCGCCGGCAATAATGTATCGGTGCATTCCCTGCCTTTCGCGTTCTACGATAAGATTCTGGATACTACGACGAGTCCGGCGTATGAAATAATGTTTACGATACAATTTTTATCCACGTTTGTGGTAAATTCCATAGTGGTAGCCACTTGCTGTGTCACCTCCGTCTTTGTAATGCATGCCTGTGGTCAATTAAAGATTTTGATGTCCTTGATAGATAATCTCGTAAACAAAGAAAATGAAAAAGAAACTTTTCGCAGCAGAAATTTGCAGTCATCGTCGAGCATCATTTGAAAGTGCTTAGGTAAGAATTTAATGGATAATTTAATTGTAAATCTTTTTGTGTGATATGCAACCAAAACGTGTTTACTTTACTCTTTTGTTTTTCATTTAATAATTCGCTACATATTATTTATATATAATATATATATATATGTATATATATATATATATATATATATATATAATATATATATATAATATAAATATATAATTTATTTATAAAAATATAGAATTAAAAATTATTTATATATACATACACATAAAAATATATATGCAAATAATTATATATTATAATACATTACTTATATATATATATATATTTATTTATTTATTTATTTCTAGCTTCGTGTCTCACATAGAGAAAATTACAAATGTTGTTTGTCTCGTGGAAATAACGGGATGCACAATACATATGTGCCTCTTAGGCTATTATTGTATATTGGTAGGCGTAAATTAAAATTTACAACGCTTATATAGTAACCTTGCTATTCGTATCTATTATTATCTATTTGTATAAATTAATAAATTTTTTTAGGAATGGAACCAAGACAACAAAGAAAATATAGTATCCTATGTTATAATATTGATCTCTGTTACTTTCAATATCTTTATATTTTGTTACATTGGGGAGATTCTTTCAGAGCAGGTAATGATAATGACAGAGCTTTTGTATCAAAAATTAGAAATGTCAAAAATTTAATTTTTTTTGCAATAAGAATTTGCATAGTCTATAAAATAATTAATTTCGCGCGTATGAGTTTTGTTGAAATACGATACTGTCGCGAACATATTTTCCGATATAATCATAACAGGTATGTGAATATGGGTTATAACAGTGTGACCAAATAGGCGAAACCGCCTATATGACGAATTGGTATCTGTTACCTGGAAACAGTGCCATCGGTCTTGTTCTGATAATTTTACGTTCTAGCATCGTGGTCAAAATCACTGCTGGAAAAATGATTGAGCTTTCCCTCTCTACGTTTGGTAATGTAAGTATATAAAAATATATTTTTTGATTTATGTAGATATGTAACTCTTACAGATGACATTTTATCCATAGATATAGATTCTTCAAAAATGAATTATTTCAAAGTTAACTGAATTTTATTAACTAGATAAATATTCTTTATAACGACAATATGACTAATAACTATTTCAGGTAGTTAAAACTGCATTAGCATATTTAAATATACTTCGAACCCTTATCAATTAAATATTAATAATTTTATATATATTAAATATATTGTAAATAACATATATAGTATACAATTAAATAATATTTCTGTGAAAATATTATACAATATTTTTCTCGTTTCTAAATTTCGTTTTTTTCTTTACTCACTTTGCCCGCTCTGTTAAATTTGCAATATATATTTTGCTATATACATTAATCGAAATATAAATTCTTTTATTTTATTCTTTGATAAATCATGATGATGCGATCTACAATATAACTGTACGTTCAAAACTTGTAATACTCGATGTACCCAAAACTTTAATTCCAAGTATCGATTACGGCCTGTTTCTACCTGTTGCCGCAATTGTATTGCACATTACCACAATAATACACAATAATACGTGAATAAAGACTAGCTTGCGCATTACGTATCGTTCAATGTCTGCGCACGCGCTGACCTTTACTACTGTATACGACAGCGAAGAGAGGGATAGCTCAGTAAACAAACTACCTTCGTCAGAAAATCATAGGACACGACCCCATGAATAATCCCGGCACCATTGCGTCCACGTACTTGGATGACAACGAGTATAGTATCCAGATAATACGTTGGATTCTCAAGGCGATTAATCTATGGCCACGATCTACCGATATTTCGATCATCGAAAAGGCCTATTCCAAATTTTTGATATTCGTATGCTATTTTCTGATGATCGCCACCATGATACCGAGCGGTCTAAGTATCCTTCTGGAGTCGCAGGAGACCTTCGAGGTCAAGTTACGTAGCATCGGTCCGCTCACCTTCTGGTTCATGGCGATAGTAAATTATTCCTGTCTTTTAATGCATGTCGACGACATACGCGCCTGTGTGAAGCATGTGAAGATGGACTGGCAGCTCGTTAAAAAAATTGAAGATCGGCAGGTAATGCTGAGAAATGCCAAGATAGGTAGATTCATCGCTGGTTTCTGCGCCGTGTTTATGCACAGCGGTGTGTTTTCGTATAATGTTGCCCGAGGTTTCTCCACGGATATCTTATACGTGGGTAACAGCAGTGTGGTGGTTCGCGCATTACCTTATCCCTTCTATAGCAAGATCTTGAACGCGCACTTCAGTCCAGCGTACGAGTTCGTGTTTTTTCTACAGTGCTTTTCGACCTTCGTCGTCAATTCCGTCACGGTCGCTGCATGCGGCCTCGCAGCAGTTTTCGTGATGCATGCGTGTGGTCAGTTGAGAATTTTAATGTTTTGGCTGGAAGATCTCGTGGACGGACAAAATGAAGAAAGAAATTATATGAGACAAAAGTTCGCCATCGTCGTAGAGCATCACCTGAGAGTGTTGAGGTAAGCTGTTACTTTTTATTTTTTGTTGTATAATATTTTCTGATATGGTCCCAATAATCACAAATTTAATTATAGAAAATAATAAAAATAAATATAAAAATTGTTTCCATGCAAATTTTATGCATAATTTATATACAATCGAATAAATTATTACGATAGATTGTGATGTACACTATATTTACAGCTTTGTATCTCGTACAGAAAGAATTACGAATATAATATGTCTCATAGAATTAGTCGGATGTACAATGCATATATGTCTTTTAGGATATTATTGCATTATGGTATGACTATATTTCGGAATATATCTAGAGTGTTTTCTTATTTTTATTTTATTATTTATTTTCTTTGTTTAACTGTACATTTCTAACATTCTTTTAGGATTGGGTTCACGATAATAAACAGAATATTATTTCATATTGTATAATATTAACTTCAGTTACTTTTAATATTTTTATATTTTGTTTCATCGGAGAGATCCTTTCTGAGCAGGTAATATCTTTAACCGAAAATAAGAGTAGAAAATTTTATAATATATTGTAATAAAAAAGAAATTGTGCTATATAGTTTAAAATCGTAAAATTTATTGAAATGAAGATTGCTGGTTTCTTCGATTGCATTATAACAGGTATATAAAACGGCCTTTAATAGGGCGGACAAATTGGTAAATCTGCTTATATGACGAATTGGTATCTTTTGCCTGGAAAAACGGCCCTCGGACTCGTTTTAATAATTTTAAGATCCAACAATTCCCTTAAAATTACTGCCGGAAACATTGTTCAACTCTCATTTTCTACTTTCGGTGATGTAAGTGATGCAAAGATATATGTTTGTACACGATTTATATTCGGAAAAAAATATCTGCATAATTCTGTAATAATGTATAGTGTGTATGTTATGTTATGTTATTGTGTGTGATATTTATTTATGCATATTTTTTATTATGTATTTTTTATATAATATCTAAATATTTAAAAATATATTTTTCAAAAAGCAATGAGTTCTTTTCAAGTAAATGTACAATTTCTAACTATTTCAGGTAATTAAATCTGCTTTAGCATATTTAAATATACTTCGGACATTGATTACATAAATAATTATATAATCATAACGTGAGGAAAATAAACGATGCAACATAGATAATGTATTATAAAATAACATATGTAGATATCTAATAAATTTACTACGTAAAATTTCTCTATCTTTAAATAAGCACACAGTATTCGACGAAGCCATAAATTAAGAAAATATCACATTCTAATATTCTCATTAGCGAAAATCTGCAATATATGCACATTTGCAATATAACGTTTAGTTCTCAAATATATATAATATAATCAATTTTCTGAAAATTACGTAAATCTTGCAAAATAGAAAATATATGTCATAGGTATCATCCAATTTTATAATTACATCTCATAATTTTATAACAATAAAAATATGATTTCTTACTTCCAGGTTTAAAAACGCATATTATCAATAATATATTGAAATGTTCTTTAAAAATTCTTTAATATTTTAACATTAAATATAAATAATTTTGAAAATTGACTTTATAGATATATAATTATTATACTCACTAAATTTATATATAGAAATATTTTTGTTTATTAAAATAAATCAAACCGCACTGTTGTTATATTTTCTTCATTGAATATGATTACTTTACATAATTATAACTATTGACGTACCGCAATTTCAAGAAATATTTCAAGAAGTATTTTGTTAACCTTTCAGAGAGAAGTTTGTCTTACACTTGATGTACTTACTATGATCGTATATACAGAGTAAAAGACATAAAACAGAAAATCGTCTGATTATAGCAGAAAATATGAAGCAGGAAACAAAACCTGGCACACACATTACGCATTCCCCCTCAATCATAAATAATATCCTCAGAACTCTATTTGATGAAACTTCCTCATCTGTATCCCCTCAAGAGGACTTGCATGCAGCACGCAAGAAGTTGCAGAAACTAGAACCCATTGAAATCTCATCAATAATAAAATGGCCAGGTAGGAAGGATCAATTGCGTTTATGCACTGACGCACAAGAGTCCGGAGACCGAAAACGCACATGCGCACCCCATGATCAGTTACCGTTTACGCTCAGTTCATTGCGTGCATCGTTACGATTTGGTTTACCATGTCCGATCATTCAAAGTCTCACAAGTCCGCGATAAACGGTTGGAACTATAGCATCCAACTCAATCGCTGGTTCCTAAAACCGGTCGGTGTGTGGCCTCTGACACTTTGCGAGACTACGATTGAGAAGATCGGCTGCGTGATCTTGTATATGATCAGCTGCTTCCTGATATGTTATCTGCTTGTTCCGTGCACTTTGGGCACCATTCTGGTGGATACCGATCTCGACATGAAGATCAGAATGATTGGTCCAATCAGTTTCTTCCTGATGGCCGTGGCAAAGCAATACATCCTCGTCGCTCGCAGCGAACGCATCACTGAATGCATCCTACACATCCGCGCGGACTGGGATCGAGTCAAGCTAGGTCACGAGAAGGACCGGGAGGTCATGTTGGTCAATGCCAAATTCGGCAGATGGCTTTCTTACGTCAGTGCGGCCTTTATGTATTCCGCTGGTTTCTTTTATACCACGCTGATGCCGTTGTGCGCGAAGAGAACGGAGATAATCGATAATGAGACAGTGAGATTGCTGTCCTTCCCGATCTACCGCGGTCTCCTCGATCCACGGACCACTCCATCCTTTGAAATCGCTCAGTTCATGCAGACTCTAGCCGGTTACGCCATTTATACGCTCACCATCGGTGTCTGCAGTATGGCTGCGGTATTCGTCATGCACGCTTGCGGTCAGTTTCGGATACTCATGTTAAAACTGGAGAATCTTGCGGACGGAAAGGAAAGAAAGAGCACCAGTGGAAAGACGTCCCAAGAAAGACTCAGCGACATCGTAAAATATCACATCAGGATACTAAGGTAACGTGCATAAATTTTTATATTAATGTTATCTTATAATCACGACTCATATTTGAAGAAGAATATGCACAAGCACAGAGAATTAAATTGTAAACAGATAAAAATTTATTTTACAAAATATCAGAGCTCCAATATATGATTTCGAGATAAATATATAAAACGAATAAAAATATTATACACGGAAAACTTGTTATTATTAATAATTTCGATTATTACGAATAATTATTCTAAAATAAAATAGAAGAAACGATTCTGTTTTTTTTTGTACAGTTTTCACGTAATTTACAGTTTTATAACTCGCACCGAAGAACTATTAAATGAGATTTTCTTCGTGGATGTAATAGGATGTACGCTCAATATATGTTTTTTGGGATTCAATATGATGACGGTACGAAATATAATCGCGAGAGATATTTTAAGTATATAGATAATATAATATAAAACACTTTGTAACAGTTTCGTGTTCATGACATTTTGATGTTAGCCTTCTAGGAATGGGAACATCGTGAAACTTTAGGAACAATGACATTTTCTTCGTTACTCATATCCTTCACGTTCAATATATTTATTCTTTGTTATATTGGAGAGCTCCTTGCCGAACAGGTACTTTATACTTAAATTATAATAATGCGTCGTGACACCATACTTTGTATTTACAAGTACTAAAAATTATATAATATTTGCACTTTAAATTAAAAATGCACAACAGTCATTTGAGAATCTATAATTATTATTAATTATATATTATATTATCAATATACTATATAATTATATATTAAATATATTAATGGTATAAATTATCCAATTATATATTAAATATATTAATGGTATAAATTATCCAATTATATATTAATGGTATAAATTATCCAATTATATATTAAATATATTAATTACATATTATATTAAATTTATTAAATTTGTAAGATTTTATATGGAAGAATTCAAATATTTCGTTACATCATAAAAAGCCTAATGTGATATAAATAAATTAAGAAATTGTTTTCCGTGGAAAGCTTAAACCAAGTTTTTTAACAGTGTACACAAGTTGGAATAAAATCTTACATGATAAACTGGTATTATTTACCAAGTAAAGATGCGCTCGGTTTAACATTAATAATGGCTATGTCCAATGCCACGATTAAACTTACAGCAGGAAAATTTATGGAGTTATCTTTGGCCAGTTTTTGCAGCGTGAGTAAATAACGATAGAACTATTTATCGCGCAAAATAATACAAAAATAATAAATATTTCAGATTGTGAAAGCAGCCATGGCTTATCTGAATTTACTTCGTACCTTTTCTGTATGATAGGTCGGCATTATCAAATGTAATATTAACGCTAAAATATAGAATTAATAAAAATTAGATCTACATATCAATACTCGTCAATAAATCATGTTAGGTATAAATTATAATTTATATAAACATAAGCTGGAAAAATAAATAGAAATAAATTTAGAAAATTAATTAACAAGAATTTTAAAGCTGTGAATTTAAAATTAATCACATTCATTGAAATATAATTGATAAAGCTGTAAATTCAATATTAATTACAGGCAGCAAAATATAACATAGATCGTATAAGATAATGTATGAAATTGTATGGCAATTCACAGACTTATTCTTTAACTGCGATACTTTCAATACTGCGTTACGCACTACGGAAACACTAGAAACGCATATATCCGCGAAACTATGTTAGAACTCGTCGCGAACTTCGCGTCCCTACGCACTTTCAATCATCATCGAACCCTCAGACATGCGATGACCAGGAAAGGGGATAACCCCTCGCATACACATGTATCTCCTGACTTTACGTTACACATGATAGACATAAATCGTACGTGCACGCGATCGCGGAATCATTATTCCTCGCGCTTGCGTCGCTTCGCGGATGCGTCGTGACGCCGTCATCCGCATGATTCAGTCGGCATTTGCACCCTACAGACGGCAACATGCGTGATCGATCTCAACTTCCGGATAAGATATATAATGTGCATTACGAGAATGATATACATTACACTATGCAGCTATGCCGTTGGATTCTGAAACCGATCGGCATCTGGCATCTGATTTATGGCCGTTCGTCGCTATACGAGAAGCTAATTTCGAGAACGCTGATCTTTGTATGCTTTTCCGTCTTGTGTTTTGTGCTCATTCCCGCCGGTCCGTACACTCTACTTCGCGAGAAAGACATCATAATTAAAATTAGGCTCTTCGGTCCGGTTTACTTCTGCCTAACTTCTGCATTAAAGTACTGCTTTCTCGGAATGCGCGGTACGGCGATTAGAAGATGTATCGAGCATGTCGAGCACGACTGGCAAGTGATTCAATACGAGGATCATCGTAAAATGATGCTGAGAAACGCAATGGTGGGTCGCAGACTCACCACGTTGTGCGTGATCTTTCTTTACATCGGTGGAATGTCTTATCATATGATTATGCCGCTCAAGAATTACACGATTAGACCGCTGGTTTATCTCGGTTACGATATTTACTTCAACCCTCAGATAAGTCCCGCTTACGAGATCGTGTTTTTCCTCCATTGTCTATCTGCTTTGATCCAGTATAGCATCACGACAGCGACGTGCAGTTTGGGAGCGATTTTCGCGACACACGCGTGCGGACAAGTGCAGATATTGATGACACTATTGAACGACCTGGTCGAGGGTAAAAGAAGCAAGAATACCACCGTGGACAACCGTTTGAGTCTAATAACGAGACATCATGTGCGAATACTGAGGTGAGATGGAAAAAGTTCCAGAATAATTCGATGACGCGTGCTTTTAGATTTTCGGGTAGATTCATGGCGCATTTCTAGATTTATGGCCGACGTGGAGGAAGTTTTACGTGAAATATGCTTGATGGAACTAGTAGCCGCAACTTTGATTATATGTTTACTCGAGTACTATTGCATGATGGTAAGAAAAAATAGTAAAATAGATTACAATTTTTTTCTTTTTATATTGATAAATAATAAACATATATCTGCCTTCTAAGGAATGGGCAAATAGCGACATCGTGGCAATCTTGACGTATTTTATTCTACTGATATCTTTATCGTTCAACTTTTTAATATTTTGTTACATCGGCGAGCTCATCGTAGAAGAGGTATCGTTTATATATAATATTTCTAAGAATAAGAATTATTTTTTCTTCTTTAAACATATGTCTACAATCATATTTACAAACATTGCACACCATTGTATATCATGAACAATATAATAGTGTTTTATATACAATGTGTAGTGTACAATATTAGTACGAAGTATTAATGAACATCTTTATTAGTATAGCAAAATTGCTTCAGCTGCGTATGAAGTCAATTGGTACGACTTACCTGGTCATAAGGCTCTCAATCTTGTATTGATCATTACAATGTCTCATTATCCGCCCAAGCTTACGGCTGGCAAGTTCTGCGATTTATCCCTGAATACTTTTAGCACTGTAAGTTTCATATATGGATAATTATTTTGTTAACTAGCTTCAATAATTATTATAATTTATTTTTGTTCACATTTTCGTTATATTTCCGGAATATTAAAAACATATATTTTTAATTATATTATTATCATATTAATAGTTTTATATGTTTCTAAAACTCATACTATTTTCAGGTACTTAAAACATCCGTCGTGTATTTAAATTTACTTCGGACTGTTACAGAATAAACATTTGTTACATTTTTTATTAGTTCCTAGTAACAAAAATTTATAGAAAAAATTTGCTATAGATATTTTTCTCCCAACAAATATGAAAAATATAGAAAATTATAATATATTAATATCACACATGACACGTCACATCAATCTATTATTTAATCAACTATAAAATATTTAAAATATTAATAATTAGTATATAAAATTATAATATTATAATCATAAAAAATATATCTATAATAAATGTATATAACAAATATATATATATATATATATATATATATATATATATATATATCATTAATAATGATCAATTAGGTATAATAAATTAGAAAATATGCATACATTGCAATAGTATTTTAAAGGATAAATACAGGATAATATATCATATGTAAATTGTATAGATTTCATGATTTATAACGATAAGTCACACTTGAAAGACTTACGGATTACATGCGTGCAACTATGTTCTAACTAGTCATGAACTTTACATCTCTTTGTGCACTCATACATTACGCACCCTCGGACGAGCAATGACCGTAGAAAAGTCAATCGCCTACGTATGTATGGTTCACCACACGTAACAGACATGAAACGCACGCGGAATCATTATTCCCCGCGCTTGCGTCGCGAACATCAAGACATCGCCTTATGCCTTTTAGTCTTCGTTGTACCTTGCGGGCGACAGCATGCGCGATCGATCTCAACTTCCAGAATCCATGGTCGAACCCATGGTCGGGCACAATGTAAATTACGAGCACGACATAAATTATACTATGCAATTGTGCCGATGGGTCCTGAAACCGATTGGTATCTGGCACCTTATAAACGGCAATGCATCGCGGAACGCGAAGCTCATCTCTCTAGCACTGATCGTCACGTGCTTATCTGCTCTGTGCTTCGTCTTGATACCTTCCGGATTGCACACTTTGTTCTACGAGAAGGACATTAACATCAAAGTCAAGCTCTTCGGTCCGGTCGGTTTCTGTCTGACTTCCACGATCAAGTATTGTTATCTCGGTGCGCGTGGTCCCGCGTTCGGAAGGTGCATTCGTATAGTCGAGAACGATTGGCGAACCGTTCAAAATCCAGCTCAACGCGAAATGATGCTGAAGAAAGCGCTGGTGGGCCGCAGACTCACCATATTGTGCGCACTCTTCCTTTATACCGGTGGATTGTCCTATCATACGATCATGCCGTTATCTTCTAGGCAAGTCAGCGAGAACTTCACCTTCAGACCGCTCACCTATCCTGGTTACAATCTTTTTTTTGATCCTCAAGTCAGTCCGGTTTACGAAATCGTATTTTGCATCCATTGCCTGTTTGCGCTAATCACGTATAACATCACGACGGCGGCGTGCAGCTTGGCAGCGATCTTTGTGACACACGCGTGCGGACAAATACAGATATTAATAATGCTGTTGGGGAACCTAGTCGATGGAAAAATGAGCAAAGATAACACTGTGGAGAAACGTCTAAGCGTTATAGCGAAACATCATGTGCAAATACTAAAGTGAGTAAAAAATACAAAACTTATCTAAATAGATAATGGATTGCATTTTTAATTTCGTGGATAGATACGTGATATACTTCCAGATTTTCCGCTAATGTGGAAGAAGTGCTACGCGAAATATGCTTAATGGAACTAGTGACTTCCACTTTGACTATATGTTTACTCGAATACTATTGCTTAACGGTAAATAAAATATCATGGTAATAGATGTCATTATCACACAATTATAATAGTTTTCTCTAAAGTTGCAAACAAATTCTTAGTTTGAAAGTCATTAAACAAGTTTTGAATTTTCTGATAATTATATTTTTTATAGTTAAGCGTTTTTTTTACTTTCTTAATTAGGAATGGGAAAATAGTGATGCTGCGGCCATTTTAACCTATTTCATTCTATTGGTTTCTTTTACGTTTAATACTCTGATATTTTGTTATATCGGAGAACTCCTCGTGGAACAGGTAAATCTTTATAATGTCTTTAAGAATAAAACAATTCATTTATAATACTTTCAATTACATTGAATGCGTCGCTCTAATTTAAGAAGTTGTTATACAAAGAATTTTTATTTTATTATTGCTATATATTTTTGAAACATTTGTAAAAGATGTATTTTAATTATTTATTTAATTTTATCTTATTTAAATTTTTGTGCAAAAATAATATCATTGATCATCACATGTAAATAAATACAAACATGGGACACTTTTAAAAAATCAATAATAACGTTTATATTTTAATATATTTTTAAACATTAAAATGATATAAATATATACAGGGTGTCCCATAATTCGCGAATCACCTTTCATGGGCAGATAGCGCGTGTTAAACTGAATACAAAATTCATGTATCATTTTGCGATATTCGCAATAATTATTGAGTTATTTATTAAAATATCTAAACGAATAAGCAGGTAGAAAGCATTATTTGATCGAGAGGCGGCGTCATGCAGCGAGCGGCGACCAATGTAGTGGCGCCGAAAAGTAAGATGATACTTTTGATACTAAGCGGCATATAACAAATAAGTCATCCGACATGCACACCGAGTCCGGCCTACCGTTTTCTACCCGCTCATTCGTTTAGATATTTTAGTTAATAACTCAATAATTATTGCGAATATCGCAAAATGATACAGGACTTTTCTATTCAGTTTAACACGCTCTGCCCATGAAAGGTGATTCGCGAATTATGGGACACCATGTATATAAATCTTTTGCATTTTCATCAGTATAGCAAAATTGGTTCAGCCGCCTATAACATCAATTGGTATGATTTACGCGGAAATAAAGGTCTTAGTCTTGTATTGATCATCACAATGTCTCATTATCCACCTAAACTTACAGCTGGCAAAATTTTCGATTTATCTGTTTACACATTTGGTGCCGTAAGTTTTTTGCTAAAATTAATATTGAAATTATTGCGTGTAAAACATACTTATTAATTTATTCTTATATATTCTTATATATAATTCTTTTCTCTTCTAAAAACAAGACACAATTTTAAAATATACTTTTATACTTCGATGTCATCTTATTATTTTTGTAATTAAAACTTTTATTGCTCTTTCAGGTACTTAAAACGTCCTTGGTGTATTTAAATATGCTTCGGACAGTTACTACATAAAAAATTTTTCTATTTTTTATTATAGTTCCTAAATAGTAAGAGAATTTGTTATAAATATATTTTTTGCTCCCATATATAATATCTATATAATATCTGTAGGGAGATAATATTATAAGTATATATACATATATTATATATCAATGTTAACTAATATATATAGGTATATATCAATCTTTATTATTGGTCATAAAATATCTAAAATATTAATATTGTATAATAAATATTAATATTAATAACGTTGTAATACTATCGTTCTAATCAAATGTGCATAACAAAAAATATATAATATATTTAAAAATTATAATTTACTACATCATATATATATATATATATATATACATCATATATATATATATATATATATATATATATATATATAAAAGATTAGTAAATACAAACACTGCATTTTTGTTTTTAAAGAATATAAAATGCATAATTCAAATGTATGTATAATAAAAATAATTGTGCACATAATATTTAAAAATAACAAAATTGAACAAATTTTACTGCACAATATTACAAGTTTTAAGCGCTTGAAATTAAAATTACGCAATATAAGCGTGCGACTGTCAGAACTGGTCATGAATTTTAATCTGTTTGCATTCGCATATTATAGTATAGAATGAACCCTTAAACGACCAATAATCGTAGAAAAATCAAATACTTGCTAATATGTAATTGATCACATATGATAAATATGAAACACGCAATTCTGAAATCATTACCCTCGTTTTTGCGTCGTATCAAGAAATTGTCGTAGACTTTTTCATTAAATTATATGACAGCAAAAATCGATCTTTATTTCCTAAAATAGAGAAACATCTGCGGTTTCCGATACAATTACTATACTACCGTTTACAAATACTAAGGTGAGTAGAAAATTGCAAAAATTTTTATTATTGTTATATATTTTTAAAGTATTTTTAAATGCATTATTAGCTATTATATTCTTATGCAAAAATAATGATTATTTACGCACAAATATACACATGTAATACGATTTTAATATCTTTCATATATATATATACAGAATTTATTCAATTATTATGTTTAGTTTTTAATTGTATCTCACATAAAAAGTGCTTACCTAGTTTAAGATATTTCTATCACATTTAAAATCATATGCTTTATCTCGCATGTCAGTCAAGAAACATTTATCGAAATAATACAATATTTGTGCGCAGTAACTATCATTACAAGTGAAAACATGTAACTAAAACTACACATCTCTTCGACAAGATTGATTTTTCAAGCATGTGCAACCCTTTTCTCCCTCTTATAACGTATAGTTGAAAGTATTGCATTGTATTTGCGGCGATCATGCGCAAATTTTCTACTGTCACTATAATCGATAGGATGTGCTCAGTCATTCGCGCGCCTTCGGTACGGCAGCATGAGGAAGATTCCGATGTGGCCCAATGCAAACCACGAGAAAGATGTGATTGACACATTGATATGGAACCAATGGCTATTGCGAGTTATTGGTATCTGGCCGTTAGTATATCCGAATACCACGAGGATCGAAAAGATCTTAGCAATGTTCTCGTTCGCATTGTGCTGGACGGTGCTCAGTTTATTTCTGATACTAACGAGCATATACACCTTTACGGACCGAAGTGTCATGGGTGAGAAAATAAAAATGCTAGGTCCGTTGGGTTACGTATTCTTTTCTATGCTGAAGTATTTATTCCTGGTAATACGTCATAAAAGCTTTCGACGATGCATTAAAATTCTCACCAAGGATTGGTGCATGGTTCAAGATGAGTACCATCGGGAAATTATGTTAAGAGACGCGGAAAAGGGCCACATATTATCCAAATTTTGTATAGTGTTTATGTATTGCGGTGGTCTCTCTTACAACACGATAATGCCGTTCCTATCACAAAGACCTGACATCGAGCAGAATATTACCGTTCGACCAATGGCCTACCTCGGCTTTGATATTCTATTCGACTTGCAATTAATGCCAGTTTATGTATTCGCATTTTGTCTGCAATGCTTCACTGGCGTCGTCATGTTTAACATCACTACATCGGTCTGTTGCTTAGCAGCCATGTTCGTGGCCCATGCATGCGGTCAGATCGACATCGTGTTAGCTCGCGTGAAAAATCTTGTCACAGTGGAATGCAATCGTGTAAAATTTAAACAATGTATGGCGATTACTGTGCAACATCATGTGCGAGCGTTGAGGTAAGTACTCCCTGACTTACTACCTGTTGCATCTTCATATTTAGACAATGACATCTGTACGAGAAAATACAAAATCTACAATTTAGTATACAAAAATTATATACAAAAATTTGTTAAAAATATTTTTAATTGATAATAGATTAAAAAATTTAAATTTAAAAAAGGTTAAAATCTTGTAGATTTTCAGCCAGCATCGAGAATACTTTTCGCGAAATATGTCTTATCGAGATGGTGGGAACGACATTGATAATGTGTTTGATAGAATATTCTCTAATAACGGTAATTTTATACTTTTTGAAAAGTTACGTTTTAATATTGCATCTTTAATATTCTCTGATATAATATATGACTCAATACTCACAGGAATGGAACAATAGCGACAGTATAGCAATTTTCACATACTTTTTTCTATTTATTTCATTCGTTTTTAATATCTTTATATTCTGCTACATCGGTGAACTACTAATGGAGCAGGTACTAATATTTGCATTTTTTTATATCAAATTGAATAAATTAGTAGTACCTACTTAATTCGGGTTGATTCTATATATTATTCCTATTTAAATAACATATCTATATACTTATATAGACAATCCATGTGTAATTTTTATAAATAAATAAAATTAGATATAACAGTGTAGCAAAGTTGGACATACATCATATAAGATTGAATGGTATAATTTACCGGAAAAAACCGCTCTTGATCTCATGTTAATGATCACTATGTCTCGTCATCCGACACAAATTACTGCTGGAAAATTAATAAGTCTTTCCTTTACTAATTTTGGTAATGTAAGTACATGTCATATCATTATATTTAAAACAAAAATATAATTAATGCATTGTAAGAAGTAAATAATTAATTTTGAGCAAATATCAATACAATTTTAATAACATTTTATAGGTTTTAAAAACCTCGGTTGTATATTTAAATTTACTTCAAACTGCTGTTTAATAAATGAAGAAATAACATGCAAATCATTCAAATAATTTTTAAAAATAAAGTAATTTACAAACAAAAAATTTTTTTAAATAAAAATATGTACGCATGTTAAATAAAAATTATTTAATGCACAAATAACATGTATAAAAAATTAATATAAATCTTAAAATTAAGAAGACACTAGAAATGATGTAGACGGTTCACTTTTACCTATGTACTTTTCAAAAATAAAAGACATACAATGTACATACATATATATATTCATTATATTTTCTAGCAAAACGGTATATAAAATTCAATATATATATCAGTATATAAAGTTCCAATAATTTATTTATTATTAAAACAAAAGAAATTATATTTCTCTTGTGTAAAAATCATTCTTTTACTTTTAATTATTTGATTTTATCATTCAATTCAATATTTAATTTAAAATAAAAATCAAGAAAAAATACGCAGAAATGCTGTCCTTGCATAAATAATAATACGCAATTCCAATAATACTATATACTCGATAAAATTGATTTTCCAACGCACACATATAATATTCTACTTTGGATTTATGTTTTCTTAAAAGTATCTACCACGATTTGTCATATTTACGCAATTGTTTAATGTTATTTTATTTTATATTGCACAGCAAATTTTTTATCTTATATATATTTAAATATTTATCAAGTTGCATTCTTAACAAAAATATCTAATATGCATATATATATATATATATAGAAATAAATTTTTCAATTGATTACCTCTGCGAACGGCACAAAAAATGCTGTAATATTCGAGATCACACAATGTTCGCGTAGAATTAATTCAATCAAACTGTTGCAACTACAAGAATGTATTACAAAGTAAGCGCAAGCCGATGCGCAAGCGCATGTCCAGTGACCTTGCAATCGATGCTGCACGTTCGGCTCGTGTAGTTTTCGAGAAACCTTGTCATCGTGAACATGCCAAGTGCACGAGACGAACACGACTCCAACTATCAGCGTGACATTCAAAATATTTTCAAGCTGAACAACTGGATTTTAGGCTCGATCGGCATTTGGCCAGTCGCGATTTGCGGTATCGGGCGACATGCGTCCAAAATCATGATCGCGATTTGCAATCTCGCGTTTAGCTTCGCGTTAGTACCGTGCGCTTTACATATTATCTACGACGAAAAGGACGTCATTATGAGACTGAAGCTAAGCGGCCTGCTGGCCTTTTGTCTTACAGCAATGACGAAATACTGCATCCTCTGCATACGTCGTCCTAAAATACTGCAGTGCATCGAATGCGTGAAGAGTGACTGGTGGCAGGTGAGCGTTAATATATTATCGTTAACATAAAGCATCATATCAATGTGCAAAATTCATAACGACGAATAAAGAACAAGGGCTTGAGTTCATGCGTAAAAATTTATCAATTAGCATAGGTGTAATTAAATAATTATATATCTTTCAAATACATCATGTTTCTTTAATTAAAAAGTGCATCCGTTTCGTGCAATTTTATTGTAACGTAATAATTGTTAAATATAATATGACATAAAGCAGAATATGTAATTAAATTCTTTTTTCTATGGTATAAATCCGGATATTCGATTTATAGAGAAAAAGACAATTGCTACATTGTTAAATTAGAAAAATAACTCCTTGTCTGATGATTAGTAAATATTATTGGCAATATTGTGACAGGTGACGTTCAGCTCTGATCGCGAAGTGATGCTAAAATATGCTGCCATTGGTCGCAATTTAACAATTATCGGAGCATCATTCATGTACACCGCTGGCATTATTTATTACATGATTCTGATTCCATTCTTTTCCGAGCGCAAAATCAATAATCAAACCATCAGACCGTTAGTGTATCCGGTTTACAGTGAATTTCGTCAGTCTCAAATTAGCCCAATATATGAAATTGTATATGTAGCTCACTGCATGTGCGGATATACGATATATTCGGTGACAGCTGGTGCGTGCGGTCTTGCCGCCTTATTTACCACTCACGCATGCGGCCAGATCGAAATGATCGTATCGCGATTGGAAGATCTCCTAGATGGTGAAAGGTTCAAGCAAGGTCCAAAAATTCATCAACGAATTGCTGCCGTTGTGCAAGATCACGTTCGAATACTAAGGTAAGATTTTGAAATAATAATTTATTAATATTTGTAATAATTCACTAATACAACAAATTTTCGATACAAATTTTAATAATTTGCATCTTAAATTATATATATATATAAAAATGATATATATACATACATATAAAAATAAAATATATATTTTAAAAAATGTTTAAAATTAATAATTCTCATGCAGAGCACTCTGTAACATTTTTGTCATAAATATAATCAATTTAGTGAAAAAATGGTTAAAATATCGAAATGAAAAAGTTAACTTTATTGCAAAATATTATGTCCATATAATTTGTTTGATTTTTATCATTTCATAGTATAATGAACATATACGTGTAATACAGCGACAAATGTGCAACAGGTGGTCTTAAGAAATCTACAATACGTTAACATGTTCTGTTTCGTGTCAGACAATAGGCTATAAGCATACGATATTATACATATATTGTCTAGTTATATACATACTACGTACTTATACTGTTTAGCAGTTGAAAGAAAAAACGATAGAAAGAGAGAGAATACATAGTTACATTACAGTAAGAATGATTGAAGCAATACATCTATTTTTTCGTATAAACTAGAGTAAACTATTCCAGGTTTGCAATTGTTGTGGAAGAAGTTTTACAAGAAGTATGTTTAGTAGAATTTACTAGTTCTGTATGCACGATATGTTTGCTCGAATACTACTGCATAGTGGTGCGCTAAAATATATACATATAAAATATATAAAAGTTAATTAGTAATATAAAAAATCCATATAAAATTATATTTCTTACATACATTTTAATAGGATTGGCAACAAAATAATAAACTTAGTTTAGCGACTTATTTTCTGCTCTTTGTTTCATTCTGCTTCAATGTATACATATTATGCTATATCGGCGAGCTTCTAATGGAAAAGGTACATTTCTGTTTTTTTAATGCAATGCTTAATTTCAACTATGTGTTTAATTATTTACAGTTAATGTTTTAGAGCAGTCAAATTGGATATATATGTTATATGATTAATTGGTATCAATTATCGCCAAAAGCAGCTCGCAATCTTATATTGATAATCGCTATGGCGAGTCATCCTATAAAACTCAGTGCTGGTAGAATGGTAGATTTATCATTATCAACTTTTGGAAATGTATGTATGTGTAAGCATACAGGTGTAGGCATACAGGCAGATCATATTTACAAGACATTATATAATTCTAATTTCGAATCTGAAATTGCACTTCAAGTTTGAAATAAGATAATTATATGAAAAACAAATTAATATTCCAAAAATTATTTTATGTCACGTTTGCATAATAATCTAAGAATTAACTTTTTATATTCAACAATTTTAATATTTAGATAAAATTACAAAAGATTAAATTATGACTGAAAAAAGTATCATATTATGTTATAATATAATTATTCTAGGTGTTAAAAACTAGCGTGGCATATCTGAGCTTCCTGCGAACGTTAGTAATGTAAATATAATCAGATTATGTGACATTATAAGAAAGAAATATATAGAAATTGTTATATATATAAAATAATTATTTTAAATTTTATAAGCTCAGTTATTTAGAGAGTAGAATCTTCTAATACATAAAACATTATACGTTAAAAGATATCTAAAAATTATTTTCCTTTTTTTTATTTTTATTAATTTGATTTTACTTACTATCTTCCTTTTATTAATCGTTGAACTACCTAAATTCTTCTAAAATTTTTCTAAGATTTTCTTCTTTTATAACTTGCATAATTTTTTTAACTTTGACACATTTTCTAATTAGACAAAAACCACAAACATTTTTCCAAATTTTATCAAAATGTTTTTTAAATTTACTATCACATTTTTTAAATGCATGAACAATTAATATCGTATAAACTAAAATGGAATGACAAATGTCCAAATTTAGAATCATCGGAATAAAATATACTGTGCGTGACTGCTTCCCGCTTAAAAGCATGCACGCAATATGTCATTGTCAGACAATCGGTAGACAGACAAAAGGGTGCTTGCAACGCAAGCGCAAGCGCACAACTTTGCAATCAATGTCGATGCGCCCACCTTGTCCAGTCTTAAACGAAACTTGTCATTGTGAACACCATGCCAAGTGCATATCGCGATGAATCTGCAGTATCGCACAACTTTAACTATCAACAAGATATTCGATACATTTTCAAAATAAATAATTGGATCCTGGGTTCGCTGGGTATCTGGCCAGTAGCAATCCGGGGAATCGGACGACATACATCTAAAATTGCAATCGCGCTCTGTAATCTCGCATTAGCCTTTGCGATAGTGCCCTGCGCTCTGCATATCGTTTATGACGAAAAAGATATCACTATGAGACTTAAACTATTCGGTTTATTGGCATTTTGTTTTACTGCCATGACGAAGTACTGCATTCTCACGATACGACGCCCTAAGATACTGCGCTGCATCGAATATGTGAAGAACGATTGGTGGCAGGTCGGTGTTATACGTAAATTGACAAAATATATTGCAATTATGTGCGGAATTCATTATAAAGTATTGAAAAATTTAAATAAAATTTTAATTAAAAAATTCAAGAATAGAATAATTTTAACAAATTATTCTTCTTTTTTTATAAAATAATTTTAAATAGTTCGATTCTCGAAATAGTTCAACTAATAACTGTTGTAAGTAGTACATGTACATATATGTGTATATATAAATTTATATCTTATTGTTGTTTAAAATGACATATTTATTTCGTGTAATATATTTTATAATATTATAGTAATTGTTCTATTTAAATAATAATAGTGAACAGTAACAATTAAATGCGCGGTCAAAAAATTGCGAAATTAATAATAATTTTTTTTCTATTGATAAATAAAAGTGTTGACAATACTGTGACAGGTGACATTTAAAAGTGATCGTAATATGATGCTGAAATATGCTGCCACTGGTCGCAATTTAACGATAATCAGCGTATCTTTCATGTACACTGCTGGCATCATTTATCACATGATTCTGCCATTCTGTACCGAGCATAAATTTAATAATCAAACCATCAGACCACTCGTGTATCCAATTTATAGTAAATTTCATCAGTCTCAAATTAGCCCGATATACGAACTTGTGTATGTAGCTCATTGTATGTGCGGGTACACCATATATTCAGTGACAGCTGGTGCATGCGGACTGGCTGCCTTATTTGCTACTCACGCATGTGGACAAATTCAAATACTTATATCGAGATTAGAAAGACTTTTAGACAGTGAAAAATTCAAACAAGGCCCGAATGTTCATCAACGAATTGCTGCCATCGTGAAAAATCATGTTCGAGTAGTAAGGTAATATTTTAAAATAATAATTAATATAAATATATGTTAATAATTATTTTATAAATAACTTAAACTAATAATTTATTAACATATGTAAAATAATTCAAGTAGAAAATTAAAAACTAAAGCTAAGAAATTTATATATATAATAATTTGATTAAATTATAAATAATAAAAAATGTATCTTATACAATATTTAATGGCAAGTTATTCTGTTTTGTTCTCGGATAGAGAAATTTTCTTTATCACTCAATAAATACTATATAATTAAAATTTAGCAAAAAAATATGATTGAACTATTCTTAATTTACTCTCACAACAAAAAAGGTTTGTTATATAATAATTGTTGCATATTCTCTATAATATAATCCAGTTAATTTTTATTCATTTTATTGTATACGGATATAATATAAAGGCAAATGCAACAGGTGGTTTTAACGAGCAGTCATGTTCTATCTGTAGATGGTTCTGTTTCGTTTCTATATACTAAGCATATGCTATTATATAATCCATTTAGAAATATACTATTTATATGTAATCTGTAGCCAAATTGTTATATTAAATATTAAAGAATAATGGATAGAAAATAATGCATTCAAACTCCAAGTTTCTCCGCGCAAAGTAGAGTACTAACTTATTCCAGGTTTGCGGCTATTGTAGAAAACGTTTTACAAGAAGTATGTTTAGTGGAATTCAGTAGTTCTGTATGCACAATATGTCTACTCGAATACTACTGTATACTGGTGCGTTAATATAAATCATTCAAAAAAAAGTTACTATTGAAAGTTACTAATTACATTTATTACCTAATTTGACAGGATTGGCAAGCAGATGATAGAATTGGTCTAGCAACTTATTCTTTGCTCTTTGTTTCATTTTGTTTTAATGTATATATATTGTGCTATATCGGTGAGCTTCTCATGGAAAAAGTGCGTCTTCTTTTTTTAATTATGCAATGCTTAATTTTAATTGCATGTTGAATAAATGTGTGTGATTGACTTTTGTTTGCAGAGCAGTCAAATTGGATCAATATGTTATATGATAAATTGGTATGAATTATCACCAAACTCAGCTCGTAGTCTTATATTAATGATAGCCATGGCCAGCCATCCCATAAAATTCAGTGCTGGTGGAATGGTAGATCTATCATTATCAACTTTCGGAAATGTAAGCCACATTAAATAATATTTATGATTTTAGTTCAAAATCTATATACGTCTTCAAATTTAAAATAATAAAATAATAATGTTATAAAAAATATTATTTAAAAAATTGTTTAAATAACAGAATTATTTAATATAGAAACAAAGATTATTATGTACTTTTGCATAATAATGTACCAGTAAATTTCATTCTTTCTCATTTAGTAACTTTAATACTTAAAAAAAATTGCAAAAGATAAGTAGTTGAAAACATTATTATTATTATTTTAGTATAATTTGTTCAGGTATTAAAAACCAGTATAGCATATCTGAGCTTCCTACGGACATTAGTAATGTAAAATGTGATTAAACTTATGATAAAGAGATTATTTTGATGTTAATATGACTTACTTATTCACAACATGTAGAAAATATCTTGGTATATATATATAAATAATATTATATATAATAATATACGTTATTATTTGATGTTTGCATCCCTTTGCTTTATTTCTTTCCCAAGTAATAAAAATTATTATTCAACGATTCATCAAATAAACAATTTCAATCGTCTTCAATCTTTTTTTTATATGTAAAATGCAAACAAGCAATTTAAACTTGCTATTTTCTAATTTAAAAAATTTTATAAGTAAACAGATTTACTTTACTTCTTTCAAAAACAATTAAATTCAGATAAATTGCACGAAAGTAGAAATATTGCCCTATTTACATATGTAATTTTAAAGTAAAACCATATTTTGTGCACTTTTCTATAATGCAATAATAACTATATTTAAAATAACATTAAATAAAAATCGAATCTGTTAAAAAAATTATAAAATTTTTAATTAATTATCGCTTTAAATGACTAAAACAAATAAAAAAATTAAAGAGCGGGTTTCAAAATATGGAAATACGTCTATAAAATGATCCTTAGTTCAATAATATAAAATATTTAAAAATCATGTATCCTGACCTAACAATACTGTATACCGAGACCTCAAAATTTCGAAGAAATTAATTTTCCCTTTAAATGATTAAAATTAATTAAAAAATAGAAGAACGGGCTGCAAAAAATCGAACTACGTCTATTAAATAATCTCTAGTGTAATATTTAAATCTGTTGAATAATCACGTGTCAATACTTGACATAATGATGTATATTGGGACCCAAAATTTGGAAAAAATTAAATATCGTTCTAGTGACTGTAACTAATTAAGATAAAGCGGGCTTTGAAATATGGGAATACGTACACTATTAAGTGCTCAGTTAATAATAAAAAATATTTAAAAATCACGTGTCCAGACCTAATATTACTCTATATAACCTAGACCTTAAAATTTCGGACAAATTAATTATCGCTTTTAATGTTCAAAACTAATTAAATTCATTAAATTTTATTATTATATTAAATATTATTAAATTCATCCCATTTTAACAATTCAATGTATACTAAATCTTTTAATATACATAGCTTTCAATAGACTAAGCTCTTGGTATATATAACTGTCAAAATATGCATTGACAGCTATGCACGAAATAAGCGCAACGACAGAATCAATCGGTATCGCGGAAAAAAAGTACCAATACACTTCAAGACTTTCGAAAGGCCTTTAATACATTCGAGTGCACCGCCATACATTCGAGAATCGACTTAACATACTTTTTTTATACGGGGAAAAAAAACAATTAAAAAATCAATAACTTGATAAATAGCGATTTGTTATTTGTCGCTAAATAAAAACAAGCGTTAATATTATAACAGAAAATGTTCAATATCTGACCACAAACAGATGCTGAAGTATGCAGCTGCCAATCATAATCGATAATCGCCACATCAGTTACATCCATTTCTGCTTTTATTTATTACTTAATTTTCCCGTTCTGTTCTAAATTCAAAATTAACAATCAAACTGTCAGACAGCATGTATTTCTGGTTCATAACAAATTTCACCAATTCCAAATTAGAATATACAGTATAGCAATATACACAATTGTATATATAGCTTACTGCATGTGCGAATATACCATACTTATATTCGAAAATAGTTGGTGCATGTGTGTTGATCGTGTTTGTCACTCATGCAGCCAGATTCAAGTAATTATATCGCGATTAAAAAATCTTGTAGATGTTAATAATTTAAACATACATCAAAATTACTAATATATAGAATAATTATTTTTAATTTAACCTAGTTTTACTGTAGAAATCAATACTGTAGTCAATTAAATATATATAATCATATATTATTCTATATAGCCTTTTGCCACGACAATCAAATCATTAAAAAGTTATGTTCAAAGTTTATAATTAAACATAAATTTTGTCGGCATAATGTAGCATATAACATCATATTACGTAAAAAAATATTACACCAATGTAGTCCATGCACAAAGATATTTACTTTATTCCACTTTTATCGTTATTCATTATCGTAAACTACAAAACCATTTATCAAAAAGAAAAAAATCAACTTTTATATTCTTATTATTTTCTATATAATACGTTAAAATATATAATTTAATTTTGACATTTATATAGCATTAAAAAAATTAATTTACAATTTTTATAATTTTACCAAAATATTGTGTGAAATTATTTGATTTGTCGAAAAATAGAGATAGAAATAGAATAAACAATTCAAATAAATTTTAACGGAAGAACGAAAGTGTAAAAATACCAAAAGTTAAAACCACCAAGATGTAAAGTACATTCTGCACGATCACTTGGGTCATCAAACGCATATCTGTCAGAATGACAGGAGATGAAAGGACGCGGCGTGTCTGCGACGCAAGCGCACGACCTTGCGATCGATGTCCACGCAACCGCTTTGTGTAGTCTTAAACGAAACTTGTAATTGTGAACATCATGCCGAGTGCATATCGCGATAAATCTGCAGTATCGCACAACTTTAGCTTTCAGCAAGATATTCGATACATTTTCAAAATAAATAAATGGATTCTGGGCTCGCTGGGTCTCTGGCCAGTAACAATCCGGGGAATCGGGCAACATACATTTAAAATTACGTTCGCGGTCTGTAATTTCGTAATAATCTTCTCGATAATGCCCTGCGTTCTGCATATCCTTTATGACGACGAAGATACCATTATGAAACTTAAACTATTCGGCGTACTGGCATATAGTTTTACTACCATAACGAAGTACTACATTCTCACGATACGACGCCCTAGGATACTGCGCTGCATCGAATATATCAAGAATGATTGGTGGCAGGTCAGTGTTAGGGCTGTAATTGACAAAATATATTGTATTTATGTGTGGAATTTAATATAAAATATTAAAAAATTTTTAGTAATAAAAAATACAAGAATAATATAATTTTAAATAGTTGGATTCTTACGAACTAATTACTGTTATAAGTAGTATATTGTTGCATATACATATATGTATACATATGTATATTCATATCCTACTGTTGTTTAAAATGACATATTTATATCTTGTAATATATTATAGCATTATAGTAATTGTTAATATTTAAATGATAATAGTGAACAGTAACAATTATATGTGCGGTCGAAAAATTGAAGACCTTTTCTCTGTTTATTATAGTTGCTTTCTATTTGCATCAAAATTCAGATAAATGTCACTTCTGTTTTTCTTCAACATTCATGTTAAAAAAAGACTAAGGTGAGATTTATCTGAGTTTTGATGTAAATGGAAAGTAATGTATGTAGCCAAAAAAAGGGAAAAGCAATCGCTAAAATTTGCGAAATTAATAATAATTTTGTTTATTAATAAATAAAAGTGGTGACAATATTGTGACAGGTGACATTTGTAAGTGATCGTCAAATAATGCTGAAATATGCTGCCTCTGGTCGGAATTTAACGACAATCGGCATATCTTTCATGTACATTGCTGGCATGACTTATCACACGATTCTCGTTCCATTCTTTTCCGGCGAGCACATAATCAATAATAAAACCGCCAGACCGTTAGTGTATCCGATTTACAGTAAATTTCGTCAGTCCCAAATTAGCCCACTATATGAAATTACATATGCAGTTCACTGCATTTGCGGATATATCATATATTCGGTGACAGCTGGTACATGCGCACTGGCCGCTCTATTTACTGCTCATGCATGTGGACAAATCCAAATAGTTATATCAAGATTAGAAAATCTTATAGACGGTGAAAAATTCAAGAAAGGTCCAAATGTTCATCAACAAATTGCTGCTATCGTAAAAAATCATGTTCAAATAATAAGGTAGGTAATATTTTTGAATAATAATTAATATAAATATATGTTAATAAATTATTTTAAATAAATAATTTTAAATAAATATATCAATATAATAAGAAAAGAAGAATATTTCGTAAAGCGCGAGTAAATATAATCACAAGGATAAAACTCTTTAAAAAAAAAAATTTGTTAGACGACCAAACTGGGCAAAAAATGTTAATTTATTAAATCTTCCTCATAACGTTTCGACCTTTGGTTTAGGTCCTTATCAAATGAACACTGTAATAATAATTTCATTAAACATTACATTACTTCAGCGTATAAATAATTTTAACTAATAATTTATTAACATATGTAAAATAATTCAAATAGAAAATTAAAAACTGAAGTTAAGAAATTTAATAATTTGGTTAAATTATAAGTAATGAAAAATGTATCTTATATGATATTTTTAATGACAAATTATTCTGTTTTGCTCTCGGATAAGGAAATTTTTTTTATCACTCAATAAATACTATATTATTAAAATTTAGCAAAAAAATGTAATTTAACTATTCTAAATTTAATCTCACAACAAAAAAGATTGTTGTATAATAATTGTTGCATATTCTTTATGATATTGTTTAGTTAATTTTTATTCATTTTATTGGACACGGATATAATAATAGGACAAATGCAACAGGTGGTCTTAACGAGTAGCGAATACACGTTCTATAGACGGCGCTGCTTCGTGTCAGATACTAAGCATACGCTATTATATGTATAATCCATTTATAGACATATACTATTTATATATAATATGTAGCCAAATAGTATATTAAATATTAAATTAAGAACGAATGGAAATAATGCATTCGAATATCTCCAAGTTTTTCCGTGCAAAGCAGAGTGACTAACTTATTCCAGGTTTGCGGCCACTGTAGAGGAAATTTTACAAGAAGTGTGTTTAGTGGAATTCAGTAGTTCTGTATGCACGATATGTCTACTCGAATACTACTGTATACTGGTGCGCTAATATGAGCCATTTAAAAAAAAGTTACTATTGAAAGATAATTATACATTTACTATCTAATTTAACAGGATTGGCAAGCAGATGAAAAATTTGGTCTAATGACTTATATTTTGCTCCTTGTTTCATTTTGTTTTAATGTATATATATTGTGCTACATCGGTGAACTTCTCATGGAGAAGGTACGTCTTCTTTTTTTTAATTATGCAATGCTTAATTTCAGTTGCATGTTGAATAAATATTTGTGACTGACTTGTCTGCAGAGTAGTGAAATTGGATCAATATGTTATATGATAAATTGGTATGAATTAACACCAAACTCAGCTCGTAGTCTTATATTAATGATAGCCATAGCCAGTCATCCCATAAAATTCAGTGCTGGTGGAATGGTAGATCTATCATTAGCAACTTTTGGAACTGTAAGTCACTTTCAATAATATTTATGATTTTAGTTTAAAATCTATATACATCTTCAAATTTAAAATAATAAAATATTATAAAAAATAATATATAAGAAATTATTTAAATAACAGAATTATTTAATAGAAACAAAAATTATTATGTATCTTTGCATAATATATGTACTAGTAAATTTTATTCTGTCTCATTTAGAAACTTTAATATTTAAATAAATTCGCAAAAAAGAAATATATAGGTGAAGAAATTATTTTACTATAATTTGTTCAGGTATTAAAAACCAGTCTAGCATATCTGAGCTTTCTAAGGACATTAGCAGTGTAATATGTGATTAAAATTATGACACAAAGTATTTTGAATTGTGACTTACTTATTCACGACATGGAAAGGATATCTTTGAAAAATTTTCAAAGTTTAATATAAAATTTATTAATATAAAAAGCCTTTTTTAGTATTATGTAGATGATATATTGGTACATAAATAATATTATCAATAATAACATATATTTTATTTTTACATTTCATTACTTTATTTCTTTTCCTAATGACAATTATTCTCATTGAACAATTTAGCAAATAAACAAATTCAATCGTCTCTTCTTTTATTTTATTTTTAAAAAATGCAAACAAGTAATTTAATCTTGTAATTTAAGATTTTGTAATTTAAGAAATTATTTTATAAATAAACAGATTTATTTTCATGATTTTTTAAACAATTAATAAATTCAGGTAAATTATGTGAAATAATAGAAATATTGTCCTATTTGTATAATTATTAAAGTAAAACTATATTTTGTGCAATTTTCCATAATATAATAATACCTATATTTAAAGTAACATTAAATAAAAATCAAATTTGTTGAAAAAAAAATCAAATTTTTTTCTCTTTCTCCATTTTCCATTTCTTTCATTCTCCATTTCTAAAAAAGACATGTCAATTATCGCATCTCTCAAAGTTTATTATCGTTTTTCCATGCACGATGCTAATTGACCGTCTCGATTGTTATATTCGTAGCATTGAGTAGCTGTCATCGCGAAGATTAATAGTTTGACAATTGTTCAAAATAATATTAAATCAAAACAAATAGAATCAATAGAGCGCGCAAAGCTTGCGCTTGTGTTGTCTAGTAAACTAAAATTTTAATTTAAAAAGAGAAAAATAATTGAAAAAGATCAATAACTTGATACATTGTGATTTCTTATTTGTCGCTAAATAAAAAGAGCGGTAATATTATAACAGGAAATGTTCAATATCTGATCACAAACAGATGCTGAAGTATGCATCAGCAAGTCATAATCTATCGATAATCGCCACATCAATTATAGAGATTTCTGCTTTTATTTCTTACTTGATTTTGCCGTTCTATTCTAAATTCAAAATCAACAATCAATTTCAAATTTCGCCAATTCCAAATTAGTACAGTATAGCAATATACACAATCGTACCTATATATATATATGCATACAATATACTTCATTGCATGTGCAAAACCATACTTATACTCGATAATAGCTGGTGTAAGCGGGTTGATCGCGTTCGTCACTCATGCAGCCAGATTCAAGTAATTTTATCGCGATTAAAAAATCTTGTAAATGGAAAAAATTTTAAGCAAAGCCCACATATTCATCGACGAATCGCTAGCACGTGAAATGCCATGTTCGAGTTATTACTCGGTAACATTTTAATATAATAACTTATCTCTCTATATAATAATTTACTGATTTAAAAAATTAAAAATACAGTAAAAAAATTTTAATAATTATAAATTTAAAAAATTTTTTTAAATATTTAATTTAGTATTAAAATAATTCTTTTTATAGTGTTCACAATTGTATAAACATGATAGCAATTAAATAACTTTATGATTTCTAAATATATTTAGTACTGTTATAGAAAAGACAAACACTTAAATTAAAAATTTCAGATTTTTTCAAAAATTTGTCAGATTATTTATAATTTATTTATATATTATATTTAAAAAAACAATCACAAATTACTAAATTAATAATTGTTTTATAGCGTTAACTTAATGATTATTTATTTAGTAAAGAACTAATTATTCATAATTTATCACTATATTGAAAAAATTAACTGCTACATAATTTCATTCATATAAATACTTGAATATTATCTTTTCATTTTATACTAACAATAAAGTAATGTGATATTAGAACAAGTGTAACAGATGGCTTATTACGAAGTAGGCGGTACTGATGCGTATCAGACGATGCGCAGACTATAAGCACATGCGCTGTATATTAGTCTGTCATGATGTTAGATATATATTTATACACACCAACTGAATTTTCTTAGCTAGTGCAATAAAGTTATTGTTCTCGGGACACGTGTGAATTGGTTTGAAAAAGATAATATTTTGAGAAAATGTATCTCTTTTAATATATGTATACTCGGTAAACAGAAGTCAGAGTATTAGTAAATTACAGAAAAATTTTATGGCATGGACCAGAATAACATATCATTATGCCATTTATATTTAACACGGCTTTTATTGTTTTGTACATGTTCTAATTAGAAAATTCAGTTAAATATTTAGTCTTATATTCTTCTATATGGTTTTGTGCCACGACAATCAAATCATTAAAAAATTTTATAATTAAACATAAATTCTATCTTTCTTTCATTTTGCTTCAACAATATATATCGGTAATATTATGTTATATCAGTGAAATAATTTTCATTAAAAAAAATACTGTTCAATTTTTTGATCGTATAACACAATATCGACTGTGTGTTAAATAGTCGTGTGCGATTCATGTTACAGAACAGTCAAATTGGATCAATGCTACATTAATTGATATCAAATATTAAATAAGAACAGTCTTATAATGATCAATCAATGCCAGCAAAACAGTAAATTTATCGCTGATAATATTTGGAAATGTAAGAAATTATATGTGCTTCAGAATTCAACTTTTAAATTTACAAATCACATCTTTACATCTTTAAGCTTTAAATAAAACAATGATTTTATAAAAAAAAATAATTAATATTCCAAAAAGTTATATTTTATAGTACGTTTATATCAAAATCGAAAAATATAATTTTCAAAATAAAAAATAAAATTATAACAGAAAAAAATTGAAAATTATATTATTTCAATACAATTTTTAAAGTACTAAAAACTAAAACGCTATATCTCCGATTGCTATATCAATTTAAGAATATTAGTAGTATAACTGTTAATAATATAAACAATCATTAAAATTACAAATATATAGAAAAATTATTTTTAATTTGACCTAGTTTTACTTTAGAAAATTCAGTTGAATATATATGTACCATATATTCTTCTATATAGTCTTCTGCCACGACAATCAAATCATTAAAAAGTTGTGTTCAAACTTTATAATTAAACATAAATTCTGTAGCATATATTTTCATATTACGTAGAAGAATATTACACCAATGTGATCCATGCACAAAGATATTTACTTTATTCCACTATTATTAATTATCGTTAATCATTATCGTAAACTACAAAATCATTTATCAAGAAAGAAGAAAAATTCAACTTTTATATTCTTATTATTTTCTATATAACACATGTTAAGAAATCTAATTTAATTTTGACATTTACATAACATTAAAAAAATTAATTTACAATTTTTATAATTTTATCAAAATTTTGTGTGAAATTATTTGATTTGTCGAAAAATAGAGATAGAAATAGAATAAACAAATCAAATAAATTTTAACGAAAGAACGAAAGTGTAAAAATACCGAAAGTTAAAACCACCAAGATGTAAAGTACATTCTGCACGATCACTTCATGGGTAATCAAACGCACATCATCTGTTAAACTGACAGAAGATGAAAGGATGTCTGCGACATGAGCGCAAGCGCATGTCCGGTGACCTTGCAATCAATGCTCCGTGCTGGCCTTGCTCGTGCAGTCTTAAACGGAACCTGTCGGCGTGAACATGAGGAATGCACATGACGAGCAGGCGACGTCGCCGAACGTTAATTTTCAGCAAGACATAAAATATGTGTTCAAGCCGAGCAGTTGGACTCTCGGCTCGATCGGCATCTGGCCAGTCACATTCCGCGGAATCGGACATGTATCCAAAATCGCACTCGTTGTATGTAATTTTGCGTTAAGCTTCGCGATAGTGCCGTGCATCCTACACATCATTTATGACGAAAAGGATCTTAACATAAGATTGAAGCTCTCTGGACTACTGGGCTTCTGTCTCACCGCAATGATGAAGTACTGCGTTCTCGCGATACGTCGGCCTAAAATATTACGCTGTATCGAGCACGTGAAAAGTGATTGGTGGCAGGTCGGTGTTGTCAATACATAAAATGTGGCAAAAAATCGATGAAGAGAACTTATCACAAAATGTTAAAATATGATGACTGATTTTTTCCTCTTGACAGTGTAAAAAACGAGCTTCGCTTTAAATCATCTGAATCAATCTTGAAGTAATTATATTTCTCGAGTATATTTTTCAATTTCTGCATAAACATCAGTCAATTATCTCATTAGGTATCTATTTTATATTTTGTCATTGTATCTCTACATTTAATTTAGCTAATGTTAATAGTAATTGTAATTTTTTTCTCTTTTGTTAAAAATATTAAGAATATTATAGAAGATATAAAAAACATGATTTCAATATTGTAACACGAGATTGTTACAATAGCTAAATATATAAATTCGCATTTTTTATACAACGAAACAAAGTTTAAATTTCAAAAATTATATATTTTTCTGTATTTATCAATCTGATGCATTAAAGCGAATCTCGTATAATCTCGTGTTTTCTAGTCATCTCATAATTTGCGATAAATAGTGATTACTGTCATTAATTCTCCTGGCAAATAGGATTACTGACAATACTGTGACAGGTCAAATTCAACTCCGATCGCAAATTGATGATGAAGTATGCTGCCACTGGTCGTAGGCTGTCTATAATCAGCACGACTTGCATGTACATCGCTGGCTTTATTTATCATACGATTTTGCCATTTTGCACCGTACATAAAGTCGGCAACGAAACCATCAGACCGCTCGTGTATCCAACTTATAGTGAATTTTATCAGACCCAGATCAGCCCGATATACGAAATAGTATATCTGGCTCATTGTATTTGTGGATACACTATGTATACGGTCACGGCTGGCTCGTGTGGATTAGCTGCGATATTCGCTACTCATGCATGTGGCCAAATTGATGTCATTGCATCTCGACTTGAGGATCTTTCGCGCGGCAAAAACTTTGGACAATCATTAAACGTTAATCAACGAATCGCTGTCATCGTGAATGGTCATGTTCGAATATTGAGGTAACATATATTCCGCTCTATGAAATTACCATATACTATTTTCAGAATTTAATTTAATTACATTTCAGATTTTTATTAAATTTATTTAAAGTTCCTAATATGTTTCAAGAAAATTCTTGATAATTATAATAACATTCAAAATAATTAAAATGAGGCAATTTTTTAGTGTGTAAGGACTTTTTCATATATACATATATGTATAATATATACAAACATACATGTATATATACAAATCATTTTTATTACTTATTGCAATTTTAAAAAGCGATCAAATGCAACAAGTGTATCTACAGACCTCCAATGAATAGAGGGCGGTGTATGTTTCATGGATTATGCGCAGACTGTGAACATGCAAGATTACATGTCCTCATGCATTTATTTTTGCTGTATAATTTATTTTTGCACAAGTAGATATCAATAAAAATATGATATCAAAAAATTTCATAACTTTCATTAAACATTTATAACAGGTTTAAATTATTGCAGAAAAGTGCGCAAAATTTAATCCTTGAAAATTGTTTATTATATATAATTATATATATATATATATATATATATATATATATATATATATATATAATTCTACATTGAAAAAAATCTTAGAAAATTCACGTGATCGTAATAATAACAACCTATTTCAGATTCTGCGCTGCTGTAGAAGAAATCCTACAAGAAGTATGTTTACTGGAATTTGCCAGTTCTATATTCACAATGTGTTTACCCGAATATTATTGCATAGTGGTGCGCCATATACATATATATATTTTAAAAAAAAATAATTTTCTCTTAACACGCGCGAAAAATCTTACTATATTTGATACTTATAATTTAATAGGATTGGCAAGATAGTGATACAGTTGGACTGACAACTTATTTTCTGCTCTTTGTTTCATTCTGCTTCAATATGTATATATTATGTTACATTGGCGAGCTACTTATGGCGAAGGTATATTTATCTTCTCGATTTTATGTAACATATTTAATTTTTCAATTTTCATGTAACTATGAAGTTATAATAAAAGTGTGGTTGAAGAACCAAGATATATCAAATATTTTTCCGCGGTCGTGATGTATATGTTTCAGAGTACTCAGATCGGTACGACGTGTTTTATGATCGATTGGTACCAACTGCCGGCAAATCCAGTTCGTAGTTTAGTGTTGGTAATCGCTATGTCAAACCATCCCATAAAAATTAGTGCTGGCAGAATGATAGATTTATCGCTGGCAACTTTTGGAAATGTAAGGAATTGTGTATATGATATTTCTGCAAAATTAATTCCCATCTCGATATAATTGCAAATAAAATAAATTAATACCCCAAAATTATGTGAAATGCTTTTACTTTATTCTTTGTGCACACCATCTTTTAATAAAAAACTGCAGTTAAATAAACTAAAATTTTATGATGAAAAATATGTTTATTAATATAACTTTTTATTAGGTACTCAAAACAAGTCTGGCGTATCTAAGTTTCCTTCGAACGTTAGTAATGTGATTATTATTGAAATGCCCTGACTTTTATATAAATGATATAATATATTATCTCCTTTACAATGTAGAATCTTCATAGAGCATGTAAGCAAATGTATTTTAATAAAATAACAATCCTTTTTTACATTTTTATATTAAAAAAAATTCTTTTTTGGAAAATTGTTTTAAAATAACTCTATTGTGTATACAGTTTTATAGTAATATAATTATTTAAAGAAAGAAATTGTCCATTAAAAAATAGTACATTCATAATAACAATTTAACTAATATTTTACTGTTGGCTAATATTTCAGGAATGTACGTAATGAGATAACTATGTATATCAGCTGATTTTTATCAACTGCTGGTTAAATTGTTGATGTCAGAATAGTCAGAGAAACACGCAGAAATGACACTGACACAGTGCTTTCCAGAACCATAAAATGTGATTAAAATGTGAATATCCCACATAAAAACGTATAACTCGTATAATTCGTGCATAAATAATTTTTGTGTGTGAGGGCTTGTATAAAAATGTGATTATAATGTCTCAAACATTGTATTACAATTTGCCATGTTGTTTTCATTTTACCTAACCTTATTTTACTTTATATTCATTTGATATTTATTTTGTTCGTAATATAAAAATCTATAATTTTTATAACAAAAATATTTCTACAAAAAATCTAAATATGAATCTAAAATATGTGGCAATATAAACGTAAAAGTGGAATTATAAATATGTGTATTATTGTAATTTGTAACAAGAAATAATTAAATATTATTTAACAATTTTGTATATAATTTTAGCTAAACGAATTTTTTTCATTAGTTATATATTTTTTGAAAGTGCTGTAATTTCCTATTTTATTTTCTTTTAATATTTATTAGGTAAACTTTTCATTTTCAAGATATTATTAAGATAAATCAATGTGAAAATACATTGATATTACAAAATGTCTGAGAAAAAGTCTATTGGGGGTATTCCTGTGGAGTGTCTAAGTGGAGAAGCAGCTGCTATATGGTCTGGCTGGCGTACACTGGGAGACAGAGAACTTGTGAGAGAAGCTTCTGCTAAGGGAACCCATATAAAACTAGCACATAAATGTCTTGCATATAGAAGGCATTGTTCTGTAGAGCAAGCATGTATATATTTCAATAAGAAGTAGAAAATTGGGTCAGTGAGTTATTAAACAAAAAACAAGTTTACAGAGCTTCACATATTCTAAAAAATATGGTATGTATCACACATATTATATTTTTAAATCTCTTATCTTTTTCTTGTAATTAACATAAATGATATAAATAGAGTAAAGAATATTATATTTATAATTATTTTTACAGGGGAAGGACTCAGTGGAATATATTTTTGCTGTTTCTACAAAAAGCAAAGATTCGGCCTTAAGAAATTATTTATGTGAATACATGATAAATGTTAGTGGATTTAAGAACGAACATGTCATGGCATGGAACATAATTAAGTCAGTTATACAGCATGAAGAAAAACACAAGTAAGTTTCTATACAAAAATTACTACAAAAATGTCTACTATAGATATGATTAAACAAAATAGAATTAATAAAATTTTTTATTTCAGAATTGAAAATGGATTAAGTTCTTCTATATGCATAGATGATATAATAAACCTACCAGAGAATATTAAAGAAGCCTTATACACTGAATTATATTTCTCTTTGAATGACCCACAAATTTTGGAAAATGTATCCAATACTGTTTTGTGGGATTATTTATTATCTAGCAATAAAATTAATGCAATAAGGCTATGGATTGATGGAAGATTTAATCCAGATATCTTACAATACTCAAATGAAATTGACCATCATTTAAAATCATTATTTATAAATTTAAATATTACATCAGATATGATTGACCATGTAGATTCTTCCAATGCTAGTAGTCTTGTAAAAAGTTTAACTAAAGATCATTTATCCAGGTATTTAACAGCTGTTTAATATACCTATATATGTGTACTGATAAAATTAATAATTTAATAGAGAAGCATTATTATAATAAATTTATATATTATTTTAGATATGGTGTATATGTAACAAAAGAAAAGAATGATTTAAAATTAATATTAAATCGTTCCTTTGGCTGTGGTATCACGTTGAAAGAACTTGATACGATATTATCTCTCTCTTCTTGCAATATTGATAAAACGGAATTTTTGCGAAACGTTGATCAACAATTATGCCTTACACATTGTTCGCAAGAAGGTCACACCGAAGATAATTTAAAGCTTACACAATTATTTAACGTATTAACTGATATGTGTAACGCTAAAGATAATTACGAAGACGCGTTAATACATGGAATAATCGAATCGATTAATTATATCTCTGACGATTTTAATGCCTATTTAAAAACAAATTATTTAGTAAGCTTGACATTAATATTTTTACGATTATACCAAATGAGAAGCGCCTTAGGTAATGAAGTGAGCATCTCAGAGAAGAGTAAACTAATGAGAGATATATTTACGAATAAAATTCCTTTACAAATCGGTGAACATGTTATTTCTCAAGAAGTTCTTCAAAATGTGCTCACACATATACCAAACATGCAATGTATCATTGAAGATCAAATTACGAAAGATGATATTACAGTGTATGAATTATTAGACGGTTATCAAAATTTGAATGCAAAACACTTATTCAAATGGCGCTTGAAAAATGAACCCATGCCTACTTTCATGAACGAAAATCTTGTTAAAAAATATGGACATAAAGAAATACTGACATATCATTATTATTTGAAAGAAGGTAGGCCAGTTATGGCTGCGTATAATTTAGAATACGCTCAAGCTAAATTACTCGGAAATGTCTCTTCTCAAAGGTTTGTATTTTCAATGAGAATATTTACTTCCATTATTATCAGTATAAACAAATAAAGTAATTTTAGAAAATGCAAAGCGGCCTTACACGCGCACATTCTCGCTTTGAGAAATCTAGATAAATCTGATATCGTATGCAGTTGTATTGTTTTTATGGAATTGCTGAAGATTGATTCGAGCAATTTACGATTACACGTTACTGTGGCAAACTATGTGCAGGAACAACTAAACATTTCTATAGGTAAAATATTTAATAATTTTAACTTGGCGATTGCGATGCGTACATACATAACATTTGTTAATAAAAACATTATAAATATATTTTATTCCACAGGGAATTTATTGGAAAATGTAGTGTATAAAAATCAAATTGATTTAAAGTCTGTGATATCTTATTTAGAACAAAGCTTCCAAAAACATTTACTGGACAAAATCTCGATGCGTGATAATGAGCTGTTTGTTGAAGCATTAAAAACATGGGATATTATTGTCCGTTTTGCACAAGTTCACGACTGTGTACTACCCGATATGTTATTGAAATATTTGGCAAATCATGGTTTATGGTTCGAATTTGTTGCAGTCAGTCAAATATTTGCTTATCCCACAAATCAGGTACGTTATAAGACAATAATGATAATTAAAATAAAATCTATTAATCTAATTAATTGTCCACCTGCTAGGTACTGGAAAATGCCAATTATTTAATAATACGAGTGTACAGGAGCATTTACTAATGTGTCTAAACAATAGTAAACTTAATAAATCTGAACCGTGTAACGAACAGAAATCTCGTGATGCAAGACAATCAAAACAACGCAAAGTTGGAGTAAAAGAAAATGTAAGAATATTACTTGTTAATTCTATACTTTCTTAATATATATATAATCAATATATCATTTTTCAGGAATCTCCGACATTCAGTTTATCTATATCTGAAACTGACACCGATGTAGCCGATATAAAACATACTTTCAGTCCAATTTCTTCAGATAATGATTTGTGGTTAATTATATTAAATTGTCATCAAAGTCAAGACCCACCCAGAGCATTAATTAATACAGCTTGTTCAAACTTCATGCCTATATTAGCTATTTTGGCTACATGTTACGAAGTATTATTTCATAATTATTAATAATAATAAATTTTATTAGTTTTTCTTTGAGATTAAAAATATTACGTTTATAGCCATCCTCAGTAGCAGCATATTGTTATTGTTGGATGGTAATATCAACAAGAAGAAAAGACATACTTCTCGATTACGCGGATTGTCTAGAGCAACAAATATGGCCTTCCGATAAAGTATCAGAATTATTAAATAAAATGATTCAATGTGGTTATATTAATACAGTTAATCGAGCTTATAAAATTTTCATGACCGTAAGTTCAATTAATGTAACACATAATAGTGATTAAAAATTCCTTATTGTAATTGATACTATTATCTTTCAGGATAATATTTTGAATCTATTCTTTGAATTTCTGATGCAAACAATTAATTACAGCGAATTTAAGGATAGTCAACAATATTTAATGGAGTTTAAGTCACAATGTTCCTTGCTTAAATCAAATGTATGTATAAAGTTGTAACAATTGAAATAATTTACAGTTGATTAAGTAATTTAAAGTTGATTCAAACAATATTATTTTTTAGAAAATTATGGACTGGGATAGTGCTCATTTCACGTACTTGAAGAATTTGTATTGGGTTGCAGATGTTACAACTCGATGCATTGTTATAGCACTCGGTTATGGCTTTCAAAGTACGCCATTGCGTATAAAATTTCTCGAAGCGCTAATAAAATGTAATTTTTCTATAGATTTACCAGGTAAAACAAACACACTTTTGTATTAATTAATCTATTATACATATAATTATTATATATTTGCGAAAACTTGTAAAACTTATCATATTTGTATATTGCAGTCGCAGTACCGGATTTTCAACGATTATTGGATATAATAAAAATTCTACAGAAAACCGATATAACATTAAATTTTAAAGCTGTTACTATGATCGACAATGTATATAATTTTGACACAGAGATTCAAAGATGCATTAATGACTTAATGACAATCGAAAATTATAGCGTTGCCATAGAATTAGCATGTCGCGCAGGATTAAATTCATATGAAATTATATTAGCACAAGTAATATTTTTTTCAGTTTTTTAAAGAAATCGATTAACATAATATTGCACATTTTTTTTAAATAAATCTGTGATATTATTTTCAGTATCGGAATATTTTTAAAAAATCTATAAATGTAGATGGCAAAATAAATTCTGCTTTCTGGACGCAATGTGCTCAAGATTTCAACAAATATAATGTTCCATCTCAAGTAGCAGTTGAATTCTTTGTCGAACATGCTAAGGAAGTTATATCGCATAAAGAGAGGTAAATATGTACGACATGCTAATTTTAGTGCATAAATAATCAAATATTTTATTTCTAGATATGAAGTTTTAAAATTGGCTTACGAGACTTTGAAAAATACCGAAATTGAACAACAAACTATCGATACTCTGGAAATGGCAATGTGGAAATCATGTATTTTAGCTGGGCCTGAAAATGTACACTTTGACTGTAATGACTGCATTTTTAATAAATTGAAAACGGAGTTACTATCTGGTTTAGATAGATTACAAGTAATTTGCACTTTGTTGGATGAAGCCGAAAAAAATTCTGTAGAGATTTTAATAAATAAACTAATTGATCTGGGCAAATTGGATACTGCTTTACGAATAAACGTGATGTTTAATTATAATCATAAAGTAAGTAACATCTTTTTTTATTTTTGACTATAGGATATTTAAAAAATATTTATGTTATAGGATTTGCAAATATTGATGCTGTGTTTAAGCTTAGCAGAAAACGAAATTTCACCAGCAAACTTAACTGCGGAGCAAAAGAATCTTTTGGAAGGAATAAATAACAAAGAACAAAAACAAACCCCAAAAAACAAACAACAAAAATCTGGCATTTTGCGTAATCGCACTCTACAAAGATATTCTTCATCATCATCCCGTATGCATCACTATTATCTTTAACGCTAATAACAATTTCTATACTTTATACTGTCTAAAAATATTTTTTAACTCTTGCATAAAATATCGAAGAATTGTGTTGTAAATCGACATACTTTATTTTTACAGTAAACACAGTTTCGTCGGCTATAGAAACTAGGAATATAAACGATACAACGATCACTAATAGTCACCAGCTTCAAATGGAATGTATTTCAATTTTAGAAAAATTGTCAGAAATTCTTAAACACGGAAATGAGATATGTCAGAGAATTATTTCGTGTTATAAACTTGCTGCACGTTTAGGGAAAACATATCAATCCCTATTGCTGCTGAGCAATCCGATTAAATTTTTGCAGGAAATCATGGAAAGTAATATTGAAAGTAAATTTGAAACTGCTAATGAAATAATAATATCTTATAAAATTAGGACAGAAGATGTGGCAATGTTTCTAACTGAAAACATAAAAATGCACATAAGTCGTGTTACAGAAGGTAATTAGGAAAAAAATTACTTTTCATTCAAAGAACATTATTTCAATATTAAAATTAATAATTGTCAATTTTAAAAGATGGGCAAGAAGATCCTATTTTTATTTGGGGCTATTCCATGCATTCACACTTTCACTTAATAATGGAGCTATGTAACGATACTTCGTTATTGGGCTTGAAATTGTTGAGGACGGCGCAATCATTGCTGGGAAGATATATTAGTACTCATGATGAAAAAAAGAACAGTAATTCATTTATTTTTTCTATTATTATCTCATCCTTTTTAAAATATAATATATATTAATTATATTTAATAATATACATTTTAATTATATTTATATGTATTATATTGCAGTTGCAGGATTAAAAACAATAATAGAATTATTGATAAAATCGCACGATTGTTTCACGGCTTCCTGTAATGTGGAAGGAATAGCTTCAGTATTACGAAAATGTCAGAACCTTGCGAATATGTTACAAATGTTCAAGCATTGGGCACTATTAGTATGTAATTAATATTATAGTATTTACGTTATTAGTATGTAACTAATATTATAGTATTTACGACATTATTTTCAAAATTACAGAATTAATCGATTAATTAATATAATTATATTAATCCCGTAATTTCAATTTTTGTTATTTTAGGTACGTCTTATAACTGGTGTTGGACGATTTACCGAAATGAATTATATATTTCAAATTTTAAAAGAAAATGATCAATTTGAATCTTTATTAGGACAAGGTTTGGATAAGGTATTTTTACGAATTTACATGCGATAAATTGCAAGTAAACACATATTTCTGTTTTTATTCATAAAAAAATTTTTTTATTAATCAAACAGGTACCGGGTCTAAAAATGGCACTATTAGAATTCCTGAAGCGTCAATGTCCAGATGATAAAGAATTGTTTACTTTAGTAGCGCTTCATTTTCGTTTATATTATGAAATCGCACTCATGTGGGAAAATGAAGCAAAACAAATAATTATAAACTTAATATCTGAGGTATCAAAAGAGTACGGAAGAGGCGTAACTGGTTCCATTCCAGTAGAAATAAAATTTACTCGAGATACCAATATTCAAAAACAGTTACAACTGGCTGTAACTAATTTCACTCATGCCACTCAATATTATTTACAGGTAAAGAAAAAAAATATATATATATATGTCATATATATTTTTTTAGAATAAGAAAATAATATATTTTATTTTTAGGATAAGAAATTAAATCTCGCTAACCAGTGTGCTAATCAAGCTCAACTTGTCGCTCTTCAAATCGGACTACTGTACACGTTACCACAAAATCAGCAAGCAGTATGCTTATTCAATTTGAAAAACGATGAGTTGGATAAAATACTGTCTCAGATCTTAAGCTTTCCTCAAGCTCTTGTTGTTACTCGTGCTTATAATTATCACGCAGATTGGGCTAATCTTATTTATCATCATTGTATTCTCAAAGGTGAGACGAAATATCTCAAAGAATTCATGATGGTAAACACTCTGACGTCTACGATTGCACAAGATTGTGCACGTAGGTGAGTTTAATGAGATTCATATATATATAAAATACCATTTCTATATAAGTATATACGTAATTTAAAAATATTGTCATTATTATTTTTAGATACAGTTTGGAAAAAAGTATTAACCATTCCATGATAGATAATATGAAAACTCTGATCTCTGAATTATCAGACGTCAAATGTAAATATAAGATAGCTAGTCAGCTTGGCTTTAAGGATATAGTGGAAGAAATGCTCAATAATCCTTTAGTGGGTTCATACCTGAAAGATACGATTTGGAAGAAAGGATATTCTTCTTCATGATGTAATATGCTACTAACAAAAATCGATACAATTAATAAAAACATTATGATACAAACTGATTTTCTATTATTACGAGCAATATAAATTTGTACTTATCAAAAAATAAATAATATTGATATTATCTCACTTGTATTATATGTCCTGCTTTTATTTAATACTATTATTTAATGCGAGTTTTGTAACAAATAAATTTCGTCATCAAATAAAATAATTATAAAATTATACGATTTTTCACTCAAAAATAATATTAAATCGTATTGCATATATAAAATCATACCATGTATTGGTAACTTGCTGCACGTCGGTTAGTTTATTGATTTAGGAACTGTAGCAAACGTAGATTCACACAAAATTCACGAGTAAGCGTTGGTAATGTGGTTCGTTGCAACTATAAATTTTTTGTTACCTTCTCTCGTTAAAAGTTATTATTTCATACATTCTATCTGTTATTTTTTGAAGGCAATTTATCTATTATCGCTAGTTTCGTTTCTGCTTCTATTGAAATTACAATAAAAGATAAAATCTGCTCAAATACCATAGTGTTCTTAGTAAGAGACGTTTAAAATGTGTATAAATATATATGCACATTATAATATATACAGCCTTTTTATAAAATTTAAATTAAATAAAAAAAATAATTCTTTGGTTTTTTATATAAGAAAAGCTTATTATACATATATATATATATTAATTAAATATTTATTATCTTAAAGATGAAATAAAAGAAGAACGCACAAAAAATATTTGTTAAGAAATAATTCTATATGCGATTAATATAGTCACCGTAAAGAGGATGACTCGATTTAGCATTTTAAAATATGCTATTTTTTGTTAGCGAATCTGGATTTTAGCAAACTCGTAATGTGCTTCTAAGCTTTGTTGTTAACGTTTAACATTTTAATGAGTCGGCTATTTTTAAAGATAAAAACTATATGTTTGCGTACACAGAAAAAGATAGTGTAAAATAAATCTTAAGTAGTTATTATGCAAAAGTTATTGTGCTTTTTATAAAATACGTGTGTAAATTTGCTGTCTATATTTTGGTACACATAAATTTTTTTCGAATAGAAAAAACCAAGCAATTTTATTTCATTCTACCATCTCTATACCATCAAACAGAGAGTGCAATGCTTTTGAAGACAGAAGAGGCGCATTCAAAAAGATGTTTCCTTCGATATAAAATTTACTTATATTTGCTGCATCGCGAATAGAAAACATGAATGAATGCGCATATGACAGAAAAATATCTGATAAATTCACCTACCAAGTACATTTACTATATGACTTCTTCTCGTCTTATATGAATCGTCGAGTTTTAGTTAATATATAATTTAATATACATAGAGAGTCATCTTTTTATAATATTAAATGTATATCAGATTTCTCCTACGACTATAACAAAATGATCATCTGGGACCGCTTCCTTTTCGTAAAGAAAAAGTAAATCTCGTTAAACCAGAACTTCGTTCTTATATCACAAAGATAAGTCGTTAGGAATATCGCACTTGTGTCTTGTTAGAGATTCAACGCACGAACACAATCTACGACACATATAAAATGCAAATGTTCTCCGCGGGAAAATTTGCATATAATGTCTAACATGAGCCACATCTTCCCGTTCACGCGCAGCTCACCGCACATATAATTTCGGTATTTATGGGATTAATGTCTCTCATGCGTACGTCTATGTATGCGATACCCGGGGAGATGGGTTTTCGATAGATCGATTAGACCAGCTGGCGCGCGGGCACGCGCTCCTAAGCCGCTTATGTCGATGCCGGTCCCGAAAACTTTTGCGCTTTTTTGGAAATTCGCGCGCGGGTACAATAATCCGACAGGCGCTGGAATTAACGGTAATTTCGAGGGAATGGGGTGATAATTGATTTCGAGGGGACCCCAAAGACCAAGAGATGAACCGTCGCGTAGCCCTTCGCGCACACGCGCAACGTGCGTAAAATGCGCAACTGCGCCGTGTATCTGTCACGCGAAATGCTTACGACGAGATTACGCTTCTCGATGTATCTTTTCATATTGGCCTTGCATGCAGTATACAAAAATAGAATAATATCGAATCGAATCGCGATATCTGCTTATTTTTATGAAAGGTACTGTATGACAAATTAAAAAAATAGTACTTTGTTTGTGAGTGTAATCAAGTATTAATTATCGAGTTTTGTCATCGTTTTAATTGCGTCCTTCTTCGGATAAAAACAGACCAAAATTTAATTAATCCGCATATCTAATTTTATTTGATCGTTCCATATATGTTGTAATCTTATAACAAAATATTAAAAAAACTACTACTTTTTACATATCAAAAATTTCAAGAAGATAAAGTGCAAATCCGCGAGATAAATGCATAATTGTTCAATATTATTACTATTGGAAAATTCGTACTTAATACTATTTAGCGTTAAATGCGAATAGAAATATTCGCATCTTAATATGGCATAAGACCATCCATTTATCGATGCATTAATTAGATATTACAGTCTAATATAAAGTTAATAGCATCAATTACCAGAGTGCCTTCAGCTACAAGGTAATTAATGAAGCTCTTTTGCAATAACAATTACGCCAACGTACTTTATCCTGGCAAAACAGTCAGGATAGTTTTAGCAGCCAGCTATTCTTTCACAGTTATTATCATCGCGAAGAAAAGACGGACGCACCATATCTCAGATATTGAAGTTTAATTTAGCATGCTATACGAACGTGAATAACCAATATATCGATTTCATTATGCAACCAGTGAATACCGATGCATAGGCTTTGCGATAAAATGCGATAGGCGCGTATGAGTTTGCCATTGTTAGAAGACGATTTAATAATGCGCATCACGCTAAAATTAATTCATACGCTGTTGCATTAAAAATGGCATAATTCAATCGAAATGAGCATTCATTACGATTCGCTAATAAATTTTCACGCGATTATCTGTCTGGATAATTAACAGATACAATCGGTCAGTTCAATCACCGATAATATCGAATTATCTCCATCGCTGCAATTTTTCATATCAATCCGATTATATTATCGCCGCGCAAAACTTGTATCGTTGGAACGAACAGAGATATTAGAACGATTCTGTTTTCGATGTTTACGGACGGACATTCGGACAAAAGGGGCGTAATTCTGACTTATGCCAAGCATTTTGGCAAAGATCACAAGTTACAAATGAGATCCATATATCGAGGGATTACAACCCGCTTCATGTGGTATATTGAAAGAAGACCGGGCGGCCTGAGCAAACAAGTCGTCTACAATTCGTCGACCTCCAGGTCGCAGTTTGGCAGAGGAAGATCCCTAATAAAGGATGTCGATAATGTGCGAACCCGGCGAAACGACATATGCTTGTGGTAATAATCGCATAATTCATTGGTGTACCGGAAATTATGTGCATGCAAACTTCTCTCCTTTGCAATATTTCTTTCCTGTCTTCGCTCGTTTATTTCTTCTTGTTCGTACATCAATTAAAAAAATATACCCTATATATATTTCACTATCAATATTAAAAATAATAATAATAATAATATGTCGACGTATTATTCTTCTTTATACTCTATTATTTTCGGTACATTTTCAGTTCAATAACCGTGGAAATACGAGATCAATAAAATCTAATTAGAGCAATTTCCTCATCTGCTAAGCTTTGGTAATTAATCCGATCAAAAGGATAGTATAATACGGCTGGTTGAATAAACTTTATTTCTCTTCGAGTATAGTACTGTGCATAACTTGCAAAATTCAAAGATCGATAATTATCTTACAATATAAAAGAGTTAATTAAATTTTCCAGATATCGCTTTTTACTATATTAAATGTCAAAAGTTATATCAATTTGATCGTGTGTCAATTTGAAAATGAGATTTAAAAATAAGAGAAAATTTCTCAAATTCTTGCAAACAGATATGAATTCTTTTCTCTGGTTTTGCATAGCGAAATGACGTGCAGAATGCACATATAGGAGCACTCTTTCATCGTGACATAATTTATCGCGAAGTAAGCATTGCGTAACTAACATGCCATAACTAAAGACGAGCCCTACTCGACTACTCCACTCGAGTATAATATCGGGATGTCGCGTCGGGAATAGCATCTCCCGGTACCATCCAGGTTTACGTTGGTAAAAGGGGCTCAAATATTGTCGACGTTACGAACGATTCGCCACGCATTAGCGGCGTCACCGGGGAACACGTTAAGTACTTACGTACGGATTTTTGCCCCGACGTTGCCATTCAAGTTGCGTAAATAAATCGCATTGTCAAAAGCCTCGTAATCAAATTGTTTCATTATGATTTTTCATGAAATATATCTCACCCTTCCGTTTCACGCGGCTCAAATAATTTAGAAGAGGCGTGACACATTTAAATTTGTTATAATTTTAAATTCCTAATTAAATCTGATCTAAAAAAACACTTTGTAAAGTTATAACCAGAAAACTCTCGTAATTAAAATTTAATTAAAATTTAAATAACAAGGAAATAACTATCTTTTTACATTAAAATGATCGATTCATCACTGACATTATATTTTATTGTGTCACATAGTTGATGCAATATGCAGCTTGGGCTACGTGAGCACTTATGTACTACAATGCGATGTATTAATGTCCGATTTCAATGGCGATGGTGATGTCATGTTCGCGACGTGCTGTACAACGCGTTAGTAGTGTCAGTCGCTGATAACGTAGCTTCGTGGGCGACATATTGAACGAACAGTGAATTCGAGGCGAGCTCGTTCACCGGCTACATGCGAGATATGTCTGTCCACATAATTGCAAGATCACTTGAAAAATTGCGGTGAGAGCAATCATCGTTAAGATTTTCCTGCACGTATTGTGTTTATATAGTCTCTAATATTATTAACTTTGATAGATGAAGAAAGACTAATCAGACCATGACAAAGCAATTACATATATTGACTTAAATTTATACGCACTAATATTTGCACAGTCTGGCTTCCATTAGTCTCCTGCCATCAATATTATATATAAAAGTCTTTATTTTCTCTAATCATTAATTTTTTATTGCAACAATCGTTTTTTTATCTTCAATTTATTAATTTTTCTTCTATTACTTGTGCCTACAATTTATTGTGAAAATGACTTGAATAACATCT